TCAGGAGGTATAAATTTTGAATAAAATTGCTAATCAGATGAATATAATTCGTAACATAATTAAGTCAAAGTTTCATTGTCATCCTTATTCTACTTTATCTTAATGTAGTAAATAAGACTCTTAGATTTTTGATTTATGTTGCCAATAAGAAAATCTATTTTGAAAATGTTTGGAAATGGATATATTACTTGAAATCCCTTCAAAATGTAAACCTTTTCTTGTTGATTTTCTAAGTTAAGAACTCTCTCAAGAAAATCTAAGATTTCTTAATATAAATTATTAGAATATTTTGGTGGTTCAGTGACAGAAATTAAGTTTAGAAAATATTAAAAATCTCTTTCATTAGATATCACATATTCGAAAAAATGTAAAAGAATATCATTTGCTTTGCTTAATGTTATAATTTAAAAAAGATTCTTCAAAATTCTCTACCAAGTATTTAAAAATATTTATTGCTCAAAACAACACTACACTATTAGATAGAAGATATCAATCAAAGTTTATTGGAATACAATCACTTTCAGCATAAGCCAATGATCCTAATCAATTTATGAGAGCCAATCTCGATGTTTTAAACAATTATGGGTTGTTTGAATACTCTTTAATTTAATGGCTGCCTCCATTACGATAAAATGATCTGGCAATTCCAATTGTAAACACCTGTAAATAGTATTTACTTATTATTTAGAAAATGATAATCTAAGACTTAGCAATCTTATTATTTCGATCTATTCGATTTAACTTTTAGGTCTAATAAAATCATAAAACTTATAAAATTGACTTGTTACACTTGGGAATTGATAATACTAAAGTATTTGTACTTACTCATCTATATATTATATGTGGTATTTGAAATTTTGAGTGCTGTCAATTGCTAAACTATATGATCTCAGGCTAAAATATTTATTTAAATGGGTTTCAATGAGTTTTTCGATGTTAATATTTTCTAATGCTGATTTCAGAATTTAAGTGCTTTATTATGACAACTCTTTTAAATCATTCCAGTCTCTTATTTCATATATAGATAAGCTTTCTGCAAGACCTTAATAATGTTCATTATATGCATCAAATTACATGAGTAAATCAGAATCTTGAAGTGATTCTTCTAAGTTTATAACATTTTCCTATAAATACAAAACAATGGAATTGGAAGCTTTTCTGTAGCGTATTGAACTATTAGATAATTTAGATTAGAATTTAGAACCATTTATACTAGATTAAAATATGCCAGATTAAAATTAAATTATAGATATTCTCGATGATGCATATTGAGATTAAGTAGGCCTAAATTAAATGACAGATTAAGACAGGGCTGATTATTTTTGGTTTTGAGGTTCCTTCTACAATTAATTTTATTTACTGATTAGCCAATAGTAAAACAATAGTTTATGGTAGATTATTCTTTTCTTTACTGAAATTGCTGGAGCTTATTTCATATAATTTAGGATATCTTCATAAATTAATTCATCTTTCTTTAATAAGGTCTAAATAAACTCATCGGCGTTCGACGATAGTTGATCCCCACTCAAATTATAAGATAATGAATTATTGATAATAAGTTTAAAGTATTTTGAATATTTTGAAAATTCTAATAAATGGATTTATTCATCTATTCCTTTTTATTAGTTTTAAATCATTTTTACTAACTACGAGTATTGATTGCTGTACAATCGCTAAACTAATTATTTCAAAAATTCATAATGCCACCAAATAGATGCGATTATATCCCCGATCACTTAATGCAAAATATACAAATTTTATTTATTTAATCTAGTAATTTATTTATACTTAAATAAAACAAGATTTTAATAAAAATTAATGTAGGATCCTTTGTTGAAATACATATATCCAATCAGTTCAAAAAAATTGATTCTTTCTTCATCCATATATGAAATTAAATCTATATTGTGTTTGATTGACAATGGTATATCGAAATATAAATAAAATTCTTGCATTCTCAATAGAGCCATAACATATCCATTTAACTTATATTCCAAAATCAAATCACTAGCTTCTTGAAATTCTTGTTTTGAAATTGTCAGAGGAGATTTCGAGAGTATAGAATTTACTATTTCTTTTGGCCGATTTTCCATTAATAATTTATAGTAAATATATTAAATTAACTATTAAAAATTTATCTATAAGAAGTTATTATCAACTTTGATTCAAAACAAATATTATTCTACTTGATTACACCCAAAAGAAAAAGAACTTACTTTGAACATTCTTTAAGAGCATTTTATTGTTAATCTAATTTTTTTAAATTCCATTTATTATATAAATTTGGATTCTAATATAAACGTAAAATAAACTCTTTGCTAGAAAATAACTAATGCTAATTTAATTAAGTAGACCGTTTTTATCAGATTAGGCAATTACGAAAAGATTAAAGAAAATCAATTATATTTTTTTTAGAACTAATGCTCATTATCTTTAAAATTGTTTTAATATTTCCAACAATTATTTGGATTTATTAAGCTATTTTAAATTAATAATAATAGAGATCAAAATAATGATTTCTAAAGCAATAGAATTAAAATTACAATAATCAATAAAAAATGAGTATATAAAGTTAATCACATCAACGTATACTGATATTCTGTGGAACCAATTGGCATTTATTGTTTTAAGATTCACCAAGACTTTAAGGATATATATTCCAAAATCTCAATGTCTCATCCCCTGCTCCAGTTACAATGGTATAGCCATCAGGAGACATAGCTAAATAGAGAACACTTAAAATTAATAAATGATATCTTACCGACTAGTGTGACCAACCAAAGTTGCTATTCTTTTCATTCCATTACATTTCCACAGAATTATCTAATGCTGACTGTAACCATGAGTAGATATGAGTTCATTTTCCATCTTACTGAACATTAAATTGCAAACTTAACTTCCAGTATCTTCTTTTGATAATAGTTTTCCTTCTAGAGCATTCCAAAATCTTATAGTTTTATCTGCAGTTCCTCCACCACTTGCTAATAAGCCATGTTAATGAGGACTCCAAGCAATTGCTTTGACGGCTGCTTAATGTTCTGTGAATTTGAATATAGGCTTATCATGTTATGATGCACTCCAAATGTATAATTTATTATCATTTCCTCCTGATGCTAATAATTGACTGTCTGGTGACCATTTCAATCCACATACTTCCTACTTATGAGCAGTCTATTTAAAGAAATAGTCCTCCTTTTGTCTCAAGTCTCTTTAAAGTATTGATTTATCTCTTGAACCACTACTTAACATACTCTCAGCAAAACATAGGGTTCCTACTCTGGCAACATGACCTTTATAAGTTCTTACTTTTTGTAATTTACAAGCATCCCATATTTAAACTTCGCCATTGTTTGTTCCCACTCCCAAGAATGGTCCTCTCAAAGACCATCCCACACTAGTGACTATATCATTACTCAAATCAAGCAACTTTGTTACTTTTGATGATTAGGCATTCCTACTTTTAAATTAGAATTGTACCACAAATACACACAGTTACTTAGTGCTACAGAAAGGGTATTTTGATTACTCCAATCTATTAAATTTAGATAGAAATCATCTTATAATTATGGGGCATCCAATACTTTAAAAGGCACTTTTGGAATTTTTCTTATGTACTTCCCATAATAGCTAGACATTGTTTCTGGCAAAGCAAAGTATTTATGATCCACCAAAGGACTTTTATTATTTTGATATTGTTTACCTATTGTAATTTTTTGGATCTATAGAATCTATATAATGGAGATGTTCATTCTTGTATTAGAAATTATTTTGGTTCACAAATTTCAATGAACCATTTTCTGGCTCCATTACAGGCTCCTAATCAAGAATTTATTGTTTATATAGCATTTCCAAGGCAGCCTAGGATGATGCTATGTCTTGGGCTGGAGCCTTAGTTTCAGATAGTATATTGAATTTCTTCTTTATCATAGGGATGAAACGATCTCCAGCACAACTGTTTCTTCTCTTCTAATCTGCGTTTCCTAAATTGATTAAATTTTCCTATTGCTAAGCACTAATAGGATCTGGTTGCCTCCCATGAATCATAGGCTGAATCTTGGACTATGAAGTCTGAGCGCATGAACTAGAACAATGCTAAAATATGATATCCCTATTACTTGAAGTTTTAGCTATGACATTTACAAACAAAAATAAAATTTATGTTTGACATAAATTTTACTTGGAACCTTTATACAACTACTAAATTAATTTATTGCTGATTTATTTATAGAAAGCCACTCCTCCTCACTCTCTTATCTATCCAACGTAAAGGTAGTAATTTTACGGCTTTTGGCTCTCAACTCCATTAATCATAATAAGAAATAATCAAAATAGATTTAAAGTCAATAATAAACTAAAGCTACTTTTCTTATCTGCTCGCCTTATAGAACCTGTTTCCTGAAAAATAATATGATAATTGTTCTATAACTAATTGTTTTTGATATTTGATATATCTCCTTGTTCTGGTACATTGAGAAACATAAGACGGAAGAAATTTATATAGTCAAAAATTAGAGGTTCATGTTGATTTTCTAATATTTGCTAATATTATAGCAATTTCTAAGATAAATAAAATTTATTCTGTCAATATAATTAATTTTGTTTCAACCTGCCCTTTGCAACCTAAAGACAAACTCTTGAATTTATCTCTAGAACAATTTCTGCATTCAGGCCAACTTTCTGATTTATTTCACAAAATATTAGTGCTTTTTAAATTTCAATAAATAGTTTTTAGAGGACCTCATTATAAATAAAAGACATTAAATATCAACTATTTGAGTAATGGTATCTATGAGAGAATTCCATAATACTTGACAATTGATTAATACAGAATGTTCATAAGTTACCTCAATCTTTTGATAAAATGAATTTTATTCAATAAATTACTTAAAACTGTTTTAGATTAAATGACTATTAAATATATTAACAGAGTTTATTATTCTTCTATAATTTAAATTCAAATACATATAAAATAATATATATATGTAACTTTTAAACTCTATTTTTTTTCATCCTGATTTGAAAAGGAGTATTGATTTTCCATTTGATAAAAAATCAAAAAATGTTAAAAGTTCTAAATCATAACTTAAGGAACATCCAAAGTTAGATCCAATAATGCATTGCCATTCACCTTCGCCCTCTATTAAATAACCTACAGCTTATACTTTTCTTGTATTCTTGATTAGTTTTCACATGTTTTATCAATTCCACACACACATCTTTGTCTAAAGTATATTTTTTGAATAACTCATCTAATTCTAAAGGATATGGTAAATGGTTGTCTTACTTAATAAAATGTCTTTCATAAACTTTTGATTCAATTCTGAACTTCTAACTCGAATAGGTGGAAGATCAACCTGCTTTTCTTCATCTGAATCCATCAGTTTTATATAATTAATTATATTAATATAATATAATTAACTCAACCAATTAATACTTTTATTCCTAGATTTGATAATTGTGCTTTCTCCTTGCTTATTTATATTTCTTTGACTAGATTACTGTGAAAATGCAATTCTTTCACAGGATATTCTTTTAAACTCTACTTCAAACTAATTAGATGATTCAAGCCCTTTTCTTATAATAAATTGTATTATAAATGCAAGCTTTCGATTCTAATTTAGAACAAATATTTACTAAGTTTTTGTAATGGAATCTAAGATTTTAATGAGTATTTAATCACTAAGATCACATTTAACAAATTTCAAAGTCTTGAGCGAATTGTTCTTTTCTAAGGCATCTGCAATTTTTTGAATAAAGTGTTCATTCATTGTAATTTAACTGAAATCGGCAGTGTCAATTTGATTAGACTTAATTTCTTCAATAATTTAATCAATCTTAAGTCTTTTGTATGTAATTATTGATAAATCAGAACCTTGAAGCATTTAATTTGTAGCTCGAGAATCAATATTAGAAAATTCATTTTAAAAGGGAACATTCATAAATCTTCTGTTTGTAGGAACAGAATCAAGATTAGGAGTAGTTTGTGATTACCCTTCATCATCATAGCTATTTCCCTTTCCTTCACTAGTTCCACAATCAGACTACTCTTCATTTCCTTAATAATAGTCTTCTCTATCAAGTTTATCCTCATGATCTCCAACGAATTGAATATCTTGGAATTTGTTTGCTTGGCTTTCTAATTTCTTTTTGATCAAATAAGCAATTTTTTCAGATAGACGTGGTGCAACTTTAGTGAATTAGGCTTAAATCAATTCTCTTATAACTTTTTATTTCTTTTGAATGGCTACCTCATCTTCGACAGTTTCATCTTGTTTTTTAGGTTATTTTGCATCAACATTGATGGGTAAATTTTATTTATTAAAGAAAGTTGGAGGCATAGGTTTAATAGGCCTTATTATGGCTTAATGGTTCTTATCGACAATCACTTAAGGTTATTTCTTAGGCTGCCACATTATTTCATTTGGGTTCTACCCAACAAATTCCCTACTAAAAGTAATTTGTAATTGAGGTGGCTAGTATACTTGTTAATTTGATTCTTCAGAATCACTAATATAAAAATCTACAAAAATGTGTAGTTCACTCAATAACTCAATAGATTCAACAGACTATTCTATGTAAAATATTTTCATAGCAGAATAACTCTATAATTTTTTAATTGTCATCAAGTAACGTTGAACCTATGGATCGACATTCATAGGCATGACTTGCTGATGGAAGAATTCCTTAAAGATTTGGTCTAATTCATCATCTTATCTCCACAAAAATTGCAGTTAAATTTGATATGCTTTATTTTAATCAGTTACTTAATCTAAGTTACAATTAATTTTCAAGGACGGTTTTTTATCTCCTGAATACTTTGCTATTAATTCCAAAATGCTCATAAATATCAAAGAGAAATTAGTAGAATTCCCCTTCATTTTATCTTAAATACTATTGTCAAAGTATAGATTAATGCTAGTAAATTTTTATAGGTATCTGCCAGCAAATACTTCAATTAAATAAGTTACCAATCCTTTAACTACAATAAATAATGAAGTCTACATTAAAAATTTATTAGATTTGATTAAGGAAAGAAGCTTGTTGATACCTCGTAAGTTTCAAATTCAAAAATTATCTTATATAAGTCTACTATTGACTAGGAAATCACTTTCAAATCTGATTCTCTTATGATTTCTAAACTTCTCATGTTATCCCATTTCTAAAAGTCTTGCTATAAACTTACGAGCATCTATTGACCGCTAAAATGTTAAATTAAAATGATTTACTTCTATTTTATTTGTTGGATTAAGTGATTTTAAAGGACTTTATTTTATTAGAATGTTTTGTTTGCATTTATACATATCATAAACAACCTCATTTAATTGATTTTAAATGGTTTAATTAAGACTGTCAAAATCTAAGAGTAAATTAAAGTATTATTACTTCTTTTTAAATTTATTCAGTTATTTTGAGAGAATTCAATGTTAAACATGCTACATTTAGATATTTATGAATTGACTTTTATAGATTGTCTTCTTTCTGGCTCTGGAACTTAGCCAATTTATTTTCAGTGATAATTTGAGCCGTTTGTTATTGCTATTATTATTACGGTTAATTTTTGTTTTATTGCATGATTAAGCTCTATTCAAGAGATTACTATATTAACACAGTATTCATTTGAACAATCAATTATTTGGAATCCTAATTTAGGTATTGCAAAAATAGGTCTTAATCCTAAAATATCTCTTTCAATGATCCTCCCAATTTAACTCCGCAATTTGCAGTCAGTTCTCGAGCCATTTTATTTGACCAGTGTATTTGAGATTTGATGTTTACTATAAACAATGGAAATGGTAATTCCTATAAGAATTTCTCATCCTAATCAACTTTTTGTTTTTTCTACTTATCTTTAAAATAATTACTTTTGTTAATATTTCTTCAACATGTTATTTGGCATAAATGTATATTGCCAAAGCAATTATTAAAACAACGAATAGTATTTGTTAATTGTGATTGTAAGGCCCAGATATCAGGAAGGCTCCGATTTAATTCAATATTATAAAAAGGTTAGATTTCTCAATTAAGGCTATGGGAATCAAGACAGTTGCTACTTATACATAATAAGGATTGTATTTGCTTAAGTAAAAGTACATGTAACTTTGAAGTAAAAAGACTAGAATCAAAGTAAGTTTTTTAGTTATAATATAGATGGAAGCAAAGAATATGTTAAATAGCATCCACATCTAATAAATGTCTTTGGGATTCTAAAATATAGATTTTCATTTACGAATTCTTATTATTTTAAGTCAATATGCACGGAGACAACATAGAAAACAATATGAATCACTATAAATTCATATATTTATCTCATTTAATATATAATTTTTATATCAATATTTTCGTTCTGTTCTTAATGCTAAATCGTCGAGTTTGGCATCGTTGTATTGAAATTCACATTCCTCTGCTGACTTTTAATCTTTGAAAAAGGCTTTCAAAACTACCTTTAATGTAGTAAATATTTACTTTTGTTTCTGCCTCGTTTTCTTGTATGTTATTCGCAATAATATGAAGTTTAACCAAGTTCCCGCATCTAGATCTTATATCACTCTAACTTTATGCAATCTAAATACCATGAGGTCAGATATTTAATTCTTGGCTAGAAAATTGTAAATATCAATTTCATATAAATCCCTTGAATTGGCTCCATTTTATTATCTCCAATCATTCCTTCTTTATCTGTCTCTATTTCTATTCTACGAATTGTCCCTTGGCCTATTAAAGTTATTCTTTGTCTTTCTAATGCGTCTCGATTAATTTGGCTGTCTTTAATGTCTGGGTTTTTTGATATTTGATTCCAAATTAATTTCTTCTACTTCTGACATTAAATTAAAATTAATAATTAAAATGGCAAATTTGCATGGCTATGGAGAATATCCACCTGATTATTAGTAGAGAAGGCAGCCAAGAACACTACGCGATTATTTTGGAGACAGTATAAAACGATTCCCATTTATAGGTTATTTCAATATTCAATAAATTAGGAGCTTAAGTTCTTAAAACGAATCCCAGATAAATGCATTACTTTGAAATGCTATAGAATAACTATTTTCCGGGATACAAAATACAATCTGTCACAACATTAACAATTTTTGTTTATACTTTAATATTTACTCTATGTATCTTTGGAGGAATAGAAAAATAAGGATAATTTTTAGAAATCAGCGATGCAACTCTTTAAAGTCATGGGGGTTTAGTTACGAATCAAATCAAGAATGAGTTCATGTTCTAATAAATATTTACAAGCATCTTTTTGAGTAGAGATTTTTATCACTATTTTTGTATTGTTTTCTTGTTACTACTATTATTATCCAGTTTTGAATACGCATCAGGTCCTCTTATAGCCATTTCTTTATATATTTTTAGTGGGGCTTTGGGAGCATTATTTGGAAGTTCCATTAATTGTTGTACAGATCTGATTTATTTACATGCAAATACTGCTATTTACGGATTGATAGGGGCATTCTTTGGAGTATTATTCTATTTAAATTAGTGTATAATTTTAAACTGGTGCACGCTTGAGATCTTGAATGAAATGAGAGCATTTCTATGTTGTTTTATGTGGATTCTATTGACATTCGTCTTAGTCATCACGTTATCAGCTATTAACACAAATCACAATGATAAATATGGTTAGATTGGAGGTTTAATTACAGGGTTTTTCCTTTCATTAGCAATTGTTCCACCAATGAATTAGGATGGTTATGAGGACAAAGCAAAAATATTTGGTTGGACATTTTTAGGAATATTCGCTTTCATAAGCACTTTGATGATTATTGTGATATGATATGTTATTATTATATTAATTAGTGTATTACATTTTCTATATTGACCAAAATACAGTATTTTAAGAAAAATGAGTGAAATATTCAAGGAAGCGTAAAATAAATTGCTCCAAAAATTTTAATTGATTTATTTTATTGTTTTAATAAATTAAATTAACTTATATTTAATTCAGTTCATATCTACACGTATATTAAGCATGAAATTTTTTAAGTGGAAATCACTTAATAATTACTCTATATTATTATCTATATATATAATTTTTAGATTTTTTGCGAATGTTAGTATCATTTAAATTCTTGGGAGTTAGTGAAAGGCTTATTTGATTGTCATTTCAAAGAAAATATGTTACGTATTTCATTATTTTTAAATTTCAGTTTATAATTCATGTAAATAGACTGTTTTTTTCATTATCAATATTAGACTTCTCTCCATCAAAATTAATAAGCATTATTTAATTTTTTTAAAAATAACAATTACAGATTTGAGGATTTAGTTTTATTTTGGTTAATTTTATAGATGAATAATTTACGATTGAGATTAAAGATTAAGAATTCCATTGTAAATTATGATCTTATGGTAATAGGTTATAATTGAAAATAAAATTTAAACTTGAAAATAATATCAATATTGTGAGATTAAGTGCAAGTTATTATTTTAGTGAAATGGGAAGTATCCTTTTTTAATTTTAAATTAATTCATCTCGTAATTAATTATTAATATATCATAATCTTATTTCAGTTTATAAATGTCTTTGGGCATAAAGAAACACCCAGAATCTTCTCCAATAAAATCAGAACCCACCCTTAGAGAATGTTCAAACATGTATAACTTAATCACTAGTTTTGAACACTCATAATAGTGTAGAGCTTTTGGTTTCAATGCATCCAATACTATTTGGGTGTTGGGTTATGGATTTGAAATTTTGGTTTGCTAAAAAGAGAATGAGACCCTGCGAGTCGATTAGATTCTATAAGGACACACATCTTGTGTTACTAATATTCTTTATAGTAACAAAGAAGATATGTTTGTTTCGACTGGAAGTTGGAATGATAATGTCATAGTTTGGACCAGAGACTTGGATGAAAGGTGGAATAAACAATACCTCATCTACAAGGAAGGGCAGACTAGAGAATTTGAAGTCGTTTAGTTGATACTCAACGAAAATGAGGATGAACTAATTGGGGTCATGGATTACAATTTTATAATTATATGGAGGAAAACACCTTAAAACTAATGGGTTAATAGCTAGATTATTCCCATTAGTCAAAATGAGCTTGCTCAAATTCATTAGGTGAGTTATGATATGCAGTTTTATAAAATAATCATCATCACATAAAACAGTTAGGTTTAAATTCTCGCAAAGAATTAATAGGATTTGTGGAAGAAGAGACAGTCGATCAATCTTAAAGCCATAAAAGGCAAGAAATAATACAATATTGACAATGATTCATTGGTCATCTAGGGATTGAAAGGAGAATAATTATTATTTAATTTTAATAGAGAAAATGAATTGTATGAAGAAAATTAGAGGGGAGTATCCTAAACTCTTAATTAGCTTTTTGATATGAATTCTTAAATCTCATAAAGTCAGGAAATATGTGCATTGAAAAAAAACAAACTTCTATAGATATTAAAAAAGGATACAAAAAATTTGTATTAATAAATCTAGACCATCCAATTTGAATAAAACTTCTTCTATTAGTTTTCAAAGAATGGGTAGTATTTAATAACGTGGGATTATTCCAAATTGATTTAAATATGGAAATATAAAAGTGATTGAACTTAATTTTATCTAACAATAAATTAATTTATATTATATTTTATATTACTTATTAAATTATTAGTTAATATTGAATTACAAATTAAAAGACTGAAATAATATTGAAATGAGTGACTCAATTGTGGGATAAAGTTGATTGACAATTTTAAGTCCAGTACGAGGAAATCGCAAATCTACAATTTGATTGGAAGGAGTGGGTATTAAAGAGATACTTAATTTGTGTTTAATTAAAAAGGGAATAAAATATATCTAATATAATTTTTTATTAGGATTTAATTTTATTAATTAAAAATAATGGGTGATATTATCCCTAATTAACTATTTGTTGCTGGGTACAGCCGTAGCAAAGTATAGGATGAGAAGGACGTGAGAGATATCTTCAAAAAGTACGGAGCGATCAAAGAAGTTGCGTACAAGGGATCTTATTCATTTGTTGTATGAACTCATTTCGAAATTAAGACCTTCAGTAATGAGTAGGAAGCACAAGAGGCTTTGAAGAGTACCAACGGACAAACTTACAATGGCTAAAAATTGAAAGTGGATGTAGTTGACAATCGCAAAGGAAGAAAGACAGGTCCAAATGAAGAAGATAAATGTTTCAAATGCAATAAAGGTGGTCATTGGTAAATGTTTAATTAAATTTCTAGGGCTCGTAATTGTCCCAATATCAAATCACCTAGACGTAGTAGAAGAAGATCCGATTCGAGATCTAAGTATAAAGATATTTAAATTTAGGCGCCGTCACAGAAGATCTGAATCAAGATCATATTCTTCTTATTCATCATCCAGATCTAGAAGAAGAAGATATCAAAACAAAAGAAAGAGACACAGCAGAAGCCCTAGAAGAGATCAAAGGATCAGAAAAAGAAGTGCTAGTCCAAAGCGATCACCTTCTGATTCAGCCTCATCCAAAAGACCGAATTCAAACTCAAAATCTTGATAAAGAATGGGAAAAAAAAACTCATTTTATTACAAAAGAAATATAAACAATTAATTGAATATAATTTATTCAATTCTTCTCATAACATTATCATTATGAAAAAAAGAACACTTCAGGATCTGTCTGAAGAACAAGACCAGCTTAATTAATCTTACATTGAAATCAACCAGGTTTAGAAGGAACTCTATTTAGAAAACCAAAAAAGGCTGAAAGAAAAGCAAAAAGAGAACAACCCCATAGTAGTCATTGAAGATGATGAAATCAAATAGCAAATTGAAGAAACCGAAGTTTAATTATCTTTTCCTATTGGAACATTTTGTTTGAATTGTCTAACACAATATCCTACAGATGATAGACAGCCACATCACTTACCATTTATTAACATCCTTTACGAAAATGCACACATAGATGTCAAAACTTAAAAGCCAAAAAAGACATTGGAAAGTGCTCTGATGACTTGCTTTAAATTTGAAGATGAATTATTAGAACCTCTAGTAAAATCAGGGGTTCAACTCTACATTGTGAATGACAATGACAATTTAAACAAGAAGCTTGAAATTATTGAAAGATATAACAATTATCCAAATTGGATGGTAATTAAGCCATCAAAATTAAGTTCGAATATGTTTGGAGGCGCATTCCACCCTAAAATATGGATTCTAAAATTTCCTAAATTTATTCGGATTGTCATCGGAAGTTAAAATTTACATGTTGGAGATTGGACAATATGGTCTTAAGGAATGTGGATTTAAGACTTCAAAATAGGGAAAAGTGAGTTAGACCAAACCTCTTAAGAGTTTAAAAGCATGCTCAGAGAATTCTTATATGAAATATTGCCTACCTCTCATAAATTCGAAGATCTCCTCAAAATCAAATATGATGATTATGATTTCAAAGATGTTAATGTCAGACTCATCACATCCATCCCAGGAAGATTCGTAGGCAATTAATTATTTAAATACGGTATGATGAGACTGCAGTCAGTCATCTATTAAGAACTTTGTAACAACAAAATGGAAATCCCTAAATAAGTTTGTGTCACATATTAAACCACTAGCATAGGATAGATGGATAATAATTACGTTGATTTTGCATTGCAGTGTTGCACAGGAAGGGTTTATAAATAACCATTGCCGAATGAGTAGAATAACAAAAAAATAAACTAGATGATTCTAAATCAATAAGAGGAAGAATAATCAAAATTGAAATTAATATACCCAACTGCAGATTATATTGAAAATTAGACTCATGGAGGAGTTGACTTTGCCAATCCATTGCACTTAAAATAGTAATCATATGAAAGTCCTAAATTTCCTAAGCATCTATTTTATAAATACTAAGGATCAGATCACTACTATTGGCATACTGGTAACATTCCCCATTTAAAGGTTATGATTATTACAGGATTAGACGAAGATATAAATGATTAGACATCCATATATATAGGAAGTCATAATTTTAGTTAAGGTGCTTGGGGAAAAATGGAAAAAAATGCAACCCAATTGTTCATATCTAATACAGAATTAGGTGTTTTATATCCTCCTAAAAAAAATTCAGCTCAAATGAAATAATAAATAATAGAATAACTTTCATTCAAATTTCCTCCATTAAAATATGGTAAGGATGATCAACCTTGGATTGTAGAGGCATATTATGAAAGACTGTCAAAAGAATACTAGTAATAAAACAAATGATATTTCTTTTTGTTAATATTAATATATAAGATATTCCTTATTAATTTAATAATTAATTATGGACTCAGAAGTACCAAAAAAAGGGTGTAAGTGCAAAAATGGTGCCTGTTGCAAATGTGCCCCAGTAAGAAGAATCATGAATTAATGCATTTAAAATAATGGAGAAGATAAATGCCAAACTTTTAGAGATTCATGGAAGGAGTGTATTGCATATTACAAAAGTCTAAGTTGATTATAAAATCATAATTTTCACTAAACAATAATTTATGAATATGAGATCTTGCAAGATGTCTATATATATATTTTTATACCCTTCTCTAAACTTTAAAAATGAAAAAATATAAATTGTGTTATTATATTCCTTTTTATTTTGATTTAATCATTAGTTCTTTTCAATAATATAAATCATTTAGTTAAATTTCTATAAAGGATTGCAATTGAGAGTTCTGCTTGGATAATTCTTTTATTCTTATTCTTAAATTTCAAATTGTTTATGGTATTGTCAACTTTCAAATTGATGAAATAATAGTATATTTTTACCAAATATATATAAGAACATATGTCAGCTACTTTAAGGTCTGATAAGACAATTATATATTTGTAATTTTATATAATTTATATGTTAATAAAATATCAAATTGTCAAAAATAAAGTCAGAGGGTAATTTTTCCAATTCAGTATTCTACAAAAAATAAAAAAGAAGAACTATATAAAATAGATGCATCCAATCATTAGCATAAATTCTAAATTTATCAGTTTATTCTATTCTTACATTGTTGAATATAGGTAAAAAGGAGCAGAGATATTATATGCAGAGAATAATAATCTAGTTATTAGTGAATGGCATTTTAAGACTTTTTCCAAAAAAATGATTATCAGTGCTTAAAACACATTATAATAAAATCCTCCAATACAAGCCTACAATAAATATATCTCCAAAGCATTGTTTAAATTTATTTCTTCATATAATGATAAGTTGGAGTTGATTTTGTGTATGATTGATTGCACAAAAAACATGCACGAAAATAAAAGGAAGTGATTTTATAGTTGAATATATTATGTGTATTCTGTTTCTTTGTATTATTAAATTTTTAATCTTTATTCCTCTTATTGCTTTTTTTCCATTATCTTTTCTTAGTTCTCATCTTCCTTTAGTTCTGAAGGTATGCTCATGTTCCTTTTTCTTTCAATAGTAATAATATCATCAGATTATTCGACAGAATTGTCAGCTTTACATTACTAAAAACAATTTTGCTATTGTTAATACTTAACATTAAACTAATTTTGATCCTGCAAAACTAGGGTTCTCTTTTAGCTAATTTATGATTGATTTATTTTAATCGGGTGATGGTTTTACATTTGGTGTAAGATTTTGGGTGCAACTACTAGACTTGCTAGAGGTTTACTATTTTTAAGTTTAAAGGATGGGCACTAAACTCGATCTATGAGTCTATCGATTTGTATCTGACATAAGTTTGTCGTTTTCTAGTGATTACTATTATCAATACCCAAGATTTTGTTGCTAGGAGAGAGCAGTAGCCCTGATGATTAAGGATAATTATCGGCTTAATTTTTTTTGGAATTATTTTAATCTAATTCATTAGGTTTTTAAGACCTTAAAGCACTAACATTTTTTTTTACTATTATAGGGTGTAGACTTACTTGAGGATGTTTAGTTTTAGATAGTCAACTTTGATTAAAATACTTCCTCAGTTTGTTTTTTCGTATTTTTCTTAAATAGAATAAGTGTATACTTTTAAAATAATTTTTTTGGAGGTTTGTAAATTCTTCTAATTTTATTTTGATCTGATTAAATATGATAGAGAAACCAATATGTTTAAGGATATTTATCCAATAGCAATATCTAGCCCTGTTATATCAAAAATCATTTTAAAAATAAAATTTAATTTTAATAAGCATAATTATATAATTAATAATTGTATATAATTTCTCAATACTTTTTGTAAATTTATAGAATTCTTTTTTCTAGTTCTCCATCATCTTTCATTAAATAATCGAACCTTTCTTTCTCTTATCTCCAAATATCTTTGAGTTCTTGAATTTACTTAATTTTTTCATCCTTCAATTCCTTTTCCAATTTTGATAGGATCTTAAAATCATAAATTAATTTACTGATTTTTATGCAACTCCTGCGACATGTCTTTCCTTTCGTTCATTTTACAATTTGTCTTTTAACATGGAAATCTTATCATTATATGCATTTTCGACGGATGCAAGTGCATTCCTAGTAATTATGTTTTATTATCTTCTCATTTAGAGATGATCCTTTTTCTCGTCAATAATCTTCCTTTTTTCTAATTCAAAGATTATTCGATGTCTATGAGAATTTAATTAAATATTTACATTTTTCTTAAATAATTTAGTTTTTCATCTCTCAATTTATAGTACATTGACAAATGCTCGTTTTCAAATTCTTTTTTTAAATCATCCTTCTTCTTTTGATTCATTTTACTTTATTACTTTTAAGTATGTATTTATTTATTTTATTAGGATTCTTGCTTCTTTTATTTTTATTGATAGGTCTTAAGATAGTCCTTTAGAAATTCTTTATACTAATTTCTCTTTTTGATGATTTATTCCATTGTCTCTTTTTCATCACTTGGAGGTTAAATTTTCAATTTACCTAAAGATAATTTAATGACTTTAATTTGTTCATCTATAAAATCGTCAATCTCTGATTTATCCACGAGGTCCTCACCTTCCTTCATCTTTTCTTATAGTAATTTTCTAATGTTATCCTTTTAGAGTTCTCTAATGTATTTAACTTTTGTTGGATCATTGTCTTCTAATTAATTAATTTCTTCTTCATCATATTACTCCAAAAAATCATAATCTATTTCACTAATACCTGAGAAATCCATATCTATTTAATCTTCTTATTTTTCTTAATCTTTAGGTTAGTTCTTTTTTTTTTATTTATTTTTTTATTTTGTAGCTATATTTGGATCTTGAGTTATAATTCGTTATTGTTGTTAGGTTACAGGTAATAAATTATTGCTGATAGCTATTAACTGATTTTCCTTTGAATTTAGTACCTTTTTCCCCTCCTGCTTTCTATCTGAAGATTCCTTTTGATTGTTTTAAGGCTGCTTTTTAGAAGTGGCATTTTTATCTTAAGAGGGATTCATTTTCTGATCCTGTCCATATTTGTATTTTGGTATCTATTTGGTTTTTACTTTTGAACTATCTTAAGATAATTAATCATAATCAGCATTATCATTAAAATAATCGCTACCCGATTTCTATTCTGGAGGAGTTGAACTTTATTAGCTTGAAGAATTAGAAGGAATAACCTAGTCTTTATAAAGCTTCGATAATTCAAGTAAAATTTATAAAAAGTTGTAAAGATGTCTCAAATCTCCTTAAGCAATAGAATGACCACTTATGTGTGATAAATCCATCGTTAAAACTGGGTAAGACTATTTATATATTTAAATGTTTTACCAAGAATTCAATTAGACCTTATAATTTTTCGCCTGTTGGATTTCTTTCCTTTTGTATGTTATCAATTTCCTTTTCTAAAAATGGAAACATGATTCTAAATATAGTGCAATAATTTCTTTCATTTTTTAGTTATTCTCTATTATAGAGATCAAATTATTAAATACATCGTGACATCGTGTTATGGATCCAAATCTAAATTGGAAACTATCTATAAATATAAATCTATAATGTCTTAGACTTCGGAATTCATTTTTCAAATAATGTAATGAATATCAGTTAGATTTATTAATTTATTAAGTGGGAAAAACTAAAAAACTCTATAATCTATAATCTAAAATCAAAAATCAGTATCAAAACTGCTTCTCTCTACCTCCACAACCAAAAAGTGATATAAATTTTTACAGCATACTCGAATCATTCTTATGCAATTATTATTAGATTTCGATTTGCTGCTATTTTTAAACACTTGGCTGAGTAGACCTATCATATATTTCTTTTTCTATCATATTTATGCTTTATGTCCATTTATGATTTAGTACTCCTTGCAACGAGATTCTCTAATCTGGATCTGGAACTAGCATCTGATTTAATAAGTCTTGAATAAATGGATTTGATATTAATGTAAACTAAGGTTTCTGAAAATCAAGAATTTGCTGCATCTTCTCAAGCTAATTGCCTAAATTTGTTTATTATTAAACCTTATACTAATGGTTTGCCTTCAAGCAACCAGTATAATATAGCAGCTAAAGACCAAACATCAATTTTTTGAGTTTAAGGTAAATTTTTAATGACTTCTGGGGCCATGAATTCAAATGTTCCAGAAAAACTACTTATTACACTTTCATATGTGGCCAATCCAAAATCACATATTTTGGGATTCCAAAAACTGTCCAATACAATATTGTCAGGTTTTAAATCTCTGTGAATTATACCTTTTTCATGAAGATACAAAGTAGCCTCGCATAATTGTACGAATATGTTTTATATGTCACAATTGTCCCTATTCTACGTTAATGTTCCCTAAGCTAAGAATAAACAATGCCTTACATGCATATTCCATAATTATATAGACGTATTCATCATCTTCAATAAAGTAATGAAACTAAATTATGTTCCTATGATTTAAATGCTTATGAATTCTAACTTCCTTTGAACATTAATGTTTATTCATCTTCTTTAGAGCATATAATTGACCTTATATTAATATTTTATGCACTGTTCCAAAACTCCCTTAACCTATTTATTCTAATAACTGCATTTCTTTGAAAATATTTTGTTTGTCGACAAGAACTGTTTGTTATATCCCTATACATTTGGATTGGTGCTTGCTTAAAGGTTTAATTACTTTCAATTACCTATCTGATTATCGGCAATCTTCGCAACAATAAAAGGCGTTCGGACACCATAGACATTATATTGTAACTCCTTTGATTAAAGAATCCAAACTGATGGATGAATTGCATAAATCGAAAGAACAAATCATAAAATTATTATTAAATACTTTTTCTAAGAATTATTAGTTTAATAAAAGTTAATTTTAATGGGCGCATTACTTTTCAGTTATTTCAACTTAAATAGTTTATAGAGATTTGCAATTTTGAGTTCTAGATTTCAAAAGTTTTCATTATTCTATATATGATTTATAATTTCTTTTACTAAGAAAATTCGTTTTATAACTCAAATGCCATAAAATCTGATACATAGTATTTAAAAGTAAACAAAAATACTCTATTTACCTGTTAGTTTATAACAAGTTGAAAAGGGTTTGTCTAAAATCTTAATAAAATTTTACTGAATTTGCTAATACTTATTAAGAAAATGGGGATGTTCTTAATATCAGGATATTAAAATAAATTAATATTGGACATTCATGATTAAATTTATACATTTGATCATTAAAATCATAACTTTGGTTTTTCATTATTGTGCTAGCCAACCTTTGGTATATCTTTAATTTAATATTAATATTCTGAGAATATGGGTTATCCATTCACCTCAATTTTCCCATTCCTTTTAATAAAAACATTTTCTCCCAAATACTTTTTAGTTTCATATTCCTCCAATTCTACCACAGGCGATACACAAGCATCAAATTAATCAAAGATTTTCTCCCACTCATCCCTTGTTTTACTTTCAAATAATGTTGATATTTCTGATTTCAAATTCTCCCATTCAGTTTAATTCAATTGATTTTCCAATAAAAATTAACCTCTTATTTATTCTATGAATTGTACCTTTATTGAGTGAGACCACCTGCAATTAAGCCTCTCACAAATTCTTAATAAAACTTTTCTTCCAAACATCCCACACTCATAAATTTCGCATCCTTGCATTAATAAATATTGTAAAAATGAGTTCCTCCATCAAGTAAATTATTTCCAATTCCATTAGACCATAATTTTTCATTTTTTTAATGTAAAATAAATTGACTTAAATAAGCTGATCCTTAAGCCATACCCAAATCAATTTATTACCCATTGCCACCCTTTTGAACATTAATTAAAGCTGCTAAAATACTGGCTACTCCTAGCATTCCTCCTGCTGCGAAATCTCCTACAACATTTCCAGGGATAGCTGGTCTTTTTTAAGTTCCTGTACTAGAACAATATCCGAGAACTCCTCCATAAGAAATAAAATTGATATCATGACCAGCCTTTTCTTTTAAAGGACTATTTTGACCAAAACCTGTAACTCTGCAATAAATTAATTTAGGATTGATCTTTGAGCAAACCTAATAAGACAATCCTAGTCTTTCCAACACTCCTGGACGATAAGGATCAATAAGCACATTGCTATCTTTAATCATGTGTTTGACAATTTCAATGTCTTATTTGCATTTGAGATCGAATGTCATACTCTTTTTACCTCTATTCATGGGACTATTTTAAGGTTAAGAATCTAATCTTGATAACAAGGTGACTTGAGCTCCATAATCGGCTAGCACCATGCCTATGAATACAGTGGGAGCTAATCCAGCAAATTCCAAGACCTTAATTTAGGAAAGCATTTTATGTTTTTTAAATTTAATTAATAAAATGTGGAATAATACTTAATTCGGAATACTACTTTTGGAGTTGTTTGCTCTATCTTTATTCTTGATGGGTTATTTTTAAGTCAAGACAACTTTTGAAGAAATTAATGAAGTAGAATCATCGAATGATAAACCAATGAAAATAATACTGCTTTTGGTGGATGCATTGAGAATTGATTTGTTTGCCAATAAAAACTTTACCTTCTATTAGAATATGAAAGAAAACTAAGAGGAGTATTAAATTCTGTATTATGGAATCTCATCTACACCAACTGCAACTTAATTAAATTTGCAATCGATCACAACAGGCAATTTTCCAGCATTCATTGATTTCGGTTCGAATATGGCTGCATAAGAGTTAAAAGAAGATAATGTAATCTATTCGATGAAGAGAAATGACAAAAAATTGGCATTATTAGGAGATGACACTTGGTTTCACATGTTTCCAAAATCATTTGATTATAAATTTGTTTCTGAGTCATTTGATGTTAGAGATTTAGATTCTGATGATAATATTATCATTAATAATATTGAGGAATTGATCAAAGAGAATAAATATGATTTTATAGTTGGTCATCTTCTAGGAATTGATCACTCTGGTCATAGTTATAATGATAGTAACTAAGCACTGTGGAATAAGCAGCAATAATATTCAGATCTGTTATACAAAATCTACAATTAAATGGATAATTAAACAATATTGTTTGTAGTAGGTGATCACGGAATGTCCTAAGATGGTAATCATGGGGGTGATAGTCCTTATGAAGTCAGCTCTACTATCTATGCTATTAATAAATAGTACAAGTTCAATAAGAATCTTTTCGATTAAGCAATCAATAGTCAACAGTATCTCAATTAGTAACTAATAAATCGAAATTTATACGTTAGGTAAATATATAGCATTAATTTGGCTCCCACTATTTCATATCTAATGGGATCCTCTCTCCCTTTTAGTAATATGGGAGCAATTTTAACTGAGATGGTCAATACAAAAGAATAGTAAGAAAACAGTTGCAAAGAGAACTTAATTTAAATTATGAATTACTTAAGTAAATTAACGAAAGTCTAGGGCTCAATAAACATAAATTTATAATAATATGAATAAAACTTATAAAGTTAATAATTCAAATGCCAATAAATTTAAGAGATAATTCAAGAATTGTAGTTTGAACTGAAAGAAAATGTCAAAACTTATGATTACACATTATTATTTCTAGGTTTGAGTATGATGGTCATCTTGTTCGCTTTTCATATCTTAAAATAATCTGAATACTTGTTTAATAAATAGTTCTCAAATTAACAACAATATATCTTCTATAGATTAGAATTTTTCGTTATGATAATTCCTGCTGCTATATTGATTGATCTCATATTTTCACATTCTAGTTCAGTTAAGTTTATTTCGATCTACTTGATATTGGTAATATTAAGATAAATACTTTTACCATTAACATAGATGTAAAATATAAGAGTTATTTTAACAAAAGTCATAAGCCCACTACCGCATTATAGATAATACTTTTTGATATTTGCAAATATAATAACTCAAATTGGAATACAAGTGTTGTCAGTCAATAGATAAATAGTTTCTTCATCAAATATTTTTGGTACTTTATTAAACATTTTTATAATCCTTTTGATCACTCAATTTAAATTGATTAAACAAATTCAATATGTTTTATTAGCTTTAGGATTGCTAATTTTGGCTGAATAGTATAATCTTCCTTAAGAATCAAAAAAACCTTTTTCACCCTTAACACTAATTTCTATAAATTTCATTTTTGAATCATTTTGGATTAAATTTGTTTTGCCTATTATTTTCATCTAAAAAATACTTTACAAATTAAATTTTAAGTAAAATTATGTATATATACTTATATAGGATATGTTTTTATGTCTTCTTGGGTTTGGCTTAGTTCATTCATTTTTATAACAATTGCCCAATATTTAATAACATATTAAATCAAATATTTGAGGGTCACCTAAGAATAATAACTATCTATCTCCCTATGTTATTATACATATGCTCTTTAGCCATGATTTTCATTTTTCGCGATTTTAGTTACTGTAATTATGTAAAATAAAATAGTTTTCTTAATCATATTGACAGTTTCAGGAAAGTAAGGAATGATGATATATTGCTGTTTATTTTACTCGGTTCATTATTTGACGAAGTTCTATATGTGCATTGATAGAGCCTGGTTGCCTCCTATAGCTGGAGCTACAATATAATTGATGCTGAATTATAGTTGGTTTTGTCTGGGACATAGGATGTCATTTAGTAACGTGAAATTTTAAGATGCTCTTATTGGTTCAGAAAGTTTTAACGTAGTATTTAATACCACCTTACTAATAATAAGCATAGTAATTATCAATACAATAATCCTAGTTTGGTGTATTTGCAACAATAAACATAATTAAAAATATAACTTTGTAAGTTCTAGTAGATGAGCAAAGTTTGCAATAGAAATTTCCAATACAATAATTTAATAATAGAATAATCGATTTTTTGATAATCGTGCAATTCTCTTAAGTAACTTTTGCTGCTCTTCATAATATTTTAAATTTATATCATTAAAATATAATTGAATTATTTGCTTAAAGAATTATTTATGAATCCATAATTTTTACTATTGTTATTTTGGTTAGATTGTTCAACACAATATTTGAGAAGATCATTTGTTAAAAACAATATGAGTTTTATTTTTAACCTTATCAAAAACTGACAAATGAGATCAAAGATAAAAACGAAGAATGAATCTGGTTGAAACTTTTTGTGAATAAACAAATAATTTATTAATATTAATTAATTCTAAAAATAGTTAATACAACAAAATACATTTCTTAAATAATATTATGTATTGGTAAATCATTCGAATAAGCCTACCTGCATTTGAAAACTTCTATGAGAAAGAATGCAAATGTGGATAAGAGCAACATCTTCAACAAATTGTTTGATATTTTCATATATTGAAATTTATTTGAAGGCCCATTCTCAGGCAATTGAATTTTAACAGGAATATAAATTATGGTTTGATCAGCAATTGATATTTTTAATATATTGAAATGAATGCATATCTTTGTATCAATATTAATAATTTTAATTACATACTCTCCAAAGTTTTATCCAACAATTACTTGTCATGAGTTCAAAAGTGCATTCATTAAATTCTTTAATGACTAGATCAATAATTCCGTCTGAATAAGCAAATGAAAGGGTTGATACAAATCAACAAGATGCCAATGTTATTATAGTGAATAGACCACTAAATTTTGCTTTGAAAAGTTCCCTTAAAGGAGATAAGAAAGGAAACTAATAAAAATTAAAGGTTCTTCGATTTGCTTAACCTGTAAAATAAACATATATTGTTGAAAATTGGAAAAAATACAACCATAGTTTTGAGGAGGAAAAAGAAACCTGCTGCAAATTATTTTGATTGATTAAATATGCTTAATCCTTTTTATGGCAATTAATAATACATTAATATTCAATATCTAAATAACCATTCTTTATTACTGATATTTTTTATTTCTAAAGTTAGAGTATAGAGTTTTATATTAATATTAGTTAGTTTTTCATAAATATTCATTACATACTACTATTTGTGATAATTATAATAAACTAATTTATTCATTTTTTAAATAATAACAATGGTATGATTAGTTTCTTGAGTTTTGAACCTTAAGCCAGATTTTTGTATCTAGTAAAATCATTTACAATATTTACTTTAAGGAAACGATAAAATAGGCAATGATCAATATTAACAAAATGCATTTCACTTTATTATTTGATTTTCTCTTCAAAGGATGCACATTGATTACAGTGGGAACATTACCAAGGATTTTTGCATTATCCAAACGCCTTTGTAACCAATCTAAAGTAATAGTCATTAATTCATCGCATTCTTCATCATGCTATAATTCATGATACCCATTTTCAAACAATTTTAAGGCTTTTTCTTAACTTTTACAATTTTCAAAGAAATGCACAGAGTCATGATAATTGGTTACAGCGTCTTACTTTCCATGTAGAATTAATAATGGTTTATTAAATAAATGAGAATGACCCTTCATCATTTTCACTTAAGACAATATAGAGGCTGCCATATTTAAACCACAAAATGGAATCATTAATCTATCTCCAAATGAATGTTTCAATTGACTATTGTTTTTTGTTAAAGCAGTAGGATTGACCATACTATTGACAACCATGTCTTCTAATTTTTTGCCAGCAGTCGTAACAAAGTTGAGTTTCAACCAATCCAATTTACGATCCGTCGGAAATCCTAACAAAGGACTTGTTGCTATAACACCAGCAATTTAAATTGCAGGGTTCAACAATGTAAAAGCCAAGACCACCAATCCTCCCATTGAGTGACCGTATAAAAACAATGGTAAGGAGGGATTTACTTATTGAATTAAAACCTTGACATCTTAAAGCAATTATTATTGTGTTGCACATCCTCTTGCACCACCTGAATAACCAAATCCTCTTAAATCTATCATGTATATTTCAAATCCAGCCTTGGCATAAAAATCAGCTAACTATTTTCCTAAGGATATAATATACATGCAGAAATCTCCCTGAATGTTCACCAAATCCATGAATGATCGCTAAGGACGCTTTGATTTAAACCTTTTAGGGAGTAATTTTTGTAAAGTATAATCTTAATTGTGTTCCTATTAAATTGATTCCGATACGTACCTTCTCCCACTAGATATTATCTTGTAAGCATATGTGAATTAAATTGAAATTCTCCCAAAAATTTATCAGGATCGTGATCAAACCCTTAGATAATTTTTTCATGCTATACAGCCTATATCTACATATGTGTTTTGGGTTGGAGCACTTCAGTTTAAGATCCTTCCAAATTTTGATTCATTATTTATTTAATTAGTCATCTCGATTGATCTGACGCTTAATAATTTTTTATTTATGTCAATTGTATTAGAAACCTCATTGGGAGATATAATTATTGATCTGCACACCCAAGTAAGTTTAGCAGCCAAAAACTTCATAAAACTGTGCAAATCCAAATTTTATAATGGGGCGCTTATTTACAATGTTTAAAAAGACTACTTGGCATCTATAAAATCTGTAAACCCGCCCACAACAGTTTACAACCAACCCTATTTCGAAGATTAGATCAATCCATTATTAAGGGTATCTCCTAATAAGTATATTTTAGCATAACCAATATGGAGTTGTAGCCACATCTAATTCCAAACCACATGCAAATAATTCGGATTTTTATATTTTATTGACGCAAAATGCTCCCTAATTGGATGGCAAGCATACAATATTCGGATAAGTTTAGGAAGGCTTTGAAGTCCTATAACAAATAAATAGAACTCACATAGACGATGATGGCAGACCACTTTTAAATATCAGAATTAAGCACACTTATATCCTTGATGATCCTTTTGAAGATATCCCCAATATGATCTATCCTTCAAGGTCTCCATCTCCTAATTATAAGGCTGAAGGAAGAATTGAATATGATGAGAAAGTCTTAATTGAAGAGGATGAAGAATAATTACTATAAAAGACCAAATAGCATCAAGCTAAGAAAAGAGCTGTTACCTTGGAAATGTTAGGAGATTTACCTGATGCAGATATGAAACCTCCAGAAAATGTATTATATGTGTGCAAATTAAATCCAATTACCGAAGAAAAGGATTTAGAGGTTATCTTTTCTAAGTTTGGACTTATCAAGAATTGCGAGGTCGTAAGGGACTGGAAAACTGGATCCTCACTTCAATATGCTTTTATAGAATTTGAAACTATTGCAGCTTGTGAAGAAGCATACATGAAAATGGAAAATGTGATTATTGATGAAAGAAGAATTCACGTTGATTTCTGTTAAAGTGCTCATTAATAATGGTCATTGTTAAAAAAAGCTTAAAGAAAAAAGAAAGAGCTGAATTTATAAAGGGAATTAGCCTAAAGAAGCAAAAACAAAGATCATAGTTTTATTGAATCACTTGAACTAAAAAAGGATTATTTTCACACTAAAGCAAATAATGATTTTGTCATTGATTAATAAGAATTACAAAAGTTATAAGAATAACAACTGCTATAATTGTAGATGTAATTAGATAGTTAATAAAAAATATAATAACAATCATTATTAAAGTAAGAAAAATAAAAAAAAGAGAAAAAAAATAAAAAAAAGAGTGCTGAAAAGAAAAATAAAAGACATAGAAGTTCTAGTTAGGGAGAAAGTGATAGTGATAGCTAATCAATCAAAAATAAGAAATAAAAAGATAAACATAAAAATAAACATAAATCATATGATAGAGAAGAAAAAGATTAGCAAAAAAGAAAAGAAAAAGAAAAACTAAAGGAATTAGAAAAGCAATAGGATTTGGAAAAATAAAAAGAAGTTTAAAAATAAAAAGAACTTGAAAAATAATAGGAAAAAGAAAGAGAAAAAGAAAAAGAAAGAGAGAGAGAAAAAGAGAAAGAAAGAGAAAGAGAGAAGGAAAGAGAAAGAGAAAGAGAGAAAGAGAAAGAAAGAGAAAGAGAGAAGGAAAGAGAAAGAAAAAGAGACAGAGAAAGAGAAAAAGAAAAAGAAAGACTTAGGGAAAAAGAAAAGTAAAGAGAAAAAGATAGAGAAAGAGAAAGAGAGAAAGAAAGAAAAAGGAAAAGAGAAAAAGAGAAGGAGAAAGAGAAAGAAAAGGAAAAGGAAAAGGAAAAGGAAAAAGAGAAGGAAAAAGGAAAATAAGAAGAATAAAAATTAAAAGAGCGATAATAATCAAAGGATAGTGGAAAAAATAAATAATCGGAAACTATTCAGGATAATGAAGGTAATCAAAAAGATAATTAAAAACTAAAATAAGATTAAGAAAAATAAAATCAAATATAATAAAACAAACCACCTATGAAACAAACTTAAGTATTTATATAATTATATTAAATTTAGAAAAAGAGAAAAAGCAAGTCAAGTTAATCATCGAATGACTCATCATCCTCTTCTTCGTCCTCATCATCATCAGATTCAGATTCTTCATCTGAAAGTAGTTCATCATCATCCTCAGATAAATGAGACATTAAGATTTGATTTTAGATATTTAAAGCTAATATTAATTTATTTTTCTTTCCTATTAATGGGAGCCTGTGGAGGAAAACAACACAATAATAATAAGCAGATCCAAGATAATCTAATCTATGAGCCATCTTTGCCTGCTGATAAATAGACTCCAATAGAAAAGCTAAGTTACATCCTAAGTAATCCAATTATACAGTATCTTTAAACTAAAAGGTATATTAAGATTTTATTTAGATAAAACTATGATACTCTGATAAATAAATTAGTTTTATAGATGAATATATAAAAAAGTGAATATTTATCTTATATTGAACTATTAATTGGTCATTTTCAAAAAATTCAAGCTTAATCAAATCCTGTCAAAGACCTTATTTAGTTAGCTATCTCTTTTATGAATTAGGATTTCCTATAATTCATGAAATTAGAATCATTTTTTTGCGATTCCGATTTGCAACTCCAACTGAAAACTTTGAAATTTTTAATTGACTTATACTTGATTTTAAATATAATAAAGCAGCAAGAGGAAAAAGATTCTTGGTTTGATGATTATGTAAAAATTTATGAAGAACACAATCATCAAATTTCCTAATAAAATGATCAAACTAATACCTCAATAAAATTGCTAAAACATATTTTAAAATCATTCATTGAAAATCTTCAGAAAGCAACCATTAAAATAATTTAGCAGTAAAAACAATAGTAAAATAACGCAATTATTATTTTAGACACCTTGTAAAATTAAGTAGTATAAAAGATGATGTAATATCTAAGAGTACCATATAGAGTGAAATAAATGCTATTCATCAGGCAAAGCAATAAAATTAAAAATACAAAACTCCAATTGAAAAATGATTGTATATTTAATATAAGTTCTGTATAAATAATTTATCCAACATATTCCAAAAATATGAGCTTAGTTTTAAGCTACCATATTATTTGTGAAAACTGTATTTTTAATTGGTAATGTTCTATTATATCACTAAAATTATAGTTATATTCTTTAAGAAGTCATGATTCCTTATTTCATAGTCAGGAGTACGAATTTGAAAGCTAATATATATAATAGAGTGAAATTATTGTTATTGTTAATGTTCAAATATTGTATCTAATAATATTTAATATTCATATATAATTTATTCATTTATAAATAATAGCAATTTTAATTTGAAATATAATATAAAATTGCTAGTATCGTAAACTATTTTATATAAGAATTGTGATATCAATTCAATATAAGGATATGATGATGAATAATAACTAATTATGCATTAAAGTAATTAATAAAATTATAGGGTTGCTAATCAATATATAGAATGATGAATGATTTAGTTAGAATGGAAATGCCTAATATGATAGATTAATAGTAATGGATGTATTAATTAATATTAATGTTTGATTATTTGATTGAAAAATATTAATAATAATGAAGAATTTTTCGATTTCTTTGATAAAAATTGTAAAATATTAACCTAGATTTAATTTTGCTGATTTACTTAAGCAAAAGGATTAAGGGGATGAGAAGCTGTACTTCACCAAGGAAGATGGTAACTTTTTTGATTTCAAGTGATCTAGAAAAAATAATGTCGAAATTGATGAAAAAAATATAGGAGAGCAATGAAAATTAAATAGAAAAAGATGAAAATGAATTAAAAATACCAAAGGAAGAACTTTAAGTAAATATTAGTGTAATTATATAAGAAAATTTTCAGCAAATATAGAGTTACCTATAATGAAGCATTATTGAAGGAAATATTAATGTGGAGAAAAAATAATTGAATAATCAATATAATTATAAATTAATAAATATAATGAACCAACCACCTATTTCTGTAGATTCAAGTTAAATAAACCTATTAAAAAATTTGGATGACATTGATGATATCTTCAATGGATTGGCATAGGATGATGGAGCTTAATTAGATTAAGATTTTGAAGATTTTTTAGAATGTTTTAGTGATGATGAAGATTCTGAAGAGGAATCAAATTTCAGACCATTTCCAAGTTTCAGAAATGTTACTCCATCAGTTTAATTCTCAACTTTTGCTGAATCAGATTAAGTTATCAAAAAATAAACTGAGGAAAGACTGTTATTAGCCCCTACTGGAGATCATCAATTTCCAGTTTATGATGATTAATAATAGGAGGACTCAGTTGATGAAGATGATGATCTATCTGATTTTTTTGATAGCTTTGGTAATTAGAGATGCTAAATATAGATATAAATAACACTCATCAAAATAAGGAAGACGAGGTCAATTATATTGAAATAAAATATTTTGATGAGACCTATAAAATTCCAATCTTTACAGCTAAACTATTTGAACCAGAATAGCCTCTTGAAGATAGATTGCTGTTTGAGAATACCGAATTAGTTTTATCTAAAACAGAAATGCATGATTTTCATAAACACTTAGAAAACATTCTTACAAAAGTATTAAAATATATTATATGAAAGGATCAAAAAAACTTTAATGATTTCACATTCTCGGTTATGATTTTAAAAATTTAATCTGCCCTACTGGCTGATCTTCTAAAATCTTTTTTAAAAGTAATGATAAAACAATATAAATAGATGAAAGATTTTTAATAAGTATGGTTGGACATCTCTCCATCGTTTATTTGTTAAGAGAAAGTAACATAATTTGGAAGACAATTAAAACAATTTCAAGAATCAGTCAATTATGTGATTGACAGTAATTCCAATAAGATTACCAGTAGAAGATTTTTTGATAAATAAAAGCCAGCTTACTTTCAAGATAAAAAAAAAGATAACAAAAAGAAAGAATTGACTGAAGAAGAAAAGTATTCATGTTTTTTAACAATAGAATATTGGAACTACAATAAATACCTTATAATTAGAACTTTAATCCTCAATCTAGTTTAGTTTGCATTCTATTTTTTAAAGCTTAAGCATTGTTTGAGTCATGGCAATAATTCTTGCATTACAAAAAGAATTCTGAAAAATATAAAGAAGTATCAACATTATATAAAGCTTAAGATTTCCAATAGATTTGCTAGACTGTATGGACACTGGAAAACAGTAAAACTACTGAAAAACTTTGCTAAATTTACTGCCAGAACAAAATAAATATATATGAAACCATTAAAGGGAGAAGAATCATAAGATTTGAAAGAAGAAATAAAATTTTACCAAAATTTCTTATAAATGAAGACTTTAGGGATAGTTAATAATTTGACTAATTCCCCAACCTTGAATATAAATGGTGGATAATTGAAAATAAAATAATTAAATCAGATAAGAGTACCTTAAAAATAGAAATATATTTCTTAACAATATCTCAAATATACTTAGGAACTATTTTGAGTTGCTTAATATATTAATTATTTACAATTATTTATATGATTAAGCATCATTTAAAATTGAAAATTCCAAAATAAGAAGTGGTTTAAGTGAAAAATCAAACAAAATCCTCTTTCTATATAGCTAGGAGGATAACTTAAACGAATAGTGATAATGCAATTCACGTTATGAATACCAAAGTAACAGATTAAGTAAATTATGATAAAAAACCAAATCCCGTTTCTTCAAGAGCCTATACTATATCTCATTATAGATCTTATTCAACAACTCCCACTAATATATAAGGGTAGTAACAATCATAAAATTTGGATGAATAAGTGTAATTCTTCAATTCAGAAAGACAATAATCAATTAGCGTATTATCGTCCTAATATAAAATCACTACTTAACCTAAGCCTACTAGAGTTGTGTCACTATATTAAATATCACCTTAATAAGAATCTAAAAGTAATCCACTAGTTTATTAGGATAAACAGTATTTTTATTCTCAATATCGCATGGCCAATAATGTTAAATTTAATCAAGAAGATTAAAAGATTAATTAAAATCATGATGATTTTATATATCAAAATTCTTTTATTATGAATGCGAGAGCTAAAACTAAATCATAAATATTCGCCAATGTAACTTATAAGGATTTTTAAAGGAAATCACAAGATTTGTTTCAACAAAATCAATAAGGAACATAAAAACAATAAATATTTTTGCAAAAGGTTCTGAAGAATATAAAAGTTTCACAAAGTGAGAAATCAGATTCTAAATTATTAGTTAGAAAATATTCAAAAATTTGGAAAGAGAATTTCTCACCTAAATAGTTTTAAGAGTAATAAAAATATTCGTAATCTACTATGCAATTTAAATGGTACTTTAATTAGTTCATTGAAAAGAGTCTCAATAAGTTTCGATTATATTAATATTTAAATAAAAATTTAGCATTCATTGAAACAAAAAAAAATCATAAATTAAATAAATCTGTTCAGGAATTAAGAAGATTTTATATTAAAAATCACAATAATAAAATTACTCAGACATAAATAGAAGACCAATAATTCAGATACAAAAAAGAAATTATTTCATTTGGAATGTATATAATAATAAGTAATATAGGTTAGGATAGATATTTTGATTGAAATAAAAGATGACGAGTTTCAACCAGAGTATTTTTAGGAGAATTCATAGGGGGAAATTTTTGGAAAAAAATTAGAATATTTCTGCTGCGAGATAATATAAAATAATTAATAATATTAGATATCTCCAATAATTAGCAAATTGGATAATTTATCAAAAAATGAATTATTGTCTGTGGATTATAGTTAGATGGATAAAATAATGAATTAAAGTAATAAATATTAATTTGTTCCAAACATTTAATTAGATAATGTTGAAATTAGAAGGTTTAATTCCAAAATTACATATATAAAATACTATGATATTATCATAGGAAATTATAAAAATAATAATGAGATTGTTGACCTCGAACATGATAACTATCTTGAATACTAACAATAATCAGTCACTCTGAATATGGATAAAAAAGCTTTGATGATGAATCTTAGAAGATAAACACGAGGAACAAAAATGTCTGTATCAACTTTTCAAAATGAGAATGGAATAATTCAAAAATAATTTATGGCGCCTGGTTATGGTAAAAATTTACTTGGTCTTTAATAATAATCTAAAATTGATATGAAAAGAAGTCAAACCAAGTCTATTCAAAATATTGCAGAAAGTGAAATATATCAGAGCAATGAAATTATTCATACAAATGAGACTAATAAAGGAGATACAATATTAAAATACTATAAAGAAAATGTATTATGTGTACTTTAAATTTTAGCCAGTGAAATATTAACAATAATTAAAATTGTAAAATCTATAAATATTTGAAAATACGATGAAGCAAGAAAATTCAAGCATTGCCGTAGTCTAAATGATGATAGAGCACAATTTCATTGATGAATTAATAGATTATCACAAAAAAAATCCCAATTTTTCTCTTAATTCTCGGAATGCTTAAGGAAAACCATTGATTATGGTTGCTGCTTAATCAGGAAATAAAGAATTAGTTTAGTATATGATCAATTAAAATGTTTTATTGAATGTCAAGGATGTAAATTTTTGGTTTAAATATAGTTAGAGGGGAACACGGCACTTCATTATGCAATTAGGTGTGGATATTATGAAATTGCTGACCTCTTACTACTAAATGGAGCAAATTAAGAGTTAGACATTAGAAATGACCATCGATAATGGAACTAGAATTATAAGTTACTAAAAATGAAATGAAAATAAATTATTTATTCACTTTGTATTTACTACTTTTATCATTAAAATCTACAATTCGGGCAATAGTTAACATAAGTGAGTCTATATGTTTTCAAAGGAGAATGAGAGTTAGAATGAGGTTGACTTCTTTTTTTTTCAGGATTCTAGCAAATCCAAAAAAAGTCACATTCTTTATTAGCACATTGTTTGATATTTGGTAAATGAAATTTCATATAATAGAGCTAGTTATCCATCAATTTGTTAATATATACTTCCAAATCAAGTGCTCTTTGTTTCAGTATTTATCCATGTTTAATTTAACTTTTACATAAACAAGTAAATTAAATGCATTATTATTGTAGTTAATGTTTCATAATTGTTGCCAAGCAACTTGAATGGAAACTGTGATGGAATTTATTATGACAAAATAATTCAACTTTCTTTTCGAATATGTATTTATCGCAACTCAAACATATATTTTATTGATCTGCAATAATCAAACTGCTATACTGCTTTGATACAGTTTATTCTGTTGATAGTTGCTATTAAGTTGATTAGGATTTAATAGAACCATTGATAATTTGATCTAATCTCTTTTGTTATAGATGACGGATTTGCTTTAATTGGAAATTTATATCAAAGAGCTTTAATCTTTATACTCTTTATGGCAAAACCTCCCGAGTAGCATAGATACCCTTTAATTAGAGTAATTGCTAAAATTTCTATTGAAATTCATCACTCATGCAATTCATTATTTTAAATAATTGCTAATATTATTTAATTCTTAGGAATTCATTAGATTTTCCTATAATTTAAGTTTACTCATAAGTTTTAGAAACCACAAGGGTAGATTCATTGAAGATCAGAATGGTATGATGTTGCTATATTACGAAATTATAGAGAAATAAAATAAGTAGTTCATAATTTTAAACGTGATCAAAAGCAGCATAAGACCTATAAAAAAATGGATAATCAAATTAAAAGCAATCCAATTCTAAAAATTGTAAAATTAAAACTAATTTTTATCTAATGATTAATGTTTCTTTTTTAATCAATATATATATAGTTTGTATTCTAATATTTAATATTTGAATTATAATTATCCTACGGATTACATTTAAAATTTCTATTCGAGTATTTATTTAAGTTATTAAATACTATCTTAGCTAAACATAAAAACAAAAGGGAGTTGACTACCAAAAAAATATTGCAGTTAAGTAATATTTTCTTATTAATAATTAAATTCAGTTTAAAATTCTCACTAATAGAATTAAAAATGCAGTAGTTAGTGAATAATGAGCAAATTTATTGAAAATGCTTTTGCTTTAAATTACATTCTATAAGTAGAGGCAAATATATTGTAAGTAAGGCCCTTAAAAATATAAAATTCTAATTATAAAATTGACTACCTCCTTTAAAGTTTACAAATAATAAATTAGATATTAGCAGAATTAATCTGTTCTTGGACGGTCATCTGTGTATAAAATCAATTTGTTGCTGATTTACTTTTTTGTAAGGAGTAATTGATTATCACTTTTTGTTAATTACTATGCGATAAGTTAGGAATATTAATTTAAAGTAATTGATATAATTAATGTATTTAAGTGTATATATTTAATGGTTTGATTTATTTTTGAATAATATAGTTGATTATTTGAATCAATCTAATTTGTAAAAATTATTTCTTTGAATGAAAAAAACAATAAAAAATGAAGAACCTTTAAGAGAGAAATTATCCTAGACAATGTTTAAAGGAAATAGCGATAATAATCAACCTATCTTAATAAAAGGATTGGGTTAAGAATTCTCAACAAACATTCTTGAAAACATTTAAAGAACTCATTCTTTCTCCAAACCATTTCAACAAGCACCAAAAGAAGATAGTTAAAATTAGCCAAAGACACCAACAAAGAAAATGGACACAGGAATGATATAGTCAATACATATTAAGAAACCACAAAAGGCTGTCCTGAAAATTTCAAGGTTTGTTGGAGATGCGAAATGGCCATTTTTTAGAGTTAAGAAAGATGAAACTGTAAAGCAATTTTGGAATAGACGAACCTAATAGGATCACCATAGAAATTGGAATAGTGAAGGATATTTGTTTGAAGGTATTATGCTTCGGATTGGGAGAAAGAAAAAAAGCGTAAAAGGATATTATTTTAAACTGACTTATTCTGGCATGCTCATGTATTTTAAAAAAGTACATTTAAATTAATGTATAATAGGAGTCAGACAAAGAGCCGAAAGGTTACTTGTAATTGAGTATGTAAAGCAGAGTTATAATCTCATATCAAAAAACTAAGAAAGGATTGAATGTGCCAGTCTTATACATAGAAAGAGTAGAAGGAATTGGAATAACCATTTTTGATCATTAAATTGAATAGACTCTAAAATTGTGTGAAGCACTCTAAGAATTTTGTTTAATGAGAGGATATGATAGTGTGTACACCTAAATAGACACCCTGGGTAGTGGGTCATTTGCTACTGTGTTCAAGGTATAACGAAAGAGAGACGAATAGTAGTTTGCTGCTAAGGTCATTTATAGAAATATGTTCGAAGAAAATAAACACAAAGATAAATTTATAGTATAAAATTATTAAACATATTAGTGCAGTAAATGGTATACAACGAAGTTATAGCTTTGAAAACATTAAGTCATCCAGGAATCGAGTAGATCTATGAAGTTTATTAGGAAAAAGATAAATTAGTTCTCATTATTGAATATTGTTAAGGAGGCACTCTTTATCAATTCTATAAATCCAAAGGGAAATTATCAGAAAAACAAATTGCTTAGTTGATGAAAGGAATTTTGGATGCCCTTTTTGAAATGCATTCCAATGGATTTGTTCATCGAGATCTGAAGTTGGAGAACATCATGTTGGAATCCAAGGAGCATATGTAAATTAAATTGGTTGATTTTGGGTTTGCTGAAGAAATTAATGAAAAAGAGTTGATAAGCAAAGCAGGTACACCTGGGTTCTTAGCTCCAGAGATCTTTCGTGGGTATCCTTATACACAGAAAGGAGATGTGTTTAGTGCTGGTTGCGTTTTATACATAGTAATTATCCATCATTATAATAGTTAACAGCAGGATATGCTCCTTTCAGAGGTAAACCAAGTTAGATTCAATTGTTGAATTCCAAGGGATAAGTTAATTATGAGAAGTCTCCTTGGCCTGATGTTAGTGTTGAGTTAAAGAGTCTTGTTAAGAAGATGTTAGAACCAAAATCAGAGGATAGATTCACTACTTTGGAAGCATTGGAATCCTCGTTTATTTCTCATTATACAAAAATAACTTCAGAAACCAATTATAAGTCATTCTAGATGGTGTCTGGGTTAGACTTTCATAACAAATAATCTGTCAAGAGTAACAAGAATTCAGAATCTAATGGTTCTAAATAAAGTAAAGAATTTCAGTTGGATTTCTCCATACATACCAATGACATTAAGTCACTTTATCAAAAAAACTCTATTAAGACTCTTTAATCTTAAAGGTCGGGCAGAGGTACTATAAAATAAAGTATGATCCTTAAACAATCCATCTCTGTTCCCAAGGATGCCATTATTGAACAATATCAATAAAAGAGGAAGCAAAGCCATCCAGATAGATCAAGTTGCTAAGATTCTGATAATGATATTGATTCTTTTGGAGAATTGCTTAAATGTAAAATCAATTCGATTCTATTTAGTACAATCTATGAAATTCACCACATTCGAGGATTTCGATGCTCTAAATTTTTCATAAATCAATTTCTTAACATAAACGAGCTAGGTATTCAATAAGATTAAAAGACCATGGTGATTACTTTATTAACACTTAAAATATTCACAAATCTATTTTTAAAATTAATTAAATTTACGAATGTCAAAGAGAGGAAGAGGAGGACAAGTCGGTATTAAATTGAGAATCACACTCGCTTGCAACGTTGGTGCAGTACTCAACTGTGCTGATAACTCAGGAGCCAAGAATATCTATGTCATTTCAACTTTTGGAATTAAGGGACATTTGAGCAGATTACCCTCTGCCTCCATTGGTGATATGGTCTTATGCTCAGTCAAATAGGGTAAGCCAGCACTCAGAAAGAAGGGTAACTCAAATTCACTATCATAGTCATGTAAGCAGTCGTCGTCAGATAAAGAAAACCATACAGACGCCGAGAGGGATATTACATCTATTTCGAAGGTTAGAATTTTGTTCTATATCATAGACAACGCTGGTGTCATCATCAATCCAAAGGGTGAAATGAAAGGATCTGCCATTACAGGTCCAGTTGGAAAAGAAGCTGCCGATTTATGGCCAAAGATTGCATCAGCCGCTGGTTCAGTTCTTTGATAAACTTGCAATATATTCAAGTATATTAATAAACAAACATTTTTTCATTTGTCAATAATCCCTTTATCTTTTATTTACTTTTGAATTTATGGATATATAAATGACCAAAATTTCTAAGCCAATAAAATTTAATTATTTTTCATGCAATCAGCAATATTATTTGATAAAGAAATTGTACTAAAGAGTAAATAATCTTAAACTAATATTAAAGTGTTACCGAATAATATTCAATCAAATTCAAATATTATTTTACATCTTTTCTAAGAAAATGAATCAATTAATTACTATTTAATATTTTATTTAATTATAAAATTTTCATGCTTTACGAATTATGATTATAATCTTCAAGATTGCATTAAAATTGTCATTGTTTTAATGTCTTGTTGAGAGAACTTAATTTGATTTTAAAAAGATTTTTTATTTGATACACTAAATATGAGACAAAAATTATAGCAATAAGTATAAAAGTGTGATATAATTATAAACAAACATAATTAGTCAAATTTTCTCCTGTGATCTGGAAGAGAATATTCTATTTAAAACACCAACTTATGCTTTTCTTTATAAAAATGTTCTTCCCTATGATTTTGAAGGCCTTAAACTTTGTGAAGAGCTTCTATTCTATTATTTTTCTTATGACTTCCTTTCAAAATTAAAAGGATTGAGCAAAACTCTTATGTTTCTTCTACATTTTTCAGGTGTAGATTATTTACTTTATTCGTTAACTGTGAGATGAGTAGATTAACATTTGGGCAATAATAATTTTGCTTAAACTTCTAGGAGGGATTTTAAAGGAGTCTAATTTCTCTTTGATTGTTATGAAGACTTTAAAATATGGAGATTGTTAAAATTTTGATTAATTTGCAAAATATTCGTTTGGCAATTATATATTTGAAGCTGTTGTTATACTATTTGATCAAAGTCAATAATCTCTTACTAACTTAGTTTTTTACTAAATGTAGGAACAGAAAATTCTTTAACAATTTACTCATCAATGATTGGTTACAATTTTTTTAAGGTTTACTATTTGAGAATGGTTTTTCTGGGGTTAAAAAACTAGGCTGTTTTCTCCATTTTCAATTATGGTAAAGAATCATTCAGGATCATTTTTAGAGAATCTATTTACTATTTAATTATTATCAAAATAATGCTAAAAATAACAAAACTAGACTACTTTTTGATTAGAATATGATTTAATTTTAAGATTGGGGAAGATATTTATGGGCAAAGCATTAAAATCTGTAACGAGACTACTCGACTTTTCAAAATTATAAACTACTTAATTATCATAAGATATTTAACAAAAAATAGAAAAAGAAGGTTCAATAAAGTTAAATATGTTATATAATGAGAATTTTGATAAAATAATTAAAATTTATGTTAAGAAAATTTTTTAATAGGTTTTCTGTCTACTCTAATTAACATTAAAGAGCAAAAATTGAAGTTGGAAATAGATCAATTATGCAAGATTAAGATTTGGAGCGATATCCTAAATCTATTTATGTAATTTGTTTATTAATTGAGGGCTTTCTTACAAAAAAGATGGACTTAGAAGCACGAAATTCCTGGAAGAATGTACGTCATTTAATAAATTGAAGACATCAAAGATTAATTGTAGATGCAGCAATTATAGCCATTAAAAATTTTATTAAGTGAGAACAGATTAAAAGCCATGTATGATAATGATTAATTGGATTCCTAATACATAATTTCAATAATTAGTGAAGAGCACTTCAAACCAATGATGGATGAATACACAAAGAAAGTATTAATTAATGGAGCTATGCCTCCACTAATTAAATTTGACTAATATAATTAAATTAGAAATTAAATAATACAACTCTATTAAGTGTTTTTTTTTGGAGATCCTTTAAGTTAATTAGAAAGAGAGATTGAATTCAGATATCTAGCACTTAAATAAAGTAAATTCTTTAAGTACCAGATGTAATAAAGATCGAAAGACAAATGTTTATGGACTCATAGTTAATAAAGAAGAGTTGAATTGATGAAAAATTGGATGGCAAGAGATATTAATTTGTTTGATGATTTGAGACCCATCTATGAGCCATTGTTATTAAACCAAAAGATTAAAATTTATTAGCAATTATTGAAAATCGATGATGCATCAATCAAAGAAAAATTGTTATTCCATTTCTTCGAAAAGCATACATTATAAAAATCAAAAAGAAGACTATAAACAATTGCCCAAACATTATTTACTAGAACTATGCTATACACAAACTGCATTGAATTCTTAAGAGTTTTAGATATTCCTCCTGATTTTCATATTGAATTATCGATAATTAATGTTCATATTTGGTTGATTTGCAATAGACTGCAATAGATTAACACAAGAGAATCAACCAATTTAGCCACTTTACTATTTAAAGCCTGTGATAGGTACATTGCTAATGAAGTAGATAAAATTCATCTTAGAAAAAAACACGACTTAGTTAGAGATATTGAAGCTTATATGTAGACAGGTCGTAAGTACTTAGAGTATCATTTTAATCGCAATGTTTAAACTGTTAAAAATAATTATTTTAAATTGGATGCATTGATATGGAGTATTATATTCTTTGAAAAGATCCCTAGATATAGTGATAAAGTATTCTTAGTAGCTGAATACATCAAAGCAAATTATGATTTCTTAAACACTTTACCTTATGAATCATTTGAAGATTGCATAGTAGAATTTGATATTTTCAAAATGAGAATAGACTACAAGAATTAATTGCTTTAAGTAAACCCTCCTCTCTCAGAAGTAGAATTTGAATAAGAATTCTTATCAGACAATAAAGTCAAGAAATATTATTATTCATTTGAAGATTAGGAACATAAGGTAATAGAGCTTCCAAAATTTGAGGTAAACATACAATATATTTAAAAAGTCTTAAATCAAGTCTCTGTTAGAAAGAAGACTAGATGTCTTGGGAGAGAATATTAGATATATCATAAAAAAATACTAAAATTTAGAAACATTTGATCACTTTTCAACTCATGAAGAATAAATAAAATAAGAACAAAATAAGTAAAAGTATGTTTGGAATACATCAGTAGAAAGAGATCCAGAGGACTTGAGAAAATTAATAAAGCAAAGAAGAATTTAATAAAACAATATGTGATATATAATATTTCATAGATTTTATAAAGGAGTCTTAATTATCTTTGTTCAAAAAGAACAAGCTTAAATACAATTCATAGATTTTAACATTCAAAAATCTTATTAAATAATCCCTCTGTTTATTTATCAATAAAATATTATTAGTGAATTCTCTAAATTAGTTATTTTTTTGCATAATTATATTCTATATATAGATAACAAAGCAATTATTTGATTTTTTCTTAGAGAGAGCCACCAAAATGTCAATTGGATCTGTTTATAAAAGAGAATTTCAAGTTTAGATTTATATATATATCTACTTGTAAGTTTATACTAATAATATTATTAAAGAATCTTTTTTTGATAATGATTTTGGATATTTGATTGTTATAAATAAAATAATCATGGATTATTTAAATGGGTTTTAACTCTTTTTGTGGCTTTCAATTCTTTTTCTATAAAGTCATAATATAATCCAAATGGTTTTTAGAGGCTCTTACCAAAAATAATCAATTCTTGCATAGCTTCTTCAAAACTTTCAGTATACATATATACTGGTTAGACAGTCTAAATAGGATAAGGTCTGTCAGCATGAATAAATGGATCAAATTTTTCATAATTTGCTTTTGGGAAATTCTAGAATAAATATTGCATAATTGATACATCGCATTCACCAATAGAGCTAGCAATTCCTGCTCCAAATCCTTTAATTTATCCATTTTCCTTACAAGCTCCAAATTCAAGTGTGAACCAATACAAAGTCCCCAGTCTTGATAGATCTTTTTATTCAGTTCCGCAAGATAAAATTCCAATTTCCTAAGATAAATCTGCAACTTCTTTGTCAGCAAATAAAGGTACATGTCCCTAATGTTAATTATGAATATTATACCACAAGCTCATGAACGATATCAGGCTCAGGAGTGTATTCTGGGGTGGAATGATGTCTAATGTATTGTGTACAACAAAACACTCTATGGCCGAGTGCATTGAGGAATTCTCTTTAACTTAAAATTCCATGAGTGGCTTTGATTCTAAAACCAGTTTCAGCTTTTAGATAGGCATCAATGTCTCTAAGCTAGGGTATTTTATATTTGAATCCTAAAGCATTCTCTATTTTGACTAAGTTCCTGAGATATCTTTGAGACATGACTTTTTCAACACGTTCTCTTAAAATCGAATATATCTTTTTCCACGTTACTTCTTCTTATTCTGTATAATTAATATATGGAACTGGCTCTCCAATTAGATGTTATTAAGAAAGTTTGGCTATTTCTTCTCTTCTTTTTCTGTACTCTTGATCCTTAAATTGAGGATGGTCTTAATTGTTTTCTTCCTTGACTTCCATAATTAGGCCAACTTAAGGATAAATGATTGTAATACTTGTCTTAAGATCTTCATCATTTCTTGGATACCATGGAACAAGGGGAGTTTGAGATTCATTGTCAATCAATACTTCATCATACCTTTGTTGGAGATCAAAGAGCAATTCATTAAATTTGTAATCATCTATCTTCTCAAAAGTTAACTTTACGACAATCTTCTGTCCTCTCTAATAGTTATTATAGATATACTTTGCTGTACGATTCAATTTTAATGTTTCAATATCGGAGAGGTTGATTTTATGATTTGAGAATGATTTAAGAATATTTCTTAGACTTCCATAGTAATCTCTGGTTATAATTTCAACATCTTGGAGATAATCTATGGTAAAGTTTCTTTTTGGGAATATTGTAGAGAAACAAGGGAAGGAACGAAAGATTTTATTTAACATTAATTAATGACGCATTTTTAACTAATTTTATTCCTTTAATACTATTCAAATTATTATTGCTAAAATTTATATATATAATTTTATTATTGAGATTTGAGACAATTAAATGACACATTACTTTAATTGCAAATTATTCACATTATATTTTAATTATGCTTCCTTTGAATAATAATCAAAATTTATTTAAAGTTCTATTCATAATACATAGATTAAATTAATGGTACAAATTAAGAGAATAAAATAAGTTGAAAATTAAAAATCTAATATTAAGTTAATCTCTGTTTATTTGATATTTCACCAAGGGATGTGGATATAAAGAATCATTCAATATCAAAGTATTGTATTCTTTTCATGGCTTGTGTTGTTGTTTCACTTTTAAATGTCTTATATGATTTGATTATAGATCTTAATATAATACTAGGAAAAAAAATGACAAGGATGAATCTAATTTTCAAAACTTAAATTAGTATGTATATGATAAGGAATTATGCCATTAAATCAAAAAAATGAGGATGTGGATTAGTTATAAACACAGATTATAAATATTTTTTTGAATAATTGATGTCATAATATCTTTAATCTAAAATTCAGGATTTAAATACGTATTTAGATTGTGTTTATATCTGATTCTCATCTTAATAATTTAGCAATGAAATTAATTACATCACATGTTAATATTGTGAAATATAATGTATAATTAGAATTTAATAATATATAAATATATATGTTTATTTTATTATTATTAAACATAAGTTTTGCTCTGCCAGATTTTTATCATCAATTTGATTCTATCAATTTGAACTAATATTCTAATTGTGCAAAAATAGAAACGCTAATAGAAGATCCAAAAGTTGATGTAATCACAATAAACGAAAATGCTAAGTTTAAAGCATTCTTGATGTTTGGTGAACATGCAAGGGAATTAATAAGTCCTGAAACAGGTATTTAAATATATCATAAGTTTCAGGTCTACATTTATTGGATTCAATCTGCAATAATAAATACGATGTGAGCAAGTATTAAATCAAAATGGTTTTAAATCTTAATCCATTATCAAGGATGAGAGTAGAAAATGGAGAATATTGTTTAAGACTTAATGAAAACAATGTTGACTTAAACAGAAACTATGATGCCCATTTCAAGTAATACACTGATATGGAACAGCAAACAAATTCAGGACCAGAGCCGTTTTCAGAACCAGAAACTAGAGCTGTCAGAGATCTTTTGAAATCTTATAAACCTAACATGTTCTTGTCTATTCACTCTGGAAGTGCAGGGTTATTTACACCTCATGCATACTCAATGGAAGAGCGTATTTCATCAAGAGTAATTTGTAGCCCAAAATTATGAAGAATTAATGAAAGTCTTGAATGTAATCAGAGAAGATCATTGTCCAATGTGTGAGACAGGTTTATCCAGTAAAAATGTAGGATATTTGGCATTTGGTAGTGCTATGGATTATGCATATGATGAAATTGGAATCAAAAATTCATATTTGTTCGAAATATACCATAAAGATGTTAATATGATTAATGATCTAAGAGTCGAATCTATTAAAAAGTAGAAGAGAAGCTTTCTAGAACTAAAAGATGACTCATCTGATTAGGAATGCTTTGATTATTTTAATCCTAAGGAAAAGGAATAATATGATTGGTATACTCAAAATTGGAGTGATGCAATTATCAAAACATTAAGTTTAGTTGAGTAACAATCAAATGAGGATATTATATTAGCTCATAATTGAAATATGCTATAAATAAATTCTAAAGCTTTAATATATTAGTATATAATTAGAATCTTTTTAGTGTTTATCATCAAATTTAAAAGTTTTAGTGGATATTTCTCAATTAATTATGATAAAATTTAGATAATCTTCTATAAATTTAAAGATATAAAAGACAAATAAAATATAATTTAATTTACTTATTATTAATGAATTCTTATTTTAGCTTATAAATTTCAAATCTTAGAAATATATATGATCATTAATGTTAATTGAGTTATTACGATTAGAGTTGAGACTAAAATCCATTTCAGATATGTTATTCTTGAATTTGGATAACCATAAAATTATTCCTTTAATGTTTAATTATATATGGTATATTTAATTTTATTGTTTCCATTCGATCTATTTTTAATCATTTCCTTAACCTTGGTAGAGAAGTGTAATCCTTCGTTTTCCTTGATCTCCATATCAAAGATAACATAATTCTTTTTCATCATTTCACAAAGGTCTTAATTTTCAATCATATTTGCAAAGGGATCCATGACCTGTCCTAGTCAATGGTTTATAATTATTACCTATATTCTATTGAAATATTGCGTAATTCTATGTTAATTTAGCCCAAGCCACAAAGAGTAAGATGTAAAATAATAGATTGATAAAAGGAAGCAAAATCAGAATTAATAAAAAGACACCTATTCCCAAATAATTCCTTAAATAGTTATGAATGAATTAAACCACTTTACTTGATGTCATGTAATTTAAAGTTATTCCATTAACTTTATTATCATCTAAGTTATACACTTTGATAAACTAGACTTATGATTCAAAGTTTACTTTATTATACAATGTGATTGGGTCTTGGTTGCTTATTAGTATGTTGGAATCATCACCTTAATCAGTGAGTTCCGAATAAAATTATTCAGACCCCTCATTTTTTGTGCTCATTAATATAATAATTTATTTCCATCGTAATATATATAATATGTGATGAATTGAGAAAAATGTTCAATGTGTAATATAAAATATAGAATTAATAATATATCATAAAAGCACTTACAAAGTAATATAATTAAATGCTGTATATAAGATAATTAGATAGTTATAATTAATGAAGATAATTTATATCATTTTTTTGGCAAATTCTTGTTAAAACTATGTCTAAAAGAACTTCTATCTATGATGCTAAAAAATTATTCTGATTAAGTAATTTTGTTTGGATTATCGATAATTGAATAAAATTGATCTTATGTTATTTGTTCTTGAGAGTGTTGATTGTTTTATTGATTTTAAATATACTATTAATGATTATCAGGGTTTTATTTTATTTCTTCAAATTCTAAATTTTCTAGATTATTAAATACTTTATGTTCTTCTATTATTGGCTGTAATTTATTTCTTATATTATGATTATCAAATTAATTTGGATTTTGATGAGGATCTTATCGATCCTCAAATAAATTTAGTAATGATATGTCTCTTGAGTAGCTTTCAACTTTATTGATTGTGTCACCTAGACTTAACTAATGTAATTAAGTACTTTGGTATATTACACTTTCTAAATTCTTTTTCAGATTCTGCCCTTCTATAGATGGATTCATTTTTTGTAAAAACAGGAGTAGAGGATGAGGAATGCAAGGTCAAGGGCTACTTTATTGACTGATCGATAGGCTGTAGTTCTAGGGTCGGAATTATAGGTTCCCGAATTTCAGGCCTAATAATATCTCCAATGTAAAGGATTTCTATCATTTTTTGGAAGAATGCTTCACATGCTAGATTCAATAATACTAAAAGCTTATTTAGACATTATTTCATTAATTAATAAAATTAACTGCAATTTTATATTAACTGCTAAATGTCTGATACTGAAAGTGAATTATTGGAATGTTGCAAGTGTGGAGCATAAGTAGATTAAATTCTATCACTTTAATGCGATCACAATTTGTGTTTGAATTGTGCAGCAAAGGCTGTAGCAAAGTGGGGCTCATTTACTATGTACCCTCCATTGGTTTGTTAAATATGTTCATCAAAAACTCAATTGGATCCATCAGCCGTATAAGTGCTATTAGAGATGAACCCATAATCTTCTTGTTGTTCTGAAGATTTTGAATAGAGAAGTGAAATATTAGAAACAAAACAATCTCAACAAATCCAACAGGCTGATTATCATAATTAGTCATAATAATAATAACTTACTAATATCACTTGCTAGTAGCACCTTACTGAGAGTTGTGTGTTGTATTGTTTCACATGTGAAGCTTAATGTTTCTGTATGGAGTGCTACTTATAAGGATTACACAAAAATCATGAAGTCAGAAACATCTCAAAATCTTTTGATTTAATTAGAGAAAATGGAAATTAACTCTAAGTGTCATTGTAAAGTTGTTGTGAGTATTTGCTCCATGAATAATGCAAAGTAGTGAACAAAAAATAAGATTTAGTAGACCTAGTCGGATAAGCTAAAATGTAGATTACTACTAATTTTGAAGACATTTATAAAACATTAAAACTAAAAGAATAAGAGATGTTATAGGCTGCCGATGAATTAGTGGCTGATAAACTCATTGAAATAGAAGGATTGATGGCTAAAATTAAACTATAAACAGATAGAGTGAACTAATATAATGAATAACTTGTTTAATATTTTGGATCTAGCAGCCCAAATGTTTCATTATGTGTAGAGGCTTGTAATTTTGTTGTGAAAGAGAAAAAAAAGATTCAGAATTTAATTGAATAAGTCAGATAAGAGAAAATAAGTCCTACCATATAAGGTAAATTTTGTTTGGATTCTGGATCTATACAATAAATGATCAGCGACATAAGAGGAGTCAAACTACAACTAGTTTCTTTAAGAGGAATCGAATCGATCAATCCGACCTAAAGAGAACAATATATATATTAAAAAGCTATCGAAGATAAAACTAGAGATTCTATGATTGGAAACAATTAAGTGTTGAGAGAAGAAAAAGAGAATAACAATTCTATAAGTTTTATTGAGCGATCTAGTTAGAAAAAATCTTTAAAAACAAGCGATAATAGAGACTTTTATACTAAATTTCATGAAGCTAAGAGAACCATTATGAACTAAAAGTCGTTCATATGATTAACTTAATATTACTTATTATATATCAGATTATATATTCTTACAATTCTATTCTAAATCAATATCATAATAGTTTCAGATCTTCTAGTAAAATTATGTATGTTTTAAGTTTGTTTATTTTCAAGATACTTGATATAGTGTTGTTTTTTATTATATAATATAAATTATTTTAATTTCTTATGGCTAAATAATAATTAATTCATTCGAAACCACCAGCAATTACTACAAAACTGCAGATTCCACATAGGACTACTGTTGAATAGGTGTATCTCAAAAGATTAAAGGAAACTGAAGCCTTCATTCCTAAAGAGGAATATTTGAAAAAGTAAGAGAACATCAATAAAGTTATGGATACATAGTCAGTGCAATAACTTAAATATTATTCACACATAAATGAAATCAGATCAGTCAAAGAATTCTTATATATATCTGAGAAACTCAAATAAAAGAATATTGAGAAAAAAATGAACGAGAGATTGGAATTAAGAGGGAAACTTAACAAAATTAAGGAAATTGAAGTGCTTAAAAAATTGCATTATTATTTGGAGAAAAAAATAAGACTTTTTATAAAAGATAGATAACATGAAGAAAGTATTAATAATGATATTTTAGATCCAAAATTAAAGACTTTTGAAGCATTTAGAAATGCCCATTAGGATGATAAAAAAGTTATGCAATTTCCAATTGAATTGCAGAAAGAATTATTCATCAAATTGAATGCCTAAAGTGATATAATGCCATCCAAATAGGATATTATGTCACCTGTTTCTCCAATGAAACATTAGAAACGGAATACTTAGTTTGAGTATACTTTAGTATTATAGTAGTTTTTTCAATGCAGAGGTTTCTGATAGTGTTGTGCACAATGAAGAGAAAGAGTAGGGAACAAGCAAGTTTTTGACTATGAAAGTAGCTAATAAATTGTTGGGAATGATGATCATAGAATCTAGCAAAGGAAAAAGATAACCGATTATTTGGGCTTAGGATAAAAAGAAGGAACTGGAGGATATATTGAATAAGCCTTATGGAGGCAAGATGAATTTTAATCTCCATTCCTTCAATTGGCTCATAGACAACGCGTTAGATAGAACTCAATCCTTAATGAATTTTAAAAAGGAGTCAATCAATAGGATTACTACAATGGATGAAAGAGTAGAATTTGGAGGCATGCCTAATAATTATTTATCAATTTAGAATAAAATCAATAAGGGAATCGATTCTATTACTAAGACCTTTAACATTAGGCCAAAATCAAGTCAGGTATTAAGACAGAGAAAAGAATTGAAAAATAGAAGGCAAATCACTACTGAGTACAATATTACTGATAGAATTAAAGAGAATGTCTTGTCTTAGGCCTTGAGAAATCAAAATGTGTAATCTTAATGCAAAACAGAAGGTATGTTCTTCTAAAATGATTCTTATGTTAGTCATTATATTTGATTAAAATAATTAATTTAATTTTTTATTTATGGAATCACGAGAATAGATTATTTAAAAAGAAGCATAGATTTAATTGCTGACAAAAGTATTTAAGCAGGATCAAATTTGTTTCAAGAAATGCATCAAAGCAGCAGAGAAAAGATTGACTGAAGATCAAGAAAAATGCTTAAGTAAATGCTCAATTAATTTACAAAAGAAATTTGCAACAATAAAGTTTAAGTAGCTTATGATTTTTTACATAAATTAAACGATAAAGCATTAGAATGAGCAATATATTAGTGTCACAGATCAGTATTTTACCAATCTCATAAATAACTATATAAAATATTAATATAAACTAAATCAAAAATCAAAATGTTTTTTGCCTTGTCCTCTTTCAGTGAGAGGCTAATCAGCAGTAAAATTTAATTTTTTATTGAATCTAGGAGTTGAAACCAAATGATATTTCTTTTAAGATTTCAATTCGACTTATGGTTCAGAATCAAGTAGTTTCTTTTTCGTTGGAGTGATCTGCTGGCTCATAGAAGTTGTTGGTTTGGAATTAGTTTAGTCTTGTATTGTTTATTACGAAGTTTAAGATTTATATGTGTATCCATTGAAGGCTTCTTAGATGGAATCTCTTCTCAAAAGCTCAGCATTCAGTTTAGCCTAAGCTTCGTCTTCGGGCTCTTTAATATTGGCAAATTTGTAATCAAAATTATCGGAATTCGACTGAATTAAATCTTATCAGTACATTAATTTTATAAGGAGCTTATTTTGATTGTGTTAAATAGGCATCCCAATCAACATTTTTAAACCAAGGATGAGCGAAAACCTCATCAGGTCCATAGAATCCTAATCTATTTACTGGTTTTCTTTGAATCATTTGATTAATAAAGTCCGCAGCCTCTTCAGACCAATCTTCTGGTATTTAATTGGGTTTAATTGTAACTTGCTTAGACAAAATTTAATCCCTTATCTCCTTTCTAGTTTTACCCAGATATGGCCTCTATTTTAAGTACATACTTTACTTTTCCCATCATACATTCATAAGCTATTACTCCAACTGCAAAATAATCTGATGCTACTCCATGAACTTATCTACACATAACTTCAGGAGCCATATAGCCAGGTGTTCCACTAGTATCTCCATCATTTCCTGGCTTCCAAATTCTTGCAATGCCAAGATCAGTCAATCTTAAATATCCTTTAAGGGTAATTTTATATATTTACCATTTCTATCGAATACTAAATTTTCAGGTTTAATGTCTCTATGTATAACTGTATTATGATGGAGATACTCCAGAGCTAGAAGTAGACAGATGATGAAAAATTCTAGTGATATCGAATAGTTTGTTTACTTGTCTATTCTTCATTAAACTTCCTGTTTTTACAAATGTGAAATCTAAGGTCTCCTCCAGTCATGAGATCCATTACCAAGTAGAGACTTTCTCGATCTTGGAATGCTGTATGCATATTTACTAAAAATCTAGTTAAACAAATTTCATTACGGATGTCTGAGATTGCTTAATAAGTATCGCTCATTCATCACAGAACCAATACTTTTTTTATTAATAATTCTATTATAAGCATTGCAAATAACAATACTTGCATTTCTACATTTCTTTGATAGCAAATTGATGTTTGGTTTTCTTATGTTCAGCTCTCCAGACTCTTCCAAATCCACCTCTTCCAATGACATACAAAAAAGTATAATCGCATTTATTCGGCACTAGAGTAAAAAGAGTGCATTTACATTTAATTTCACCTGCATTTAGATCACGAGTATTATTGCAATTGCCCATTAAATAAAAAAAATATAGATAAATTTTAATCGAGTTCATAATTCATATTTTGTATAACCTTTCTAGTTGATATCTTCTTCTTTGACTATAATCTATTGTTGCTGTAATTGTTGAATGTCAAGAATATTTTTGACATATTTTTGAGGTCCCAAAAGCTAGACCATCTAATGTTTGAGCTTTTCAAGTTTTTCTGCCTCTCTCTTTATGTACTCATAAGACTTAGCCATATCAAAGGCAGCTCTATTTAAGAATAAATGAAAATGATTACAGTTCAAATTTTTTATAATTTTAGGTGAACTATTGTTAGAATTCGATCAATTGCTTGATTTCCTATTGTTCTCCTACTTTGAAGACGCCAAGATCTAATAGGATTGTATGATTAATTACTATTAATTGCTGTTTCAATTGTTTTTTTTAAATCGAATGGCAAGATATGATCAACCAGAGTATTAAAAATGATATTACATAGATAATCTCTTTTCTCGGAATTGACGCCAAATTCATCATCCAAAATTTACAATTGCTTTTTTGTGATGTTCTAACTGAGAACTTAGAATTAGTTTTAATAACTTAAATTAAAATCGGATATCTAATTATAGTGAATTAAGAATATTACAAGAGAGGGTATCTTGACACAGTGATTTATGAATATATTCTGTTGGTCAAGGTTTTTTTGGAGAACTTCAATTTGTTTGCTTAATTCGGCTACTTTTAATTCAAGAAGTTCCACATATATTTTCTTGCGCTTTCTTGAGTCTCTTGCAGATTGTCTGTTCTTAGCCAGCTTAATTTTGTTGCTGTCATCGAAGCCGTGTTCCTCTTGATAGTACACATTATCTTTGTCAAACTATTTCTTTGTTTTAAGATAAGTCTTTTATCTATATTGTATATTATTTTATATTACTCTTTTTTAATTGCCAAAGAAGATTCTTAGCAAGTGGGGGCGATTTCGATCAAAGAGTTTATTTTATTAACATATACACTTTTAGAATAGTTTACATTAAATAAGTCTTTGTTATTATTTATGATTGACTCATTATGTTTGTCGATTTGTCTGTACTTCCTTATTTGATCATGATGAGGAGGGGAAACTTGTTGATGATCTTCCTCTCCAAACATCCATTTGTTTGTCATTTGATCAAGTTCATAAGAGGAATTAATCAATTGGATTAAGGAATCTGAAGGGATGATGTCGTAGGTAGCTTTCATTTAAAAATTTAATTGAAATAATATTATTATACACCTATGAAGATTGATTTAATGTATTTAATAATGATAATAACGATGATGCAAAATTCTTAAAAATTGATAAAATTTATCATTTCGCAGCATCACAATTATATTACGCAATATAATTAAAAAATTAATGAATAAACCACGATTATTCTATATTAATGCGAATACGAAGGAATTTGTAAAATTAAAAAGCTGTCCTAAAAACTCAAATAGACATGTAACTGTAAATTCAAATTACTATAACATTATATGTATTCAATATTTTGTAAATCAAATTTATTTATAATGCTCAAAATCATTGTTCCGATAAATAGCTGACTATTGAACTTAATGCAATTGTTAACGTTGTAATGAAAATAAAAAATACTGAATAAATAAAGAAATAATAATATGCTAAGTTTTTAGTCAGTTTGAACCTGGAATTAATAATAAATTAATACTTCTTAGTGATTACAACAATGCATGTCATTATGATATTCATTAACGAAAAGATGATCACGCAATAAGCAATAGAATTATTCATCCTAGTAATAATCTACAATAAATGTCCAAAATATTTACAATGTCTGTTTATGAGCCACTCTTAGCATCTCTGAAAAGATCAAATGAGACTATTCCTGGATACTTTTCAATTGCAGTCAACCTAACCAAAGCACCTCCAAATCCACATAACATATTGAAGACAGTTCCTGAAAAGCATCCTGTCATAGCCATCAATCCATAACCAATTGATGCCAATTTAGTATTAACCAAGAAATCACAAGTAGAGTTTCCAAAAGCCAAAAATGTCATGCCCAAATAAGAGTAACTCACTCCAGTAATTGTTTAGATTAACTGAAATATAATTAAGGAATTCTTACCAAAATGAAATCAATCAAAACTTAAATAACTTATTTACACCAAATAATTGAGCACACTACACATTCAATTGACAAAATAATGATAGGGATTTCAAATATTAATTAATAGATAAACAATAGCAAACCGAATACTTCCAAAATTATCCATACTTTGACATCATAAATTTCCATTGAAAATGCTATAAAATAAGTATTGTCTAATTAATATACATCCCAATAAAGCAATCATTGCAATTGGACATAAAAGTTGATGAATGGCTGCATAAGTTTTATCATACTTTTCTTGATTGCTTGCAGGAATAGTGATTTTTCTAACGAATTCTAATGAGGTTATATAAACATATTTAAGCTTTGAGATAAAAGTCATTTCTCCAAATGGTTTCTTGAAAGATTCAGGAATTGATTCTGCCAATTCCTTTTTTAATTCTTCATCAGCATTTTCAATGGCTTGATTTCCCTCCTCTGCTTGGGCCAACAATTTCTTTTCCTCTTACTCTTTTCTTTCTTCTATGGAATCTATTTCATCCTGTCTCTATTCTATAATTTAATCACTTCATTTACTTTTTTTTATACTACTTTCATTCACCAGGACTACTATTATGTAAATCACGTATAATGAACAAAATCCAATAGCCATGTAATGATTAATTTGTCCAATAAATGCAAATATCATCAATAACACTATGGCAACTCCATTAAATATAATGTCTCTCATAAATGGCACTTTCTCTGCCTTAAAATTGTGATCAACATAAATACTTTCACTACTCCTGACAACAAAATAACTGCACCTACTATTATTGTTGTCATAAATAGACCACTGCCAAATATACTCCCAACGGCTATCAATATACCATCATCGTCTTAAGATGCCAATACAGCACATAAAAAGTCAGGCACACCATTTGCAAATGCTATCAAAGTTACACTTCATAAATATTTTGTATATACCCTGCAAAAGTTTATGACATTTTGAAATACTCCGCAATAAAAGTCACTGCAGGTGATAAATAGTCATCTACTGTCCTTGCTAAAAAGTTGAACAATATGAAAAACAAGAATGGCTATAAATTATTAATTCAATTCTTATACAGCAATGAGTATTAATATTACCCAATTTTCATCAAGTTGACAGAAATAATAATGTGTAAATGGAAATATAGTTTGGTCGTTGCAATTATCCTTTGCATATTGACAACTATCATCTGCTGCTTTTATTAATGAATAAAGGCAAGTGTTAGCCATTCTAAAAAACGAATATATAAATTATTATATAATTTTATTCCTCAATTCAAATAAAATCAAAACTTTTCTTTCCTTTGACATTTTGTACTCTCTAATTTCAATCCTTCAAGTATTGGTGATAATATTCTCAACTGCTCCACTTCACTATTGTCAATGTGTTTATATAATTATTTAAAAAAAGTGATAATGCAATTACTTATAAATATGTAAAATAACTGAAGCCAATGAAAATAATTTGCCAAATTGATATACTGAAAAATAAGAACGTTATACAAAATATTATTAAATAAAAAATACTCCTTTTAATTTCTAAATATATATTGCACCATTAATAATTTTAATATATTCTTATTTCGTCATCAAATTAATTTTTCTTCTTTTGAATATGTTACTCCATAATTCTTGGGCTCATTCGCTGTTCATAACTTGCATAGTACATCTGGATTATAGAATAAGATATGATCTCTAATTTAAATAGTTTATGTTTTAATTGAATGAGTTTGGAAGCTAGGCTAATTTAAAAGGAGTTATCATTATTAATCTGCACAATTCACTGGCATTTAATTAATTTTAATGAATATCAGGATATCTAGACAAATATTAATTGATTTGATAGATAGACTAATTGTAAACAATTATATTATTTAATTACAAATTTGCACAAACCTATGTTACTAGAAAAAGCAGTAAGATGTGATACAATATTAGTTAAACGAAGAAGACGAGTATAAAAGATTGCAAAAACTGACTTTAGGAATCAAAGACATGACTCTTAGAATTTCTACTCTACAAAGCTTTAATGACATTTTATCATTAAAATTATGTACTAACTGATAGTTCTATTAAAGTGATATGCGCTTATCCATTTCAATAACGAAGTGTGGAGCTACTAGTTTCAATATTATTTGACCGATTCAAGGATCAATAATTTGTGAACACATTTTATTAGGCCGCATAAGAAGTTGCACAATTGCAAGAACAAAGAATGGTACTAAGTTAGAGATCCTTATCTAAAATTTCATATGTGTAAGTATTTTACAATATTCAAGTTACAATTCAATGACAGAATTGAGAAAAAACTCTCAAAATGCATTGTTTTCAAAGTCAGTTACTCGAAAACTCTTAGAAGCCAAAAAGTTTTGCGTCTAATATTTGAAATAGATTTTTTAATTGGCAAACGATTTGAAAATGGATATAGAAAAATTAGCGAGAATTTTTTAAATATTTATAAAAAGTACTAAAGACCAAGAATTTCGACTAACAATAATATCAATCTTTGAGGAATGCAAACATGAGATCTTTGGAAACAGAGAATGGGTAACCACTTATTACGAAGAAATCGATTAATGTATAACCATTTTATATATCTAATAGACTTCTTATAAAATCACATTCGTATACCAAAACATAGCATCAATGATAATGTTTCAGAAAAACTAGCCAGAGTTAGCTTCAAAATTATTGATGACCAAGCTAGTTTTGATAGTGATGAAAGTGTAGAAGAGAAAATAGAATTGTAGATTTAAAAATGGTTATGTGATACAGACACCTATGACATTCAAGAAATAAATGATATTTTGAATGAACCCGAATATTTTAGTGATCTTATTAAATATGTTACTCAACCTCAAAAGTGTGACTTAATAAAAAATTGGGTATGTGCATATCACAATATACTGTAGGATAAACATTAAATGCAAAACACAGAAATTAGAGATAACACCTATCATAAATATAGCTAAAAAAGCCTAAGCTTTTAATAGACTATTAGATCTTATAAGGCTCTTTAAGTTTTAATAAAGGAGGAGAATGTTGCCTTTTTTAATTAACACATTCCTCAAAATGTTATTTAAATATGTAATTTGGAATATTATTATTTAGTTAATGGAATTTATGATTTTCTTAATGATTACAGTATTAATGCTAATCTCTATCATATAGCTTAATTGATTGATATTACTTTGTTGAGAGAACCTAAATTGGGGGTAGTTTAAATTATTGATTTGAATCTCTTTTTTTCTTTAACCTAATATATTTATAATCCAATGATATCCTTGATTTTAGAGAGTAAAATTTTAACTAAATATTTAGATATAATTAATGTTAATATTGATAAATATTAATTGGGATCCTTTTTTTAAGAATAACTATGGAAATATTTGTCTAAAACTAATTGGTTCAAATTTATTGGTTAATTGATTTCAAAAGAGCGATCTTAATCAGGAATTGATTAAGGATCTAAAGGGGAAGTGACCTTAACAATTTTACCAACTCTTAAGGCACTATCACAATATGACTCAAAGGAGCATTAAAATTTAAGTGTGCATTCTGAAGAAAAAGTTAAGTTAACTAATCTTTTGGGATCTCTACAAGCTGGCAAGACTCCAGAAATGTTTTATACAACCAATCAATAAAATTGGTAATTAAATTTAGATGTTCATGAGAATATCAACATAAAATAAATACAAGCATAAGACATAGACAATTTAAAATAATTTAATTAAGAAAGGAATAACAACCCATTTGTTAAATAATATTATTAGGATTTACGAAATTAAAGATCAAGAAAATCATTAATTAGTTTGAATGATTCGAATATGAATTCTTTTGTAGGTAATAGCTTTTTGGAGGATAGGAATGTTGTATTTAAATAATCAATAGATTCAAATACTTCAATCAACAATTATGATCAAAAAAATAATATATTGATTAGTATAAAAAGAAGTTAAGCCAAAATCCAGGAGAAATTTGCATAATCAAATTCGTTTTAGTCAACTCCATCTCAATAAGTCGAATCTCCTGGATTGTAGATATTAACACAAATTCAAAGATTCGATGTAAATGAGGATTCAAAACCAAAGGCTTAAAGAAATCAAAAGAAATCTCCATTTTTAAGCACTCAAAATAAGTTAAGACTTAAAACTGAAGGAAACAGCACTTTTGAAGGGTTTTCTAGTTCTAAACTCAGAACCATTTATCCAAGTTATAAAACCTAAATAAAAAATACAGAATATTAAAAATAATTGGAAAATCTAGATTTCGATTTTCATTACTTTCTGGATGGTTTAAGATTACTACAACAATCCACAAAAATAATGATAGAATTCTTAAAATTAAAGAAAGACAAAGTTAAACAGACATTAAACAGATTAGATATCACTTCTATTTGCAAATCTTTTTTAAACGAAGAATTATTTAATAAATATTTCTAATTTTATTTGTTAAATATATTAGATATCAAAAGAAATGAATATAACATATCTGATGAATGTGGAGTCTTCATTAATTTCATTTTCGAAAATATCATCGAAATAAAATAACTATTAGAGTGTTCATACAATATATGCAATAGTTTTATGAAATCAATCGAATATCTTTGTAAAATAGTATTTGATATTCATAAAAACCCTAATGGTTTAGATAGTTCAACCCTTAAATTTAAGAAAACTCTATTAATAACTACACTAAATTATGGATTTTAATTGATTCATCAAACTAATTAAGAGTTGACAGAGAGATACATATTAAAATATCTAAATGAAAGTGTTCTTCATATTCTAATAATTTGGTTCTTTGATAGCCATGCCAATAATGCATTTTAAAGAAATTTCTACATGTAAGTATATTATTCATATTCAGTTTTCTAAATCATATCCTTGACTAGGCTCCCTCCTCATTGATTTCAACTATATTTTTTAAAATAGGACTGATTTCATCCTTGTAGAATGCCTATTCAAAGTTTTTTGTCAATGGAATTAAAAATAACGAAAATTTCGAAGATTTATGTTACTACATCAAAATTATTACATCACTGATTCTGAGCGTAAAGAAATAATTGATTTATGTAGGTAATAAAAAGAAGGAACTTGATAAGCATAGAAAGGAATCTTGAATCTATGGAATCATGGAATATTTTAACCAATGGGAAGTCCTCTTTGCAACCATTGCTATTATCGAAGAATAAGTCATACTTCCTTTTTTCAGAAAACTAAATGTCATTAGAAAAATGTTCAAATGGATCAAATATCTACAAATAAATAGACAATAAGTTGAAGGAAAAGAGAGTCAGTGATGTTGTTGGAATAAGGTATTAGAATTAAATAATTAATAGAAAATCAATAAATTTGACAAAGCTCTTACCATTAAGTCCTGGCATGCCTAATAAAATAAATTAATAAAGTGTAAAAACCTGACTTGTTCTGCTCTTTGTAATTAATTCTGATTAAATATTAATTCAGTTAAATTATCATTGATTTACATCTTATAGGTATAGATATAGAGATTACGAGGTCTTCGAGAAATAAATTAAAGAATTCTAGTTTTTTAAATTTAATATTATAATTAAGAAAATGGATTCTTAGGCTAAAGTTTCCCCTGATAAACGTGACACTCTCTAATTGTTCTAAAAAGTTAGTTAAAGTGATTAAAAATCAAGTTACTAGATTAATAAGGAAAATATGGATCCTCAAATATAATGTCAGATTTAAGAGGTACCCAAAGAAAAACGGAGAAGATTTAGGATGCCTCAGGAGATATTCAGTAGCAAGAAAAAATATGATATTTTAAAACTTACTAAGTAGAATAGCGATAAAAATTATGAATTTATTGTTATTGACGAGGAATAACTTGGAATTCGAAAGGAATTTTCTGAGAAAATTAGAGATGTTTATGATTAAGATGATGATGTGGATACTACTGATAGTGTACTATAATAATTGAAAGAAGTGTGTTTAAATGATCTAATCGATGGAGTCAGACAAAATTAACCAGATTCGGTACCAAATATAATTAATTTGTGGAGAGTGAAGAGACATTATGAAATATTGGATAGGGATGAAAATGAAGATATAAAAAATTGATAAGCTAGTTTATGATATAAAATTTATAATATGTAATATAAACAGGAATTTAGTATATCCATAGGACAGCTCGAAGAGGACTTAAACTGTGATGAAACATCGCCTTCTCGATAATTTGATTCGTTTAAATTAATCAACCAATTCCCTATAAAAACTAAGGATTCTGTAGAGCAGAAATTTAAGTAAATCAAAAGAAGAATGAATCATCACAAATCTGATATTCATAGACCTGCTTAACTTCAATGTGTTGATTAAAAAAATAATCAGAATGAGAAAAGAGGAGCTACTTATGAAAGATTGCCTAGTGACTTACAAATTGATTCATAAATTAGATAAGCCAAAAAAAAGAACATCAAAGTTTCAGAGTAATGTCTTAGTAGAAATAACGTATTAGAATCAAATTCATCATCCTATAGTTCGAAATTGGGTTCAAAACAAAATTGTGTTAAGGGGATATTGAAGAAGTAAACCCTTGATTCTTCATTTTCTGATAATAACTCACGGAGTAGTAGTATTGGTAGTAAGAAAAGTGTTAAGTTTAATTTATCGAAGCCAGAAGTCAGGATGGCATTGAATTAATGGAAATGATTACTATTGATGGAATTCATCTTTTAATTCTAAATGAACAATAATTTTTATTACTCAATAATTATTTATTTGTTTATACAATGGCTTGCTCATATGTATTTTCTGATGACAAATCCTTCCTCTAAGATTTGGATTACATGTTAGAATAGTCAGATTAGTGTCCTTCCTTGCTCAAATGTTAATCATGCTCCATCTAATTATACAAATAATAATCAGATGCTAAATCTAATGTATCATGTGCAGATTTGGTTGATTTGGAGAGAGGAGGTAAAACTACATAATTATACAAGGTTGCATTCTCCAAACCAAGTTGGGTCCAATTTAATATGGTATGCCTCCAGAAACAATAAAAGACTGTTTAAATCTAGGAATGGAAGTTCCAACATTTTATATAATACCATCAAAAAGGTATGAAATTTAGAAATCATTAGATTCGATAAAAGACTGGGAATAAGCACTGCTGAATTTGAATTTCCAGCTTATTTTAATTTCTTCTGTAAAAAGAAGTAAATAACATTAATTTGTACTGCTGATACCGAAAAAGCAATCAGAACTGTGTTTTAAGAAACTTTGTTGGGTCCAGTGGATCATCCTGATTTGGCACTCGATTTCTACCATAAATTTCCAAAGAGTGCCTACCCAGACTTTCACAAAGAAAGAAGTGTGTTTTCAAGAAATCCATCAAATTTGGATGAAAAATTAACAATTGACCATCTATTAAAATTCTGTTTATTCGATGAAAACAATACAGCAACGATTACAGAAGGAGAGATCATAATTAAAATAATAAAGGATAGCAACTCCTTTAAAATCTTAGAAAATGGGATATATCTGAAAGGTATTTAAGATACGTTTACATTCCCCTAATAATATTACGAATATATAGTTACAAAACCAGATGATTATAGAGCTGAGAGCATGAAGAATATTAAATCTAAAAGGGATGCTGCAAAAGAATCATGTCCTACTCCTTTATTGGTTAAACAATTACCAGAGATGACAGTTGAATAAAAAATGGAAAGTTGGGTTATAGGAAATAAATACTAAAGGGGTGGCGAAAAGAAATTATCAGTAGTTTTATGGGATCAAATGGGAGGACATGTTGAAAGTGGATCAGCTATTTTGTAATTAGATATCGATGAAAATAAATCATTTACACCTCCAGATTTTGGAGTTACTATTCTAGGATGTGTAATTATAATCTCTCATATTCCTTTAGTCACATGGATTTGATCCAAAAGGATCCACCTCAGGTTATATTTTTTGGGTTAATGGAAGGGGAATTATGGTAGATCCACCTCCATTTGCTTCTTATCATATGAAATAAATGGGAATCCCTTCAATATTAATATGTGCAGTGATTATTAGTCATTGTCATGCTGATCATGATGCTGGTACATTCCATAAAATATTGGATGACACTAGAGTAGAAATAATTACAACCAGAACAATTATGAATTCCTTCTTAAGAAAATATTCTGCGATGTCAAATATTGACATAGATTCCTTAAGAAAATTATTTATATTTAGGTATTTCTAAGATTTATCCTTAGACCTGCTATAATTGGAATTCCTTTGAATATTTACGGAGCCTATTTTAACTTCTTCTATGCCATGCACACTATCCCAAGTCTCGGATTCAGCGTCAAATTAGAGAATAAATCAATTTATTTTTCAGCTGATACATTCTTTGATCCAGATTAATTGTTGGTCTATAAAAATTAAGGAATACTCTCACAAAAAAGATATGAACACTTGGCTTTCGTAGAATTCAAGGAGGATTTAATCCTTCATGAAGCAGGAGTACCTCCTATTCATACTGCATAATCTGTGCTTGGCAAATTACCAAATAATATTAAAAATAGACTTTATCTTGTTCACACTGCCTAAAAGGATCTCAAAAAAGAGTTAGGGCTAAAGATTGCCAAAACTGGTATAGAAAATACAATGATTTTAATACCAAGTAATACCAATAAACATTTGACAACCATTAGAAGACTTGATCTACTTTCAACTATTGACATTTTTGAGCATCTGACTTTAAAGAATGTAAGATGGCTTTTAGATTCAGTTACTTCTGAGGAGTTCTTTCCAGGATAAGATGTCATTAAAGAGGGTATGGCTGGAGATAGATTCTATATTATTGAATCAGGACTAGCAAGAGTTTATTCAACATAGAAAGGCTAAGAATTCGAAAGATACTATTAGGTTGGTGACTATTTTGGAGAATCTGCTGTGTTATCTAATGAAGGAAGAAGAGGAGCTTCGTAAATATAATTAATAATTTTATTAGTGTAGAAGCTGTTACACATCTTAAAGTTCTTATTTTAGAAAAACATGATTTCTGGTTTATTTTTGGAGATGGCCTGGGTGGACAAGGTCCCATCATTCAAAAAATGAAATAATTAACTGCTGCTAGACGATCTAAAGCTGTTCATTGTCTATTTAAGAATTCGATTTTATCTGAATTAACTCCTTCATAAAAAACACAATTAGAAATGATAATGAGAGAGTAAGAAATTGAAAAAGGGACTGTGCTTTGGAAAGTTGGAGAGAAACCAGAATTCGCTTTCATTATTAAAAGAGGAACCTTTGCTTTTTATGATTCTCCTGAGTAAGATCTAGAAGAATTAGATTCAGGAGCCTACGTTGGAGAATTAAGAGCTATGATTGAAAACACTGCTATTTCAACATCTATTAGAGCAACTAGAAAAGCTACAATCTTTAAGATATCCAGAAAGGATTTAATTAGTTTTGCCAATAAACATCCTGGAATCTACATGATTTTAATTGATACCAAATATTTAGAATGAATAATATTAATTGCAATAATATATTTATCTGTTTAGAATAATATTTAATATTTTAATATTCTAGTTAGCAATTCATATTTTATAATTCATATGTAATTAAATGAAGAAGAATTTATAACTGTATATAGGAGGAAAAATAGATCTGAAAAATTTCTATTTCATTTTATGTAATCATATATTATCTCCAAAATATATTTAATTTAATTTTATCCAAGATATAATTATATAAGTTGTTATTATAATCATTAAAAATTGATTAGTTATGATTAATACCTAAAAAGACCATCTAGAATGGTATTAATGATTTCTGAAAAATACCTTCATTTAATAAATTCTGGTGATCAACAGTAATTAATTGTTAATTCTGATCTAATTCTGATTTTTGTTTATAATTTGAGTAGAAAAGTAGGAATATAATGAAAATTCTTGTATGGGAATAGTGTTTATCCAAATTTATTTTTTATGAAATATAGTAATCGTAGGCAATTGTTATTAATTTGCATAATAGTATGTAGATTGACTGCAAAAATTATAGTCAAATAATATATAAATCAAATATTGAAAAATCTGTCAATTTAATTTCACAAAAGGGAATTAATGATATGATTGAGTGATTTTGAATTAGATTGTTTACAGGTATAATTTTAATTTAAATACTTTCTATGCGATATTTAATTAATTTATATAACAACAAGTTAAGAATGACAATTCTTTAAATTCAAGTTAATTTATATAGTAAAATTTTAATAGAGTTGTAGATGAAAAAATGTTTAAAATTTTAATATTATACATTTATAGATGTAATTACTGTTTATTAAATTACTTGAAGTAAAAATAATATTTGATCCAAACATAAAATGAGAATAAAATAAAACTTCATTTTAATTTCATCATTAATCAATATAGAAATGAATTATTGACAAGGATTAGTATGAATTAAATGAAATGGTTGAACATGTGATAATTTCTGTTTTACAATAAGGTTTGTATATTTTACCAGTTTAATTATATATATTAATTAAGAAACAATATTGATTAAAAATGAATCACTATGATTACTTTAATCCTTTGGAATCTGATTCCAACTCAAGTGATATCCAATATGATAAAGAAGATGAGGACGAAAAGAAATTCGATGCATAGATGAAAAAGCAAAAGGGAAATACCAAAAACACATACATCAATAAGATCTCATCTCTGATCAAAATAGCGAATTCGGAATAAGTGGAAGAGAAGTATTTTAAATTAAATGACAATAGAGGAGGAAAAAAATAAGTTTAAGCAAAGTCGTCAAATTAACTCTTTGGAGGGGCATCGTCGGTTGATAAAGAAGATAAACTGAAAAAAAATAGAGAATCGGCAAGAAATAGTAGGAAGCGAAAGAAGATTTACTTAGAATTATTAGAAAATAAAGTTACGATATTGTCAGAATAATTGGAAAGTTTTTAAAAAGTTAATGACTCTACTGCTGATTTGGCTATGAAATTACAACATAAAATAAGCTAAGTTAGTTTATATAATAATTTAGAAATAAGAGTAAGACCAGAATAAAATGATCTTATTCTCCAATTTATAAAATACTGTCTAGAATAATGTTAGCGAAATGAACATTGATACTATAATAGAATCATTAAATGTAAAAATAATAATCTAAATAAGAAAAAATTTGGAGCTGGATCATTCGAAAGACAATAATAGTTGGATCATTATTTTAACCAAATATATGAAAATTGCCTATCCCCTTATTTAAACTATATAATTGGGGCTGCGAAAACAGAGTAAGATATTTTCAATGGGTAAAGTGGAAATGGAGACTCTGGTGTTTTAAGGAATTTGAAATTGACAGAGAAATAAAAGTAGATTCTTTTAAAGAAGCATAAAAAGTTACTCAGATTTTAGAATGATCTTACAAAGTTGTGTTAAAATTTATTTTTAGCACTTTATCATCTTTCTAGGAAATTAAAAACCAAATATAGATTGAATTGGGTTCGTATGGGTAAACTTTAGAATAATTAAGAAAGGAGTTAAAGCCAAATTAGGTAGGGAAATTCCTTATTGAAATTGAGAAAAAAGATATGTAACATCATTTTAGGGAATAATTCGAAAAATACTTTGGTGCAGAGATGGATGAAGATGATTCATTAGACTTATATCAATTTATGGCAGAACATAATTATTGCAATACTCTAGGTATCGATATTCAACAAACTTATCATATTTATAAATAATCAAAACAATTTTTAAGTAGAAAGTATGACATTGATGAATAGAAATAGCAATTAAATAAAGATGAATGATTATTTAATTATTTTTAAGAAAATATTTAAATTGTTTCATTCTTTTTCAAATTTTGAGTTTCAATTAATCATTAAAAGAACAATTTTATTAAATTATCCTCAGAACTAGAATAAGATTTTAATTGATTATATGGAAGTAATTTAATAATCTAAATTGATATAGAAACGAATTATTTTGTTTTAATAATAAGTAAATAATTATAATTAAATGAATAACAATAACATCATTCCAATTTAACTTCTTCAACAGCTGCGATTACCAATAAGAAATAAAGATTATAGCACTTCTCTGTAGTCATTTAATTAATTTCTTGGTCAAACAGAACAATATATAAGATTGTTCAATCAACAAAATTTAGATCAAATAAAGATTGTATTTGGAATGATTTTAGAAGTATAACGATTCTATAATAAATTAGGATTTGGATTTCTTACAATTGAAACCAGTCATTTAAATTTGGAGAATCAACTTCACTGATCTATTTTTGAACACATTCAACCTATCATTTGCCAAAGCGCTTTGTCAATATTATGTATCACTAAGTGAATGTAGTCAAATATTTAAAACTCCATTATTTAATGAAATCTCTAAGTAGATTTGCTAGATTTTTTGTATTCTTTGTTGGGATAAGGACATATCAGATGAAATCAGACATTCAAAATGTTTAAGATCATTTATTCGCATGCTCAGAGTCAATTGTACTGATGATTTATTGGCTTGTCTAGTTATTGTAACCAAAAATAGCAAGAATTCTGAATATATGACTATAAAAAAGAGTTAAGATTAACTACTTTAGTTATTTAGAAATAACATCAATAGAGAACTAGTTTAATTGATTATAGCCAATATGTGTTTTAATAATGATTAAAGATTACTTTTTTGGTGTTAAGGAATCCTATAAGTGTTAAAGCTAACTTTAGATGCTTCATCTCTAACATTAATATGGAAATTATTATATGATTGTCCTGAAGTCATTGATGAACTCTTAAAATACGCAGAATTCTTCAATCATCTATATAAATAGATTAACACTATCAATGAAGAATGCGCATTGATGATAGGTATAATTAGAAAGATATGTGAAAATAATGAACAATACAAATTATAACATATTGAAAACATAGTCAATATCTTTAGCAATTTCATAGAAAATAATTAAATGCTATCCCAAAAGTATGAATAACAGCATCCATCAATCAGGTAGTTTATTTTCAAAGAAATATTCTCTTTTTTTGGAATTGTTGGGAATTAATATATTTAACCTTAAATAATTCCTCATATTATTAGTCTAATCTATTAAAATAGCAGTGATAACAGATTACTTACTGTTGGCATAGGCATGTTGACCAATCTTAGTACATATACATAGATTCTTAATATCATATAAAATGACAAATTGTTTTATCAGATTATTTTGCAAATTTTAGAACAATTTCATGATAAGCAACAATTAATAGAATATACTTTAAAACTGATGATTAACACATTAACTAACTAAATCATTTCCATTTAATATGCGCAACCTAGATTTATCATGAAATTGTTCTTCATTTGGCATGTGAGTCCTGAGAATGTCTCAGTCAACAATCTAATCATCAGAGTATTGAGAGGTTTATATGTTATTACAAATGCCAATGCATAAATCTTAAGCTAATGTATTAATGAGTTATAACAGAGAAATAATACATTTGATTTTGTGGATTTATGTTCCCTAACTATCAATACAAACTTATAATAAAATAGACTAGAGAATGTTGTTGAAGTATTTTCGATATTATAATTTAGATCTATATGCTCATATCAATAATTCCTAATCTTAAATTAAACAGTATTAAGTTTTAGAACACGATTAAGTAATACGTTGAAACCATGAGAGCAAAAGGAGAATTAAAAAAGGCTTTATAAGCAGTATCTCACTTACCAATAGAAGATATTGGATTACAATTCTGAGTTTATCAGATATTAATATTAAACATACTAAGTATCAATCTTATTATTATTTAATAAATATTGTATATCTTAAAAATATATCCATCTAAATTCTATCATTAAATAATAGATGATTTCAAAAACTATTTAATAAATTTGATAATAAACAGAAAAGATTAAAAAATTTAACTTTAATAAGTATTTCATTTAACAACAAAGAATTTTAAGAAATTAATTTTAATTTCTATTTTTATAAAAGGAGTTCAATATAATATATAAGTAAAATTATTGTTTTTAGGTTTGAATAGTGAAAAATCAATATAAAGTACATAATATAGATTCTTAAAAAAAGCATATGCAATCTTATTAAGGAGATCCTAGATATTTCAATTAGGCAAAAACATATGATTCAACTATTCAATTTCCTTAATGAAGTTCTAAACAATCACCTTTAAATCATATTAAAAATTGAAATTATTATGATCCTTATCTTCAGGATAAAAAAATGTTTTTCTTTTAGAAGCCAAATTTTTGTAAAGGTCCTCTGCCATTTGAATTGGAATAAATTTATCTAGTTTACCATGAATGATGATGCAAGGACATGAAATTTTATTGGCTCTTTGTACATTATCAAATTAATCCTAGAAAGGATGATGAATTTCTACATACTTTTAATAAGTTTGCAGCAAAGTAAACATGTTTTTTAGCAACAGCCTTTATAGAAGTGAATGGACTTAATAAAATTAATGCTTTTGGTTAATAGATTGATGCTAAAAAGCATGCTGGGCCAGTTCCAATGGACCTTCCAAAAATAGTCAATTTAGAATCAGGAACTCTTAATTCCAAATTAATATAAATAAAGACGTCTTCTGCATCCTTCTCAATCTGTTGTTAAGAAGGTTCAGCCTATGTGTAAATCCCATATCCTGGATATTCCATGCAAATGACATTTACATTGAGTCCCTAACTCAAACCAGATGTAAATTCATAGCATGTGCCTCTTTTAAATTTAAGATAAAATTTACATGTCCTCTGCATTACTATGAAAATACAAGAGATATTCATCTGAGTTGTTGGCTTTGATAAATAAACAAGGAATTTAATGTTTATTTTGTTTTGTTCTGATAAATAATAGCTTAAGTTTTTAATGACCATCAAAAGTCTTGTAATTGTAAGAAGGCTATGGATTCAAGTAAATTAATTTATTGAGACTCAACATAATAATATAAAAAATATTAATTGTCGATAAACCTAAGTATAAACCTGAAATAACAAATAAATTAAAGAATTTTTACCAACATGATATCAATATTTGATATTCTTCCAATCAAAAGGATCAATAAATGTTAATAGTTTTAATAAAGCTTTCATTTAAAATTGTAGCTTTAAGAAACATTTTATGTAAAATATCTAAAGTAATATGGAGATATGGTTATTATCAAATTTCAATTTTACAGGATTGTTGAATTTAATAAATAATAAAATTTAAATTGCACATTTTCCATTAAACTGATAACTAATTTATGATTTTAGCTTACTTACTCAGTTTTATGAATTAAATGATAGAATCATTACTTACAATTAATAGAAGCTACTAATATGATGAATTAAATAACATTATTAAGCACTTGAATTATAATGTTTCCGTCCTATTTTCAAGAAATTAATTGATATCTGACTTAAACTTTTTTGAGTTGCAGTATTTGATAGAGATTATAAATAAAATAGAATGAATGTAAATTCGATTTCAAATTCTTTATATTAGACAGAATTAATAACATTAAGGATTATCTCTTTCATTTATTTGGGTATTAAATAGCATTTCTTTAATTTATTTTTATTTTTCTAGATTATTACTAATAAATTTTTCTTTATTTATTTATATGTACTAAGTAAGTATAGATAAATCTTTAGAAACACCAAGTTTACAAGAACCTAATAAGTTAAAAGTAATAAAGAATTATTGTGAACTATAAGATTCCAATGCAGTTATTACAATTAAAACAAAAGGGAATAAATTTATCTTGTCCAAACTATACCCATATTACTACATCAAGCATAATTCATTATTGCTTGAATACATCAGTGAGCATGAGATAAAATCATTTTTAGATGATTTGAACAGAATAATTGCAAATAATTGGCCACCAAAAAAATTAATACTTTTATCATACTTACTCATCCCTTTATCCTGCGGGTTTTCTTTATTGTGTCCATATTATTGCTTCAATAATGCAGAAAGATTTGTGGCATGGAAAATTGAGGAGTACAATATAAAATGGGAGGATAAAGGTTTAAAATTGAAATGGCAAGATGAAATGATATAAATTCATTTATACAATAAAAGAGGAAAACCTGATTATGATGATTATCATGATATAGATGTAATTATATCATGAATTAGCAATTTTAATTATATATATAATTTTAAACAGATTTTTAAGGTCGCCCAGTTTATTAATGTTGTTGCATTCAAATAATAAAAATTCCCCAAACTTAAAATTGTTCTTGAATATCAGAATTGTAACTTAGAAATCTTCCATTAATTATGTACTATTTAGAGAATAATAGTTGTAATTTATTAGGCTATTATAACCAGATTATTTGGCCATAATAATTAATAACAATAAATATATATTATTTGAGTGATATTTTGTAAATTAGATTAAGAATTTTGTAAACAATGAAAACATCGAACCTACATAATATCTATTAATATATGTATTATTAAATTATCACTCTTGTTGTATTTAAGAATTAGGGTTAAATCCTTCTAATTTAGCAATATAATCTTTTAATTCTTAGGCATTTAAATGTGCAAATTTCTGATTCTTACCCAATATTCCAACTTCTACGTTTTTCTCATTTAATCTATGATATTTATAAAATCTTAAAATACTCTTCATCTTCCATAATAGCCTTCTTGATAGCACTTAATCCATGTAAAATGAGTTATTCTAAAGTGCTTTTTTCAAAAAGATGGAACCAACTTTCGAAGTAAGTTCTAGCAGCTTATGACCTTGAACCTATAGCTTAGCATTTATATTCATAATAATTGCCAGAAGGACATGTTTCGAATAAATGAACACCATTTGGATCAATACCAGCAACTAGTAATCCTACTCCATAAGGTCTCTTAGCCCCACTTTAAGTTTTGTGTTGAGACTCTTTAACATTCGATATATTTCATACTTTCTGCAACTTTGAAAACTAGTCTTCCTACTGGATGATGAGATTCATATGTATATTTATATTCTAAGCATTCTGTCCTCATATATTTGCATAAAACACCTGTTTTGATAAATATCAGTAAATACGTGCATCTGCTGTTAATCCAGCAATGGCAATAGCCATATGATCATCTATTTTAAATTACTTCTCTTAATAGCCTGCTAATTCGGATGGTTGTCTTTTGAGACTGCATAATACAACATTTTCGCTTGATTTGAGTCCCAAGCATATGCTTCCTTATTTGACAGCTTCCATAGCATACTCTACCTAGAATAATTTGCCTTATGGTGACCAAGTGACACAATCTGTATCGTACAAATGCTTTAGCATTAATATTTAAATATAAATTTATCACATTGGGATTTTCACAAAATTTATTAGTTAATTTCAATATTCTTCAAAAGAAATTTAGTAAGTTGAATGGTGAAAAAAGGACTTAAAGTTCTAGGTTTAGTATTGCTTATTGAAGCTCTGCTTTAAGATTTCCTTTTGTTAATTAAGTGTAAATATTAATACACATGATTATAATTTGTTATTAAGTCGTGCATTAAAAAAATGATGAAATTCTGATTAAATTATATTAATCATTTATTGGTGAATAATAAATAGATTTGCATTATTATTTTTGGATTGCCTATTTGTTTTTTATTTATTAAAATTTATTGCAAATGCTCTAAAATATAGCTCAAAAAAGAGAAAAGTTTATTATTGGACTTAAGAAAAAAGCAAGAGAGGAGACATTCAGAAAAAATCGATTCCCATAATCGAAAAATGTAATTCCATTTTCTTCTAATGATAATATATTTTAATAATCGTATTACGAGGCATTTGAAAAAGGCAACTAGTAGGTAATTAAATCAATATTATAGAAGAAATTTAACTTTATGAATGATGATCTCGAAATAGGAGAAACAATAACAGACTGCATTTTCAAGGTTTAATAATTAAACAATTATTACAACGAATATGATTGTGAACCTGACTATGATACTACCAAAGATGTTGAACGAATATTCAAGATATTCAATGCAGGCTATCCTCAAATAGATGTAGATATACATATTATTTTCAGAAATCTTGCTTGCATATATTATTGGCAATCTCAGCAGGAAATCATCAGCAAGTTCAACCTATTCATGAATACGTACAATAGCTGGCAGACTATTACAATTCCACCTACTATACAGAATTACAATAGTACATTTTGGATATTTTTGCAAATATAGCATGTGATTGCTATCAATGTCGAGACTTGATTTTAGTGCTAGAAGTTCCAAAACATTTATGGTACAATATATTATAAATTGAAGGAAATACACACTCTAATGCAAACAGAAATGTCTTTTTGATGACTTTTATTCTATGATTATAAATTTGGATAGAATGAAACCAGAAATTAATAAATTTAAATTAATCTAGTTACATTAAATATTATAAGATCTCTACATCTAGCTATATAATGCTGAGGAAAAGAAGTAGATTCTAAAAATTATGAACAGAATTTATTCTTATGATAAATCAAAATTAGATTTGAGTTTTCTGAATTATTTATTAAAAGGGGATTATGAGAATATGTAACTATGTGGAGAAATATTTAAATACTTTTAATATGTATCATTATTAGGTAATCTATTTATTAATATAATAGATAATGAAATTACTTTAAATTTTCAATCTCAGATGGCTCATACTATAATAAAAACAATAAACAAATATATGGAATAAGACAATATTGCAAGAACAGAATTAAAACCTTTAGTCAAAAAAGGATTTGTGACATTGAGTAACTTTATTACAGATGATCCGCAAAATGTCAATGAATTTTGGGAAGATGTACTCCCTTATGCATAAAACATCCCTTCATTATTTTTAGAGGTGGATGACTTTTTTTTGTTTCTCCACAATCTAATCAAATTTTCAAAGGATGAAGATGTTATTAAACTAAACAAAGACTATAAATTAATTAAGTAAATAGCTTAAGAATTAAATGACTATTGCGAAGAAAAAGATAGTCAATTTTTATTCAATATTCTTTCCATTTTATACAGGCTTTTAAATATAGATGATACTAATGTGAAAATATTTAATGAAGAAGATTGTGAATCCAGAATTTTATATGTTCAAAAAATGAATATTTCAGATGAAAATTATGAATTAACCAATATGATTTTAGATAGGCTTGATTAATGATTAGATTTTTTCATTTGCTTTCAATATCTTATGAATTTTAAATAAAATTAATAAAATTCTTAAAATTTACTTTTAAAGAGGATTTAAATTAATGTCATTTTATGTATGCTAATATAATTTTCTGAAAATTTGGTAGTAGACCATATGGATTATTGCAGTGATGTTTCTTTACTAAAGTACATTGACAAGAATAATCACAAAGGATTAAAGAATGAATTGTACTTCTTATGGTTTGGAAAATAAATAGTATAATATATTTAATTTATTTACATATTTAATATAATTTTTCATAAGTCAAATAAACAAAAATAATATTAAAAATACGATTTAAGGGAAGGAATGAATCTTTTTAAGTAGAAAGTGACTTATTATTACGATGAAGAATTTGGCACCTTTAATTATTCAACAACTCACCCTATGAAACCTTTAAGATTAGCTATCACAGATGATTTAGTTGGTCATTATGGATTGAAATAATATATGAATTGTATTGTAAGATATATTCAATTTAGGTTTAGGATCAATCTTTTGTTTAAACTTATATCAAAAGAGTAGATGAGGATATATTGACTTAATTTCATTCAGAGGAATATATAAATTTAATCAAAATAATTACTCCTGAAAATAAATGCTAACATGAAGATCAACTTTATAGATGTAAATTAATGAGTTTTTATATATATAGTCAATTTCATGGAAGATTGCCCAGTTTTGGATAGGTTATTTGATTTTTGTTTGTGTCAAACATCTGGCTCTGTTGGAGCTGCTTGTGTAATAGCTGATTAAAAAAGTAATATTGCTATAAATTGGAGTGGTGGATTACATCATGCAAAATAAAGTGAAGCAAGTGGATTTTGTTATGTTAATGATTGTGTATTAGGAATATTAGAGTTATTGAAAACATATTAAAGAGTCCTTTATATTGATATTGATATTCATCATGGAGATGGAGTAGAGGAAGCATTTTATTTAACTGACAGAGTTATGACTTGTTCTTTTCACAAATTTAAGGAATACTTTCCAGGAACTGGGCATATCGATGATATTGGCCATGACAAAGGAAAATATTATGCAGTTAATTTTCCATTAAATGAAGGCTTAAATGATGATTCTATTTAATTAATATTCAAGCCTGTTATTGATAGCATAATGGAGAATTTTAGACCAGATGTTGTGATGTTACAAGGAGGAACTGATAGTCTTAGTGGAGATCGGTTGGGTTGTTTTAATTTAAGCATCAAAGGTTTTTTATATAATTATATTGATTAGGCCATGGTTCTTGCACTGAATATCTGAAAAAATTTAATGTCCCCCTCATAATGGTAGGTGGTGGAGGATATACATTAAGAAATGTTCCTCGTTGTTGGACCTATGAAACATCTTTAGCCTTAAATGTACCTATTCCTGACAATATTCCAGACGAATCTGATTACAAGATCTACTTTGGTCCAGAATATAAATTGCATCTACCTATATCCAATATGGAAGAGTAGAATTCAAAGGAATATTTAGAAAAAAATATGTATTGATGGAATAAAATATAATAGAAATTAGATCTTAGACAATTTAAAATAAATACAACCTGGTTGTGCATAAATTGATCATTATGCTATTGGTAAGGAGAGTAGATAAAAAATTGACTATTAGGAATTGTTCTCATCATACAATGATAAGAGAGAAGAAATGCAATTAGAATAAAACTAAGACTAATAAGATTGAATCAATAACATCTAGTAGATATTTATAAAATAATTATTTTGTTTTGTTTTAATAATTAGGTTATCATTTCTTTTTGGTAAAAGGTCCTTTCTTTTATTATTATTATTGTTATTATTGTTGCTATTATTATTATGGCTTCTATTATTATTATTATTCTTATTCAACTTTTGGAGATGCTTATTTTTCTGCTTATTTAGGTGGCTCATTCAATTATGGTTTTTCTTAAGCTTATGCAATTTTTTATCTTGCAATTTATTCAGTTTTATCTAACCCAAGTTTGACCAGCTCTTATTCGTCTGCGGGAAGTACCTATAAAATATAATATTTTATTAATACGTTTTATAAACCAGCATAATTAGCCAATTTTTAAGCTTTTGGTACAATATTAGATGAGAAGTCTTGGAAATCCAAAACGTAATTTTAAATTAATCCAAGACTATCATTCCAAGCTCTTTTAGGGAATTTCTAGAATCCTTCTTATTAGACCAATCTTGCAGAATGATTAACAAAGACTTTGCTGAATGCCAAAGGTGATGCCTTGTATAATTCTTCAACTAATTCGATTTCAGCTGATGAATCTCCTTCAAAGTAATCCTTGTATTAAAGGACTAAATAAATGGTATATTAATATTACATCCTTCCTTAGCTGCAAGATTATAATAGTCCTTTTCAGCCTATAAGAGTGCAAATTCATTTTCTGAATTAACAGCAGTTTATAGATTCTTGAAAACAGCAACGTATTCTGGATCCTTTGTCATTCTTGCCAAATGTCTTTCAATCAATCTTCTTTCTCTAACTTAATAATCTTTGGTGCAATCAAATGCTAATCTATATTTGAATCTCCACAATTTCTTTTCAAGAAGTGATGTTTGATCTTCTTCAGGATTGTGAGTATAGGCTTCTTAGAAGTCAAATCTGAGAGGACTATATTTAGGATCAACTTAGGCAACAGCCTCATCGATTCTCTATTCAACTTATTCGTCATCCTTGTATAATTCTTAATCGGTTTCAAAGTAATCATTGTATAATTATTCTTCTTCAGTAAGACCTCCATAGAAGTAAGTGTAATTGTTCTCCCATCTTTCCTTTTATCTCAATCTCATTCTTCTTTCTCTTCTGGCATGATTAGCAAAATCAAGGTATTCTCTAACATGGAATCTGTTCACTTTTCTTTCTAATCTCTCTTAGATAGCCAACACTTTCTCTGCTTCGATGACAGCAGCATATGTAGCCTTTTACATTGGTAATTTGTATTTTGGATTTCTGTAGATACTCTCTTCATTGTAACCTGCTTATTTCAATTATTAATCAATGTATTTTAATTTATCTTCACCGTGTTGGAATCTCCACATTCTATAGGCTGGATCAACTAATAATCTATCGTGAACATCGTTATCCATTGTTACCATGATGTTTTATTCATACAATGCACTCTCAAATAATGAAGCCTCTCTGTGAGTCCACATTTTGAACATGTTAATGGATTAAACATTTTCATTCTAAGATAATTGATTAAATTACATCCAATTCAAAAATATCAATAGGATGGAATGAATCTCTATAGTAGGACATTTCCTCGTCTTCTTATTATCTGAGTCTGACGAGTTTGAAAACTTGGCCACACATTGGGCATCTCTACAATGGACCTTCTCTAAGCATAAAGAGATGGATTTCGTGTTGTTCATAATCATCTTCATTCTGCAAACCAGTGCATCCAACATATCTGAAGGGAGTATCAGCAGTGAAAATCACGCAAGGGTTGTCTACTGTACCAAAGTTGACTGTTTAGATATTATCTAAGTTGTTGTAAACTTGTAAATGGAAAGGATTTCCAGAATAGGCAGCATAATATTCATGAAGCACTTCATCAAATGCCTGATAAGTCAAATTTGGTGTCATTGAACTGTGTACACCATCTTATCGTACATATGACTTGATATGTCTGATTGGGGCTGTAATCTTTCCATAGATGTTAGTATATTACCACACTTTTTAGAGTCTTGAATGTATCCAACACATTAAATGTAGAGGAGAATGACTTCTTACTCACTAACCTCAGCATATTTAAATCTTTATTTTATTAATAATTATATCCGAATATCATGCTTTAAATAGGTATTACATAAAGAAAGTACATTCCACTCTTTCAGTTTGAGTCATTTCTTTATTGAGAAAGTCAATTAAAATTTGTTTTGAATTCATTATAAAATATAGACATAAGAATGTAAGGGCAGAGTTATTCTACCCAGACGGTAATTTTAAACTGACTAATTATATTAAGTGATTGTTTTAGAGAAAAGTTGTTTAACTCATAATTTCAGGTTGTTTAACAGCTCTTTTGTCTCTCCAAGAAGTACCCATTATATCCTTTTTTATTGATAGATGGATTTAATTTAATTATTATATCAATTAAAATGGGAAGTTGTTCTGGGTTATGTTCAAAATTCACTGTTGAAAAACCAATTATAGTTAATGTTTCAGAGATTGAAGTTGTAGAAGGTGCTCTCAGTGATGAGTATTATCATCTATCAGCTCAAATGTCATAGCAAGTGGAGGAGAAACAGATTTTGAGATTGGAAACAGGTGCAATATATGAGGGAGAATTATTGAATGGAGTAAGACATGGAAGAGGAAAACAAATTTGGCCAGATGGTAATTAATTTAATGAAGAAAGGATCTTATTATATAGGAGATTTTGTTAATGATAAAGCTTAAGGACATGGTAAATTAGTGAATATAAGTGGTAACATATATGAGGGATCGTGGATGGATGATAAGGCAAATGGAGTTGGAAAATTTATGAGTACGGATGGATCATATTATGAGGGTGAATGGTTGAATGACAAATAGCATGGATATGGGAAAGAATAATGTTCAAGTAAAATTAGAACGCCATAATTATTTAGATGGCTCTTTTTATGATGGGGAATTTTATAAAGGGGCAAGACATGGAAAGGGAAAACTAGTTACTAAAGATGGATGCCAGTATGTTGGAACTTTTGAAAATGGAGTAATCAGTGGAAAAGGTATGTATGTATATCCAACTGAGATAAGGTACATATAAATGGGAGGATGGGAAAACCTACGAAGGAGATTTCAAACATGGACAATTATGGGGAAAAGGTGTTATGAAATGGGAGGATGATAGAGAGTATGTGGGAGAGTTTAAAGAAGATAAAAGACATGGCTTTGGAACTTACAGGTGGAATGGGAGAAAATACATGGGTGAATGGTTGAATGGACAATAGCATGGAAAAGGTGTCTACATTAGAGAGGATGGATAGCAAAGAGAGGGAATCTGGCAGTACGGAATTAGAGTAAGGTGGAATGATAAGTTATAAACCTAATAAGAATAGGAAACAACTCAAAACTGAAGTACTTATTTTCTTTCTATAATTTAATCTCAAAGCTGTTAGCTATCACTTAAATTTAAAATAATATTTCATTATATAATAATCATTTGTTTGCTGGTGTGACAAAAGTCTTAGAAATACGTAATAAGTCACACTCCTTCCTTGTGGTTTCTTAGATTATGTTAAAGAATGTATTTTCCATTATTAAATCAGTTAATTCAATGAATTCATCCTCTAAAAACATGGTCTTATAGTCTTTATAGTCTCTTGGAATTGTTCTAGATAAATAATAGATAATAATATTTACAAATCCTCCACTTGTCTATCCTCTCCTTCCTTCGGTTGCTATTCTGGTTGATAGAGAATTATTGGTTATTGATCTAAGGCTCTGAGAATCTAGTCGGTGTGAGAGTCAGTCAAAACTTCAGTAATAATCTAACCTAGTAATTACTAGAAAGGATGGGCCATAGCATTGTGAATAGGAGGAGGAGGTTGTTTGAATGAGTTTACTAATTCTACATTCAAACTTGATTTCTTCTTTATTCTTAAAAACAAGGTTTCTTTATCCACTGTTATTGCTTACGAGTTTTAACTTATCTGAGAAGTATTCACTTGCTAATTTTTATTTTCCCAACTTATAGTACATTCACATTCTCCTTCATAGACTGAAGGAGTTGAGGCTGCAGTCAACGTTAGTTTCAATTCTATAAATGACTAAGGCTCAAGTTCTCCCTATATAGGTTCAATCAAAAATTCATCTCCACAACATAGTCCTGGTCTATTATTTGAAAGAGTGAATTGAGAGACACCAAAATCAAATACAAATTTGCGATCTGATGATTGATTGTACAAAATGATCATTCTATGTGCAGATTTTAATGGTAGCAATTCTCCAAAATCTATTTCTTCCAAAGAAAAGAACACCTTTGAACCTATAGGAGATTGATGTGATCTTTATCTAGGAATCTCAATTGCTTATTTTTAAATTTAATTTTATGGCTGATTAGCATATCCTCTTCCTTGGATAGCAAGCTTCACTGGTTGAATCACTTTAACCATATCTGAAACCTCAACCAGTAATTCAAAATAGTAGATTTTCTATTCTAGAGGTTTAAAAAGGCAATACAAATATTGTTTCTCATTAGGCAAGAGTGATCCTTAAGGATTCTGAATATCAAATACATTAAATTAAGAATCAATGATCTCTCCATCAATATCCAATTCTTGCACAAGTGTTTTATAAGACACTTTTGAACTTCCGACATTTTAAATTTCTATTGGATATTTGACTGGTTATAATAGTCCTACTGGAGTTTCTGGCAACTCAAATGAATTTTTCTTTACAGCCAATCTACCTTCCAATGGAGCAAGTGTTGTCCCTTTCAAATTTAAAACTAATGGCTTTCCATTCAAAATTTACAATACAACCCTTAGGAAATGACTCTCATTCGAGATTCCTTTTGATTTCAGTTGCTCATCTAAATTACAAGGAGTGTAAATTAGCTCTATATCCTTGAAACATTTTGGGGCAATAACACCACCTTTAGGTCTAATTTGAAATATGTTCTTTTCTAAAATGGCTTTTTCAAATGTATCCTCTTCAGTAGGTTCTCCAGGATCAGCCCAAGGTTCTAATTCTATTTGATGATCAGATGGTAATTTAAATTGCCACTCTAAATCAGTTCCTCCAATATTTTAAATTGTTATGACAATTTTCCTTGATTTTACTTACGGTTTGGAAGGTAAGTATCCAAAATTCCAATCATAACTTCTCAATCTCTTTTATAATTATTAAGCTTGATCGAATGTCAATTATTCGATTTTCAAAAATTTCTATTCATCTTCATTTAGATCCTTGGCTAGTTCTGTATTGATTTGATTGATTTAAAAGTTTTCCCATAATGTGGCAACACTAATTGAATCATTTCTTACATCAGCAATCTTCAGCAAAGGATAATTTCCTTTAGCCTTAATCTCTAATTTGCACTTCTAAGATACAATTTTCTTATTCAAATAATTAGGACCTTTGGGTGCTTTAGGATTCTTTTCTGTTGCAATAACATCCAAAACCAAATCAAATTCACAGACCTCAATTGGATTAAACATTATTCCAATGTCTAACTTGGAATTGGCAGCTATAATTCCGTTCTACAAATCTAAAGTAAAGGATCTGTTAATAAGACTAATCATTTAATGATCAATCTTATCTCTATCCTTACTTCTTGGTCTAAGAACTAATTCAATGTAAAATGTGCAATTCGAATTGTTAATTAAAGTGGCATATTTTTTAGTATTGAAATTAACTTTGATAATATTGAAGTCAATTTGTTTAACATTAAGTTCTAACTCTCCATCTGTACCTTAGCCAAATATCTCAAATTGATATGACAATTCGATTGGTTTTCTTTGTTCAAGTGGAAAGTCCTGATTTCCTGATCCTGGAATATGATACCCTATCAGATTTTAGTTGTCTGCAAGAATTTCAGTAGCAGTCATAGGAACTTTGATTCTATACTCCTTCTTCTTTTTGTAAGGAATGAATTAACAGTCTAGATGTAGAACTTCATTGGGTTTGATCTAGCCGGAAGGAGGTTCAATGTATAATTCATTTTAGTATTTCTCTGGGACATCAATTGAGTAACTCATGGGCACTCTTGATTCGTTGTGAACTGTTATTTTTTATCTCGAGTAAACTCCAACAAAGGAAGGGGGAAAGAAGACTTTGCCTCCATTTTACAATTTCAGGGAAGGAGTAGAACAATACCCTATAGCTTGAAGAGTTATCTAGTTGGAAGATTAATGATTCATATGACAAACCAGAGTTTGGTTGTAGGCCTTGTTTTCAACTGGTACAAATTCAACAACAATCATTTATGATGATTTACCAAAAATTAACCCTTGATTTGGAAATACTCTAAAGGTTCTTGTTGGATCTGGGCTAAAATTAAAATAGATTGGAGTGTCTGATTTATTAATGAATTCAACTGTTTGATAGACAGATTCTTCTATTGTACAAGGAGGGAAATACAATTTGTTAGATGGTCTAAGTTCTACAATAGGAATGTAGGGTTAAGAATTAATCCCGAAAGAATGTCCAACGCATCCAATTTATCCACTGAATGTCGGAATCATTTCTTTGGATGTAAAATCTATGGTATTCTTTTGACTAGTGATTCCAGTTTAAGATAATTTTAAATTTGCACCATTTCCAAATGAATCATTCAAAATAGAACCCTTGTTATTTTTAACTGAATCTAGTATCTTTTTTGTAAGTTTTGGATTATATTTGATTGCAAAGAATTGAATATATTAAAAATAATAGTAAGATGATTTTGTTGGTCTAAAACTAATTGAAAATTTGCATTTAGAATTGGCTTGTGCTGATTGAGTTTCTGGAGAAACTGTGAAAACAGGCACTTTTTCTCCATTAACAGTAGGATGAGTTTGGATTGTCCAAAATATCGTCAATTTACAGTTGAGTCTATTGTGTAATTCTAACTCCCTTGCTCCACTTTGTGTTTAGCATTCAACATATCCAAAATCAATAAAATCTTCAGAGAATTTAATTAATCTGTAATCAGAAGATGGAGGAAGCATTAACTCTTTATATTAAACAGTTTGATTAGCATTTTCTTGCCATTCTCCTTGTAGATTACTTTAATTTTATTAATTAATTTTCATCAAATAAGAATTCTCCATGTATTTGAAATCCACTTCGCTTAATTTCCCTTGAATAACTCTTCTTCTGAAATTATCAATATGTTATTGAAGCAATGGTATTGGTTTGATCAAAAGGTCATAACATGTTCCAATTAAATCGACAAACTTAATTTGATTACTTGCAACACAATAAACCCTTTCATAGTAATTAATTGTATGTCTGGGTGTAAAGGTGATAATGATACGATCAAAGCTCTTTCCTTAGATCAGACCCCTTATTTTATTGAAACTAAAAATGTTATTCATATCGGTGTAAAATTGGTATGAAGCTGCTAGATCAGAATCATTATGAATTGTCAATAATTTAGTGGCCTGATTACCAATTTTAATCTCCCCAAAGTTTATTGATTTTTCACTTAAATACACTGCATGTTCCACTGCTGATCCCACACACTCAAAAGTTAATTCATTTCCCCCTTAACAAACCACTTTAAATCTAATAACTGAAACATTAAGGATTTAAGGTTAATATGTAACTTTGATTAAAAATGTGCTTTTTTGGGGAATGACACCTGAATAGTAATCCAATTAAAATGCATTATCTTTGAACTCATCATCTATCATTTTTGTGATTTAGAATTGAGCTGTAACTTCTGATGAATTCTTAATTGTGATTTCCTTCGTTACTGTTTTACCTATCAATAGAGTTTCGAAATTGAGTTTTTTAGTGTTCAATTATAAGAAAGGATACTTGCCAATTCCTGATACTTTGATCACTCTAGGTTCTTCATATTGAACATGCATGATAATTGATGCAACAATTACTTCTGCTTATTAAGGGGAGTAAGTCAAAGTAAAATTGATTTTTGATCCGGGAGCTAACTATCCTCTAAATTATTATCACTTGGTAATACCTATCTGGAGTAATCTTGAATTTCTAAAATTCGAAATGAAACTACACAGGATAGTCGTTTGGATTTTCAAGCACGAATACCAAATTAGATACGGATGTTACAGCAGTAAATCCAATATCAAGTGCAGGAGGAATGGTTGTCAATATCATTCGATGTTCCACTTATTTTTTTTTCATTATATTAAATTTATTGTTTATTAATAATAACTCATCCTAACTTTTTATATTCTTATCCCTTTGGTGGTGATGGTCTATCCTTCCTTTCATAATCTTTAGCTTTCACTTCATCCCAATTAGTTGACCTATACAATAATCAATTCAATTTATTACAATACTGTTCCTCCTGAAGTTTGCATTGATTTTATCATTGCTCTTCTGGTATTCTCATCCCCATTTTAATAAATTTATTTAAACAAACTATTCAAAGGATCTTCTCCATATTCTTCCTTATGTTTATTGATGTCCTCTTCAATCTCCTTGTCAATTTTACTCCAATCCTTCTTTTTTTTTGATGAAGTAGGGTATGCTGCCTATTCCATGATTGGGATTTATTATTGCTCTTCAGCCTTTCTCTGCAATGTACTCCAATTCAAAGTTTTATCCTTTTTGTCCATAATGATTTCAATTGAATTCAATCCCACCTTGGCCTTGCTGGTTTCTGGAATAATTTCAGCAAATAAATCTAGATCAAGTTCAAAGTTATTTCCTTTTTCAATAGGAAATGATAATTGCAATCTAGAAATTTCTAATTTGAATACCTTTATTTTTCAAACTAATATTTTAAGTCTGCACTATTTGGTAATGCATGATGTATTTCTATACCAACTTTAAGATCTGTTTGATACCATTTATACATCAATTTGCCTGATGCCGAATAAATATCCGTCCTCTGAGCCTCAGAATTTTGAGGGACTTCTTTATTTTACTAGATTATTCTAGAAATTATATATTTCTTTACTTTTCTTGGGCTGTTTAGACAAGTTTAATATTCTTGAATTCTAGTTCGCATTTCAAAAGTTGTTATTAGGTTTCCTTATGTTATGGATTGAATTAAAGACTTTTTTATAAATCTAACTATGCCTATTAGATCTTTCCACTTATGAAGTTGATCAATCCTGAATATATTTCTATACGATACCTTTTCTATAATAGGCTTCAAATCTGTCTGAACTTAGTTAGATTGCTTTGTCTAATGCGGACAATGCATCATCATATTTGCCAAGATGATATAAGGCTATGGACTTGGTTACAAGTGTCTCGTAATCATCACTAGCCAACAATTAGAGAGCCTGCTCATATTAATGATGAAGAATCAAAAAATAAGGATTTGAACTCATAATTATTTATTAATATTTTTCAATACTAAGAAATCTCTGCGTGTTGGACCATACATATTTGCCAATCCTAATTAAATCTTACCATTATTTAATTCTAGATTAAAATTCATAATCAGAAAAACAAGCAAAGTCTTTATCTCCAAAGTTGCTAAGTGTTATCCAATACAGTTTCTAGGGCCAGCTGAAAATGGAGTAAATGAATATGGATCTAAAATTGGAGAGTTCCATCTATCAATATCAAACTTAAGTGGGTTTTCAAAAATAGATGGGTCAAATTGACTCATCATCAAATTTAAATCCAAGCTCTATCCTTTTTAGATAGTGAATTCTCCTAATTAAATATCTTTAAGAGCAATTCTATTAAACAAAGCAGGTGCTGCTGTATATTGTCGATAAGCCTCATTAATAAAGTTATCTAATAATTTGAATTGACTTAATTGTTGTGGTTTCAGATCATCGAATTATTGAATATAGCTGTGAATTTCCTTTCTGAGTCTCTCCTGTACTTCTGGATAGAGACCTAAAGCATAGCAAAAGTTTTTAACAATGTGACTAGTTGAGTCTATGCCAGCAATTAGAAGGGTGAAATATTAATGAACGGCTTCTTCTTTTGTGATGTTATTATTTATAATTTCTTTACACATAGTAGTTAATACATTATCTTATAATGTTTAATTCTCTTTGATTTTATTTATTCCCTATTCTATTTCAGATATGATTCTTTATTTTTAAGCTTACAGTACTTTAAGGAATGCTTTTTCTCCAGATGATAATAAAAATGATGGAGTTGTACTCTTATTTAGTTTCAAAGCAAAACATCTCAATACAATTAATGGATTCAAAAAGAACAACATCATCTTTTCCATATTCTTGTTAACCTCAACACCCAAATCTGCGATATCAGTATTTTCGCTTCCAAAAAATGCTTTTGTAATAGTTGTGCTTGTCAACTATTTCAATAAATCTAAAATATCAATTGGACCATCTTGTAACTTAAGTTTCTTGCATTCTTATTTTAATGTCTCCACCATTACTAATAGATCTTAAGAAGTGAAATGCTTAGTTAGCATCTGTCTTGATTTATGCCAACTCTTGCCATTTTAGAAAAGCAACCCTTAATCTGCAAATGTGTCCGCAAATAGCATGCCTTCCATTTTCTTATAAGATTCTTGATCAAAAAATACTTACTTCTTAAGTTTTGGATCAACCAAGGTGAAGTGAACTCCGCCTTTCAAATCATTAGAGATGTGTAATTTGAGCTTGTTGTTCTTTAGCACATATCTTTTTTAGGAATAGAACACATCTTATCTAAATACCAAATCTATTAGGATTTGTCCTATTAACCCAATGAATGGGAAATAATAAATATCAACTGCTGAGCCATACTTAATCTTGTAGTACAAGAGCTTTGGAATTGGTGCAATCACGAGATAGGCTATCAAGGCCAAGATCACATAACCTAAATAGGATAATATTAGCAAATTCATAAATTCTTATTATTTATAAATTAACAACTTTATTTTGTTTTTAATTATAAATTTTATGGAAAAATATACATTATATATTAGAATTTTGCAGTATTACTATTTTTATTAATTGTCTTAATCTAATATCTAAGTTGAATAATTTCATGAATGAAATCTTATATAAAATTGACTATTGAAAAAAGAAATTCAATTTTTTCAAGTTTTCTCTTAACTTGATATAATTTCATTGTTAAATATATATAATATATATTAGCAATACTTTCTTATTATAATTTGGTCCAAAATTATTAATATATTTAAATAAAGGAAATACTTGAAAAATTTCATGAGCAAATGCCTACTGAGGTTAAATTTGAATAAGTAATCTTGTAAATTATAAGTTTAAAGGCATTTTATATGAAAATAATGTGTGAATATTAAAGAGCCTTAATCTTGTAGATGGAGGACAAATTGTTTTGCCAATCACATCTAAATACTATTATAAGGTGTATTTTAAATGATAAATATAAAATGAATAGTGTATAAAGAATACTAAATGGATCTAAAAATAGTACTTAATTTTCTTTGGTTAAACGTTTTTAACCTAGAATAGCTCCCATATTCAATTAAATGATTTGTGTATTGCAATCTTAAATTAACTTTCTAAGAAGAATGAACCTCGATATTTGACTCAAACCAAAAATAGCTATAAATAAATATATAAAAGTTAATCTAAAAAATATCAAAATATACAAAATTAGAAGAAAAATATATATACTTTTTCTTTTGTAAAATATATGTTATAGATTTAATTTAATGAGTTCATCCATTTTATTAAATAAACCCTCATAAAATATTATTTCAAAAAAACAGAAAATTATATTTTAAAAAATTTATGAATTTCATTTTATGTAAACTAAAAATTCACTTAGACAGTTCAACTGTTTTTGACAGGTGATTATATTAATTAAATTATTTTATTAATTGAGAAATCATTTATTGTAAATGTTTGTTTGTAATAGATATCTAACTAGTTAATTAGATTTTGGTACACTCACATAATAATTCAATTTTTGTTGATTAAATCATTTGTTTTGAGTATTAATATTTTTCGATTTACTTGCAAATAATTCCTTTTTATTGTTAATTTTTAGTTAAGATGTCACTGAATTTTATTATTTAAAGTTCTAAGTTGTCGAAAACACTATTGCCCTCCTTCTTTTTATTCATTAACTTGAAGAGTTCCTTATCCACATTATTACCCATTTTTTTAATATATATTTTGGCAGTAGTCATTACTCTGAGAATAGGGCGAAAAATGAATATAACAATAATCATTGAAATGAAAATTAAAGAGCAAGATGTAATTATTTAGATATAAAAAGCTCTTTCATTCACCTCTTCAACCATAAATTCGAGGTCCTTGAAATTTTTTTGTAAAATATGCTCAAAGCTAGCATTAGTAAACCTAGACTTTAAACTTAAAATTACATCATTAATGTAAAATTTCCAGGGATTAGACTAGCTACTATCTTAATGGGTTTTTTGTAAATTGAATTGTATCTACATAAAATTTATTTTTCATCCAGTTAACAATTTGAAATGCTGGGATTTTGATTGGCGAAATTTAAAATTTCCGTCCAATCAGTTTTATTGAATCCTGTTTTATTTTCTTCGTATATAAAATTCAAATCTGTAACTGGGAGATTTAGATTAACTTTTCGATATATTATTTGTCCTTCTTGATTTAATAAGTAAGTGTTAGCTTAAATTAACTTCATATCAGGGTCTTCAGCATCAATGTCAGTACCTGCTATTGCATCTAAGGTTTTAGTATATTAATTTTCTAAAGAATAAGAAATAGTTTATTTATATATAAATTAAGTGCCTGAAAAGTAAAGTTTTGAGAAAAAGTATTTTTAATCTTTATCCTATTAATACTTATCTAAATGGTTTACAAACCAATTTTTTGTTTAAGGGGAGAATGACCAATCGTAAATAACTTAAGGAAAAATAAACCCAACTTAAATGTCTCCAGTTGCCACATAGAAGATTCTGTTATTTTAGGTTGTATCAAATAAGAGAATATATTCTGATAGTAATCTGGAGAATTTTTATAAGTCCTGATATTTTTACATTTATGGCAGTTAATTTCCTTCCTTACAAAGGTAACAAGTTAAGCAAAGTTGCGGGAGTGAAAATAAAAAATCCTTCTCCTCTTAGGTCTCACACTTTAGTGAATCCTTAGATTATTCTGATATTTGAAAATGATCCAATTATGAATAAAGAGAACCCAAACTTGTTAAAAGCTATATCCCTTTGAAAATATAAGAAAAAATACTTTGATATTATTTTGAGATGAGATAATAATTTAGTTAGGGGAGAAGGAGGTTAAGCGCGCTTTTGTCTTAACGCTACAAAACTATAGTAGAGGAATTTTCATATATTCCAATTATTACATTTTTCTAAACAATGTAAAATGAGACAATCAATATGAAACTGACTAAAAAAGCACAAATCTTGACCAAAAAAATCTAGTCTCTCATTCTAAGATTGTGAAACTGTTTCCTAATAGCTTGCCAAATCGTCATATATTAATCTTATTTAATATTATTTAAAATTTACAACTTTATATTTATTCATAAGAAAAATAAAAAATATCCACAAAGCATAATAAAGTAAGAAATTAATAGAAAAATCTCTGATTCATCTCTTACTCATTATTGTCAAATTATAATGGGTAAATTGCCGCTTTGCATAAATATAAGAAATATTAATGATTTACATTTTATATTATATAATATTAAATGAGTGATAAATCAAAATCACCTCCATCTAAGAAATTAATCAAAAACAAAATGAAGAAGCAATTCTCCAATGAGAAATTCTCAACTAAAAACTACCAACCTTCAAGATTTGTTGTTGCAGAGCGATTATAACCAATAACGTATATCAATTAGTTTCATATTTGATATAGATATAAGGCCTAAGAAATTCTTAGCGAGTTTCAAACAAAAATTGAAGACGCCTTCTTTTCTTAGCCTAATCAATTGAAAAGTGTGCAGCCTAGTTAATAGAGAGTGCTATAGGTATGAAAATGTTAGAGTGCTAAATAGCCAAAAGAATATAAAAAGAAACCGCTAAGAAGATAAGAGAACGATATGCAAATGTATAAGGACATCTTTGTGTAACCTAAGGCGGATGCGTTGTAAGAGCTCAAAGAAAAAGAGAAAGATTTTGAAGCACTCTTCCATAAAGGATAAGCAAAATAATATGACAAAATTCTGAATATTAAGGAAGATGAGGACAAACCAGTTAAGAATTTATTGGGATCATTACTAAATGAATAACTAATGAAATCTACAGCTCCAATTGACAATATTGATTTGAAAAAAGAAATTGATAAAGTGGCTTAAATGGATTTGCCTGTTCAACCAGAAACTAACTTTTAGTTCTTCGATTAATAGATTTCTGTCCAACCACCAGATCTACCAAATGCTAGTATTGCATCGCCATTGACACCTGGAAATGGTTATGCCCCATCCATACCTTATACTCATAATGTCAAGGAAAACAATAGAACTAGTATTAAGGACTTACTTGTAAGGGCCAAGGCTGGTATGTAAGCTGGTGATATTTAAAAGGAAGCGCATTTATCATTTTATTTAGGAATGGTTTATGAGAGTAGCAAAAATCATAATGAAGCTGTGAGATTCTATAAGAAATTTGTGGCTTGTGCCAAATTAATGGAAGATAAAATAGGAATGGCATTGGGAACCAACAGAGTGGCATTCAATTATTACAATGCTGGTAACTTTACAAAATCAATCGAATTTCATAAACAAAACTTATAGTATTCAGATTAAGAGAATATGTTTACAGGATTTTATAATATGGGCTTAGCACATAGAAGGCTTAAGAATTATGAGGAATCCATTGACTATTTTTCAAATGCTTTGGAATGGGCTCAGAAAAGAGATGAAGCAGAATCATCATGCATTTCATATGGCTAATTGGGGATAGTATTTCTAGAAATTAAACAATATGATTAAGCATTTGAAAATTTTTAAGTAAGAGTTTTTATACAACTTAATAGAACTGTTATGAGTTGGCTAGAAGATTGAAAAATCATAAATTGCAATTAGATTGCTTATTGAATCTAATTAAAATATCAGGATATCTTTAAACCTCAACGGAAGTGTAAACATAAATTTTAAAAAATGCCATCTTAGTAATTTTAGCTTATATTATTTAAGTGTGCAAACCATTTAAATGAAAAATCAATTGCAACTTTATGCTTATGCAACTTAGGTGTTCTTGAATCAAAACCTCCATAACCAAATTAAAATTACGATGATTTAGAATATGAATAATTTTGATAAATAACATTATTTTAATTATAATAAAATGAATTCGACTGAAAATAGTCTCATTTAATATAATATTAATGCAAACTCACAGATGTAGACAACAAATAATCTTTTACAAAATTGACTGAGAAAAAACTGGAACATTTAAGTAAGGATTTTAGGAAAATGATTAATACTAAATTAAGAACAATAGTGAATTTTTCAATAGTCATAAGAATATTAACAGTTCTAATTTTAACATTATCAATTCTTATAAATTTTAAAAAGACTTTCTCTATAAGAAGAATAACCAAATAATGAACATTATTGTTTTATTTTTAATATCTTCTCCTCACAATTAAGGAAATCTAAGTTTGAATAAACTCATGGCAACATTAGAAATCTCTTTTGCTCTGTCGTTCAGCCAATCCATTTAATCTTAAGTTTATGCTACTTCTGCAAACTTTCTTGAAAATCTAATTTTTGTGAATGATTCAATTTCATTAAATTTAGCCTACTTTACAATTTCAATTACCAAATCCTCATAATAATTATAGACATCTTGAGCAGTGTAGTTGTTTGGAAGCACATGATCAAATCTCTTAATTGGACTCACATACTTTTTAATTATTTCGTCAAACTTCATTAAATTTATTAAAAATATTATATTATTGATGATAAGCATTATTAGAAAAGCAGAGACTCGTAAATCAGATAATACTTGATTTCATATAAATTTGCTCTAAATATTAAATAATATATTACATAAATTAATTCAGATGAATTAAGAACAAGCAACATAAGAGAGTATCTATTCAGCTTATTAAAATAAATAACATAAACTATGCTATAGTTTAGAAACAAGTAACAGTATGAGGATTTTAAGATGCATAAAAAAGGGAATATCGATATCAGAAGTTTGTGAAGATAATTTATAAAATTTGAATTCTACTATTGATAGAATAGATATTTCAAAAGATGATTATTATGAAACAAAGGTTAAAGATCGAAAGGAATAAACGTTGTCTTTTTAATAAATACTACATTAATTTCAAAGAAGGGTTGTTCAAATGTAAAATATTGCTTAGATGAGATTGGAATAAAACTCAAGTGATAGTAATGGGGATTGGGTACCTGATTTTGAAGAGGAGGAAGAAGAGAGTGATTCTTTTTAATATTAGTGATAATTAATTAAATCAATTTAATATATTTTTAGGGTACTTTCTTTTCATTTACTTAATACACTATACTATATTTTCTTTTGGCTTAACATTCTTTTTTAACATTGCATCATAGATTTTCAGTTCTTAATCCTTCAAATCGTCATACCATGATTTAACTAGGATTCCATTTTCTAAGGATAAATGACATCACTTACATGGATTCAAAGACATTCCACTTAATGAATTGTCAATAATAAAGGTTTTTTCCAAATTTGAATTCACTTTAGTTAAATCTTTATAAAACACTCCATCCTTCTTGGTACAACTCTAAACATTATATTACAATGTTGTTACATCTCTGTAGAATCTTCTTTTGATGAATCCACTTGGATCTAGATAATCAATAACTTTGTCAGCATATTCCTTTAGGGCAGCTGTAAAAATAACCAGTTCAAAATATTTTGATAAGGCTTTCAAGAAATCTCTTGCAAATGGCCTAATTTTGACATAATACTTTTCTATCGTGTTCCCAATTTTCACAATGATTTCTTCATCAAGAAATGAAGTTCTTTCCATTTCAGAGTGTATTAAGGTTTCATCGAGGTCTAACACAAGAGTAAACTCTTTTTCTGTCTCTTTTGCAGTTATTTTATCTTTGCAATCATCATCTGAATCTAAACCCTTAACTGAGAGAGGAGATCCCATCATTATTAAGATCGAACCTAACATTTCCCAACTCCAAGAGATGATTTTCTTGCATCTTTCAGTCGTTGAAGCATTTACTAAAGTATTACCTACTATTTTAGCAATATTTGATTTAGAAATGTATTCCATTATTATATTAATTAAAACGGGAAGTCTGTATTAATAATTATAAATGTAAAATAATATTATTGAATAAAATAAAATAGTTGTCACAGTAAAGGATCCTACAATAAATTAAAATCACGAGGAATTTGTAATGTATAATATAGAGGGATAAGATAACGCAGGCGATTTTTAAATTTAGCATCGTTTTAGTGAATTTTACTAATTAAGATCCTTGCTTGCCTAAAAATGGTAATACTGTTATATACCGGCATTGCCTCCAAAAGTTGTTCAAGTAATGTAATTGCAATACATATTTAGGGAAATTTGAGTTTGAAAGTGATCTATTAAAGATTAATGATGTTTGATCATTTCATGAAATAATTATCTAATTTTTCCTTTTTGTGGTATTCTCATGAAGTTTAAGCATTTTTAAGATAGCTATAATTAAGGAAAAGTAATTCTAATGAATGGTAAGAGAACTATGCCAACTTATTGATTTCAATTTTCCCAGATTTCGCTGAAAATGTAATAGATTAAGAAGTAGAAACTAAAATCAACTAATTTTTCCTTTTTATTCAAAATGCTACTCCAATTCTTCAGAATTATAAAGCAATCATGAAAAATAAATTAACCATTAGGTAAAATTATCAATCTAATTAGCAAATAACATCATGAATAAATAAATATTTTTTAAACTTTTTTTATACCTGAATATGAGAAGATCCTAGAGATAAATGTTGAAAAAACCAGATCTCGCTAAACAAGTAAGATATTTTAAGAGGATCAGAGTAACTGCGTTTTGAGTGATACTGATAAGTAATTCTATATCATGTATATTTAGATTAAAATTGAATTGAATGAATTTTAAGTAAATTTATAATTTAGTTTCTTAGGTTTTAATTGAATTGATTCAAAAAAGAGAACAATTGAAATTATAAATTTAAACTTTAAATGAATAACTCTAAAAAAAAGTAAAGTATGTATCAGAAATCTAAAATAATGGTTTGAATATAATTAAGCAATTGGTAACAACTAAAGAGGATGAAATAGAAAAAGCATTTTTAAATTTGAAACAAGTTATATATTTTAATTCTATTGTAGCTTGAAAAAGAATTGACAATCTAGGTTTCCCTTTTTTCCCTTATTACTAACAAATTAGCATCAGATATACAGTTTTTGAAAAAGGTCTTTTCAGAAAATTATTACTAAGTGGTCAAACAAATGAGTAAGCTTTTTAAACAAAATGCTCAAAAAGTATAAATACAATTTAGGATTAGAATATTTCATTTTACTAGAACCTATTATTAGAAATAGAGTAATTAGAACTTTGAAATTAACTTATAATTTTATTTTTATAAGTATATTTATTTATATATCTCGTATAATCACTTATTTAAAGCACTTTGTTAAACTGATCTTAAAAATTTTAGATTATATTTTGGTATAGATAATGTTTTTGTTTGATTTTAATAAATTTTTCAGGAACTTTAAAAATAGATATTGAATACATTATATTATATGCATATCAGATTATTATATAATAATTGCATATAGCAAAATTAATTATTATTTAAAATATGAAATCATCATTTTAAGCTTACAGAAGCACATACAACAAGTCTCACCGAAACTATTCTGTTAGACCTACTTCTTCTTTGGCAGAAGAGAATTAAGTAAGGAATTTCAGACTGTTTTCTTAAACTTAAGGATGTTCCATTACAACTAACTAACCCCAAAGAATAGAACTACCCTGTTTTTTTAATACTCCAGCTAGATTTAAGAACATGAATGTATTATTTAATATTAGCTAAAGAGAAAAATAAAATTCAATTGTCAGAAAAACAAAATGATCCAAAAAGCCTTTAGACTCCTGAATTATGTATTTATCTACAAGCTCAAAGGAGATTGAAAGATTATGAAATGCTGGCTTTTGCATGTAAAAGAGCTGGCAAAATCAAAGATGAAGGAAGAGCTTACTACAGTATGGGTGTGTTATTGGATAATATGGGTAAATGGAATTAAGCTATATAATAATATGAGAGATTTCTAAAAATTTGCTCTAAAATAGATGATTAACATGGATGTGGCTTAGCTTATAATTGTATAGGAGTAGACTATTAGTTCTTGGCTGAAACGAATCCGAGGTTTATTGAAAAAGCAATTGAATTTCATAAAAAACACGAAGAAGTTTCAGATAGCAATGGTAAATTTTTGGCATCAATAAACCTGGGTTTGTGTTACGATGCCAATTCTTAGTTATCTATGTTTTACTTTTAGTAAGCTCTCAAGCATGCAATAAATATGTCAAGCAAATTAGGATAAACAATAGCAATTGCAAATATCGGAAGAATAGGTCAAAAAGGTTTATATGATAATGCTGAAAAAATGAAAGTAAATGTATATTCAAGATTTAGTTATTCATAGAAAAGTTTCTATAATTAGCAAATGAGTTGAAAGACACAGAAAGTATAATAAAAGGACATATGAAACTAGGAGCAGTGTCTGCTTAAATGGGATCATATACTGAAGGAAAGAATAGTTTTTTGAAGGCCTTAGAAATGGTTGAGAATGATCGATACTTATATTAAGAGGCTAAATGCGGATTTGCGATTTCGAATGCTGAAATGAATATGGATTAATATTTGAGAGAATAAGCATAATTATTAAAATAATGATACTGATTCTATAATACAATTTAATATTATCTAATGATATTACATTATATTTAAATACCAAAGAGAAAAATTGATTAAAATATAATAATATATTTAATTATTTTTATGTGTAATATGATTGCTTTATTATATCATATTCTCCAAAAGTTAATAATACCATTAACATCACTTGTAGATATTAAGTTATCATTAACTTTGTTTATGCAAGTGATGGCTGTCTAATGTCCGAATTTATCATCTTCTGTCTTCTATCCTGTAATAATATTTAATATTATGTACCTTTTCCAGAAAACATTTACTTTGCAGCAGCAATACTACCAGATTTCTACACTTCCCCTTCTGCAGCCAAGCATTTCTCTATAATGGATGTAAACTTCAAAGTAGGATCACAATTCAATAGAACTGGCTTTCTATCATACCCAACTCCCACCATTGTGGAATCATTCAAATATAATATTTTATTAAATGGTTTTGTCTCCTTGATATAAGTAGCCTTAAATATGAATATTCATAATGTACATTTTTCTCTTCATTGTCAACGATCAAGCTTCCATCATCATTAAATTAATATTGTTTAATTAATCCTGTGTGTGCTGCAACTGCAAATTTATTGCCTGATTGGGTGAAATCAATAGAATTAACCCAACCATTTAAATTGATAGTTACAAGGATTTCTCCAAATGTTTTAATGTCCTTGAAAAGACCATTGTATGACTAATCCTCAGAATTGATATTTTCTTAGATAACACATGAAACTAATTTAAATGTCTGATCAGTGGATCCTAATCCTAATACTCTTCCACTTGGATGGAATCTACAAGCGGTTACACTTGAATAAAAACAATTGATCTATTGATTGTGCCACCAATTATTTTTCTCTTCAAAAAATAAAACAAATGCTTTATGACATGCAGTCCCAACTACACATTTTTATCCATTAGGAGCCCATTCTCCTGACAGAATAGCTTTCTCATTTGTGATAATGACTAAATCTTTGCTCCATATATTATTGACATTTCTATATACATAAACCTATCATCATCTTAAAACTTACGCTTCTATCATCACTTCCAATTAAAATTTTGTTATCTACTGACCAAGACAGCACATTAATTTGTTAGGATGCATCCTTCAAAGTAGATACCTTTTACCATGTTCCAATCTTCTCTAATTGACCAACCTTGTAAATATCTGCATTGCTGGTATTTTTAATGGATAGGGCAACATATTAGCCATCTGGTGACCAAGTGTGAGTTACCAACTTTTGTTATTTTAGGTAGGATTCAGTCATTTTTATTAAAAATAATATTTATATTCTAAAATATAATTGAAATCCATAATTTAATAGGAAAATGAATTGAGCTCGAAATTCTTAATAAATAAATTAATGACATTGTAAATTATATATATATAAATTGTATTTTAATAACATTCTTAATTAATTGCTATTTTAACCAAAAGTTCGCTTTCATTTTTATATATTGGTAATCCATATGTTAATATAAAATCATTATTCAAATGTCTTAACTAAATAACTTTTAATCTCCTTAAATAATAAATCATTTTAAACATCAAATCTAACTAATAAGATAATAACAAAATCTCTTAGTCAAGTTAAAGTAGAAATCAAGAAACTCCCCTATTGAAGAATAAGATTAATAAGCGACTGTGATTAAACAAAAAACAAGTAAGGAGACTTTCTGTAGTTAACATTGAAGATTTATCAAGAATGCATTTTAAATATTTTGTGTTTATATTATGACAATAATTCAATGGGGTAAAAAGGGTCTTCTAATTAACCAAAATATAAAAAAAAATAAGATGAATCAAATTAATTATAAATTAGAATTCACACTGACGACGATTTGATATCAATTTCACCAAAAGGTAGCTTCCTTTTTGAAGATTTTTAAATTGTATTTCCTATATGCTAAATGTTCTTAAACTCGCCAGAAATACTCTAATGAATTCCCTTTAATATGGTCCATATTTTAAGCAAGTTCTATTCAAAAACTGTAATCAATCTAGAAATGTTAATGGTGTTGTTAATTTTGATTTGGATAATGGAAACAAAGCAGCCTCTTTAATTTTTGAATTCTTATTTTTAGTTCTAACATGACTACCTTTGTAGTTTTAACATGCTCTTCTTTTTTTCATTGTATGATAAGATTGCAAAAGATATGTTACTAATATCTTGCTTAGTGTTTTCATATACTATATGGTTATTTGACTAACAAAAAGTGTGATATAATTAGAATTATGTGAAATTAATGATGAAATTATGAACTCTACGTATATATGACATCATTATTAATCAAATCAATCAATGTTCCTTATTTCATTAAAATATATTATTTTTAATAATGATTTTTGAGATTTCAAATTACTGTAAGGATATCAGTAATTGTTTCATATCCTAGAATATAGATCAATCTTTGAATGAAACATTTTTGCTTGAAAAAATTCAATCCTTACAAGTATTGTGACTAATATTATAATTTGATAGGATAGTTTGAAAGAATTCGATTTTTGGTTTAAAACACAATTCAATAATGAAGAACTTTTGGTCAATTACATCTACACAGAGTTACTAGAAGTCAGAAAAATTAATAAAGTTGTGTAATTTAAAAAAGTTGATGAGAAATCATCAGAAGTCAAAGGCTTAAGTATTGATTCACAGAAGAGTGCAGAAACTTAATCCAGCATTTGTAGTGCAATGTAGTAAAATTAAACATAGCTTTAGAACTAATTATAGAGCATACACTAAAAAATTATAGAAGAAAGGATCATTATTGATGGAACTTCTCAATAATAATAAAGAGGAACAAATAAATTAATCCAACCTCTTAACTCCTCCTAAATCTTATTCACTTGATAAGATCTATTACGTAATTAATTTTGAAATTAATTGCTTGAAACAATATGAAATCACTGGAGAAGAGGAACTCCAATTGTAAAAGATTTAGGACAAAGAAGTGTTAAGATGGATTCTTGAAACTGTATAAGCAAAAAATCATTACAAATAAATTTTACAATGTTTGATAAACTCTGCTTAGGAGTTAGCAAATTATTAGATGGAAGACTTTACTTAAGCATTTGAAAAAATGAATTGTTAAGGTTCTTCATTAACTAATGATGAATGTAAGAGATCTATAAGCAACTAGTCATTTTAGATGAATTAAGATGCGTTCAAATAATTGCTAGTAGATAAAATAAAATAAAGTATGTCTGAATAAAACGAAAAACGAAAAAAGTAAAAGAAGGCGATTATATCAAATTAATATGACACTACAGATTCAAAAGTTTGTATGTGTTCAATATTTTGATAAATTTTGATTTTTTAAATTGTTTATTGTTACGTAACAAAAGATTTAATATTAATGTTATTTTTTCATCTTCATTGAATATCTTGTTCTGATTTATTGAAATTATTGATCTAAAATAATAACCATAGCATCATTAAACTATCAAAGTTTGATAATATTTAGCATATATCAATAGATAAGATTTAGAATCTTAAGAACAAGATTTAATTTATAGAACTAAAATTTATAAATTTTAATTTTCATTAGTTTAATTGATTCCATAAGTATTTGTCTTGCTTAATTTGCTCTATAGAATATATTTTTTCTAAACTTTCTATAAATAACTTTATCTTTTCATACTATTTTTATTATCTAGATTAAAAAACTCATCTTTTATATTTAATATAATATATATCTTTGTAGTATCGTTAACTAAGAATACCTCCTTAAAACACTATCTTATTTATCAACAGGATTTAGTCATATGCAATAAAAATGTCTGGAATTATAAGAACTATGATATAATTTTGTTGGTAAACTGTAACTTAAAATTTATTAAAAATGGTCAAACTATTAAAATAAAATAGATTTGATAAGGATTTTAGGTTATGAGCCAAATTGAAAATAATGATACTGAAATACTAATTTAGATATATAATTTTGGAGATATATAAAAAACTCAATGGTAAATGATATTTTCAGTTTTCAGAAAAGTAGATTTAATTATCAAATAGAGCAATTATTAATTTTAATTAATTCTATAGTTAACCACTTATAGTAAAATAAGTTTAAGAAATGTATTTCTCAAGAATAAAAGGGAATCAGGAGTGGGTAAATAAGATTTTTTTAATTTAATAATTAAGAATATCGGATTTAAAGCAAAAATTTAATCAGTAATTGAATATTTAAATTAAAAAGAGATCAAAATAATTGATAATAGAATGTTGGAAATTAATAAGTGTTCTATGAATTTAGTTAGATTATGCTCAAAGATTTTTCAGTAAAATATTTGTTATCGTAAAATCAAAAATAATAATTATTTTATTCATTTGATTGAAAATATACCTTTTAAATGGGAAATGTTTGTTGCAGGGACGATTCGAGACAATAAAGAGGTTATCTGCTCAATATTATTGTAGATGAGATAGATACTTCGCCTAATCCTGAAGCTTCAAAGCCTCCAGAATCAAAAGTCTTGCTTTCTGAATAAGTTAGTAATAAAGCGCGTATCGAGGAAAATCAAGCATAAGTTGAAAACAATAAATGCGCATATAGTGAAGTCCACTAGGAACCTGAATAATAATAAGCTATAGTTTTGAAAGAAGAACAATATAAAAATTCTAATATTATGCAGTCATAAAAAATAACAAATGAAAAAAGTAGTATTGGATTACTATTGTTTAGTAAAGGCTGAAATAATGAAAAGTAGTTAAGAAGTAGATTCGAAATCTAAAAAGAGAGTAAAGTTGGGGGTTGACATATTTGTGAAATAGAAAGAGGGTTCAATAGGATAACATTATAATTTTGGTAAGGTGTTGGGTTAGGGTGCTTTTGGTAAGGTTTGGAAGGTGACTCATAAAACTACTGGGTTGATCAGAGCAATAAAATAAATTAAAAAAAGTTCCATAATTAAAGAAGAGGAGCAAAGATTATTTTCTGAGATGAATATATTGAAAAATTTAGATCATCCCCACATTGTGAAATTGTTTGAACTCTATTAGGACGAGAATAACTATTATTTAGTAACTGAGTAATTATGTTAGAATATATAGATATTTATCAGGAGGTGAGCTATTCGATCGAATAAAGAAGATGTCCTCATTTAGTGAGAGTATAGCTGCAGATTATATTCGATAAATTTTATTGGCCACTTTGCATTGTCATGAGTAAAATATAGTACATAGAGATTTGAAGCCTGAGAATATTATATTTATAAGTGAAGATCCATAGTCTTAATTGAAAGTAATAGATTTTGGTACGTCTCGTAAATTTGACCATTAAAAGGCCATGAGTAAAAGACTAGGAACTGTATTTCAATAAATCATCCTATTAATAGCCATATTATATAGCACCTGAAGTTCTTGGGCATTCCTATTCTGAAAAATGTGACATCTGGTCTTGCGGAGTGATTTTGTACATATTGTTATGTGGATATCCACCATTTGTAGGGAAAACAGAGAATCAAATATTAGAAAAAGTTAAATTGGGCAAATTTACTTTTGATCGTAATTTAAATTAGATAATTCAAATAGCTGATGATTGGGATACAGTTTCAAAAGAAGCCAAAGAATTTATCATCAAATTGCTGAAAATGGATCCAAATCAAAGGTTGTCTGCCAAGTAGGCTCTTGAGGACCCATGGCTAGTAAAGTATACTCCATCTACTTAAATCAACAAAAAGGTCTTAAATAATCTTAGATAATTTTAAGTATTTTCACCAATTATTTTGATAGGCCGAGACAATCTTAAAGTAAGCTTTAATGTCTTACATGATTACATAAATGTCAACTCAAAAGGAGATATAGGATTTGCAAAAGGAATTTCAGAGATTAGATGAAAACAATGATGGGTTTTTATCCAAAGATGAATTGTTGAAAGGGTATCTTCAAATCTAAACAGATAATAAATTGGTGGAGGATGAAGTGGAAAGAATATTGGAGATAATTGACATAAACAGATCGGGTTAGATTGATTTTTCAGAATTTTGTATGGCTGCTATGAATTAAGAGAAGTTATTGTCAGTCTAAAGAGTTGAATAGGCATTTAAGATCTTTGATTAAGTTTATTATTGTCATAATATAGAATGGGGATGGTTTCATTTCAAAAAAGGAATTGGAAGCAATTATGGGGGATTTGGGTGATGATGTTTGGAATCAAATACTAACCGATTGTGACAACAATGGAGACGGATAAATATCCCATGAAGAATTTGTTAAAATGCTAAAGAATAAAAAACTTTGATTTTGATTTATATATATTATATTAATCTATAAATTATAGATGCAATAAACAGTAGTCACAATAGATCCATCTGTAATTCTTAAATTAATATTAAGGTCTGCCATGCAAAATTAAAGAGTGAGAAAACATTGTGTGGTTTGGCTTACTTTGATGATTAAAAATCTTAAAGAGGAATAGTTTTGGAATCCTTAGAATATTTCAGGTTGATGACATTCTTCAAAAATTACAATTATGAAGGTTTTAAATTGTTATAATTTGTAGGACCTTCTGATATTTTATTAATTTACCTATGGGTTGTAGCTGCACACATGATAAAAACAATAGAGAATGACTAAGATTAATAGGCTGCTGCTAAAAAGCTTGATGAAATTGCCAGAGAAGCCATTCCAACTAGAAGTGGAGACAAAAAGAACTTTCTTGGAGGTCTTCTCAAGGAAACACCAGGAGAAACAGATAAAATATAAGCATATTTGAAGGGACTTAAAGATATTCTTGCAAAAGAGATAATAGCTAAGTAAGTATTGTTCTAAAGCCATTTAAGGTTCTTCAAGGATGGTAAGAGAACAGTTGATGCTAAGTTTTGGAGTGGTATTGCAAAAAGAAAGTTTATGGGATTGAGTTATACAGGATTATGAATTGAATTTACATTAATATATATATATAGAATTGATTAATATTAAATGTTTATAGCATTATGACTCCGCTCAAAATTATTAATAAATTATTTAATTACAATGAAGAAATATTTAGGTTTATTCACTCTTGAATACCCAATTAATCATTGCGACGTAGCTTTATAAAAAGGTAGATCAATAGTTAAACTTATAAGATTAAAAATTGCTTCTGCATAGTGAAACTTTGGTATTTGATGAAAGACTTTCCTAAGGGGGCTAACTGAACATCAAGCTTGTGCCCACTAATATAATCTCTAACTTATACACAGAAGATGGAGAGTTTGTAAAAAAATATAAATATTGTTAAGTGCATGAAATTATATCATTTCTATTAAGAAATTTGGTCTTTTTTACTAAATTACGATTACGTTTCTTTGAGCATCTCTGTTACAGACATTACTCAGTATAATTACATTGTTCAATTTAAAGTTTATTTACTTGAGAAATCATTTAAAGAATAGGAAAGAATAATTAATTAAATCAAAAAGGTTAATTAGAATGAAAAAGACTTAAAGAGAGAAAAATTGAAGTAGAAGTTGGTTCATTAATATGCAAAAGAATCGTTTATTATTTTATTTGAAATTCTCAACCTCAAGGTTCCTATTAGAGCTTCTCTGAGACCCAATTAAGAAACACAATCCTTGGATTAATTTTTAGTGTAAAAGTTTCGAAACCTTGAGTTTTATGAGTACACATACCTCTCTAAGAATCTCCTTATTCCAAATAATCTCAACAACAATTAGGTTAATGTCACTAGAGATAAAATCAATCAAATTAAGAAATAAGTAAAACCAGATGATGAAGATAGTTAAATTCAAATTGAATAAGAAGAAAATAATACTAATTTATTTAGTGTCAATGAACAATAATCATATCTGTTTACCCAATGTTAATAACCAGAGGATTTAAGAAACAATTTATTCAATTATTAAGCTTAAGCAGTTCAATGGATGTTATATCGTGAACAAAGAATTAGTGCTTAAACATTAAATTTGTAAGGCTAAAAGTAATCTCTAAATAAAATGTGGAGTTAAATATAGCTTGACGATGATATGTACATATATTTCAACGAATTAACAGGTCAGTTTTCAGAAAAAGCTGTGCCTTCTTAAGATGTAAAGGGAGGAATATTGGCTGATGCAATGGGTCTGGGAAAGACTATTTGTTCCATTGCCTTAGTATTATTGGGGAGGGAAATGAAATAGTAATAATTGAATGATATTAATTCAGAACCTTTAGTGAAAAAAGTAAAATTAGATAAGGAACCTGGCAATACGCTTTTGGTTGTTGAATTAAGTGTATTTGAACATTGGATAGAGGAGATTGAGAGACACACGAAGTTAAACAAATTGGAAGTTTATTAATATTATAAGCCATAATCTAGGGTAAAGGAAATTAAATTAGAAGTCTACGACATTGTGATTACAACATATGGGGTGCTTAAAAAGGACTTTACTAAAAATGGATTATTATACATGTATGAATGGGAAAGAATCATTTTGGATGAAGCCCATGTGATTAAAAGTAAGAGCACAGCTTGTGCTAAGGCTGCATCTTCTATCTAAGCCAAATGTAGATGGTGTCTTACAGGGACTCCAATTTAGAATCATTTAGAAGATTTATTTAGTCTCTTTCATTTTCTGTAAGTAGAAACCTTCTCAGATTACTATTGGTTCAACCATTATATTAATAAGTAGTAGGATAAAGCGGCCAAATTCAATTTGTTACATGAGATTCTAAGACCTCTTTTATTAAGAAGAACCAAGCAATCAGAATCGATTCAATCTTCATTGAATTTGCCAAGCAAGTAGCATTTCATTGTTAGAGTGAAGATGTCAAATCAGGAGAAAAAATGTACATTTTATAATAAATAATTAAGTTTACAATACCTTGTATTACAATACTTAGAAGTATTTAAAAGAGTTTTTTGGAATTGGATAGTAATAGAAAACTAAGAAGATAGGATATATGCATGTATTTTAGTTGCTTTCTTCTCTAAGATAATGTTGTGATCATGTAGGACTCATAGCAAACAAATTGAAAAATAAGGCTCTGCAATAATAATAATAACCAGCTAACAAATAAAAGTCAGAGTTAGTCATAAAATAGTTTATTGAAAATGCTTAATATAATTTAGAAAGGAGTTTAAAGGCTTAAATCTAATCATTACAATAGAAGCAAGAATAAGCTGAAGCTCAACAGCTGGAATTGGAAGACGATGATGATTTTTCTGTTGAGGATGAGTTTTCAGAAAATTCATCGACTGCAGATGAAATAAAACCATAATTGGATTTAAAAGAGATTGAAAATGATTTAAAATCAAAAATATAATAGTTAGACAAAATATAAATCGAATCATAAGACTTCGAAAATACCTAAAGAAAATACGAAAGTATATTTCAGAAGGTGAAGAATTAAGACTGTGCTATTTGTCTTGAGCCCCTAAAGGAAAAAAATATAATCTATTATCTAAGTTGTGAACATATTTTTTGCTCATGTCTTGAATCCTTACCTAAACAAAATGACACTATTGTTTGTCCAATATGTAGATAAGAAATTGAAAATAAGGACAAAATTAAATTAATTTAAACTAATCCTGCCCCAACTCCACAAGATGACTGGTATAAAGAAAGCACTAAAATAAATGAAGTTCTTAAATATATAGATTATGTTTGGAAAAACAACGAAAAAGTAGTTATTTTTACATAGTGGATAAGTATAATGAATTTCATTGAAGGTAAATTGAGAGTTAAAGGAATTGAGTTTCGGAAAATTTAAGGAAAGATGGATAAAAACTAAAGAAAAGCATCAATTAAAGATTTCTTTGAAAAATAGATTACTGTTATGCTCATATCATTGAAGGCAGGAGCTTATGGGATTAATCTTTCTTGTGCAAACCATGTTTTGCTAGTTGATCCTTGGTGGAATCCAGCAGTAGAGTATTAATATTAAATAATTCTAGGGATCAAGCTGTAGAGAGAGTTCATAGATTAGGATAACAAAAATAGGTTTAGATAGTTAGTTTTATTTGTGATAACACAATAGAAGAGAGAGTCTTACAGATGCATAAGAGGAAGAGAGAGTTATTTAAGGATGCACTGCAATTAAAATTACCAAACCAAGAGTTCAGTTTTTAGGATTAGATTGAGTTTGTTATGAATTAATAAATGGAGTCTTGAAAAATGAAATATATAATTTATTCTTTATTACAATATATTTAATCACTATAGATTAAGTAGATCTTGAATTAAAACTTTATTAAGTTTGCGTCTATAAATATAGGTTATAATTTTACTTCTTTGTGGTACCAAAGTTCACAAAATCAAATTTGACAATGTTCTCACTTATTTTGATTTCCATTTAATCTTCTATGAGTTAAAGTCTGCTTTATTAACATTTTTTTTCATGATTTTTATGAGTAAAGCTTTGAAGTGATTGCCAAGTTCCGTTGGCCGACTCTCTCAATCCTTCTCCATCATGAATGAACCATCTTAAATAGTGATGACAAAATACTCATTATTTTTATAAATAATTTATGCTTGTCTTCTTGAGACAGTGTTGATATTAACTAAAACATCGCATTCTTGGGATCTTCCAATTTTATACACAGATTCTTAATTGTAGTTAGCAACAAAAATGTGAGTTGATGTCTAATGAGTTGCTTAAATATCGAATGTAATTTTTAAATAGGGTCTATCATATTCACTTAGTTTTTATGAAGTTCTTTTTTTTTACTTGGCGAAATTCAACATTTCAGTTTCCTCCAATGTAAGTCCATGGATCTTAGCTCCTTTTCTTGTGTATTCCTTAGCAAGTGCATTATAGAAATAGTTTTGGTCTTTCACCTTCTTTGATTTGTTTTGTTTAGGTTTTGATTTCAACTCCAAAACATGGAAATAGGTATCTGCCCCTATCAAATAAGAATTATCCTATTCGATGCTTCTAAGTTTGTCCTTCTTTATTTTCATAAAAGTACCGCTTTTGGTACCGTTGTCACTGATGTAAAATTAAGGTTTATTTCTAGAGATTAGTATAGGAATTACTTGATAAAAGAATAAATATGCTTAATAACTTAAAAAGGTAGTTTTGATGCATGTGGATTATTCCTAAAAAGAGAAAAGAATAGTATGAGAGGTTGAGTGAGAGTGTTTGAGAAGGTGAAGCCTTTATCAGTCAAAATTTTGCAGTGAACTTTTTCAACATTCTTGTCACCATGCGGTAAATCTTAAATGAGTTATAAAAGTAAATACAGATATCACAAGTGTCTTGTTTATCTTCTTACTGCCTTTTTCTACCAATAATTATTTCTTTTTTGTATTGGGATCCCAAAATCCTAAGTGTTAATCTCATTTAATACCTGTCATTTTAAAGTATAAATTCTGAGTCAGTTTAACTTGAATGTTATTTGTAGACAGTAATTCGAATGTGAGGATCATTCTCATTCAAATTGTTGGTTTAAGGAGTTATTTTTTCTACTGGCTGTTCCTGTTGCATCACCTAATCTTGGAGAACGATCGATTCTCTATTGGTATATGATTGTATCATCATAGAGTGAATTTAGTTCAGTGGGGGCTATAACTACAAGCAGATTATAAATAATTCACTTACATTATCATCTTCGATTACAATACAATTATCTTAAGAAGTTCCTGGAACTGCTGGGTAATAAATTGAACTCATTTATTAGGGAAAATTGCAGATTGGGTATTGCGGGACCATCGGTATAGCTAGTTGAGGAATGTAAGGCAAATAATAATCTATAAATTAATCGCATATTATTACATAATTGGAGAGGCTTTGGTTGAAGTTGGTAACTCATACTCAGCTATATTTTTTGAATAAAAATAATTATTTTTTATAATTCCTAGCTTTAATTAGCTTATATATGAATGATAAATAAGAAACTTATTAGTATTATTATACGTTTTATTACTATCATTCTAATTATTATCCAATATTCATAGGCCTCAATTTCCCATCACATATTTAAAAGTAATTTAAAATCAAAGAAGATATCAAAAATATTAATACATATTATAATCAGAATTATATATTTTCAATTAACTTCCACAATAATTACAAAATTCGCTGTTTGCACATCATAACAGATATGTTAACGAATTACCAATTACATAGTTTGATCAATAATTCAATTATTCGTTAATAATAAACTATTCATATCAAACCAAAAAAATATATTACGATAATATGGTGATTATATGATATAACTATGTGTTTTTTTTAAATACTCATGAATTTCGAGATATCTCTCCTTAATTTCCATAGTTAGTTACATCGTCTTAAATCTTAACTTCTAATCATATGAAATAATATAATATTAAAAATAAATTATATAAGGAATTATTTTCTTAGAAAATATTTCCTTCTGGAATATACACCCCCATTAGGATTTAGACATACAAAGATTAAATTAATTATTAACTAAATAGAACACAATGCTTATTGAACATGCTCATATTTTGTATAGATGGATATTTTAATCCCAACTGCAAGTAGCAATCATCTTTCCTGTTCCGTGAAATTCGATTGCAGTAACTCTCTGTTTATGTCCGATCAAATTGTATAAGGGATTGTAAACAGCTCCCTTCCTTTCAGTTTGCCAAACCCTTGCAGCTCCATCTCTAGCTCCTGTTCCAAATCTTCTTTTATCCTTATCAAAATTTAAACAATGAACCTATTTTTATAATATTCACTTATATACACTATCGCAATGAACAGCAGATTAGTTAACCTTCGATAATTCTTTCTTCTTACCATCAAAATTATACTCGCTAATACTTTAATTCTTTGAAAATATAAGATATATTTACCTTTGATGCCACAAACAATTTATAGTTGTCCTCTGATATCTTTAGTGACTAAATCGCATAACATTTATTCTTTTATGTAGGCTTTGTATTTGAAATTTCTTCTATTTTTTGACTATCATAAGCTTTGATAACTCCCATTGAGTCTCCAGTAAAGAAGTATTTGCTTTATTGGCTGAAATTAATGTTGTAAACAATATCCATGGAGACTATTAATCCAAATAGAGTAAATTACTTTAAAGATCTTTTACAAGTTTCAATTTTCTTAGATCCCAAAGTATTAGATGACCATCTTATCCTCCACTTGCTAGATATAATCCATTGTCACTCACTTCTATCCAGTATATCTATTTGATTAATCAACATCATACTCTATTTTTATGTTCCTTTAAAGCTTAAACATTCTTTCCGCTTTTAGCATCCCAAACTAAAATTGATTTATCAGGAGATCCGCTAAAAATTTATTTTCCATCAAGTGAATAGCTTAGCGACCAAACTCCTTCTCTATTATGAAATAGATAAACAATACTTGTGTCCTGTAAATTTAGACGATTCCTTTTACTTTGTAACATCCCAAAGTTTTATTAATTTATCATGAGAACCTGTTGCCAACTCTGATTGATTCGAAGGATTAAATTACAAACACTCAATAGAATTAGAATGAGCCTATACATTAACCCATAGTTTACTTATTCGAACTTTTGAAATGGCTCTATAGTGTTATCCAACCAATTTTCTTAGGATTACATATTATTATTATTGAATTTTATAATAAAGTTCTGGTTTCTCATTTTTCAATATTTTGGCTGTCCTTTTACAATATGATCAGACTTTATCAATTTAAGAATTCGAATGAACTTTGTTATTCTAATAATATATTTGTATTGCTAAGTAATAAATTAGAAATTATTTTTTAATAGAAAGAATAATTGCAAACACATCAAAAGCTAAATTAGAATATTTCCTTTAGAATTATCAAATTTAAGTTAATAATTTTATAATAAAAATGACTTCAAATAAAATGGAATTAGAGTTTCATAGACACCAATAATAATCCACTTTTCAAAGTTCTAAAGAAAGATTAAAATAAATTAATCAAGTACCTAATTAAGGGTACTAAAACACACCTTATAAACAAAGTGGCTTATTTGCTTTTAAGGAACAGAAAATTAAATTTAGATTTCCTTTAGTGGATGAACAAAATTTACATAATAAATAAGACATAATTGAGTAATGTTCTTAAATCAAAGTAACTGGAAAGCATAATTTAAAGACTTAGGCTTTTGCAACCAAGTCTATCGAGATTGAGGAAGAAAATAAAGAGAATACAAATATCATTCTAAATGAGCCACCTTTATGTGAAGTAAGTAAAATTGCAATACCTACTTAAACTGGTTTTTTCAAGTAACTTAATCAACAAATCTAGTCAAAACTGTATGAACAACAATTTTGACTAATAAATTTGTTTGATCATTTTATACAAGTACTTATATAATAAATGGTCATTTAAGTGGTAGTAAAGCTAAACTATAATCAGAAATCCGTTGCTCCTATTTTTTTCTATATTAATTATGCTAATTATTTTAAGAGCTACTTATATTCATTTGGTAATTCTCTAATATCTCCATCCTAAATTTGTTAAAGTGTAAAGCAAAAATTATGTAATTCTGTATAACTGAGTATTCTATCGGTTATATTCAATATTTTGCTAATTGGTTATTTTTTAGATTTGAGGGATAATGTATTTTGCTCCTAAGAATTTAGTTTATCATGTGTAATGCATTAGAATTAAAGATTGTAAGTCTATGAAAAATAGTTATGTTTTTATGTAGATGACATTGTATTACATCTCTCTTGTAAATGACTTTTGTGTTTGGAGAAATTGATTTTTTATTTGAAACCTGAATTTGATTTTTATGGTGAAGTCTGAGTTTTAGTGAAATTTTTTTGTGGACTTTTAGAAAATTCAGTTTTTTAAATATCAGCTTTTAGTTTTCTCCTAAAATCAGTAAATTCTTGTAGAAGATCATTGGGTTTCATGTGGCAGTTAATAATTAATATAATTTGTTAATATAATATATTTTAATATAAATTATATTGATTTCGATGACTGACACAGCATAATAAATAAATGTAAAATTATGTGACATGTCGAGTGAATTATTAAAGGATGCCCAATACATAATCCTGGAAAATCTTAGGAAGCATAGCAATGAAAGAGACGTGGCATATTACATAAAGAGAGAGTAATTTTTTGAACAAACACTAGATTGGATAAGCGACATACAGGCCCTTGGCATTGTGTGGTGGGGAAAAACTTTGGGATTTTTGTTACACATGAAGAAGGCTATTATTTGTAAGCAATCAAGGGATAAATCACTATAGTGGTATGGAAATGAATAATATGAAACTTCTTTATTTTATAGTTTAAATTATAGATGTGTAAATATATATCTTCAAATTAATTTACGACAAACTGGGCATTACTATTTAATAATCACCCATTATTAAAGACAATGATCATGAAAATGATGTCTAGATTGTTAAATAGTCGATATACCTAGTGCTGCATGGCAATTACACAATTAAATCATTATCTTCATAATCACACATACAAATATTGCATTACTAGACGGAGGCGAACTCAGGACAATTTTTGTATTAGAACTTATTCATTTTCTTAAATTTACTCTAAAATAGAGAGATGAACAATTACTTTAGTTTAAAGTCTCTTGATGATCTTACACAACGACTTAAATATAAATAGAAAGAGGATAATGGGCATGTATAATGCCATGGATATGATGGCCAATCCAAATCCAATAATCAGAAATGCTGAAAACAAATATCCGATCAATAGTAATACAAAAGTCACATTATTTAAACCTAGTATAAAATTAATTGAAAAATTACTATCATCACAGTCATTAGAATCAGACTAGAAGTAAGCGATGTTACCTCCTGTAAAAATAAGGTAGAAAATAAATTAATTGTAGACTTTCATAAGGCGAGTGTACTTATTCAAAGCCTCAGCCTGATGTATTATTTCGCATTGAGTAAATGGTGGTTCTGCTATTAATTCTTCTTATCTTATGTCTCTTGTGGACAATTTCATTTTGATCAGAGTTTTAATTTGGTTCCGTCTAATAAATTATTTTAGAATTATTTTTTTACTTGTTTCTTTCTTCCATTCCTTGGAGATTCATCTACTCATTTGAGTCTTTGGTCAGCATTTCTGCCATCACCAACAAGAAGATGTCTTTGGAATTCATTTGTAGAGAATAGAGCACAGCTAAATACCTAGAACACTTATGGAATATTGTACCTTATTGAATTGAAAAATTCGTACATTCCAACAATTGTCAGCCATACAAATAATGGGTTCACTTCGCATTGTTAATCACGTTGCTATAGACTGTAGAAACAGACGAGATATTTTCCAAAACTGAATAGTAAATTAAAACCTAAGAATCGTGATGATACTGCTTACCAATATATTTGTAGGATTCTTTGAATTAACCTCTAAAATGCTACTTCAGTAATTTGAACTTCTTTTCTTCTTCCTCTTTCGAAGTCTTATTTTCTCGGTTTTCAGAAGTTTCCTCAAGTTCTCTATTCATTAATATAATAATAGTGATTATAATAATGAGCAAAATTTGAATAATGAAATAGTTTGTGATTGTTATAAGTCACAATATAAATTATTAAATAATTGTTATGTATGGTTTGAATTATAGAATCCCTCATTCTAGATAGGATTCAGGTCAAGGAAAAAGAGAAGAGAAATCTGCACTCAAATAAGGGAATCAGGGAACATTGATGATTCAAAATAATCGGTATTATCAAACAGTTTAATTGGAGTAGGATTGAATAAAACGATCATTCTCCTTCACCATTATTTCATGGAATACAGAAATTTTCAGTTTAATCGAGTTAATCCACATCAGCGAATCACTCAAAATAATCTTCAATATCTAAGCCAAAACCAACTCAATAGATGTCATTTCTGAATTATTTGATGCTTAAAAAAGAAGATGAAGAACAAGACAAGCAAGTCACTTAACATCAATAGAAACAACAGTCTTTTTAATAAAATAATTATTTTACAAATGATCTCCAGATTCAAAGAAACATGTTTAATTTTCTATATGTAATTGGTGTGGGTGGCTTTGGTAAAGTGTGGAAAGTAGAATACAAAAAGACAGGCCAAACCTATGCTCTTAAAGAGATGTCAAAAGCATTGTAATATAGATTTTATTGTTATAAGAATTATTGCAAAAAAAAGTGTTAATTCAGTTATGAATGAAAAGAACATATTGAGTAATCTCAAACACCCGTACTCTATTATATATAACATAGCTATCTGGTTAATATCTATTATGCATTTCAAGAAAGAGAAAATCTTTTTTTGGCATTAGATTATATGTAGGGAGGAGACCTAAGATATCACGTAGGAAGAATGCGCAGATTTAGTGAAGATCAAACAAGTAAATCATTTGATATAATAAAGAGGATTCTTTATGGCTTGCATATTTTTGGGTCTAGAATATATGCACTCCTAAAATATTATACACAGGGACATCAAACCTGAAAATTTGGTACTTGACAAAAATGGTATACTGTTAAAAACAAAATAGGTTATGTTAGAATCACTGATTTGGGAATAGCTAGAGTTCTAAGACCTGATAACGCTCAAGATACAAGTGGCACACCTGGATATATGGCACCTGAAGTGATGTGTCGATAAAACCATTCATTCTCTGTTGATTACTTTGCTCTGGGAGTCATCGGCTACGAATTTATGTTAGGAAGAGTAAATATATAAATTTCATGCTTTATAGAGACCATACACAGGAAGGTCCAGAAAAGAAATCAGAGATTAGATTTTAGCTAAATAAGTGCAAATTAAAAGATCAGAAATTCCTGATAATTGGTCTCTGGAATCAGCTGATTTCATCAATAGAGTATTAATTCAAACTTATTCAGCTTATACAAAGGAAACCCTCCAATCGGTTAGGCTTTAATGGGGCTTAAGAATTGAGGCAGCACACTTGGTTCAAGAATTTCCCTTGGTAAAAGCTGTATAACAAGGAATTAAAGGCTCCTTTTATTCCTCATGTAAAAGAGATTTCATATTTATTTAATAGTAATCTGAAGATAACTTTGATGCTAGATAAATATCAATTGAAAATGAAGAAAATACAGAGTTGATTTAATAGAATGCCTTGATGCTCAGAAGAAACTCAATCTAAAGTATTGGTTTATTACTATAAAGCTTAATTTGATGGATATGATCTTAATAACTTTACTTAGACAAGTGAGCCAATCAAATAACAACTTAATAATATTAATTATTGAATAATCTAATTTATTTTATTAATTTTTTTATTCTAATGGATGAAGAACTTTTAGATAATTTATAAGCAGAAGAAGATGACAATGAAATTTAAAATTTTCCTTTATTTTAATAAAAACAAATTGGAGAGTTTGTCAAAAAGATACTTGGTGACAATATAAATACATAAAAAGCATTTCGAGATAAATTTAATAGATGTTTAAGTCTTTTCGTATTTTATATGAGTCATATGTATTAAATTCAATCATTTAAGGGTAACAGTGATGAAAGAGGATAATAGGAAGAAAAAACATGAAAAAAAGAAAGTGCAAGTAACAAAGGAGGATATCATAAATACTTTAAAATTAATTGATTTTTAAGAAATAGCTGAGACTCTAGAAAGTATAAGATTAAGTTATGATGATTAGATTTGTAATTATTGCAATTTTAAGAAAAACAGATTTAATAAGAGAACTAGTTAGAATAAGAATTAGAAGTAAATGAAATGCGCGAAATATAAAACTTTAAAAATATGAATGATGAATTAAAAGTAGAAGAGAATAATGATAATGATGAATAGATTTAGGATAATTAGGATTAACTCGTTGAAGAAATTGATGATGAAGATATTGAGAACGGATAGCTTAATGAAAATGAATAATGAAGTTTTGAATTCTTGATGTTAAATACTTTTTTGTGTTTTATTAATAATTTAATTTTAAAAATGAAAAAGAAAAATTTATTTCTAGCCAAGAAAGCAGAAGATAGTACTTTGAACTAGTATTGGTTTTCAGAATAAACAATTGAATTCTTGGTCGATCATATTGAGTCAATTTATTAAAATGGATAGAAAATAGGATTCCTATCAACTCCATCTATTTATTGTAGTTTAAAGAATTAGGAAGTCAAATAGAATTCAGCACTTTTTGAATTTGATCTTAAACTGAATAAAGAGAAAGGGTTTGTTTTTTATGATTTCAACAAGCCTTTAGAAGGCCTAGATCAATTCAAAAACTATTTTGATATTATTTTGATTGATCCTCCATTTATAACTGAAGAAGTGTGGAGTAAATATGCTCAAACTATAAATTACATTAAGAAGGAGGATGCTAAGATTTTATGTTGTTCGATAAAGGAGAATGCCAAGATGTTGTATGAATTGGTTAAGGTTGTACCACAGTAATATAAACCATCGATTCCTCATTTAATATATCAATATGACTTTTATTGTAACTATGAACATGAGATGTTAAAAAAAGTAAACGATGAAATAGGATTTTGAATAAATATTCGAATTATATATGAGATAATATAATACTAATATACCTATATTACTATTGATATATATATCATCAAGCTTTTTGTTTTTACTCTAAATGTCTTTTTTTTTGTGATTCCTTGTCCATTGGTAACTAGAATTTTAGAATGACATATTATACCTTTAATAATTCTTTAAGTGCTGCATCATTAAGATCATGAGCAGGTTTGAATTTTGTTTCATCTAATTTGAGTCCAGAAACCTAAAGAGTGCTGTTGGCTAAAACAGCAACAGTTATTGTGAATTATGCAACAATGCCATTTTGACTGATTAAAACTGGATATGGGTTTAATAATTCATGTTTAGCACATTCTTAGATAGCCATCTTAGCTGTGATTTCATCTTCAAATGCTCTCAACGAGAAGCATAAAGATGGGTATTTGTCATAAACTTCTTACATGAATGCTCTTCCATGTTTAGTCTTTAATTGATATTGTCTATCCAAAGCTCTTTTGTAAACTGTTGTTCTTAATTCAGACTAAAAATAATGAAATGATTGAGTACTTCTTTAGTCTTTCCATCTCCTGTTGTGATATATACATCTAATACAAAAACATCGTTGACTTAGATTTCTTCCTCATCGACTCTTTATTCCTATGTTTCTCTATTGATTATGACTTTGTTTCCATCAATGAAGTGTCTCTTAACCTCGTGACTCAAAACACCTTCTAATGGTGTGCATTTGTGATCATCTGCTACTTATTAGATAATTTTGGTCAAAGCTGTATTAGTGACTCCTGGTTTTATTGATCTGAATAAAGCTTAGACTGATTAATAGGCTGCCAATATAACATCTGCCTTTTAGCCTTCCACTTAATCTTCACCTACTACAACTGTGTGTGCTGCTATGGCAATATATCCATCAATATGAACTCCCAATTCACTATGACATTACTATTAACGTTTACATTTTGGCTACATCGCCCTTGAGAAGCTTACTGGATTCGCTCTTTAATGGAGAATAATGACCGCAAATTTAATTTACAGAAATTGTTGTTGGGAATGCTAAGCCTTTCTCAATTCCTTTCTTGTTATAAACTTTTTGTAATTCTCCATTGATTTCTTAGTCACCAAAGGCACAAACAGAAGCAACATCAGCTTCTGGCTATAATTTAGCAATCACTTTTTCAAGAACAACTATTTATAAATCAATATAAAAAGTTACGATTTGCAATCTTGCCTGCATTTTAATATTTATCTAATACTCCTGGAGTAGCTATTGATTCAAGTTTGTCTTACTCTGTTTATTAATCCATAATTAATTTAAATATTTATTTAAATCTTTATACATTTTATAATCACATATATAAAGCCATTTTATTTAATTTATTCATCCTGGCATTCCCAATAGATCTCACATATAATATTCAACCTCATAACTATTAACTTTAACTTTTGTTTTTCCATCCTAAAATATACTACTGAAGTGAAAACTATTTATAGCATTTCTTAGTATAGTATGTCCGAAACCATAGTCAAAAATTCTTGGGGCCAACATTTTCAGTAGATTCAACCACACCTCAATAGAAGGATTAGTATTAACCTCAATTAACCAGAACTTTAGAATTTCATCAGTCATGGCCTAATATTTTAAAACAAGTTTTACACTTCTATTATCTAGATCAATCATTCTTTCTAATATAATTTGGTTTCCTATCAAAATTAGTTTCCAAACATATATCATAAACTAATGGTTATTGTATTCGTTTATCCATAATCAATTCGAAACTTGAAAGTACCCAAATTCTAAGTATTTGATTAATCAGAATTATTCATCTTATTAATGTACCTTTCTGTTTGATTAAATAATAAATTTTCTAAAGAAGTGTTGTTGTACTTATTTAAGCCTCCTTCCAAAGGTAGTGTATTTCAATCCACAGCATCATTTATCAATATTTTTCCCCTTACAACAAAGGCATTTAAATATATTTTCAAATCATAATTTCTTCAGTAAATTATAATAAATATTCATTCGATCTAATCTCTTAAAAATTTAAACAGAAATTTCAGTAATTTGAATTTTTTCTTTTTTATATTTTAAGAAGGAATTTGATAAATCTATCATGTTTAAAATACATAAGTGCTAGATTACGATGTAATATTTTCAGTAAACTCAAAAAGTTATACCTGATTATAATTGATTAACTATTTGATTTTCGAGTCAAATTAAGGCCATGAAAGTTATGCTATGGGAAGAGCATAACAAATTTATGTTTTTTTAATATAAGTTTAATATCTAATATGATATTGTATTTATTTTTAACGATTTGCAATACTATTTCTCTTATTACTCATGTAGATTAAAGAATATATTACTTATTGATATGTTATTGTTTGAATATAATTCAACTATTTACGATGTTGGATAGAGGGCAAAAATGGGTTTTAACTTGATTTTAAGTAAAATTAATAAAAGGAGATCTTTTTCTCTGCCAGTAGTTTATTTCTATTTTAAAAGGCATCTTATTCCATCTGCTTAAATGTAAAAGAATATTCTAGTATAAATTTTCATTTCATTACCTTTTACTCTATACTATCATATAACATCTGCTTTACATAATATTACTTTATTGTGTTTGATTGACTCTTGTTCTAAAATTTGCTTTATTTCAAAGTTGATGTAATATTCGATTAGTATGCTACTCAATGATATTTTACAAATTTGTCTTTTATTTACAAGCTCTTGTTAGTTTTATTTGGTGTTATGAAGTGTTTGTTAGAATAATTTTGGTATATATTTATAATTATATTTGTAATATTGGGTAATTAAATAAATTATATTAAATATATAAATGTACGATTTCACAAGAATGCAAAAATTAGTTGATAGAATGTAAAAACTCTAACCTCCTAATCCACCTCCTGATAATAGGTTTTTACCTGAAGAGTTAAAGAAAGATAAAATTGTAGAAGATCCTCAAAAAAATGTAAAATAAGCAAAAAGATAACTCCTAATTAAGAACTATAAGGGTTCTAATGGGTTAAAGCCCATCGAAGATGAAAGGCTCTATCTTATTTAAAAAGAGAATTACCTAAAGAAAAAGTAAAGAGAATTAGAGATGGAGCAAGTCAAATAAGAATTGGCCGAATAAAAAAAATAAGAAAAATTAAAATTAGAATAAGAAACTTAAAGGGCTCTATTAGTTGTCAAAGAAAAAAAAGAGTAAAAATTTAATTCATTGTCTTAGTATTACATAAGTAGAAAAAGAAGAAAAAATTAAAAAGCGAAACGATAATGAATTTTAAAAGAGAAAGTAAAAGGCAAATAATTCAATTTAAATGTCATCAATAGATGCATCTTATGTATCACAAAACTTAAATTCCTCATTAATTAAGAAATAAATTTTAGATTATCATACTCTACCAAAAGAATAATACAATCGTATTTATCGCTAACCAGTCAGCCCACCAAAATGAATTACATAATATATTATTCATTAAAATATATGGTAAAACATTATCATCTTTAATTAATTTAATTAATTTCTTAGTTAAAACGATTTCACTATTAACTATTAAATTTTTCTTATCAATCTTTAATCCGAAGGTTTCTAAGCAAGTTTTTATGATTGAAAATACATCCTACTCTAATTAGAAAATGTTGCATATTTTATAATAGGATGATCTACTTAGAATAAATTTTAAACGAAAAATATTATATTATTCATAAAAACAATAAATAAATAGCATTAAGATAGAAGAATAACTATGTATATTAAATTTAAATAATCAATTACCATTAAATTTTATTTCTAATAGTGTTTCTGTAGATTGAATCTAATTAAATAGGGTTTATGTAATCTTTATGCTGTTTAGTGATATGTATATATTTATTTCTTTATAGGAAGACTCAATCAATTAAAATTTTGGAAAATAAGTTACAGCATCAATTTATCCATGGCAATAATGTGAGAATGAATGATATTTGTTATTGGTTGAGCAACTCTAACATTTCAGAAACTAACTAACAATTGTCTTTGTTTTAATGCATTTCATGTATATTTTGAAACTTAAAAGGTTTACTGTTTTCTCAAGTAATAAATATTACGATGATAGAAATGATTAATTTAATTCACTGATGTCAATATAAATTTAAGGTTTTTATGATACTTACATGTCAAGGGATTAAGATATTCTTAAAGTAAGACACCAAAAGGCTTTAAATTCAGTTGTAAATTGATAAGCTAGCCAAACTCTTTGATGAAAATTCACGATGAATGTGTCCCCCCCTAATTAAATATCATAGTGTACAGGTCTCAAGTATGTAGGATTTGGAAACTTCTGTACGCATAAATCTTTCTCTAAAGTATGAACTAACTTCCAGTCCACTGTAAGTTATAAATAACCATCTATTTGGTATTTAAGTAAGAGTTCCACTACTATACGTAGTTGTACGATAGATTTCCTACAAACCAGAGAATGCCTCTTGAGTCCCTAATATCACTTAATATCCTATTTAGTTTAAATTAACAAACTTTTGATCTATTTTTGTGATGCCAACCGTAACCTTAGTAGTAGTAATTTAGGTTATCTATATATTACATGATCGTTACTGATAGTTTGAAATCAATATTTCCAGTCAATCCCATGCTGACATAGGATACTATTCCAAAATTAGCATTTGGATTCAAGTGGTCGAATGTTTTATCATCTATATTCACCATGTTAAAGTTATTAATGACTTAAATTCGACTATCATCAATCGCATACCACTAATATTTAAGCTTCCATATGTAAACACTTGATACGCATACAATATGTAAATCAAAACCTAGAGTATATAAACTTTTTACTATTCTGGTTGATGTTTTGAGTCTAAACTCTAAAATCTCCCCCTATACCCATATCAAGATATTCAAGACTTATGATAACTTAAGGAACATTTGCAAATGTTCCAATAAATGGAATAGTTGTAGTCACTATGTTTCCATCTAACATTAAGCACTATTTCCAGTATACAAACCAGCATCATAGGTGATTTGTCCATATAATAGATGAAATAGAGACAGGGAAATTAAATATATCATATTTTAAGATTAATAATAATAAGCCCTATTAGGAAACTAAATTTCATAATTTTTTTATATATGACTCTGCCATTTAACTTTGGATCCGCTCAATTCACTTGTTCATGTGTTGTTATTGAGTACGTTTTAAGTCTAATTTTATTCTAAATTCTATTCATGTTGCTTTTTAAGATTGAAACTTTGAATTCATCATCAGGAATATTATTGGTAATTTCATTCAAAAAACAAATCTATTTTGCAACCCTTGTTATTTTTTGCTAAAGTAGATAATTATATTCATCTTCAACAAGTTGGGCTACGCCAAAAAATTAGTAAACTCAAAATTAATTATGTGATTTTCAATATTGAAATACTCTTAGGCAGATTTTGAAAATAATTGAGAAATTTATTTGAAACAAACTTAAAAGTTTAGATCCATTCAAACTTCCTAATTTTTGTTACCTTTAGCCATCTAAAAAGTTATTAAATTAAGAAAATAAACCAATTTATATTTAAATATGCAGATGATTTAACAGTTATACTGAAAGATTCATACCGAAATCTTCTATTAGTTGTTAGTGTAGAAACATTATTAAGTTGATATAAGAAAGATAGCGAAATAAATTTCAAAAAGGAATTTCAATGATAGATTCTATACTTACTTAAGAATTGTACTTTACAGGTTAGGAAATTGAAGGATCACAATAAAAATAAAGTAAGGAGTAACTACATAAACAAGGAATTAAGATGGATCTCTTAACATATGAGATATTAAGAGAGAATAAATTTATGGATTGCCTTTAATAATAATAGTAATAATAATAATAATAATAATAGTAATATCATAATTAATAAAATAAAAAAAATTTGAATAAATCCTTCAATTAAGATAAAATTATAAAGACTAGATATTTTTTTATTTTAAATCCATAAGTATATTGTAGATATAAATAGCATTCATTTAGCAATTAATGCATCCAATAAATTAGTATGTATTTCAGAAAGAGTTTTTTACATATCATCTTGAAAATGGGGTCTTTTTTAAAAAAATCCTTGGAATTGATATTCATCATATATTCCGACTATGTACCTCTCATCTTCAAGATTTTAAACTTTTTGCAATTTCACTGTTAATTTTCCATTCACATATTCTATTACATTCAATTAGATTAATCTGTAATTTGGATTTTGGTTTACAATTTTAAGATCAAAATATTTCATAAAATGCATTTAGACTAGTGACACCATGCACTTAATAAGAAAATATGAGCCTGAGATTTCCATTAAGGCAGGTAGAATTTGTACAAGGATAACTAAATCACCTATAATCATCTATTATTAGGTTTTAGTCATATCTAATTAATTTTCTTTCCAAAATAATACTCTCTTTGACATAAACAAGCCTCTGTCAATACTGGATTAATCGAAAAACTGTAAATATGATAGAAATTTGAGTTCTGGGATCATAAAATCATTAGTGCAATAGGTTAGTAGACTTGTCATTAAAAATTTAGTTGAAATAGTAAGTTACATATATGATTAATCAATTTCTTTCTCGGTTAATGGTTTTTCTGGATTCTATGATAATAATTGTTAATTACAATGAAATCTATTTCTTTAATTTTACTTAAATAGTTATCGACTTTAGCCAATACCATTTTACACCAATCCTTGATTCGTTTTAATGCTACTGGATATGATGTTTTTTAGATTATGGCTTTACATTATGCTTAATGTTTATGAAGTTTTCTCCAATAGATTTTATTGGGTTAACAGTAGATTTTCCACCTCATAGCCAACCTCACAAAATTGAAAATATTTCTTAATTTAGACTTTTCTTCTTTTATTTATAAATGAAAATCATTATTATTCTACAAAAATTAATTAATTTAGACAATACTTCAATAAAAAAGCTTTATTTAGTTTTTTGATTCGATCCTTTAGAATTTAAAGGGATTGAATGCCGACTACTTCTTTTAGAATTAGAAACTTGAGAAGCTGAGTTTTAAGTTTTGGTTTTAGTTTTTACTTTGACTTTCCCTGTTGATTTTGAGTAGGATCGTTTTTCTTCTGAATTTTAGCCGTCTCTTTTGGAATCAGGATTATAGGGATACTTATAGGGATTCATTAAATATTGATATGGATGATATTTTTGTTGGGATCCCGAATGCAGGTATTGTTGATTATAAGGTGAGTAGCCTTATAAAAAGGATTGTTGTGAAATAGGTTAAGGCAATTGTTAATAGATGATCTATGGGGGTTATATAATTGGTTGTTGGGACTAATGGACTTGTTGGAAGAAGGAATATCTTAATGAGGTGATTTCGTGCTTTATTTCGTATAATTGCTCTTATTGGGGAAGCTTGGGCAATTTTAGATGAAGGGTATGGACTTGAGTTTTGAGATGATCAAGTTCTTGCTTTAAAACTTGAGTTCTATCAATCTTGATTATCCATTTATAATGTTACTTCTTTTTGTTCTTTCAAAAGTCGTTTGAGAGTTTGACTCTATTTATCCAAGGCTAATTACATTTGAGCCACTTCTTGATTTAATTTTTCTTCAGAGAATGCAATTACCTTTGGAATTTAAAAGGAATTATCCATTTGCTTTAATTGTCTAATTCCGCTCTTTTGACTGGGTTGATGACTCATGGGGATGTCATAGGTAGGATTTTTGAATTTGTCAATTAGGTCTAATTAATTTTTGGCTTCCTCATAACCTTGATATTATTTTTAATTAGATTAGGTTCTTCTTTCCCTAAAGTACATTATTAATTAATTTTAAAGTGCAAAATAAATTTGTTAATAATCTGATCATAGTCTTTAATTCTGAACTATTAAATTAATACTACACTATTTGTATTTGATTACAATATTATATTATTTTAATTCAATGTTAGACGATCAACTCAAAGCATTAATATAGAAAAACAATCTCAAAATTGAATAGCATCAAACCAAAATGATGATTAGATTTCCTCAGACTCCTCAAGTCCGAGATTCTCAACAATAAGTAAATTAAAATTACATCTTAGTCCCAATTTTTTACCAAGTCAAACAACAAAAGTAGTAGCATAGACAAGAGCTATTTCAGTTGTGTTCCAACTAGAAAGTCAACAAAACAAAGCTTTTTTGTTCCAAAATCTGTTGTCACATCATAATACTTGGATTCCTAGGCTTTTTAAGTATATCAAACTGAGGATATACAAAATACTCAAATTTAAGACTATGGGCAATAGATCTAACATTCTTAAATGAATATAAGTGATAATGCAGATAATTCGCCAATGAATTCCCCCATTTTAATTTAATTGAAAAGAGAAAAAGAGATCATCTCATAATAACATCAACTGCTAATATCCTAAATGTCAAGGGAAATCGAAAACAATAAACGATAATACCAGAAATCCGAATAAACTTTATAACAGTAAATAATTCAATTATAACATGAATTAAATGAGTATAAATAGTATAAAACAAAAAGTTTAGATTTGGAAGCAAGTCTCCAATAAATTATTGTTGAAAATAACGAACTCAAATCTAAATTGTAAGAATAAAACAAATGGCTTTTTGAATTACAAGATTAATTTGAATTGGTTCATACCAAAATGATTGAAATCAAATAGAAAATTCAAGACACCAAACATTTCTCATACTAACTCTCTTAAATTGCTTAATATTTACTAAACAAACAAACCCCTCCTCTTGATTTCTTAGTCTTTATGAATAATCAGTCGAAACAATTATAACATGAATAGCAATAAGAAACTGAATTTAGAAACAGAAAGTAACAGATTAAACAATAGCATTTTCAATCTAATCCTTTTCCTATTGCCAAAGAGTCTTTTGCTTAAATTTATTAATTTTAGATTGAAAACTCTATGGTACTCAATTAAATTGTCAAAGATTTGAGAAATAATGTTGATCGCTATTCTTAATAATACATAGCCGAAGTCGGACTTCATTTAATGTGAATTCTTTTTATAACTTGCTTTAATATAATAGTATTTGTTATTTTTATAATAATATATTTATATAATAATAAGGTTATTTTACAAATTCTATTTCATTATTCCACAAAAACCAAACTTCCTTAATAATTTAAATTCTAAAATGCCTATAAAGTGTTGGGGCCATTTAAACTAGACAATGAATTCAAGGTGAAGATCTTTATTTATTTGGATTCAGGCTATATTTTACTCAAAATTTGATCTATCATAGTCTCTGATCTTTAATTAATCAATGAAGCCAGTGTTTTTTCGTCTAAAGGCGCTCTACACAGAGGACATATCTAAATTTTGATCAAAATTTACTTTGGTCTTCTAGATCCACAAAGTCAAGCATTCGGAATGGTAAATGTGTTTGCAATAAGTCACTTTCACATCATGTTCTGTAGAGAATGCATCTAAACATATTGAACAGTACAAATCGTTTATATTGACCTCCTCTTAAATTAATTCCTTGACCTATTCAAATTTATACGTAGGAATATATAAGTTAATAAAGTTTTTCTCTTCGCTCTATTATTCAACTTTGATTGGAACCTATGTTTCATCCAATTTCCTTTTGTAAAATTTCACGCCACAACAAACAAGCAAGAAAAAGATTAACACAAAGACTGGAATAAAAATCATCATCATAATTTTCGATAAACCATCAGCATTGCTATCGTTTGAAATAATGCTGACTTCAAATTTGCTATAGATCTTGAAAATGAAGTAACTATTTAATTTGATTTAACTTTCATCTTCTAAAGCCTATGTGAGGTTTTTGCATTCTTCAATTTACTCATTGGATAACTCAAGTATGTTTGTAATAATGAGTGAGCCCTCATCAAAAAAAGGAGTTTCTACATAACATTGCTGTCTGATTGGTATGGAATTAGATAAGGTTCTGTAAAATGGTGTTCCAGTTGAGTACAAGTCAAAATAATATAACGTATTCGGGGATAGTTTTATTAGATCTTTAATATTGGTACCAACCACACTACAGTCATCTCCAAAGGTGCCTTCTTAGCATTCGCATATTCCATAAATACACCTCCCTCTATTTTTGCATTCTCTAAGTTAAGATTTTATAATACTTTGCGCAATTATATAATGATTAAATTTTTGAAGAGATATTAAAGGTGGATTAAAGTTTTGAGTAAGCACCAATAAATATATTTGGATTATCTATATAATAAACATTGAAATTTGCTTAAAAAGACTATGATTTTTCCTTCTTTGTTAAAGAGAGTGTTTGCATTTCGACTTTCTAATCATAAGCATTTATGTCAATTTTACAGTTTTCTCTAAAAATAAAAATATTTAAACTTCGATATAGAATTGTAATCGTTAATCTTATCATCTTGGGGCTTATCATCACAAATTAGTAGAATTGGAAATTCCCCTACTTTATATGTAAGAGTAATGGTAACTTTTTATTTATCGGAAAGTTATTTATATAAAATGCCATTGATGGTAAAAAATTAAAATCCCTTCACATCTATGTATTGTTAATCTTAAGTTTAACTCAAACTCGTTTTCCATAAGCAAATTAGGATGAAAGTAATCATGTGTTATAAATTTTCAATATAATAAAATACTTAGGAAAACTATAAATCCAGTAACTATAAAAAATATCAATATATCTGTTAATAAAGGCCTTTCATTACTCATGGAAAGAAATTTATAAAATTAATTAGTCACATTTTTATAAATTCTTTTTATCTATTTTTCCAATTCTCTGGTTTGAAAAATTTAGGATAAAACATTTAGTAATTAAGAATAAAAATTATAGTTAGAAATAAACGAAAAGATATTTTTCAAAAAAAGTATGTAGTTTTTATGACATTTTCAAAAGACATTTTTGCTAGAAATTGATTTATAAAATTTATTAATATTTGATTTATCTGATAGATATGTTATAAATTAAGAATATTTGGCTAAAATTAGTAATTTGAATTGAGAATTTCATAAAGAACTCCAAATACAATAAGAATTATTAAGGATGTAATTGATTTTCATGTACGTTAATTAAATAGAATATGTACTAAAATTCTTTATTAACCTACAAAATATAATTTTATTTTGTACCAAAATACATTCTGTAGAAAAAAAGAGTGCAATCCATATAATAATTTTTTAATATATTTTCAATCAAATAGAGATGTAAATTATAAACTTAGAATAAAACAAGGGTTAATTAATTTCAATATATTTCATTCAAAATTTTTAAAAGCAAAAAATCCTTAGATTAATTAACAAAAGGAATGTTTCCATTTTATTGTATCAGCTATCCTCTATTGTCTTAAGAATTTTGTGGCAATAGAATAACTCATTCTCTGATTGGCAAATTTATTAAATACGAGATCTGAAAAATTTTGTAGCCTAATTAAAATTAAGCAATAATTATATCATAAACAAATATTGAAGGAAGATGAATATTTTTGATTGCAAGAAAGATTTAAATAATTAATACCCTCTAAGCAATGTCCTGTTTATTATTAAAAATATAGAAATTAATAATAATAATAAAAATAAAAAAAATTAATCATGAATTAAGAGTAGGATTCATAATCTCAAAGTTCTCATATTAAATAATCCTAAGAGACCAATGAGTTTGAATCAAATTAATTCGAATTTAACGAATCAATTGACGATGAGAAATTTGCTCTGAAGTAGCTTTTATAACAACATTCAAATTAAATCTAGGATTATTTTTAAAAATTAAAAGGGGATGTGTAGAAAAATACAATTAAAAAATTTGTGGAAAAATAATTAAAGCTATTTTCCTAGGATGTAGAAAAAAAACTTGAATAATTATTCGAGAGATTAATATCTGAGAAAGAGATTTAGATTGCACAAATATAATAAGAAAAAAACTAAAAAGATTAGGAAATATTGGAGTTAACTTAAAAATATAATGAAGTTAACAATTCATTAATGTTAGGATCCTATAATGATAATAATATTTGCTTAAAGATAACGCAAATAAATTAATTATTAGAAAGGACTTGCTAGACAACTATATAAGCTAGTTAATAATTAGATAATTAAAGTCTAGATTAAATGCAATAATAAATTCAGATGATAAGAGAAAGCATCACAGGAGATACAGAAACACAGATAAATAACTTACAAAAATAATTGTAGGATAAAGATACATTAATAAAATAATTACAAAAGGAAAAGACTGAATTACAAAATTAACAAAAAAATAATAACTCATCAATTATTTTAATGAAAAAGATTGAAGAAATCATATAACAATACTAAAATTAATGTAATTAAGCAGATTTAATCAATAAAAAGACTAATTAAATCGTAGAGATTAATAAGGAGTTAAATAAACTCAATACTTTGATTAGTAATGAGAATGAGAAATTGAAAAGTCAATTTGAAGAAGAAAAGAATAAAACAGTTTAGAAATAACTTGAAGGCTGTTTTAAATTATAGGATCGATCTCTGCTATATATATAATTGGGTCTTAAAATATTTTAATAATATTATCGTTCTCATATTTAAGATGACAAAAATATTCAAAGTTAGATCGCTAGATTAAATAAATTTCATTAAAATTATTTGAAAAAAGAAAATTTCAAATTAATAAACTTAGGAGATATTGAACAATTCTACATTAAATAAGAATTTGAGCTTAAATCATTATTCGACGAATCTTTGAAAGAATATAAGAACTTAATAAATGAAATTACATAAAGAAGAATTCCATTCAACGCATGAGTTTGTCTAATTTATTAAATATAAATTATAAAATTAGAGTATTCAATTTAGATTATTTTTTAATTTAATTTATTATATAATATTTAGATTAAGCATCTAATGGGTAAAATTGATTAATCACAAATGATTTGAATAAATTAATGAATGAAGAGAAGTAGAAAATCAATAAGGTTGAATATTTTTTATTTTATATATTTTTAAAAATAATCTCATTATTAGGCATCAGCAGTCTCATGATTATCTTCTGGATTTCTTTATGATCTATTCTTGTTATCATGATGATGTCTATTTGATCCTCTGTTTGGTTTCTATTAAGGCTTTTTTGTTCTAGAAATATACAAAATTTTTTAACCTACGTTCAATAGTGATATATTCTTCATCAGAACTGTTTTGATCTTACTTATCATTATTTTAATCGTGTTCTTGGATTTCCTTCTTTTCTTACCATTCTTCTCTCTAGTGTCTATCTCTATTGTGGTATTTATTTCCTCTGTATTATTTATTGTTATCTCCATTATTGTTATTTCTTCTCTCGTGATGATAATTCTTTTTGTATCCTTTTCTTTGATCGTCATGATGTTGATGGTGTCTATGTCCATCTCTTGGGTGTTAATGATTACCTTTTTAATCATTTTGATGTTCCTCTTTTCCTTCTGGTGCTTGTTATTATTGTGGAACTTCTTATTAAGGGTGAGTTTACTTTCCTTGTTATTCTTATTATTCAGTATGTTAATTTGTAAGCTAATCGATAGGTTAATGGACTTATTAACGATTTTCATCTTGGAATGATTTCTTTGGACTGGATTTGATCAAGACATATTATTCCTATTAAACAGAATGTTCCTTGTGAGTTTCAACTGTGTCTGGTTATTGAGTAGTCTCTTATTGTTATTATGGGACTTGTTGGGTTGTTTCTTCGTGATGATGATGATGATGGTGATGGTGATGAGTTTCTGGCTATTATTGATGTTTTAACTAAAATTTAATTTTAATTAATAAATACTTTCAAACCCTTCCATAATTGATCCTTCTTCTTCTATTGATTATTGACTCTATTTTGAAGCTATTTAGCCAATTCATATAAAGATTAATGATCTTAAGAGAGCAGTTCTAGGGTGTCTTAATTCTCAGATAGATGTTCCAAAATGAGGATGAAGGCCTCTTGGGTGATGATAGAACCACTTTATTCTGCTTCCTTCTTAGCTTACAACCAATTTGAGACTTAGGCTTCTAATTCTTTAATTCTTTCGTTATTCTCATCTTTGCTTTGGATCTTCTAAACTTATTCAGGTTTCAATTCTTTTGTTTTTTACAATTCTTCTAAATCAGCAATGTCTTTAAGTTTTTTTTGGAGATTTCTATATTTTTTGGTGAGGAAGTTGAAATAGAAGTCTTTTTCTTCATTCCTAACTTAATCCCAAATGGTCTTATTCTTTGATTGTTTTCCACCCTTCATAAAAAATGTATTTTTTAAAAAAATTTAAATAAAAAAGTCAATTAATAACTAGTATTCAAACTACACTTGATTTTGAGTTAATCAAGCACTCCATGGTCGATATGACTTTGAAGTACTTGAAAACTAAAATCAAGTAAGAATCTACATCTCTTTGTAAATGGGCAGTGATAATATTACAATTAAATTGAATGTCATTATATTTGATTATGCAGAATGCAATGTTCTCAAGTCTCACTTTAGATCAGTCTAACTATTCGTATTAGGAGGCGATGTCAAGCATGCATGTGTTGATCTGATTAAAACTGACAAAAAAGAAGGAATTTTTAATAATGATATAAAATCTAAATAAATTAAAATGATACATAAAAGCACTATTGATAAGCGAACATTTAAATCTGTAACTCTCAGCAATTCATTGCTCTGTCTTTTGATATCAGATCCAGAGACAGAGAAGTCTGCTGCTGCTTTGAATGTCGATGTGGGATCTCTTGAAGACCCAGTTGATAGAATGGGGCTTGCTCATTTTTGTGAACACATGTTGTTTATGGGAACAGACAAGTAAGTGATGTATTTTATCATTCAGATATCCCAATGAAAATGAGTATTAGTAGTATATTTCAAAGAATGCTGGACAGACCAATGCTTTCACATCTGAATTAAATACTAATTTCTTCTTTTCAGTTGCCAATCAAGCATTGGAGGGTGCTCTTGATAGATTTGCTCAATTCTTCATTAGTCCACTTTTCAGCGATTCATGTACCGAACGTGAAATGAAGGCAGTTGATTCAGAATACAACATGAATCTATAAAATGATTTTTGGCGCAAATTCCAATTGTTTCACAATGCTTCCCTTCCTGGCAGTCAATACAATAAGTTTATGATTGGTAATTTGAAGACTTTGTAGTTCGAAGATACACGTGCAAGATTACAAGAATTTCACAAAAGATACTACTCATCAAATGTGATGAAATTGGTCATCTATGGTTCATAACCAATTGAAACTTTGGAAGGATGGGCTTAAACTTATTTTGAAGCCATTTAAAATAAAAACCTGGCACCTCCTTCATATGATGCTATGCCATTTGATCAAACTAATTTGGGTTAGTTGATAAAGTATGTTCCGATCAAAAATTAAGATCATTTGGAATTTATATACATAATCGATTATCTTTATCCACATTATAGAAGTTGTCCAGGAAAGTACTTGTCTCATTTGATTGGTCATGAAGGAGAAAACTCTCTATTGTCTCTTCTCATAAAAGAGGATTTAGCATAGGAATTGTCAGCAGGTCCATCAAACACAATGAAACAATTTTCAGAAATGACAATCAGAATCAAGTTAACATAAAAAGGCTTATAACAATATTTGAAAGTTATCTAATATGTTCAAGAATACATTGAATTGCTCAAACAAAAGGGACCATAAGAGTGGATTTTCAAAGAAATCTAAGCCATCAAATAATTAGAATTCGATTTCTTAGAAAAAGGAGAACCCTTCAATTATGTCTGCACATTGGCCTCAAGAATGCAATTATATCCAATTGAAGATGTGTTAAGATCACCATATTTAATGGAATAATATCAACCAGAATTAATTCAAAAGATAACAAATCAATTGACTGGAGATAAGTTGATGATGTTTTTATCCTCATAAACCTTTTCAAATTAACTAGGAAACAAGGAAGAATACTTCGGAACTGAATACAGCCAATCCAAATTCCATGAAGATATAACATCAGTCTTCAAAATTGCAAGCAATAACATTTCCCCCAAATTGAACTTGCCTCCATAGAATATCTACATTCCAGAACACACAAATGTCTTGCCTTCATAAAATGGCTTACCTTAATTCCCTGAATTGGTTTTGTAAAATGAATAAACTGATTTATGGTTCAAACAAGATGATAGATTCCAAGTACCAAAAACTGTCATTCAGCTTAGAATTAATTCAATTGAAACTGGGTATGGTAAATTAGCTAAAACAGAGGCTATTGCTAAACTCTGGTTGGCTTTGTTAAAGAATCATGTCAGAGAATTCAATTATCTAGCAGAAATGGCTAAAATTGATGCCACTTTATAATTGGCACCAAATGGACTAGAAATCTCAATTAGTGGGTTTAGTGATTCCATCTCTAGATTTGTGATCGGTATGTTCCAAAAGATTATTTCATTTAAGCCTGAAGATTATTAGGATTTATATGAATCGACATTTGTTAAAATAACCTAAGAATTAGAAAACTTCAAGAGATCTCAACCCTATTAATAGGTTCATTCTCTCATTTCTGTAGTATTGAAAGAGGGATCCTCATTTGAAACACAAGAGTTATTAGATTAATTAACCAATATCACTTTTGATGATGTCATTCATTTCTCAAACAATTTCCTAAAAAGATGCAGATTTGAATGGCTCATAATGGGTAATTTGGTTAAAGAAGAAGCCATCAAAATTGCTGAAAAGTCCCTTGACTTATTTAAAGCAAAAACTCTTAGATATGAACAGGTATTATAAATCAGACCAGTTATGTTGAACGAATAAGAGATTTGCAATTACACTTATGATTTGACCGAACCAACAGAAACCAATTCAGGAATCATCGTCCATTATTAAATAGGCAAATCTGATTTAAGAACTTAACTCTATAATGGTATTTAACAATTTTCATTCTAGAAATCCTATAAACAATAATGAAGACTCCATTCTTTGCCTAACTAAGAACTACTGAATAATTGGGATATGCAGTTTTCTCATTGTTGAGTGATGTCAGAGGAATAGCAGGTTTCACTTTCTTAATCTAAAGTAATGTGAAATGTCCAAACTATGTCTAACAAAGAATTAGGTAACATATTTATACAATATACTAGAACATTTATTAATGAAAATTTGAATAAGTAGATTACTGAAATGACTGAATAAGATTTTGAACAATTCAAAAGCTCAGTTAAGGTCTAATTATTAGAGAAAGACTACTCATTAATCAAAGAATCAGCTAGAATGTGGATTGAAGTTTAAAAGCATTAAAGATTATTTGATAGAAGAGCATAATAACTCAATATTTTGGATGGCATTAAATTATCCGAAGTGTAAGAATATTTTAAAACTTATTTGATCGAAAAAACAAAGCAATTTGAGATCCATGCCATTTCACCAACCCACAAGAAGGATTAGGAAGAAATCAAGAGTGAGAGCCTCATCTATAATTCATCTGACAAATTCAAAAAGAGGCATGGATTGTATCCTGATTATTTTTATTAATGAGCAGTAATATATATTGTAATTTACAATCGTTCAGTTCAAATGTTATTCAAAAACTATATGCGAATAAATCGTTTTAAGTTTATAATCTAACATAAAACATTACATTTTGAATGTTGTTATAAGTGTCTAATCTAAGTGGATGTCAGTATATAAATACTAAATGCTCTCATTTATTATAAAATATTCATAAATACCAAGGTAAATTTTGATTTCATAAGGTTCTTATTAAAATCTTTTTGTTTAAATTTGACAGTGCTTCTTTATACTATTTTTATTGTTGATAGAAAACGATATATAATTTTAGGAGAAATTTTCGTAAAATTATATATGTAGCCTGAGAAGCTTTAGTTAAAGATAAAACAGAAAAATAGGAACTCTTTTATTTTAAACAATTATATTTTTAATTGATAAAATAACAGTTTAATTTGATATAAATTTAAAATTATGAGGCTTAAAATATACCATTGATCAATATAAATATTTTAGATTCAAAGAAAATAATTAAAGCACACTTTTTGATTTTGATACCAGCGATTTAAGAGAAATCACTAATTAGAGAAAATGAAAATATATTTATTAATATTATATGTAACCTTATAAAAGAGTTTGTGTATAAGAATCAAATATCCCCTATTCATTTAGTGAACAAAATGAGAAAATTGGTATTGACTACTCAAATTTCATCTAACAAATGGAAGGACCTTATCATTAGCTTTATGAACCAATAGATAAATAATTAATAGGAGCAGGCGGATAGGGTTGTGTTATCAAAGTGAGATGCAAATTGAATAATGAGGTTCGGGCTATGAAAGTCATAAAAAAAATCAATGAGGATAAAAATGAAAATTTCAGAAAGGAATTTCAAAACCTTAAGCTGTATATCGAGTTCTTAATTTAGATTAGATCACCCTAATATATTGAAGCTTTATCATAGTTTTGAGGATGATCAGAAATTTTACATTATTTCGGAACTCTGTGAAGGAGGAACCTTATCTCAATATATTGATGAACATTATCCACTTAAAGAAGCTGAAGTTCTGAAAATTATGAAGTAATTAATTGGTTCCATAAATTTTGCTCATAAGAAGAATTTAGTTCACAGAGATATCAAACCTGAGAATATCCTAATCGATGACGAAGTGGCCACTTCAATCAAGCTTATCGATTGGGGTTTCTCGGGGATGATTTAAAAATATGAAAAATTAAGTCTTAAATGTGGTACTATCCATTTTGTGGCTCCAGAAGTAATGGAGGAATCTTATGACTAAAAATGCGATATATGGTCTTGTGGAGTTGTCCTTTACATACTGTTATGCAATGATCCTCCCTTTCAAGGAACCGATTCAAAAGAAATCCTATTTAATATCAAAAATTAAAGCATAGAATTCAGGTATACTATCCTATTGAATAGAGATATTAATCCTGGAAATAATATAGTACCCTCGTTAAGGATTTATTGAAAAGGATGTTGGAGAAAAACCCAGAGTTGAGACCTAATGCATAATAAGTTCTTGAGGATCCATGGTTTGAAAGGTATAGTTCGTTTATATTATATTAGTCATTCATCCGAATAAATACTTTCTTAGGATTTTAAGGAGAGTATGTTATAATTTAATGGATATACTGAAGGTTAGGGCAATAATTTAACGCAGAGCAGATTTTTATAAGCCATAGTTTTATTTATTGCCACTGAATTAGTTCATAAGGACGATAAAAAGGTGTTGAATCAAATATTTCGAAAGATTGATAAGGACAACAATGGTATTATATATCATTTGAAATCATTAGGAACCATCTCAAAAGATGAACTGAAAATAGCACTACTATAAATATATTCAAAAAATTAAGTTGATGAGAAAGTTGATAAAATATTCGACTTTTTGGATGTCAATCAAAGTGGTTCCTTAGATTTCAGTGAATTTGTAGCGGCAACTTGTAAATTGTAAGATATAGATGGTATTTTAATGAATTAAGTAATTAAGATAAAATAAGGGTGGCATTTGATGTATTAGACAAGAATAAGGATGGGTATATCACTCTAGATGAGTTATTTAGATTTATTGGGAGAGAGGATTGTGACAATGATTGTAAAGAAATCTTTAATCAATTTGATCAGAATGGAGATGATAAAATAAGTTTTGTTGAATTCTCTTAGACTGTTTAAAAATACGTTAACATATGTAAATAGATTTAATATTGATTATTTATAAGAGCTTATCAATTACTTAGCAGATTCAGAAAATATATATATAGATAAACATAAAATCAAACATATTTACTAAGAATTGTAATAAGTTTTGTTCTAATTTCTAATGATTCACATTTTATCATCTTTACAAATGTCAGATAAAATTCTTATAAATCATTTTTCTCTAATCTACTCAGAAAATCTAACATAGATTAAATATTCAATTATTTCTCCAAGGAAGTAGTTTCTTCGTTCAAGAATAATTAAAAATTTTAATGGATGCTATTTAAAAGAGAAACTCGAATAGACGATGAAAATTTTTCTACTATCGGATTATCCTTCTCTAGAAATGCCACTAAACTAATTATAATCGTTTATTGTGATTCTGGATCTGAAATTTTTAACTTATTGATGTAATAATTAGTAAACAATTAAACAACAACATCTTATTATTCGCTATTTAAAAAAGATTACGCATCATTTACAAAAAAGGAGACCCAATCCTATGTTCTTTATTTTGAAACTATAATTTTTTATATATTATACTTGCTAATTATGATTCAATAAGAGGTTCAAATAACTATTCAATTTAATTGTAATCTAAAAATGGTATCATTCTAATTATAATATTTTTTAGAGATGTAAATAAAATTAATTGCAGTTTTTCAGAATTGTCATTAATCAATAACTAGCATTTCTATCAAATATATTAATATTTACACTTAAAAAATCAGTTAGAACACCTATAAATTTATTGATTTCATCTAAGTCATTTCTATTTAATTGTATATTACTAATTAGGGCTTCGAAACTATTTATTAGAAACTCAATAAAGAAGTGATACTTTGTATTGATACTTAATTAGGAGATTTATTAATTTATAAAGTGAAACCACTCTGCTATTATTTCTTCTTCGAGCACATCAAATTATAAACATGATTTGTGATAGTATTTGAAGACATTGTTATCATCATTCAAAAGTAGAATTATTTGATCTTGACATAAAAAATTGAACAGCAACTATAAAGCATTCAAACCTTTCTTATGGTTTATAGTTATTGTCAATTTAATTACATCACAAAAAACTTAGAAGGTTTTATTCTCTATATAAAATTAAATATCCTCCATATCCAAAGTTTATTCGTTGTTAATTAGAGTAATCAAGAAATCAATAGCACCTATTATTAGCTACTTATCTGAATTTGACTTTATTATCCTTTAACATGCCAATGCTATTTCATGCTTTACATACACACATTATGCCTGATTAAATAATTGCAAATAATAGTAGAATTTAGGATATAATGATTTATGAATAATCACATCTATCATTTTTGAGATACACAACTTTACTAATTCAAATTACTGTTTAAATAATTATAAGGATGTGGATTTATCGAAAACCATTTACTTAATTGATCCTGAGAACTTAGGAGTCTCCATAGGCAATGTTAGAAACCTAGGAGTCTATTAAATGAACAAGAGTTAGTGTTATTCAACTTTTAGAAAATATTCCATTGAGTATTAAATTAATTCTTCTAGAATTTAAAACATCTCTGTAAATTAAGAATCCTAAGCTATACAGCAGATTTAACTTGATATATTAATTGATGCATATTTTAGATCGTCTTGATTATCTAAACAGTTTTTAAATAGCTTCATAGAAATCTACCAGAACTCATAATCTGTGATTTTTAATTTTACAAGCCTCTCTTGAATTTGCCAAGTCATATATATGATTTTATTTGTAGTTTCAAAATTGACTATTATAATTGTATATAATTTTTACAATGACTTTCTTTATTTAATGAAATCAACATTGAGGCTAATTTACATATTGATGTATTATCCAAACCTTCAATATGAGTGGATATTATTTCAAACATGCATTAGATGGATAATTAAGTTCTGAAAATTAATTATTTCTGCTCTTATTAACTTAATTCTTGCTGAATGCCTTCTTTGCTAAAAAAATCATTTAATAAAACCTCAATTAATTGAACAAAAATTTGAAAAGCTTCTGAGGGCAAATGTTTGTGATGTTCATGAATTAGATTTGATATTATTTATAAAATATTATCCTTAAGATCCTCATATGGCAACATTATTAATTCAGATAATGGATTTAACAAATATTATATCCATTTGTCTCCCCATTTCCATTTATTATTTTAATTATGTTCAATACCTGAAATTATGGTATCTCTATATTTATGAATAGCATTAAGACGCATTTCCATCACCTTGGAACTACAGAGACAGAAATATAAAGCATCTATTATAGTCCACAACTAATGTATTCTTTACCAATTATTATTTATAATGAGCAATAGTTTATCAATTGCAAAGGACTTGTAAATTGAATCGAAAGTTTTCTTCTGACTAATTTGAAGTCTTTCTGATACTTAAAGTGCTAACTAATTTAACCCGTCTACCATTTAAAATACAGTTGTATCTTGATATTAAGAACTACGATTAAAAATCTCAGTAGTCATCTTTATTGATGTTGACTTAGTAACAACTTATTCTATTCTTTATAAGGTTTTGAAAATAAGATTCCAGGTTTTCGCTGTTAATAAATTTACATTATTGTAAAGAATTTCTTCAAATACTTTGCATGCGATTAACCATTTATCAGTCTCATTATATTTTAAAGATAATGGAGCAGATTAAGCAGCCAAAAATCTGATAAGCAATTAAAATGTGTTAGTTTAATCCTGCTCTAAACTAAACTAAATCCAAGATTATAAATATTCTAATAAATTAGTATATTGTTAATTATTAGCTATTTTAAGAATCTGTTTCATTATTTTTAGAAGAGGTCGCCATAATTTATCAAAAAAGGTCTTAAATCTTATATCATCGCTTTCGGTTTCTTAAACTTCTGCCATTTAATCTTCATTTTCGCAGTTAAATACTTGAGATTGCATAAGTCTACTATAGTTTTTTATTTCTTATAATAAACCGCAACCTTCATTTTGAAATTCATCTAATTAAAGAAACTTTTATATATTCTCAGTAATTATCTAAATTAAAGTTTCTAACTTATAATATATTTTGTATTACTTATTTATTAGACAAAAATATTTGGAAGCATTTATAGATTGCATTCAATATAAGATGCCGTTAATTTGTTTATTAATATATTTTACTTTGGAGATTACTGAGTGAAAAATTCTTTTATTCCAAAAAGGCTATATTAATATAGGGATTTCAATATTAAATCGTTGTAATCTAATTATGAATAAATGATAATAAATACCATTGAAATTATTACCAGATGGTTGTCTTATTAATAGATTTTTGAATATTGTTAAATTTGAATAGAGACATAAAATACCGTCATGAATTGCTATCTTACTTTAATCTTGTGCTTGTAATTTGCTATATGTAGTCATCAACTGAGCAATTAAATCAAATTTGTCTTCCATTATTTGAATATAATTGAATATTAATCGAATTGTGTTAATTTCTAATATCATTAACATTCTTACTATTCATTATGTTTGACTCCTAAACTAAATCAATACTTTTTAAGTACGTATATAATGTTTCATGATAAAAAGTATGAAATTGCTTGATATGCTGTAAATATTTTCCGCATTTCAGAATTATGATGAAAATGTCTTTGCCTAAGGTGATTGAAATGAGATAAGATAAATACATAATATTAAGTTGTTTGATACATAAATAAATGATTGCTCCTTATCTTGAAATATGTTAAAAAATAATTCTAATAATTCAAAATAGGATTGCAATACTGCATTATTATTCTATTAGTTCTATAGTAGTTCCTCCAACACATTGCTAAGTGTAAGAATACCTTATATTGATGATTAGGCTATTATTGGGTTGTTGGAAGAGGAAAAGTAAATTAACATATCTAAGACCTTAAGTATTTGATTTGAATTTTAAAAATCGATGATATCAGGACCAATTATGTGAATTAAAGTTGACACTAACCTTATGTCAATTGTTTCATCCTGCTGTTATTTTGAAATATTAAAATATTCAATTATGATATCAAGATCATTCTAATGATAGGTAAATCATACTGTATTTAATGATGCCAAATACTGCAATTTTTGGATTAATCCTATTCCTTATTAAATTAATTTAATATTTTTTGAACTGACAATTAAAGGTAATAATTGCTATAATAAAGAATGACCATCTAATTCTAACAAATTTGATTCCAACACCTTTAAAAATATAGATTAGTGTGAAATACTTTACACAATTAAGGATATTTTTTGCTGTTATCCTTAATTGATATCAATTCATTTTCTACTATTTCTCTTCTATTCATATTTAGAAATATAATTATTATATTTTTAATCAGAGAGTATTTAGATCAATAATAATAATAATAATATATTTTATAAATTTCATTCACTTGTCTAAAACTTAAGCATTTTAGTACAGATGATTGGAAACATAATAAGAATAAGAATTGTATAATTAAAAATGATAACTCTATCACATAAAGTCATCTAAATTAAATTCATTTTCATCTTAGGCTAATTCATCATCATACAATACTAATCGTACATTATTTTTTATTTATTTTTCATCCTCTAACGTTTCATTTGTTTCCTCAAACAATTATGCTTGCACTTTTGTGTCTTAGTTTATTTTAATCAATTTAACAGATTTTCTTTAAACTTCGGGTGACTAAGGATTAAATTTTTGATGGTGAGATCTAAATTTATTGAATAATTTACCTGCATTAACTAGGAGAACGAGTTCCAATGATTTCTGACATTGGTTTGAAGATTTTGTTATTTTTCTTTAAATGGGCATGATCTTCCAAAAACTATAAATATTTGTCATGCTCCTCCTTGGTCCAATGTCCAATATTTTTTCTTGGGGAAAGAGAATCACTTTTTTTTATTTTCTTTGACTTTGGAGATCTGCTACAACTAACTTAAGCACCTTCATCCTCTAAATTACAATATTCCTCTTCCATTTGACACATTTTTTTAATAATTGCTAAAAAGAATGCAAATTCTTATTTTTATACATAATTTGTTTATAGTTCATTTTCTTAAAGAATTTTCAACCCTGTTGCATGTTTGATCGATAAGATTGATAATACTCTCTTCTGTGGCTTCCCTTTCATTTTTTTCAGCATTCAACTCCCCATTCAAATAGGCATTCATTTCATCCAGCATTCTAAACATCTAAGCCTATGCTGATTCTCTCTATTTTTTCTCACTTGTTAAAATTTCTTATAATTTCAAGATGGAATCTCCCAATCGTTTGATAACCTATTAATTTCCTTCTTCCCTAAGAGTTATTTAATTAATACCTAGTTCTTCTTTCTTCTTCCACCTCTTCCTATAACTGTAAAATTCTATCCCCAATTTCTTAAGCATTTTTCTCCTCTGTCTCTTCTCTGTACTTTTTTTACCTTGCCAAATCTAATCTTAGACTGTAAACTCTGTCATCTGTTGTTTTAGTAATTTTTTATTCATAATCTTTTCTATTTACTTTTTCTGTCTATAATTCTTTTCCCAAGGCAAACTCTAATCCTTTCAAATCTTTATTTCTTAGTTTTTCATCTCCACTCTATTAGATAAGTCATATTTCGTTTTACTTCTCTAATGATTTTCTCATTTTAAGCTCCCTCCTCTACTTTTTACAATTACTCTTTTAATAGCTTAAACTTTGATTCATCCCCTTATTGCTGTTTTATGGCTCTGTCCTCTAAAACCTTAACCTTTTATTCAAAAGTTTCTTTTTTAAACTATTCAGTATTAATAGATTCTATACTGCCTAATCCTCATCGATTGAATGTTGGAGATTGGATAGTTTTTCTGATAATTGAGAGATTTTTGCCCTACTAGGAGAAAGTGCTCTATCTCTATCTCCTGCAAGTGATATTGCAGATTAAGTTTTTGGTCCTGGTGAAGAATATACAAATTTAGAAGCTGACATTTTTGTGTATTTTAATAATTTTATTTTTTTGCATTTGGATACTCTTATAAATAAAATTTATTGAAGTCAACTTTTAAGCAAAACAACCTTTTTTTTCGTTTATTAAAATCAATTATCAATCTCATAGACGAAGTTGTTATATTTCACTATTTTAGTGTTTACATTATTTTACATTATAATTTAGAGATAATATAGATCTATATTGTTTGGATATTTAGAGAAAGATATTGGCTAATTTCAAGAAATATCATTAAGAAGAACATCATTTTATAATTGAATTTTAACTACAAATTAGATGGATATAATATAATTTTTGATAAATTATAGAATACTAATTTAAATATTCTTTAAAATTATCATCATTTTGTTATTTTTAAGGATAAATAAAAGGAATAATGTAAAGTTTTATGAATAAATTAATATTAAATTGAAACGACCAAAATCAATAATTTCATAAGAAATAATCTGGTGTTTTTTTGGTTAAATGAGGTTCTCCTCTTCTAGGAGCTGGATCAAATTGCAAATAATTTTGATTCATATGTTCATCCACTTCCAAAATGGCAGCTTAATTTCCACATCTATAACAATAATTTGGAGCAGAGAATAATGTGACACAATTCTTATCATGAGTTTCTTAAAAGCCTTCCATAACTAATTGATGTGCTCTGGCAATCATGGTTAATCCATTTGTGTGATTATATTTTTCAGAAATATCTACTCCAAAAGTAAAACCAGCACCTCTTGGAGATGAATTAAATCCATTTCGATCTATGATATTATGATAAAATTATACCATCAGGATCACTCCATAATAAATCACATAAAGGACCTTCATGAGGTACTTCTTGTATTCTATCTAGTCTTCTTATTTCATCAAGAGTGGTAACGTCAGGAGACAGTCCTCCATGTAAACCAAAGATCTTGAATAGCAAATACAAATTACTGAATTTTCAACAACGGCTGTTATGGGAAGATAATCAAATAAATCAGTGAAATACTTCCATGGATTAGCATTGCCATATTTTCTCACACATTCCTCATAAAATCCATAGACTTATGTAATTTATCTGGATTCGTGATTCCCTCTTAAAATAGTTATTCTATCCTATTTAAAATTTAGGTCATTCATACTTTATATCTGACTTTCAAAGCCAATAGTAATGATACAGTTTCAACACTATAATAGCCACGATCAACGTAATCTCCCAGGAAAAGATAATTTGTATCGGGTACATTACCTTGATAATATTATGGTTATTTTTACCTCCGATTTTAAATAATTCCATCAAGTCATGATATTATCCATGGACATCACCACAAATAGTCACTGGAGCTCTAACTGGTTGAACATTACTCTCTTCCTACAGAATTTCTTTAGCCTTTTCACAAAGCCATTTCACATCCTATTCAGTCAGAGGCTTGCATTTATTGAGTTATTCAATAAATCCATCTAAACAATTATTGGGATTATCGTATTGAGACATATTTATTTTCAAATTTTTAATATTAATATTTGAGAATTTATATATATTTATTATAATATATAAAAGTGATATCATAATTAATTAAACTTCAATAAAAATAATGAGTTTTCTTGTTAGTATATTTTGTAGTTCCAGGGAATTATTGAATAAAATTCAATTATTGTTTATTGCTGTTTTTGCTAGAATGAAAAGACTAAGAAATCTTCTTATTATTTGGAGTAGGGTTCTATGAAATATTAAGCAATAACTCTTTATCTCTTGAAAAGGTTCTAATCTGATTAGGTTTCTAAATTATGATAAATTAAAATACTTTATTTTCTTAATTCATCTCTGGCTCTGAGATGTGATGGATAGGTAATTTTTATTATCCCTATTAACCTTGTTTGAAATTAGTTTCTTATTTTTTATAATTGACATCCATGTATTGTAATTAGCTTTCTAGATATTAGACATGCTAAGCTCTAATTTGGCTAGGTAATCCGTCAAGTATCCAAACATGCATAAGAGCATTGATTGGACTGATCCTATTTTTCGGATTCCAAACTAAACATTATTTTAAGAAGTCGATAAAATTTTCATCCTTACATTATAAGACCGCCGATAATGTTTTGCTTCCAGGTATCTTCAATTTAGCTCCTTTATTTTACATACACAGCGGTTAATAAGGGGGAAAGTCATTAAAGAAAACCTTTCTTCTTTAGGCGATCTTTCATACTTTGATATATTTACTTCTAAGAGTTCGTTATCTGGCATACCTAGGATTTCTAAAATATATGCAATTTGCTCTTATTCATCATCTCCTGGAAATATTGGGTATCCCAAATATAGCTCTGCCATAATACATCCAAAACTCCACATATCGATGCTCGTATCATAGGGGATACCAAACATTATTTCAGGGGCTCTATAATACCTTGACTGAATATAAGAGTAAATCTTTTAATTTTCGAAACAACTACTGCCAAAGTCTATGATTTTAATCCCACTTTTGTTTTCTTACTTTAATAAAATATTCTCAGGTTTTAAATCACAATGGATGATTTTATGTTTGTTTAGAAAATTCAACGCATTTAGAATTTGAATTGCAAATCTCCTTATTAGCTCCAAGGATAAGCTTTGAAAATTATTGTTCTTTATCAACTAATACAAATTTATCGACAAAAATTCAAAGGAGATGCACTAAAATATATAAAATTAGATAAACATACCACATGATTCCTAAAAATTACAAAATCCTTGATTTTTACAATATTTGTTACATTCTCTTCGTCCTTCTCCTTGATATATGTTAATATATTTAATTCTACCAGAGCCTAATTTGTAAACTTCTTTTTGTTTCTTATAATCTTTAAGCATTAAACTTATTATCTCTTATGATCAAAGACTTTGAATGCTTATCCAAAACTACCTTTACCAACTATCTCCAAAATCTCATATCTGTATCCGATGTGATCGTTGAGTGAAAACAAATACTCACCATTTGAATCATCAAAGCCGTCATTGCAATTTGATTATTTTTGATCTATCTTTTTAGATGTAATTCCTATACAATAAATCTAAACTAATAAATTATGTATTTGTACTCTACTAAATCCATGAATTTCCTATTTCTCAAAATCAGTCAAATATTATCCAAATTATTATATACATTCTTTTGGTGTTATAGGCAATTTGATTTTGCTCCAATCAACCTTTTTGGATGGGGACACAGATTTTTCTTGATCAATTATTTTTGAAAATACTTTCTAAAAAATTATGATATTGTTTACTTATAATGTAGTTCTATCCTTTGATCCTGACTTATTTGTTGTTGTTTTTGTACCATATTAATTATATTATTAGAAATGTTTATTGAATCTATTGTCATATCCAAATTCACTTGAATTACTCTTTTTTGTCTCTATGAATGATATTTCTTTTGTATTCTTGAATTTATCTGTATTAATTTGTAATAGTTATTTCAAGTTACCTAATTAATTTATAATAATACTTTTCCCCATTAATTCCTTAAGTGCTTCAATCGATGATCCAGTCTTAACAGTTAAATTAGTTCTCTAATTGGATGATGATTTTTTCTATCTATTTTAAATTTTATTGTTTGAGTTATTATTAGAACAATTCGCTTTTTGCTAGGTCTAATTTAGAATTAAGAATACTAACTCGTTTGCCAGATATAAGTCTTTTTCTTGGAGTAGATGATTCAACAACTAATGGTGACATATTGCTACCATTAAAAAACTTTTGGTTTTCTTTATGGCATGTTGTGTTCGATATATAATATTTTGGTTTGTTATTTGAATTCAAATCATAAGAAATATTCTAGTTAATCATTATGATAGTTACCGTCAGTTTTTTTTCTTAAGGATTATACTTAGATTTCATTTCTAGGTTGTTAAAATAATTAATTTTTTTTTATTTATTCATCCAAACTAATTATCAAATAGATATTCAAAAAAATATCAAATTAAGTAATCGAAAACCTATTATTAATTTGGGAAATCTAAACCAAATTCAAAATTCAGACATATAATTTAAGATTATTTATAGAAATAGATGTTAGATTTTGATAAATTAAAATCAGACATTAAATTCAAGTCCTTGATAAGCCGACTTGACAAATGGTCTTTATTTTGACAATATTTCTGTTTTCTAGTTTAACTATGAATTATCCTCTTCTTATTATTATTGCTATTATTCAGTTTTTATTCTTCGAGATTAATCATAACCTTTAACAAATATTTACTTAAAAAAATTAAGATTCTCTTCTTATCTCTTTTGCATTCCAATCATTTAATCCAACTTATTCATAAGTAAATTTCGTTCCTAATGATATTTATGATGTCAATACTTCAGCACTGCAATCTGATTCCTTCTAAAATTTTGTTAAATTTTCAAATAAAAATCTATTTTATAACTCTAATTCTTCAGATTTTTTCTTCAAAATTTACACTTGAAAAACTAATTGATCAATTTTGCTCTCCAACTTTTTCTATGTTAGATAACTTTATGTATTGATTATAAATTCTTCCTCTTTTACATTCTATTATTTATACATTTTATTCTAATCTATACAATCCTTTGAATATTTCAAGATGTCCAATCTAGATCTTGATGATTAAGAATCAACTGATTTGCTCCTTTGAGTAATCTCTTACCTAAATAGCTTTTCACTCTCCTACTGATCATTTCTATCATAATGATATTATTGCTTTTTTTGTGTTTTTTATAATTCTTCAAAAGCATTATTTGATTTTATGTCTTTACTTAACTTGTTTAATTTTTCCTTAAATTCTTATAATGTAATTGATTGTGCGTATATGTTAATTGGGGAAGGGAAGTGTTTTAGTGAGAATGAACCTTTAGAATTTTTTAGTTTTTACTCATGGTTATTTTAAGCAAGTTGAACAGTCGATTAACATTCCATTAAGCCTTCCTTTTAAGATAAATACACTTGATCATTTAGATTGCCGTATGAATTAAACTTCTTTTTGCCATTATTTCTCAATAGACGATCTTACCGTGATTGTTATTATGCTAATAATTATTGAAAATCTGCGCTTTGATTTCTTTAATTTCTTGATTATCTTTTGTATTGTGTGTGATTCGTATTTTTGTTTAGTAGGTTAGTGATTACTTTTACTTAAGAACTCGTATTTCTTTATGGGGGTGATGCTGATTATCCATAGTCTTTATTTTTTGTTGGAGATGCAGATGTATGTACTTTTATTTGATTTTCGTTTCCTTCTGTAAATACTCTGGTCTTGGAATTATTTTTATTGAGAGATTTAGAAGTTCCTAATACTAATTTTTTTAACATTCTCAAACATGATAATTATTAATATATCTAATTATTAGGATATCTGGATTAATATTGGTTACTACTTTATTTTTAGGTTTCATTACTTTTAGAATTTGAAGCAGTTTTTCTATGAATTTAATTTTTTTTTGTACTAAACATTAAATAATTTACAACAGCTTATAAAAATAAATTATTGAAATTTTTGGAATTTCTATCCTTTTAAGGCGATAGGTAGATTTATGATTTATGCTAATTTTAGATGGTGAGAATGTATAAATTTAATAAAGATAATCATAAAAATAAATAATAATTTTATTATACTTTCATTTTCGATTAAAATAATTGATTATTTGAATACTTATATAGATCTAAAAATTGTTCCACTTGATTGTAACTTAGTTTTGACGTAAATTTACAATGATTTCAAAGAAGAGTTTTAAAATAGGCTTATATTATCTAAAATTAAATTTATTTTTGATAATATTTTTAGATCAGGTATAAGTAAAATTATAAAGGTTTATCTTTAATATATAAAGCAATCATCAATTTAGATATCTATGTAACAAAATAATTTTAAATGAATACTACAATAAATGTGAAAATATATATCTCCTCGAAGGGTATCTAAAGGAAAAGAGAAGTGAGAATGATTAGATTAACTTTGAGCATAAATAAGGAAGATGAAGCTTTTAGTTGATAAAATTGATTATAAATTATTTAATGATTAAATTTGCTTTTTTTCATTTGAGAAATCCCTTTATTCATCGAATAAATTTCTCAAGTTCCACAGCTAAAGGCAAACAACGAGTGTTAACAAAATAATAAGAGTAATTTGTGAAGGAACTTAAAAATACTTATAAGTCCTTAGCTGATAATTTATAAAGTATTTTAAGAAGATAAAAAATTAGGTGAGGAATCTGTGCTAAATTTATTTAAGAAGGATTAAGAAGAAGAAAAGTAGGAGAAAAAAGGGTCTCCAAATGAAAAAGCTGTAATTGCTTAATATATGAATATTCTTAACTATAGGTATAAGGATTGAAAATATGGTTAGTTTTGCTTAGTACTATTAAAGTCTAAGTCCAGAGGAGTAATTGAAAAGAAGTAAGGATATTATAAGGTCTGATGCATTAAAAAAAGATTGGGACACTTTTCTGAAGGAAAATAGAGACTATTAGGATTATTCACTTTTTGATAAAAATCTTCTCGCAATTAAATATAGTCATAAAGACTATGATCCTCGAGATGCTAAATATAAAAACAGATTGAACTTTTATGGTGATTTAGATGAAAATGTTTACGAAAGACAACAGAAGGAAAATATATATAGTTTCATATATCAAAATCCTGAAAATAAAAAAGTGGCTAGGAAAATGCCATAGAGGAGAAAAATAAGGCTTTCATTTAGAAATCGAAGGGCTAAAAGAGCTACTAGAGCCAAGGAGTTAATTTCTAGGAAAATAAAGGATAATTAAAAATGGTTATTAAATCGAGGTAACTTTTCTAAAAGAAGACGTAGAAGAGTTATTGCTCCAAAATTATCATTCAGAGCTAAATTTGAATTGTTTGGATTATTTAATGAGGGTTGGACAGTTAGAGATTTATCTATTAAATATGGAATCATGCCATATAGAGTAAAGGCAATCATCTATCAAAAAAGATACTTTTTCGATGAAGTCTTTCCTCATCTTCCTTTTGAATATGTAAGGGATTTGATTGCAATTGAATTATATTTTGAAAAATAATTTGGAGCTGTTGATTATGGTGTTGATTTATAGTAAATGAGAAAAGTTGAGTCAGGATATCTGTAGACTAAGTATTTAATTAAATATAGCTTATGATAGTTTCAAGACTCCTGATAGGAATGTTGATATTGCAAAATTATCAGAGAAAGAACAAGAAAGAATAAAGAAATTATTTGAAGAAAAGAAATCAAAGAAATATGATATTGTAACAGAAAATTTCTAAGGATAAGGAAATAAAGGGTATGAACATCAAATTATTTAAGTTATTATTTGAAATCCTGGATAATGCATAAAACACGTTCTAGACATGGTGTCAATAGAATATTTGAAAGAATAATTAAGGACAGTGATAAACCATACAAGTTACCAGTGACAGCTTAAGCTAGATTAAAAGAAGGTCCTCGTATTGCAAGCACTTAATTTGGTCATAAGTGAGATTAGTATTTTAAGAAATATATAAACATATACCCAATTTAAATACAATTCTCGAGTCTTTCTCTGTTTATAAATTTAAAAAGAAGTTAAATGATTACAAGAGAGATTTTGATTAAAAAAATGCGTTTATAATAATAATTATTTATATATGGGTTAATCATAAATCACTGTTATTGATCCAAATTAAAATAACAATTACTAAAGATAAAACTCAGTCTAAGAAGTTGAGGATTAAATAAAGCGAGCATTCAAATAGGCTTCTATTTAAGGAAGATTAACGAGGGATAAATTTAATGAAGCGCTAGGAATATTTGAAAGCCTGTAATTGAAAAGGTTGAGAGACAGTCCTTTGGCTGATAGACTATTTTAGTTATTAGATAAGGTAAGATAAGCATATAAGTTTAGAATGAGGAAGGATATATAACAGAAAGGGAATATTTGGAAGGCATCACAACATTAATTAATAACAAGGATAAAAGGATTTTGTGTAAAATTGATATATGGATAAAGTAGATTCTTTTTAGATGATCGACAAAAACAAGGATAATAAAATAGAATTCTAAGAGTTTTATGATTTTGTGAAGGATAGTTGGTTGAGTGCTTTTAGATTATTGGGTGAAAAGGTATGTTCAGGACAGAATTAATACCAATTAACATAATCAAAAATAAATTCTTGGGCTTAAGGACAATTAAACAAGCTTTACAATTATGTCTAAGAGATCTTCATGAGGTTTGCATAATAGAGTGTATTCTATAGTTTTAATATTAGTAATCGATGGACCCAATAGTGTTTAAATCTTGGGTGATTAGCAATGATTTTGGATTTATCAAGGCAGAATTGGGAAATGAATCAGTCTAGATTCCTCTTCATTTATACAGGTTGGAAGAAAAATGAAATAATAAATAATTAATCTATAAATATTATGTATTGTGCAGATAATTATATAAGTTGCGCAATCATTTACGTTTTGAATATATTTGGTTTGCTTTTGGTTTTGGGGATATTGTTCAAAAACAGGGAATATTATTTAAGAGAATGGAAAAGAATAAGACAAGTCATTAAGGATTACACAATGTAAGAAAAAGTAATAAGATTATCATAGAGACTATCGAAGCGATGGAAATCTGCCAATATTTGCAAAGTTTGTAGGTGTTTTAATAGGTTTTTGCATCTTAATAACAGCGAGCATAGTTTCTGTATTAAATTTCATATATCAAAGATAATTATGTGGGACATGAGTTTTGGATTTATGGAAATTTCCAATATATTTGTATGGACTTTATGTGCATTCCTATTTTACATTGATTATCGTTCTATATTCAAATTTTCTAAGTATTAAATTCCTTATTATCAAGACAATTGCGTCTAGCTTTAGCCATTATATTTGTTATTTAGTTGTCTTCAGGCATAGTATTTGGAATAGAGAGGAACTTAGAAAAGGAAAATAGGGGATTTGATGAATTAACCGTTGAAGCATCAGTGTATTTATGCAATTTCCTAATTATGCTTGTCATTAATATAATAAGCTTATTCTTTCCAAAGTTTGATTATTAAAAGGTTAGCAAGAATAGCGATGACAATATATTTATCAGAGTCAATAGTTTACAACAACATTTGGTGAGTGATGATTCATAATCTTCATCAAGTTCTAGACAGAATTCAATTGTCACTCCAAATCAAAGACAATCAATATCTAAGACTCCAAAGAGAAGCTAATCATTTTTAGATTAGTTAGAGGAATTAACTAAAGAGGAGGGATCTTAAAGTTCCATAGGATCAGGCATATAAAAGTTAAAACAGGAATAATCAGGATTAATAGATCCAACCTATGGGTTAAAGAAGGAAGAAGAGGCTATTTAAAAGGAGAAAGAACAAAAAGAATTGATGAGTTAAATTATGGATATGCACAAATAGTTAGATGAAAAGTTGAACAAATTAAAATAGGATAATGAAATCAATTAATAGTAATAAAATGTGCCTCCACAATAAGAAAATGAACAAATCATATAGGAATAAAATGTTAATTAAGAACAATTAAATCAATAGAAATAATAGGATTTAAATTTAAAATCAAAATATGAAATTCAAAGCATAAAGATTGAAGGATTTGAAGAAATCAAAAAATAAGGGAAAAGATTCATATATTTCAAGATCTTCTACTTTTCTAATTCTAAATAAAGACAGGTAAGAACTGAACATAATTTGAAAGAATTCTAATAATTAAGATTAGCCTTATAATAAATATATGTGGATCATTCTTTTCCAGAAATACCTGAAAGAAAGCCCAACGAAAGATTGAGTGGCAAAGAAGTCGCAAGTAGAAGTGAAGCCCTCGAAAAGTTTTTATAGTTTATAGTTAAGCATCAGATGCAATGTCCAACATTAGATAAATTCTTAGAGGAAACATCAGGTCCTATTCATGTAGAGGATGAAAGTAAGTTGTTTACTGATATTTTAGAGGAAGCTAATATAGACCAAGTATTAAAAGATAAATCATTTGATGACTTTTTGGAAGTAAGAAAAGCAAGCGTAGCATCAAAACAAAGTTATCTGGAGAAAGATTACAATGACGATAGCTTTGATCCAAAAAGTAGCATGGCCGCTGCCTCATATGATTAGTCATAGTTTTTTTAACGTAATAATGATCGATTTTCTACTACTATTACTTAAGGAGGGGGAAATGGGCATAAATTCATAATTAAGGAAGTTAAAACACTCTAATAAATTACTGTATGAAATAATAATAAAATAGTATTATAAAATTGAGGCAGTAATAAATGGACAGACAGTGGCAACAGCATAAAAGAGGTATAATGATTTTAAGGAATTGTACAAAAAAGTAAGAATGATTTAACTTTTTAGTTGTAGGGCAGGTAATACTAAATTCCACCTTTGCCTGATGAACCATCTTCAAAATAATAAGATATTGTAACCTATAGATAAGAGGCTTTAGCCTAATTTTTAAATACATTGTATTAAAATAAATCAGTAAAAACAAATATGGTTTTTAAAGACTTTGTAGGTATTTGATAATGTATCATAATCAATAAAAACAAATATATTTCACAAACCAATGCCTTTTTATTTTTATCTTTGCATTGCCCTTTTGTATTGTAACTCTAATTCTTTATTTCTCTTCTCAATTTCTTCCTTTTACTTCTCCTATTCATCATCATCTGATTCATTTTTAGCCCCCATTAATTTTTTAAGTTTATCTTGATTTTCTTTGCTTAATCCTCCCATGTTCCAAATTTTTTGTTTTTTTTATTATTCCTGATTAACCTTGTTTTATTAAGTTTTCTTTTATGAACTTGATCTACTTCTTGATCTTGAAAGTTCCACATCGCTCTCTATAGTTTCAAATTATATCTCAAGTTCAGATTCATATTCACCTAATTTTATCTTCATTCCTTCCCTCAACAAAACTAGTTAATTTGGTTTTATAGCTCTATTGTTAATTTCTGTTCCATTAGCAGATCCCAAATCTTAAATGGTGATACTAGATTTGCCAACAATCAATTTTGCATGTTGTCTGCTAATTGATTCATTTTTAATTATTATCGATGCTTAAGCCTTGCTCCTTCCGAGAACATATTCTTTTCTTTTCAACTTTATTTTTTTATCAGAAAAAATCAAGTAAAACTATTTAGCCATTTATTAATTTTATAATTATTGTCTTTGACAAATAGTTTTCAAGTTTAACAATTTTGATATTTAAAGAAATTAATTGTTGTACTTTGTTCTATGCAAATAATGTAGTTCATTAAGTGTGGAATTTATTCGTTATATAATTAAAATCAATTACAATCAAATTTAAAATATAATGAGTAAAGAAGTATAGGAGCTATAAGAAGCATTAGAGTATTAGGTAGATGTTGTATTGAGACTTGAAGATGAACGATTACTACTATAAAAGGAGAATAATATACAAAAGTAATTAAATATGTAAATTCGAGGGAGAAGTTGAAAGAATTGAATACAATGTTGCAAAAATATCTTGGATAATAATTACTTTGCATTGAAAAACACACCTAAACTGAATTATAAGTAAAGTAGAATTTTGAAGTACAAACACAAGAAGATGAAATCATTTCAGATTATTCATTAAGTAATTCCACAGTATCAGTGATCAATTAATAATCCTTTACTTAACAACAAGATTAATCAAATTCTTCTAAATTATTAGATCAAGCAAAATCTTTAGTGAAGTAATCTGCTTCAAGACTTCCAGCAAAAAAATTAAAATTTTGCGGAGATAATTATAAAGAGAATAAGGATAATAAGGATAATCAAGAAAAAAAAGAAGTAAAACCAGCAAACACAAAACAATTAGATTCATAAAGTGAAGCATTAACTAGAGAGATTGTAAATTTAACCAAATAATTACAACAATTAAAAGTATATAATCATTCTATAAAAGTTACAATAAAGAAGTTAATAAGACACAATTAAAAAATATGAAAAAGACAGTGGCGAATTAGTTAAATTATTAGAAGTGAAAAATGAAATGTTAAACAAATTAAGAAATGAAAATGCAGAAATGGCAATTATAATTAATTAGGATAAATTTAAAAGTGTTCGCTAATTAGATTAAGAGTTAAAAAAAGAGAGAGATGATAAAGTTAAATACCAAGCATTAGCTAATTAAAAAACAGAAGAAAATTAACATTTAGTTGAAGAACTTAAGTAATTCAGAGAAGTTCTATCAAAATTAACTAATGAATTTGAAAAATATAGAAGCACGTAAATTATTTATTTTAATGTAGACACAATCAAAGCAACGTAAGTCAATCAAAAATAGATGCAGTAGATACTACTTTTTATTAGGAAGAATTAAAAATTAAAGCTTCCACTATAAATGAATTAAAATTGTAAAACCAGTAGTTACAAGAAGAAGTAGACTACTTTAGAAGCTTAAGCTTGCAATAAAAAAAGATCGCCGAAAAATAAGAAGAAGATCTAGACTTTTATAGAGAAATCCTAATTAAGCACAAAATAATTAAATAATGAAAATAAATTTATTCTATTAATAAATTCTTATTTTTTTTTACTTGCATTTACATTTAAAGAATATATCAATATTATTTAGATCCACTAATTGATTAAATCTTAAACTCTTGATATTACTCAAGCATTATAAAATATGTAGAATAAAGTCAAAACTTAATATATAGTGAAAACATAAGAATGAAATTTGCCAAGCTATTTAGAGAAATTTATAAGTATTATTTGTGTAATAAAAAATAAATTATATATATTTTTTTGTGTTTTTTTTTAACTTTGCCAATATTAGATAAAACACAAAACTAGTATTAGCAAGAATATAATTTTTTTAAAAACATTTTACGTGTGAACAATAGGATTTTTAGATTTAAGATGAGGAATAAGAGAAATAATTTAATAAATTTTTGTATATTAATAAAATTTATTCTAAAAATTAAAGCAAACATGATGATATTAGTGGATTGCTCTTAAATATTCAATTAGAGAATACGTGTGAGGAAATTAAAGAACTATTTAAGTGCAACAACAAATCGCATCTTCCATCCTCTTTTGTTCTCAGAAATTTTAATTCTGATTGACAAGAAAACTTTTAAACTTTAAGTAGTGATACTTCTTTTATATATAATTTATGTATGTGTTTCTAATATTGAACAAATGAAATCATTCTTTCTTTTCTTCTGCTCTTACTTTACCTTTTCCATTTGTTAATCTTACATTAAGTTCTGCTGCTCTTCTGACAAGAGTTGCTCTTTTTCTAGCAGAGAGATTATGAGCTAATTCACCTGCAAATGCTCTGTTGTTAGTAAGCAATAATTCAAGATCTTTTTCATTTGTGATTAATAATTTTCTGAAACCAGCTTAGTCTAAATATCTAAATTGCTTTATTTGATTAAATACCTTGTTTTTTTATCGCTTCTATATCCTGATTTTGGCATAGGTCTATTGCCTCTAAATCTTCTTCTGACTCTGTTATCAATACCTCTTGGTCTTCTCCAACTTGGTCTTAATTTATGTGGATAATCCTCTGATTCGAATCTAACAAATCTCTTTGTTCTCTTATGTACAATTTTTTTGTGAGCAAGTGATTTGACAACCATTTTTAATTAAATAAAGATTTTAATTCAAATAATCATCTTCATTCCCAGTAATAATAAAAAAGATCATTAATGCCTTTGTATGAAGAAGGAGACTCCAGGCTAGAAAATAATAATAGATGCTATATAAAAAATTTGCATTAAACTATTATTATGATAGATTTAATAAATTATTCTTTTTCACTTCTTCAATATTCAAAGTCCCATACAAATAAAGCAAATGATTTAATGTGAAAGGTTAAAGAACTGAATAGAACTGGAAAGATTCATAGTCTATAAGCTACAATTAATTGTAGAAATTGTTCATTTTAAAAATTGCATAGCTCTACATTTCTATTTCTATTGATAAAACTAATAGTTTCACTGAAATGCTCTAATTCAAAAAAATTTCTCTCTACTCTATTAAGATCAGTATAGTTTTGATACAATTATTTTAATAAAAGATTAATAAAGTTTATATTTTAATTCTATTTAAACTCTTGATTCTTATGAAATATANTATTAGATAAAACACAAAACTAGTATTAGCAAGAATATAATTTTTTTAAAAACATTTTACGTGTGAACAATAGGATTTTTAGATTTAAGATGAGGAATAAGAGAAATAATTTAATAAATTTTTGTATATTAATAAAATTTATTCTAAAAATTAAAGCAAACATGATGATATTAGTGGATTGCTCTTAAATATTCAATTAGAGAATACGTGTGAGGAAATTAAAGAACTATTTAAGTGCAACAACAAATCGCATCTTCCATCCTCTTTTGTTCTCAGAAATTTTAATTCTGATTGACAAGAAAACTTTTAAACTTTAAGTAGTGATACTTCTTTTATATATAATTTATGTATGTGTTTCTAATATTGAACAAATGAAATCATTCTTTCTTTTCTTCTGCTCTTACTTTACCTTTTCCATTTGTTAATCTTACATTAAGTTCTGCTGCTCTTCTGACAAGAGTTGCTCTTTTTCTAGCAGAGAGATTATGAGCTAATTCACCTGCAAATGCTCTGTTGTTAGTAAGCAATAATTCAAGATCTTTTTCATTTGTGATTAATAATTTTCTGAAACCAGCTTAGTCTAAATATCTAAATTGCTTTATTTGATTAAATACCTTGTTTTTTTATCGCTTCTATATCCTGATTTTGGCATAGGTCTATTGCCTCTAAATCTTCTTCTGACTCTGTTATCAATACCTCTTGGTCTTCTCCAACTTGGTCTTAATTTATGTGGATAATCCTCTGATTCGAATCTAACAAATCTCTTTGTTCTCTTATGTACAATTTTTTTGTGAGCAAGTGATTTGACAACCATTTTTAATTAAATAAAGATTTTAATTCAAATAATCATCTTCATTCCCAGTAATAATAAAAAAGATCATTAATGCCTTTGTATGAAGAAGGAGACTCCAGGCTAGAAAATAATAATAGATGCTATATAAAAAATTTGCATTAAACTATTATTATGATAGATTTAATAAATTATTCTTTTTCACTTCTTCAATATTCAAAGTCCCATACAAATAAAGCAAATGATTTAATGTGAAAGGTTAAAGAACTGAATAGAACTGGAAAGATTCATAGTCTATAAGCTACAATTAATTGTAGAAATTGTTCATTTTAAAAATTGCATAGCTCTACATTTCTATTTCTATTGATAAAACTAATAGTTTCACTGAAATGCTCTAATTCAAAAAAATTTCTCTCTACTCTATTAAGATCAGTATAGTTTTGATACAATTATTTTAATAAAAGATTAATAAAGTTTATATTTTAATTCTATTTAAACTCTTGATTCTTATGAAATATAATTCTAGCAACATCCTTAATTTAAGATTTATAATATTAAAACATCCAGCTTTTTAATTTCTCTTAAACATCTATCCAAATCTCTCAACAAAGTTGCAATCCTTAAAATTTCCTTTCAACTATTATAAATAATTCGTTAATGTAAATTTCAATAATTGGAAAACGATTCTTGAGATCATCAAAAATAAGTTTTGTATATATTCTTCGTACTATCGTTTTAATTTATAAATATGTTTCTTTTTCAAGTACACTTTTCTTAATAATAATACATATTTAATAAAATAAAGATTTCATTTATATTAATTTATTACTAAATAATATCAACTTAAACTTTTACTCTAATTATGGGTTCAAAATATTCTTTATATGGAACATAAAAACTAAATAAAATAGATTAGAAGTGATTAAAGAATAAGTATTTATATATCTTTAAATTTAATTTTGCGTACTTATATTTTTATATAATATTTAATAATATGGATAATGTTGAAAGCATAATTACAGAAATCTTCAAAAATGAAATTTAGATTAAAAGAATTAAAAAGGGTATATTAGATTAATATCATAGAGCTTTAATCAATTGAATAACTGAAGAAAGAAGATTTTAAGATTACATTAAAAGCATTAACCCCTAATTTATAAATCATTGTAAACATTTTAATGAGGTTAGATTGAAATGTCTCCTATACGATAATTAAACTAATAACAACCTATTAAATTTGCATTATATTTAGATAATAGATTTCCTTTCGTGTTTCCAAAAGTGCATATATTAAGCTAAGTAATTATTAAAGTCACCAAAGATCACCAAACCAACCTTGTCTGATGGTCGGGACTATCTAGAAAATATTATATAAGGACCCTGGAGCCCTTAAATATTGCTCTATGAAATAATTAAAATGTTTCCATAATTCTTGGTAATATCATTTATTCTAATGCAAGGAAAAAATTAAAGAAAGTCAAAATGATAGAGACTATCTGTTGCAATTAGGAAAATACTATGAGAATTAGGAGTTCGATATAAGAATTGGTTTAGAAAATGTTGAATATTTGCAGTGTAAATAAATAATTAATGGAAAATAATATCCAAGAACGCTTTTAGTCAGCGATAGTCATCTGCTAAATTTTGAATATTAGAGCAAAGAGTTAATGCTCCTCAATTACTTTAGTATGAAAAACCTACAAGATATTCAGAAAGCTTAAAAAAATATTTTATTGAACTGGTAAATAAATGATGGTAGCTTAATTGCTTAAACTTTAACTTCAGCTAATATAAATTAGCTTTATAACTCTATAAACTCCAATAAACTAGGTCAGACTGGGAGAAGACTTAACTAAGATGATGTGACATTACAAAAATTTGAAACCATTTAAATTAATGAACTGTTGTAATAATTAAGTTTAAATGAAGTAGAGTTGTCGAAGAACCTCAATAAAATCTCTTTAAATAATTTAATGGCTTCATATTAATAAGTATATCTTTTATAAACCGTAGGCTATTGAATATTATTCAGTATTTTCAGATGAAGACTACAAATAATATGTTACTCGTCTTTAAACTTTGCTTGGAAGAGAGGATGTATAAACTATCTTAGCTAGTCCTGTTAAATGATTTTATTTTTTATAAGTGTCATTATATAGATGCTTTTTTATTTAGATATAAATAAAATCCTAGATTTTTATTATTCAATAATTATAATAACCAAAGCCTAAACATTAAAAATATTTTAAGCATGACTTCTGATATTTTTACATAATAAAAAGCGGTTTATACCAATTCAACTAAGAATTTCAGAATTGATTAATGAAATTGATGTTGGTTCAATATAGATACATTTTAATTCGATTTTTTATTTTATATAAGATAATTAATTTATTATTTATTATTCTATTCCCCTTTTAATCTTCATCCCTTGCGTATAGCAAAATAGCTTGAAAATTAAGAGTAAGTTTATAATCCCTTGCGTAATTTGATTCGCAAAGTATAATTCCAGCTATCTGTAATATAAAGGAACATTTTAGTTTTTTTTAATAGTATCATTAAATAAAAATAGGATGATATATCAAGAATATAAAGTGATGTTAAACAAAATTTTAATTCTTCTATTGAACCAGGCACAAATATTAACAGCAGCAGAAAATAGAATTAATATTCTAGGAGGGATATTTGAACAGAAATATATATAATTTTAATAGAAATATATGAATTTTTAATTGATGATAATTTATATCAAATGCATTTTAAACCGAATAATTTCTCTCTAATAAAAAGATTATTTAATTTAAAATGGCAGACAACAAGCAAAAGATAAAAATCTTAAAGACAAGCCATCAAATCAGTTCTTCTGCGGCTAATCCTCATAATACTTATTTAGATGCAAGAGAAGCTTAAGAATTATCATAGTTGAATCGTCTTGAATTCCCAAACGATATTAATATATACGCTAATATTCTTGAATGGTACATTAGAACATTAGGAGACGAACTCTATAAATTAGCATTTATTAATAAGGATAAATTCTATAGAATTAAAGTTTTTTGGCCCACAGATTATGATGCTTATTTATTTAATGATCAAAATGCAATGTAGATTGAAAATCTCAACTAGTAGAGACCAATCCAGTAAGATAATATTAGATATTATCTTAATCAATTCTAAGGTTTTGAAATAGAAGATTATTTTGATGTTATAATCTTTCCAAAAATTGAAAAGTAAAAAAATGAAATGCCAGCATAAAATATTGGATAGACAGGATAGACAGGATATACAGGATAGACAGGATATACAGGATAGACAGGATAGACAGGATATACAGGATAGACAGGATAAACAGTATAGAAATTAGAGTTAAGGGTTCTAGTCAATCCATTTACTTATTATATATCTAATTTTTCTGAACCAAAGTTTTAAATGGAAACAACATACTCTAAAATTTAGGGTCTTGAGTTGTTTGTGGAGTATGAAACTAAACAATTTCTTACAAATACCATAGATATTTTAAGCGAATTGACCAATTACATTTTATCAAAATACGTTTTAAGATAGGAGTATAAATAAGAAAAGATAATAATAACAAACGATTAATTGAGAAAAAGAATAGCACCCATAATAAAAGAAGAAACAAGAGTGGTTCTATATGAATTATATAAAGATTTATGAAATTTATCATTATAAATTAATTTTAAGGTTCAATATCTAGAGTTATGAATATTGTAAATGTCTTAATGTATTATTACTCTTTTAAGAAAATGATCAACTCAAATCTATTAGTTTTATCAATAGGAGGATTACAGGAAAGGAGAAACTGAGGAATTATTATTAAGGAACTAGTTACAAATTACTTAAGTTAATATAAAAGATTTGAGCCTGGTTTAGATATTGTACCATATTTATATTGCTGTTAATTAAAACTTGTAGAATGATTTTAATATGTTTTAATTTTATAAAGATTAGAACACTCCAATTTTAGTTTATTTAATTAATGCTAAATCTTTATCCAGAGCTTATAAAGGAATTTATGCTGATCTAATGTTATGAAAATATTAAATATAAAATCTTATTTGATTGCTTTAATAAGACTCTCAATATTTAAGTAACTGTTGGATAGAAAAATACTAACACACAATAATGATTTTTTTGAAAATCATAACTTCCCTATTTAATCAAGGAAGATGTAATCAAAATTTATATTATCTTTCGAATAAAAACTATACAATTAATAAAAATATTTAATTTACAGTATCAATATCATTGAAAATAATTTTAAAATTAGCTTTTTTTTAGAGAATAAATAATTTATGAATTGCAATTGGCCAACTCATTATATATAGAATTAGATTAGGATGTTTGATAAAATCTCCTTATTTTTTGTTTAGCAAAGTTAAAAAGTTAATAATTAACAAAAAGAATACATCCAAAATTATTGTTAATATAAAATGAATAATCATTATTAAATTTAAATCTTAAATTTAATTCTATTATCAATTTATTGCAAATTCATTTCTTCTACCTAAGTAAATTCTGAATTTTCTTTAGTTAACATTAATCTTAGATTTAGAATTTTTGTATTAATTTAGTTTAGATATGTTCTATTGTTTAGCTTTTTAATCTTAGAAATATAGAATAAAAACAATATAGCCCATCTAATTTCTCCAAAAAATAACATCAAATAAATCAAAAATATAGTAATAAATTGTACTGAGAAGATTTTTTATTCATTATTTATTAACAAAAAATAAAATAAAGCAATCCATAGGAAGTTCAAGAAATTGATCAAAAGAAAACTTACTATTTTAGCTATTCATATTTTACTTTTGAAATGATAGAAAATTACACCTAAATAATATAAGGTTATCTTAGTAAAAATTGTATTATTTCAGTATTCAGAAAATTAATGGCTTTGAATTTGTAAATAATCGTATCCTTAGATGGTATGTTTAATAAAGAAGGATTTAAGTTCTTGTAAAATGTGATTCCTAATGAATTTAAGGAATTGGGTAATTTTAAATGATAAATATATATAATTATTGAACAATAGAATTAATTGATAAATGAAAATTCATAATAGTAATAACTTACAAAGAAGTTTTTAATCTTTTAATCAAAAATTAAAGATAATTAGGCTTCATCAATTTTGAATTATCTAAAAATAGCGTTTTTTACTATACAATTTTAGAGATAATTTATATCAAACATAAATTTTATAAAAATAAAACAATTTTTACATGTTTGTTATTTTTTGTATAAATTCAAAATAAAATAAAAATTAATATAAATATCGTTAATGATTGGAAAAAAGGAAATACAAATTTCGAATGCCACTCGAGATAGAGTTGAAGCATGTAGATTATACATAGAACGTATTCATTTATTAGTATTTTTTGTTTAGGCAAATATGCAAAATAAATATAAGAAGAATAATAATAATTAGAAGGTTGGTAGTAATTATCTAAACTTATGGATGCTCTGCATATGAATCCAAAGGAATAAGAAGTTATTAAAAAAGAAATTTTAAAAAAAGAAGCAGAATAAATGAGGAAAAAGTATTCAAAATTTCAAATTTTATAGGCGGACTAAATTGAGCATTGAGGATTTTCAACCTCTAGCTATTATAGGCAGGGGAGCCTTTGGGGAAGTAAGATTATGCAGGCATGTACCCTCTTAATAAATTGTTGCAGTCAAGAAAATGAAAAAACATGAAATGATTTTTAAGAATTAAATTGGTCATGTGACTAACGAAAGAAAAGTCTTAGAAGAAGCAAAAGGAAATAATTGGATTGTCGAAATGAAATGTTCATTTTAAGATGAAAAAAATTTATATTTAGTTATGGAATATTTACCAGGTGGTGATTTGATGACATTACTTATGAAAAAAGATATATTATCAGAAGCTGAGGCTCGCTTTTACATGGCAGAACTAGTATAAGCTGTTGCTTCAGTTCATAAATTAGGATTTATACATAGAGATTTGAAGCCAGACAATATTTTATTGGATAACAACGGACACATAAAACTGTCTGATTTTGGTTTATGTAAAGACGCTGAAATACACTTCGATAAACCTGTATTTTCTTAAAAATTTAAATCTAAATAGACTAGGAGAGAAGTAAGATAATTAAATATAGTATAGAAAGCATTTTCAACCGTTGGGACTCCTGATTATATTGCACCTGAAGTATTTTTGTAATAAGGATATGATGGATCAGTAGATTGGTGGAGCGTTGGAGTCATTTTATATGAAATGTTGGTAGGATATCCTCCATTTTATACTGATGATCCTTCAACAACTTGCCAAAGAATAATTAGATTTTAATAATGTTTTGCATTCCCAGAGGAACCAAAGGTGTCTTAATTAGCTAAAGATTTAATTAGTAAGTTGGTATGTGATGCAAATACACGTCTAACATATGACTAAATTATCAGGCATCCTTGGTTTGGTGGTTTGTCGATATTAAAAGTAAGAGATATGAAGGCACCTTATATTCCAACTATTAGAAGTGAATTAGATACTAGCAATTTTGATAAATATGAGGAGGAGGAGCCTTGGATTAACAAGGGGTAGAAGAGCACTAAGAAAGAAATGACTTTTGTGGGATATACTTATAAGCAAGATGATTTTGAAGAAAAGAGACCAATTTAAAAGGCTCTTGAAGAATTAGAGTAATCAAGACCGTCTAATTCAAGAGGGAATACAAAGACTACTAATTCTCCTTTTTAAAGTCCCAATTTATAATTTAAAAGTCAATTAAGCAAATAAACTCCTTTAACTCAATAGATTAAAACCGTTAGTGCTACCTAATCACCTTTTACCAAATAATAAACTGTTTCTCCTATGCCTTTAAGTAAAAACCAAAATTTTCAAAAATCTTTCTTAAATAACAGACTTCAAACAGAATAAAACGAGAGCTTCCATAATACTAATTAATAATAGAATTTAATTACGCAGGGCAACATAGGGAACTTCAATAATGAAAATACAAATCCAAATTCCAATGCTCAAAATATTAAAAACTTTATTTTTTCGAAGATTTAATAACACACAAGTAATTAACCACAAACCTCTAACTTCAGCAATATTTAAAAGAATGTTCAATTTAATGAGCTTTAAAAACTTGTTTAAAATCAAAAACTTAGACCAGATAAACCGGATTAAGAGTAAACAAAAATGTTTAGTAATACAAACAACAACATAAGTTCATTAAAGTAAAATATCATCAATTAATTCAGAGCTGTCAGTCCTTTAACAAAACGATGAACTTATTTTATATTTATTTAATTTAAATTATTTAATAAATATTACATATTTAGATCTTCAAATAATAATCTATTCAGATGTATGATGTGATAGTTAGCCTTGTTATAAGTATTTAATTTAAAATCAATAATTAATCAATATATATATTTTCAAATTTTAATAATGTAGGAGTTAACAGAACTGAAGAACTTAGTTATACAATCTCTTGAGGCTAATGGATCTCTAGCAAAGATAAGAGCTCAGATAAGAGCCTCAGTCTTTAATGTAGTTGATCAACAGGAAGGCAATAATAAAAAACCATCTCCATTTTTTTGGGAAAATAACAAAGCCCAAACTATTTATGAACTGGGATGTGGAAGAGATATGCTAGAATTAATTAAAGAATTTTTACTATTTTTTGAAATGCACTACACAAACTCAATTTTTTCAAGGTATTGAGTATCAATACAATTATAGCGAGAGCAACTTAAGAGAAGAAATCAATAGAGATTAGATTGCCAAAAAATTGAATATAGATGCCGCTGATTCAACTAAGCCCTTATTATACTTTTTGTTAAAAAATAGATAGCCTGAAAAAAAATCGTATTTTTTAAATTACATATTATATTAGGGAAGAAAAAGTGTAACCATAAAAAATTGCACTACCCTCCCCAAAAGAAGCACAAATATAGTAATAGTAATAACAATAACAAAAATTGCAAGATCAAAAACTTTAAGAATAAAAGAGACAGGATGAATTAAAGAAGTAAGAGGAATTTAAAAAGTTGGAAGAACAAAAAAAGTAGGATGAGTAAAGAAAATTGGATGAATAAAAAAGATAATAATAAGAAGAACAAAGAAGAATTGAAGAATAGAAGAAAGATTAGTTAAGAAAACAATAGGAAGAATAACGAAAAATGGAAGAATTAAAAAAATAATAAGAATAATAAAAACTTGAATAGCAAAAATAAGAATAATAAAAATTAGAACACTAAAAATAAGAATAATAAAGAAAGGAATAGGAAAAGTTGAAAGAATAATAAAAATAATAGGAATTGCTGAAATAATAACAAGAAAAAGAGAAACTTGAAGTTGAATAGAGAAAAGCACAAGCTAAAAAATTCGAACATAGAAACTACGAAGATGAGAAGTTTGATAACGAGGACTTAGATGAATAATTAGAAGGAGAAGTATAGATATTATAATATGAAAGGATTTGAGGGATTCTTAATTGCAATAAGATTAGTTTTAAGAGTCGGATGAATACATGCAATAATCATAATCATAAGGAATAGACATGACTGTTGATTCTGAAGCATTGAATGAATTCGATTATTATGAAGATATAGAAGAAATGGATTGAATTCAGATTGCTTACCAAATACAATAATTTATTTTTAATTCCTTAAGATTAATATTCACTTTCAATTTCCTATCTTTATCATAACTAAATTTTAATTATGAATTAAAATTTTAATAATTTCACTCACTTTCCTTTGAATTTAATTTTAGTGTTTGATCTTTATTAAATTCATCTAATAATCTAAATTTCTTTCTAAAAAATAAATTTCTATTATAATTAAGTTTCATTGAGTCTTTTATTGATTAAATTTTTTGATTTTAATTTAGAATAAAATAAAGAAGGATAAATATGATTCGCTGGATAAATTAAAGGTATTAAAATATATATTAAACCATAAATTCAATTTTCTTAAATTAATAACAGAATCATGTAGTTCTTATTTTATAGTCTCTACTTTTATTACATATTAAATATGAATAACATTTGAACAAGCACTCTCTCTCTCTAATGTAATCTTTACCTTATCAATAGATTCGTGTGGATAATTAACTTTTTCAATAAATAACTAACTAATTTATTGATTAAAGCAAAGTAATAAAATCTCTTAGAATATTGTAAATTTAGAATGAGTCCTTTTTAAATTAAAAATACCAGAATTTAATATGATTATAGTCACGGACTAAAAATTTAATTAAGGAAGTATTTTATAATAAATTTAAACATAATAATAAATAATGTAATATTAGATTTAAATCCTAGATATATAGTCCTATGATAAAAAATAGTATTACAACATTAGAATTACGAACAACTACTCTACTTGTTATCGAGATGTGAGGGTACGTTTTTAAGATTTAAGCCAATTGTCACGGAACCTTATATCAGACAATTATTAACTTAATGTAAGGTATTTAACAATATACGTGATTAGTTTCCTGTATTTCCAGAGAAGTCAATGTTCAGTTCATGGTTTCAGAGCAATGAAAGCAAGGAGGAATTGCAAGAACATCTTAAAGCCATTTAAGCTTACTTAGCTTATATTAATAAGTAAGGAAATACTTATAGTTAAGAATGATAATCTATAAGCCTGATGCTATAAACTATTTTGTTTGTAATACATTCGATCCTGAGCGGTTGAAATGCTTGACTTTTAGCAAGTTATCGAAGGAGATGCTCTATAGTACTTACAGAAAGTCAGGAAAAATAAAGGACAGTCAATTCAATAAAGTGTTTAGAGTGAGTCTCCAATAGATGGCTCTCACAATCCATTAATATTTGATACCCCAAAGTGATTTCGCTAAAAATGAATATGAAAATTTTAAGAGAGCACAATTGTTGATAACAGATTTCACTTATATTGTTAAATGCTTTGAAATAGGTCACATTGTTAAGAATAAGCCTTTTTTTAATCGGAAGATCAAGAAAACTGTATATAACAAATTCATAAAAATGGATGACTTATAGTATGATATTATTTATGCAGTTGAAGAATGGGTGGAATAACCAATGAACTAGATTATATTTTTAAGAGCTTAAACACATAATCATTTTCAGTTAGATGTTATTGTTGAAGCAATTATAACATTAGTATCAGTGGCTCAATATTTCTAATTTTTATAGATATTTTAGAAATAGTTCTCTGTAAGTTATTTGTTTTATGATGAAAACAAAGGATTCAAAGTTGGTGGTTTATCGCCAGTTTTAGCCTACAAAAAGAAATATCATTTATAATATGATAGTGATGTAAACGATTATCAAGCACTATAACCACCTGAAAATAATATAACAGGAAGTTCTTATGGCTTCAGGAATAATTTAAATGCTTCATCCAGAACAGATGTTTGGTAAATTGGTATTGTCATTTTATCAATGGCTTCACTCACATTGCCAGCAGAGTTTATTTCATTAGATAATATTGAAGATAAATTGAGCTTCGTATCATTTCAATATGGGTATGAAATTTTTAAAATTAGGGAAATGTTAGGAAGTTTAATTAGAAATATGTTGATACGTAATCCCATTGAGAGATTTACACTGGTAGATGTGGCTAGTGCTGCTAAAAGCCTGTTACCCATGAAATTAGAATATCTGAAGTATGAGGAGAAAACTGAAAGAATTCAAGTTTAAATATTAATTTAAATAGATTACTTCACTTTCTTAATCACATCTTGAAGAATTAGACAAATCTTTTAAGGAGAAAAAAAAAAGAAAATATATCATTCAAATGACAATTAGCGAACCACTTGTCTTATAAAAGTTCTTATTCTATTTGGAGAGAATTAAAAGAGAAAATGTGATACAATTACATATCAATCTATCTCCTCAGCAGATCCTTGACGATTTGATTGAGAAAGCGATGGCTATCATAATTGAATATAAGAATTTACAATAACTTGTGTTTAGTATGAGAGGATGTTCCATTAGTGAAATTGCTTGCTTAAATATAATTAATCAAGCTAACACAATAAGTCAATTAAAACAGTTGACACTAGGAATAACTGGAATATAAATAGTCGATATTCCTGAAACAATAATTAGAGTGGTTGTGTATAACCAATGAAAATATATTTTAATATTAATTTATTAAATGAAGCCCATCTTTTTAGATTTAGTACTTATGCTAAATTCGCAGAAAAAATGTAAAATACAAATTTGCAACCATTTACAATTACGAAACCCAAGTCAAACCTGCTTTAAATATCTATGAATCTATGGGATTTAATGAATAAATGATTTTCAGAATTTTCAAAAATAGAGGTCTTTCTCTTGTCAAAGAGGATGCATTAAATGATATTGGACAACTTAATGAGTTATTCAAATATAGATTGAATGCAGAAGCAAATTAAATTTCGATCACATTAATACAGATAAATGCGAACTATCCTTTTTAAAGACCCATAAATATTGAGCCATTCTATTGAAAAAATGGGCAATTATCTTGACCTATTTGAAAATTAATTACAAATAAGCAAAGAATCAATTTTATCTATATTGACAGCATATCCTTTATTAATGAGAAATTTTGAAGTTAACTATGAAAAGTTTAGAAATGTTTTTAATACATATGCACATGTAAATGACAAACAATTTGGATAAATATTGGTGAATACTCCCTTCTTATTTTCATTCAATCTTGAAAGAATACCACCTAATTTTAGAGTTATGTATAATAGAGAGTATATAACCAAGGAAATCTAAGAATTGGTAATTATTCATTATGATTTGTTAGGTTCAAAAAACTGCAGAGTTTTTAGCCCTTAAAAATCACGATTTAGATAGATTATTGAATCATTATGATGTTTTAATTCCAAATAAGGAGGTTTAGCATTAATTATTAATTAACAATCATAAATTATTACTCTTAAAACCAGCATATATGTTAAGTCCAAAGATCAATTTATTCAAAGAAATTTGGTTATCAGTTAATTAAATAGGATAGATTTTATAAATATGTCAAAACTTATTTTTGAAGAGTGTATGAACATTAAAATTGAAATTGAAATTTTTGAAAAACATTTGAACATTAAAATCAAAGATTCTCCATATTTTCCATAGGTTTTAGAGTTCGATTTTTGGACTGTCTTAAGACCTAGGTAATAATCTATTACTATTGAGATTGGTCATTTTGAATAATCTAGAAAATGCTATGGATAATTTAAAGATGGATTAAGATGAATTCATAAAAAAGTACGATTGTGAATAGAAATATCAAGAATTTTTAAATGAAGCACCAACTAAAAAGAAAATTGATGCAGACTTCATGATTAGGAAATACCATAGATATTGTCATGATAGAATATAATTATTACATTGATGTATGATATTTAATTGATCATTTTCTATTACATATCTAAATTAATTAAAAGTTGAAATAAGTGGTTTAGATAATACTATACTTTTTAAATATTACTTTAATTATAATTTCATTTAGACCATTTTTTTACTCTATAAGATAATATATAATTTTTTCAATTTCAATAAGCTGAATAATTAGTTTAACTTTTTTAAATTATTATTAAAGATGTTTTGATTTTTTTCTTATATTCAATAAATCAAGAATTCAAAATAAAATGGAAGTTTTGTAAGAATAAAATAATAATCTACTGAAAATTGAACATTTAATTATAATCAATGATAAATTTTATTTCTTAGATAATTTTTAATGGATTTGATTCTATTATTAATAAATATACTAAAGTTACCTTAAGATTAAATCTAATGGTATCATTAGAATCAATAAACGAGTATTCAAAATATCTTAATTATTCTTTAATTAAACAGGTATCCATACAAAAGTTACGCCAATTAACAGAAGAATGTTTATACATAAGAATACTGCCAATCTTAGAATATCTGTCTAGTCAAAATGTTCTAAGATAGTTTATTCCATAATTGAAATTAAATATCGATAGCATGCCCTTATAAATATTTTTTACATTCTTCTCATCGATGTGACTGAAATAGTATTGATCAAATTCATTCGAGTGTTCAAGTCTGGATCGTCAGTCATATAAAATACTTGTTTCTGACTGCTGTTGCGATGTTCAAAGTTTTGAATTGTTTGTCTCAAATCTTCAACAAATTTGGTTATCCCTATCGACAATCCATTCTGAATTATTCCACCATAAAATGAATTACATACAGGTTCAGTAACAGTGCTTTCAATAGATGCAATAATGGAGCATGGGTTATTAATAAAAATATCATAAAATGCAGTTTTGTATTTGTCTTCGAATAGATCCCAAGTGTCTGTGTGTAGTTGATGTATTTCGGCATCAATATCATATAATTATACGGTTATCTTTCTCAATTCATCAATACCATTATTATTATAGATCAAATAACTGGGATCGTAAATAAATTATCTTAAAGCATTATCAGCAAATCTATTAAAGACTTCTGCTGAACTAGTAAGATTTAAAACAGGCAATATCCTTTGAACTTAACTGACCACGATTTCCACTTAAAATTCTAAAAATAGGAAGTAAAAGAAAATAAGCAAATTCAATATGAATGAAATGAACAATTAGTTCTAAAATTCTTTACTAGAGTCCTTATGTTTCCTTCTTTTTGGTCTAAAATTTAACACTGCCGCCTCATCACCCTTTTCAACAGGTTTCTCTTCGGCTTCAGATATTAGCTAATTAAATTAATAATATAGTACATCATCATCTCCGATTTACAGATCTGTCAAAAACAATTCACAATTGTTATATATCTATTTAATTTGATTTTCTTTAATATCCAAAAACAATTAAATGATTTCAAGTTTATTATGATAAATTTGATAGAAGTAACATAATGAAGCCAAAAATCTAAAAATATTTGTGAAATAATTACAAAATGAATGTCATAAAGGAAACAATGATTAGGAAAGTATTGACACTCCTATCTATTAGTGATGACTTTGAGAGTATATTGTAATAATAATAATTTTAGGATATGTGTTAAGCAAGGGCCAAAGAATTGTATGAATTATATTCAAAGTAAAATATTAAAGGATTTTGATCATTAAATTCAGTTAAGTCTGAATTGTTCAATTTGATGGCTACAGAAATCAACTACTCTATAGTCTCTGATAAAGTATAATTTTATAAATCACCATAATAGTTTTTCATTTGCACATTTAAACTTTTAAATTAAGTTTCATAATATTCGTATTCTTAAATAAAAGTTACTTCGGCTAAAGATAAATTTAATTATAACTCTTGAATTTATGCTAAATTAATTTTGAAATTGTTTCTTTATATTTGAACAAATGTATTATTTGTAAGTATTTATTATAATGGTGAAAAACCATAATTTAAAAACTTTAAGTCTTAGAGAACAGATTGTAGTAGTAAAAATATTGCTACTCTTTCATTATTTTATCTCAAGTATGGGATATTCATTTGAAGATCCTCATTAAGTTTTGTACCCAAAAAGTATTCTGTAAATATACAGATTATTATTATCAAGAGTAATGTATTAATTAGTATTTGCATTTTTTTATTAATCGAGGGTAATAATGACTATTTGATTTCAGTTTCAATCAAAGATTTAGAAGAGTAATTTTGATTCAATTACAAAACGCTTTGTTCTTCGTCTAAGTCATCTTAATATGCTAATATGATTTAGTTATTTTATGATTCTTCATCCTCTTCCTCTGGTTATTAATCATCAATGTCAACTAATTTATCTCTCAATAAACGAACAGTTCTAATCCCTTAAGCTAATCCATTGGTTTCATCCTACTATTTAACTTATTCTTAAGTCACAGTGTCGTCAGATTACTTTTATGCACTCTCCCAAATAATACTTGAGTCAAATTTAACGGAGTTATCAAAAGTATCCGTAATGTTTACTTTCTCTAATTAATAAATGTTTTAAGGTATGAATTTAAACCATTATTGTTATTACAACTATTTCTTTACTACTTACAAACCATTTATTTGTGGCTTTATCAAATCCAGTCTTATTATATATCCAAACACTCTGTTCTCAATATTTTCAGAAGCCAAGGAATTGAACATGATTTCAGTAACCTAGCAGTTAAAAACTGTTTATTCATGAAGATCGAGCTAAATATTTTCAGAACTAAATTTGATAAAGTCCAAATCCTTAGATAATCTTTAGGAAGGTGTGTATACTAATTTATCACCTTATCTTGTTTGATAATCTTCCTTGATATCCATGAAATTTGGGAAAAGATCGTTTATATTCAGTCTCTTCATTTCTATGATTTTATTGTCTATCCCCAAAACCTTGATGCACATTGAATTAATGTTCTCAATTTATCCATTCGATTAACATAAAATGTAACAATAAGGTTTAAATTAGACATCTTATATTAATTAAGCCATCAAGTAGACTTCTTGATTTTAGGTTTAAATAATCTTTACTTAAAGTAAACATTGAATAATATAATGAGCTTTATTTTTTACAAAAATGACTTTGCATCCTTATTCTTTTGCCTCTTGTATTTAGTTGAGATCACTGTTCTCAAGAAATCTAGTCATTATAGTAGTATGCCATTTTGAGTAGCTAAAATCAAATAATTATAACATACATCTCTGGTTATAATATATTTAAATGTCTACCTACAAGATCTGTTTTAGTATAACCCAATAAAGAACAGGCTGCCTTATTTATTGACTATATAATTCCTAATTGATCTCCTTCAGTTTGACAAACTAAAATTGCTTGAGATGAATTCCCCATTTCATCCAAAATGTAAAGTCCCTTAAATTCTGAATTCTTATTATTTTTTTCTATCTCAAACATTTATTAACTCTTTATTTCATCATTCCAAACATACTTATAATATTTACCCATCAATAAGTATAACTTTTTATGTTTTTAATTCAATTTCTTTATTCTCTTCCATTAATCTTCTACTATTTAGGCAAACTATTGAATCTTAGTACCCAAGTACAGCAATTTCCCTGTGTCAGGCATTTCCTCTTGCAATTAAGACCAAAAGTCTATAAATAATAATGCAGTTCTTTCAACCATATTCATTAACTATTTACTTTAAGCTAAAAAAGTCATTTCATTTGAAACATCCAAATGAATTGAACTTTCTTACTATTATTATTGCAATTCTTCTTCAATTATCTTCTTAAATCTAAAGATAATAAATGAAAAATCAAAACTAACATTGCTTTATTCAGCCTATTACAATTCAGTTAATGCTAACTACTTTAGTTTCAAGTAATCCATTAAAAAGTAAGCATAATGGAGTCTTAAATGAATGTCTGTTGGAAAATTCTTAATACCATAAAAAAATATTTGATTGATTACATCCAACAAAATTTGATTACCTTATCTTGTAGATTTCTTTTTTTCTGTTTATTTACGAGCTTTGAGAACGCAATCTTGTTTTGGACAAGCATTTTTATGTACTTCAATATAAGCATCTAGTTCTAATTAAATATAATGATCATTATGTGCATTCTGAATCATATTTAACAAGTATTCGCATAGTTAAATTATGTGATCTCCACTCTCATGAGGATGAATATTAGCTGCAAATAAGTCTACTTACTCAGATGGTTCTCTTATTATGATTATCGTAAGAAATGGAATACCAATTAGCCATGCATATAAAGACTTTCTGAAGTAGTAGCCCTCCAGTATAGCAGCAAAGGTGAGCATAAATGATGTCCAAAAATTTAGTGCAGTTATTATAACCCATAAGGTTTATATATTTTTATTATGAAATGGTTAAGTAGACTTTACTAAATAAAAAAGCAAATAACTATTTATTAAAAACACGATTAAAATTACTGATATGTATTAAGGAGTTTCCAAAAGTTGATATGTCATTATATTAATCAGTATACAATAATGATAAAACGAATAAGGTCTTCCCGTCCTTTGAGAAAAAGCGTTCATTTAAGTTTTTTTTGATTAATAACAAATTAATGAAACTATGCTAATTAAGCCCTAGCTTAAAATTAAACTCAATATTGCAAAAATAGCGTGAATACTATATTCGAAAGTCCAACAAACTTAAGAATTTAAATAAACCATTACTTAAATACCATCTTTCTCATGACAAGCCAAATACTATAATATTCAAGAAGAAGACTTACTCCAAAAAATATTTGCATAAGCGGAAAATAACCTATAGTCAATAAAAATTTCAATAGATAGCCAAGTATTTTAATCAAAATTATTGGGGCATCTTTGTCTAATATACCAACTAAAAATAGCAACATTATAGTGACGAGCACAATGGAGAAGAAGAAATACAAAAAGGCTAAAAATATTGAGAAATCAGTATTAACAATATGCAATAAAATTGTAAAGTAGCTATTTGATCACTTTATTACTTTACCTTAAAAATTATGTAATTGTATGTGTTAACTAAGTGTTATTCCATAAATATGAGGTTTTTAATGCAAAGGCTAAATATATTAACTAAAACATTTATATAAAAGATAGAGCCATGCTAACATATATAGATTAGTTATCAAATTATAAAACTTAATATATTGCACTAAAAATATAAATAATTTACTTGAACAATTTAGATCTCATGAAAACATACACCTTTTAGAACAACGAAGTATGTAATCCTAAATTTTTTAAATTATTCATATTAAATAAATATTGTTATATATTATTTTTAATACTCAATTAGTATGAATAACTTTTTAAGAATGTGAAAGCAATTTTTATGTAGCCATTTGTAATCGTAATGAAAACATTTATATTTTTGATCTATGATATTTAATTTACTGTTAACACATCAAAGAAATACGAATGTTCATAAAATAGAACATAGTTGGAATATATTATGCTACATAGTTTAATGATAATCCATTCGTATATATTGAATATAATAAAGCTATTTATGTGTAATAAATAACATTAATTACATATATAGTTTATTGATTAAAAAAAAAAAGTTTTATTTAAAGCTTTGAATGTTTAATAGACATTTTTATTGTTTTCTTATTATGAAGAAGGGCAGGTTTTCCATTTCAATTTTGGATGTAATTATGATTTTATTGAAACTATCATATATTATATTTTTGATTCAACAGATTAAATAGGAAGTTAAGAGCATTTTTATAGTTGTTTTTTGATATTTTGTGTAAGTTTCATTTTATAAGGTCTATTCGAAATATTATTAATAATTGGAAATAAAGTTTAACGATTCAAATTTATTGAATAATATATAGAATATTATAACATAAATAAGTAGGTCATTTAAAATATTATCCTGGCATATGTTCATTCCACTAAAGATTTCAATATATTTAATAAACTATTTTATTTTTCCGATATTAACTTTAATAAAAAAATTAATTACATCATCAGAGTCCGAAATAGTGTGATATTAAACTGCTTAATTAAATTAGAGCATTTTTGTAAATTCTGCCTAAAATAAAATTTATTTGTTATTATTTCCTTTATTAGCAACAACAACGAATGCATTGAATAAAGGATAATACAATTCTAAATTAAATATAATTTAAACCTTCGAAAATTTCTAGGGGATTTAAGTGATTGAGTATCCAAATATGGAATTTGTGGATTACATTCCCAAAGGTAATTGTGTGAACATAACAATCTTATTTTAAAATGATATTGTTCGATTATGTCTATTCTTCGGTGGTGCTATCTGTTAGATTATCTGAAGTTTCTGCTATGTTTAATCAGATTAAGCTTACAGGAATCCAAAATAGATTGTAGTCTCTTTAGGTTCATAGAAAAATCCTCACAAATCAATAATAGAAAGTGAGATTTATAAATAGTGGTCTTTTCAAGCAAGAAGATTGGCTCAGAACCGAATGGGTCGAATGAAAAATCATGATTTATAATAAATCCTTCTAGTTATGGAGAAGGCTATTGGTGTTCCAAGAGTATTTATCGGCTTTCATCTTATTTGGTTAATTTCTATAAGATAGATAGAGTAGATTTTAAACTTGGAGATATTCTTCTTCGGTTTCAGCATGAACTGCCATTCTTCTTTGTCTTCTTCTTGTTTCACATAATATCATTTATTTTAAATTTTTTTTTAACTTAATACCTAATAAATAATCATCTGTCAATGTAAGTTGAAGCACCAGTTGTATATTAATTTGAATGCTTTCGTAAGGGAAAAAATGGAAACAAGAAATATATAGGAATTTTAAGGCAAGATAGATTGGATTTATGCAAGGTATAACAACTTGAAATCATTGATATTGTAGGATAACCAACCAAATTTCAAATATTCTTTGCCGATTTAGCTTCAAACCCATATAAAGTGGGAAGTCGAAGAGGACAATCAAGAAGGGAAAAAGCATTACAAAATAGTCTCATTCAAATTTCAATAAGTGCTCAAATACATTCTAACATTTCATAGGTTAAGTAAATAAACGAAAACCATGTGGCCAAAATAACTACTTTTTGTGGAGATGAAAAAACCCTGGCTACATTGAAAGAACATTTGAGAAATAAGATCATCTTTTAAAGAATTCAAGACTTTTATACTCCTCTCCAAACCTTGGGGAAAGGAGCCTCCTCTAGAGTCTTATTGGTGAGACACAAGAATACAGAAAACTATTATGCTGCAAAATGTGTTGACAAATCGTATGTTAATGAAACAGAAAATGGAATAGTATTAGTTTAAACATAAAAAAGGAATCCATGTTTTAAGAGATAGCAATAAATAATGATCTAGATCATCCTTCCTTTATCAAATTACATGCAGTCTATGAAGGAGACAACACATTCTATATGGTTATGGATTTATTGGAAGGGAAGAGCTTGCATGAAGAATTAAACAACCATAAGAATGGATTCTCAGAAGATATAGTAAGGAACATAATGTGGGTAATACAATTAATGTATATATAAAGTAAATTCTGACTGGTATTGAATATATGCATGAAAAATAAATTATGCATCGAGATTTAAAACCTGAGAACATTATGCTACTGAGAAAGGACGATTTGAATTCTCTTAAGATTGTTGACTTTGGTTTGGCTACATATTGTAATGTAAATAAGTATCACATATAATAATTAATCAGATATTTATTTCCTAAATGTGGAACGCCTGGATATGTTGCTCCAGAGATAGCTAATCTTACTGACAAAACGTTAAAATATGATAAAGTTTGTGATATTTTTAGTGCTGGAGTGATATTTTTTAAATTGTAAGCTCTATCTTAAATTTAAGATTAACAGGAAAAGATCTTTTTCCAGGAGTAGGATTTAATTTGGTTTTGAAATTAAATAAGTAGTGTAAAATTGATTTAACTCCTTTGCAAATGAAAAAAATTGATCCATTCATTACTGTATTTGTTTCTTTTCATTAAATTTAGAACCTAATTCAGAGAATGCTAGAAAAGGAACCAACTCAAAGAATAACAGCTACTCAATGTTTATAAGATCCATACTTCCTTCCTTGTTATCAAGAAACCGGTATCCAAGGACCTGCTAAGTTAACAGCCTTCCAGAAAAAGCAAATGTTTTCTACATGCGGCAAAGCTTTCACTACTGAATTCTAAAATGAAAATCAAAAAGGAAGCCCTTCAGATAGAATAGAAAATAAAGGATCCTTTGTTACATAAGACACCACCTATAAGCCGATCTAATAACACCAATAGAAAATTATATAAAAATTTAATACTACAGAATTTGATCATATTGATCCTACTCAAAGTCCATCTATGGATCAAGTAAAGAAAAAGTTTTAAAAAGGGGATCCAATTGAAGAAGAAGATGAAAAATGAAAATATTAAAATTTCATTATTATTATGTTATTAAATTCATTCTCGTAATTGATTTGTCAAATTTCAATATTTTATAAATAGATAATCATTCACAATGAAGATTAATATGAGTAAGATATTCATAAATTGTTAAACTAAGCCATTATTAAATAATATGTTTAATGTAATTTTTTACAATTATAATAAAGTCTGAGATATTTATAAAATATAATATTACTAAATTACTATTTCAATGATTAAACAGTTTTTTTAAGTAATCTTCTATTAAAATTTTATTATTGCAATTAATTTAATCATGAAATATAATTTATTTATTAAGTAGTTTTTGTATTATTGACAAATTGATTATCTCAAAACTTAACGACGTCAAATAATAGATTTTTCTTTAATTCCAAACTTCATTTACCTAACAAGTCTTATTATAAAGTTAATTTATTAACTCAACTTCCATAAATATATTTTTAGATAGATAAATATGATTTTTTAGTCTTTTAATTGTAAATTTTATCTCAAATGTTACTAAGAATGTAATGTTAAAAATAAACTAATAAATAAAAGTATGTGATCAATGCTTTCAAAGAATGAAGATTAAAATTTAATGAGAAAGCTGAGATTTATTGGAAGAATCTATAAAGACTCATCCAATCACAAATATAAGTTTTTGATTATTATTATTTTATAAATCAAAATTTCATAATCAGACATCCAAATAATGAATGAATATCAATCTTATACTTCTGATAATCGTAAATCAAAATAAACTATAAATACTATTGAAGAGCTTAGTAAAAATCAATCATTCAGAATTCTCAAACTCTAGACATCTGGACTTGGGAAGATGAATAATAGCAGTAAAAGAAACCCATAAAACTTTGATGTTTCCCAAGTCTCTACATCTATGCCATTGAGGTAATTGAACCTTTATTATTCCTTTAAGTTAGAAGAATATGTTATCATTTTTGGCTCATGATGAGTCAAAGCGTCCCAATTCATATGAATAGTTGTATTAAGATTTGTAACAATCAAAACAATAAGTGAACAATCTCAAAGATGAAAACACAAGACTGAGAACCAAAGTATAACATAATGAAGTATGTTTGATTGCCTATGACTTAGAGAGAATTCTTAAAGTATGAAAACTTAATAGAAGATTTAACTACTCAAAAGAAATCGAATAATTCAGATCTTCAGATTATTTCACTACGGAAGTAAGTTAAGGATAAAAGCTAAGAATTGGAAGATAAGATGAAGGAGTTAGAAATATTGAAGAGAAATAGTAAAGTTTGCAAATTATAAGAATTGGAAGTAATTATGCTCTATTAATCATAGATTGAAAAAAAAGTTTATTTTGAATAGACTTTAATGATGAAGCATATGTTATAGATGGCCTAAGACCAGATTTAATATCAACAAAGCAAGTTAGAATAAGTGTAACATTTAGAATCTCAATTAGATATTTGTCATGAACAAATGTTTAAATTATAATAATAAAACAATGAGTAATTTGAGATCATTAGTAAAAAGGAATAAATCATAAAAGAATTGAAAATCCAATTAAAAAACTAATCAATTAAATAATAGCAAATACTTTAAAAATAGCAATAAATTTAATTAAAGTATGACAATTTGCATCTGCTCTATCAATCTATCAAAGGAGGACACAACAATACTCAACCTAAGGACACTTCTTTAAAGTTCCCGAAAGATCTTGTTATATTGAAATTACATTAAAAAAGAGTCACAATGAATCAATATAATAAGGCAATTGAAGTATTAAAGTAAGCAAAAAGTAAACAAGAATTTGGTTAAATGTTGTAAATGTAAGAATATCAATTTATTTTAATTTAGAGACCCATTTTATTTAAGTGAGACCGAATCTTAATAAGTGGTAGATAAACTAACAGGAACATAGTCATTATCTTAACAATTCATCACTTAATTAAGTTATCAATCCTTAGAAGGTTTGGATGAATAGTAGGCACAATAATTAATCAATAAGGTATTCCAATAAGTAGCGTATAGTCTCTTTAATCTAAAAAAGATCGTGTAAGATAGTATTGGATTTAATACAAATACAAAAAAGTTGGAAGAGACGATATTATCAAATTTATTTAGGCCATGAATTTTAATTGGGATTAATAGACAACATCATATTTTCTATTAGAAGTATCTCAATTATTTTATTAAAGATATTCTAAAATAATTTGTCAAATAACAATGTAACTAATAATAGTGAACAGAATTCATAAAGCATGAGAGTGTCTATAGACTTTATTACTAACCCTTTTTCAAGATAATCACATCATAAAAGTTCAAATGAAGTCTAATAATAGGATAGCTTTATTAGAGATCTGAATGAGTAATAGAGTAATTAATAGGTCATCGAGAATTTTAATCCAAATGATGAAGTCTTAATTAATTAATTTTTCCCTACTGATGAAGAGGATAAATAATTTGAAATAATCAGCAGCAACCCTCAAGAGAAATTGACTTCAAAATATCAACAAGAGAATGAGATTTAAGAAGTTAATGAAGAGGATATGCTAAGTTCGAAACCATAAGATGAAGATAATGCTAATGATATTGCCTATTTGGAAAGCAATCAATAAGAAGAATTAGTTTAAGAAGTTAAAAGCCTTGAAATTTTGAATGATTATCAATTATGACTAATATTTTTATCATTTACACTATCCAGATAATTTAAAAATTCTATAGCTGGTTTGTTTATCCACTAAATATATCACAATATCCTTACTCTAACTGCTTTAAATCCAGTGAACCATTCAATATGACCTCCCTTTTTAGTTAATGCCAATATCACATTGTTATTGCTTAGAATTGTGTCTTTAGGAATATACTACGATTGAATGACTGGATCATCCATTGATGATACAAATAAAGTAGGTACTTAAATCTGTTCGATTTCTTTGACACAATTTATTTTCATATATAAATCTGAGATGTTTTCATAGCCCAACAATCTTTTAGTCACTAATTCATCAAAGTCTTCAGTTCTATAGCATTTCTGAGCCTAATCTAAATGATAAATTTCGTCAATTCTATATACCTACATCAATGCCTGACTTTTTATAAACATCAAGATTCCACTTCATATTTCTGATGAAATTTTTAGTGATAGCCATATTATAAATAAACTTAGTTGGCTTCTTGATTTCTTATGCTAAAGTTTGAATATCCCAGGGACAACTGATTGCCACTGCTCCTTTGATGACATCCTTATATTTTGCTAGAAATTTCACCAGTTGCAAAGAACCCATCGAAAATCCTAACATATACAGAGGAGCATCTGGATTTTAGGATTTAATATAATTTACTCCAGCCAATAAATCATCCAATTTAGAAAAGTCAGTAGGCTATGCAGTTAACATTCTTGAATTTGCATACCCTCGCATATTGATACAATAAACTCTAAATCCTTTGCGATTCGCATTTAATACTGTATGTCTAATGTAATTGCATTCACTAGCACCAGTCAATCCATGGAGTATTATTAAGGTTTTTTGTTTTGGGTTCTCGCTTTTATCAGATCTTAGAAACTTTTAATTCACAGGCAGAGAATCTATAGTAATTAATCCATTTTCTACGGGTACTTCCACACGAGTCATAGGCACATATGGTACAGGATCAAATTTGCTTCCATACAAACTCTAAAGGAAAGCTGTTTACAAATAAATTGTTGGTTTATAAACACCCTATATATATTAGTGTTATCCCTACCTATCTTAAACTTGGGCAATTTTAAATGATTTCTAAGTTTTTAGAAGTTTAATTGAATGTATAGAGAATGTCGGTGTTCCAATAGTTTCCTTATATTTCCACTCCAATCAGGGCCAATCCTGCATAAAACATCCATTTTCTGGTTCTGCTCCATCCTATTCTTTATCGGTCTTGAAATTATGCAATACTCATTGAAGAAAATCGAAATTTCATTATTTAAATTTAATGATTATACGTAAACCAACAACAATAACTTTGAAACCAGAGGACGATTACTAAGAATACGAAGATTTTAAGAGAAGATAAGAAGAATAAAAGAAGAGTTAAATGCAATAGAAGAAAGAAATGTTCCCTTGGTCATAGTAATAACAAGCCCAGATTATAAATTAAGTTTGAAAATTTTGAATTTCAAAATAGGCACCAAAAAACACAAGGAGATCAATTCAAGTTGCCTAAGAACCCACAATTGAATTTGAGCCTGATTCCTACTTTGAAATTAACAATCAAATCCCTGTCAACTAATTATTCAGAATGATAAATCCATCTCCTGATGCTATGTAACAAGAGCCATAATGAGATAAATATCTTAATTTGATTCATCAAATTACTCATAATTGTTGTTTATGTTTATATATTGATCTTGGTTTTTCAATTCTTCATCATTAGTCATTTTATAATATTCATTAATTTCAATATTTTAAATTGAATATGATGTTATATAATATAAAATAAGTAAAGATTTTGAATATAAACATTATAAATTTGGTCACTCTCAAAGAGTAGTTAATCATTGAAAAACTCATTTTGCTTTTGGTTTAATTAAAGAATATGATAACCATAGATACCCAATAAACAACTACTAGTATTTTAAATATTAAAAATGCCTTTTAATCTTTATTTTAATTTTTATATTTAAAAAAAATTTGTATTATAATATCATAGATGTTCTTCAAATAAAAAAGCGTATTAATTCATTAACAACATTTTCTTTTCCAAAAATATCAAAAACAACATAAAAATTAGAACAATTCTTAGATATGAAGTCTTGTGTCCTCTTGTAAATTCTGTCTTATTTAAAGTCAATTATCAACTTTGTCTTTGGAAGGTTAAAATATTTTTAATAAATGTCTTGCTCTGTTCTCTTAATCTCCATCCTTCTAATCATCACATCAAACAATATTTAAAATTTTGATATGTTACAAATTTATAGCTATCCATAAATGATGGTTGCTTATTATTTTTGATTTGGCAAGAGGAAGTAATTAAAAAATGAGCATGCTTCAACATTTTATATATATTATCATATTTTAAAGCACAATATTTAAATTTACATATCTATTTATAAACTTACAGATTTCATTAAAACATAAACAAATTATTTTATTCATCCCCCCGATTGATATGACGATATAACGGGGCGAATCATAGAGGAAATAAAATAATATTTAAAATAATGAATTAAAGTAAAGTTGGCTTCAACAATAGGAAATATCAATGTATAAATACTGGTTAAAGGATATCACTCCTTGTTGACATTTTAATAGAGGGCCTATCAATAAAACAAGCTGCAAAGAAGAATAATATTAAATTCTCTTCGGCCAAAGTAATTCTTAAGCTTTTCAAACATGAGGGACGTATTGGGAAGGTGAAAGAAAATTAGTTAACTTAAGCTGAAAATGGTTTATAATTACAACAATAATCTTAATTAATCAACGAAAATATGTAATAATGCAAGAATCTATTGAAATAAATAGAAGATTGTAAAGCTAGAAACAATTAACTGCAGTAGGAGCTGACTATTTATTAATAAATTAATAATTAATTTAATTTAGAATGAAATTATAATTTAAATCAGCATTTTAATTACTTCGAAGGATGTACTTTTATTTATTCCTCATATTCGCTTATTATTTATTTATCCAATTCCATAAATTCTACAAGTAATTATTCTAATTAATCGTCGTTTTATTCATACATTTTTGGATGATAAAAGATCAAACTTTTATCTATATTTTGCTATGGCATTAGTGAATAATTAGTACTTATTTTAAAAAGTATTTAATTTCCTTCAAAAAAGCCTCAGCAATTGAACGATCTTAAAAAAAAGAATTCATATCATAAATATCTGTTGGTAATTACATGGCCATTCTCCTAAGGATATAGAATGGCATGAATTCTTCTATTTTCTGGATGTCATCTTTAGGCATTTTCTTTTTAAATAATGATTTTCTTAAAAGTTATAGTCTTTCCATTAGTAAATCGAATTTAGACTAAACTAAGCAATATCCATAAACTTAGTGATAAATAGGTTATGCCTTTAATTATGCCTCTATTAATTAGGTTTGCCAAGTTTTTTGTTTATTTTAAGGTTCAAATTTGAAGTCATCTAAATTAATTTATACTTCATCTTAAGTTTGTAATGAAAATATATCTGGAGTTTATTTGATAGCTTGGATGATTGGAAGAGGTAGCCTTTTGTTCTTTTTGATATCTGAGAATTCCTTGATTTTTTTGAAAGAAGTTTCATTCAAATAGTCAGCTAATTATTTTTAGAATTTATTCTTAGGTTAAAAAAAACTCATATTTATAATAATTTTATAAGTATAATTCGAACAATAAATAAAGTTAATTAATTTAAATCATTATGGCCTGTATGAGAATGATATGATAGAGAGAGTTGTTCCAAATTAAATATTATAGAGAGTCTTTATATTCTCTACATTATTTGTACATATAAATTAAAACTTATATTTAATGCTATTAGATTATATTAGAAAATAACCTGAAAAACATAAAAATAATCATCATTACCAATGATCCAAGTCTTCCAATTCAGGTTTCATTTGTTGTTGCACTTATTAAATTTACTTATTCTTTTCTCCTCCTTGTTATCTAATTTAGACCTTTTATTCGGTTATAGGCTCCTTCCTATAGGGTATGATAGCATTGTTCAATAAAATATGAGGGAAAAACTTATATTACCAGAATTTAATAGAGTTATCTTTACTACTTGTCATCAGCAAGCCAACTGAATCAAACAATTAGATTTTGGTTATGTCCTTATCATGAGCATCTAGTGAGTAAAGATACTTCATATTGGTTGATTCTAAAATAACAACGCAATTTCCATAATTTACATAGATTTCCTTTGTACTAATAGAAAATTGAACAACTTTGTTAGGGAGAGTCTTAAGCAAGGTGATTTGATTGGAATTCTTTTCCTTTCCTTGTTTTCCAATTTCAAATACACTGAGATAGCCCTCTTTGCTACCACAAATTAAATAGTTTTTAATAGGACAATATTGGATTGAAGTTAGATGCATAGTAGCATCCTATTTTATCTAATGGATGGCATGTAAAGGGCCATTTTCAAAGGAGAATATATATATACTTCCAATGTTGTCACCCACAAAAAGTCTATATTGATTGGTAGTCATGCAAGTCAATTCATTCGTAAACTCCTTCTCTATTATAAGTCAATGTTGGTACCTTTTAGAATGCTGCTTGGATTTTAAAGATCTGTAGTGATGATACATTTATCTCTGCCAATGCTGTAACAATGGCCTGTCAAATGATTGAAAGCAATTCCATTAACTGATTGAGTGTGCTTATGTATGGTACAAAATTCAGAGTATTCTAAATATTATTTATTCGTTGCTATTCTCAAACAAACAATGTGACCATCATCAAATCCAATCCCTAGAATAGTCAATTTCTCTTCCCATCTGATCATGGTGCCTCTATGTTGATATTGTACAGTCCATAGGGTTTGTGCTACGGCTTGGCCTTCTTTATTGACATCCAATCTATAACAGATTAATTGTGTATGAAATGAGGGCTTTAGGGATTTACCAAAGATGCCCATAAATCCTTGCATTTTACTGGAAATGGAATCATCCGTAGTCAATACGAATAGCAATTAGGTATCAATTTCATAATGGAAATCTGAGATTGGAAATGCATGGCCGTAATGAATTTTCAAAGATGGTTTTGGTTGGAATAGCCATTTGTTATTGAGCAATTGGGATAACTATTTGATTGTTTGAATAGAATTACTTCGCAGAAATTATAAAAGCTCTCGCTTCCCAAAACATCACATCGCCAGATCAAGGCTCCCAACCATTTTTCTAAATCCACTCTTCTCTTTTCAGCATCCAAAGTATTTGGCTTGAATCCAAACATCCCTATCCCAGGCAATTGAGGCAACTCAGGACATTGGAGAGTCAATGTCTTGCACAAGGCGATACAATTGTCGTATGTGTATTCAAGATCAGATCTCTTAAATGGTTCAACTAATGTATATTACAACACAATCCTATAATATATTTGACCATCTGCCTTCTCCCTGTAGCCAGGAACTTTAAACTAGTTTAATATTTAAATATACTTTTAAATGCGCCCCTAAATATTCAATTCCATTAAGAGTGTCTAAACTCATAATTAAATAAAATGTTTTTTGGGCGAAGAATATTCAGAGCTTTTTGCTCCAAAGCCTAATATAATATCCCCATTTTCACCTCAAGCAAAGGTCCACAAGCCAATAAACACCTCGACGATGTCCTTTTAGATCAAATGGTCAAAGGTTTTAAGAAAGCATATACCGACAAATTTTTGTTAGACTTTAAAAAAGTGATCATCAATACAATATTCCAAGGTGGTCTTACCTGCTAAGAGAGTTAGGTCGTTGGATGATCATATCATTGGTCTATGGAAGCAACATGAAGTGGCAGTTGTGATTGAAGGGAGAGATGAATTTGAGGATATCGACATAGTTTTGGATTACTATTAAGTGGCTGCAGTAAAGAGAAGGATTTGTGCAAATGTAGCACCAATTTACATCAGAATTCCTGGACATGATGGAGACATTCGTTGCACTCTGGGTGAAATCATTAAAGATCCTAGTAACATTGATAAGTTTAATTGATAGAAAGTGGTTGGCCTTTCAAAGTAACTTTGAGAAGATACATAGTAGGCAGACCAAATCTATTGTACGTGCCAATTGCTATATTGCCTAATAACTCCAATCCAGCATTAGTAAGAGGAACAGATTATGATGTACATATTGAAGGAGTTTGGATAAATTCATATAATGCCACTTATCCTACTAAATTCTTTGTTGATGCTAAGAATATTAAGACATATAGACCATATAAATTGGGAGATTTATAAAATACATTCCCACAAGGAATACTATTGCATGAAAGATACAAGAAACTCATCCATTGGAATGTTGCAACTTTGGCAAGAGATGAAGATGATGTAAGAATATCATAGTTATCCATAATAGAAATTCTTTGAAGAAGCAGAATTCTAAAGATCAAAGAAAGACGATGATTTATTGATCTATAGAAAACCAGACGATGAAGGTGAGGAAACACTAGAAGGAGAAATGTTGTATTAAAAGAAAAAAGTAACCGTGGAGAAGACTTAAAAAAAGAGAAAGGAAAAGTCTCTCAAAAAGAAGGTCAAATAAGCAAATCAAGAATTATAAAAAGAAGTAGCTGCAGCTAAGGAAGCCAAGGATGCTGCTGCTAAAGAAGCTGCAGGTAAAAAATGATGAGTTTATAGTATATATTCATTATAATGATTATTGGTTCATAAACTTATCAAAATTATTCAAAATATCCTAGTTCTCTTTGATAATTTGTTTTACGAACCCGATTAATATATCATATCTGACTAAGACTTGTCTTTTTTAAGGTAAATAAGATCGAGTAGATTAAGCAATACAGGAAAGACGCTTTGTGTTAAATCTGAATCCCTATCCTTTATACCCTTCACTATGAAATGAAGTGAATTGTCTCGGAGAATAAGTAAGCGACTCCATCTTCTCTAAACTGTTTTTTTAGGATTTCAATAGGTATTGATTCTATCTCTTAGTAAACTGTTCTTTCGTAACTCGTGCTTAAACTTGAGTCTAATCTGTTTCAATATAGTTGATTAAAGGTTCCAGATATTTGCCATTTCCTATTCCTCCAAAGACAGCTATTTTTGAACTAAGTAATACTGAGTTATGAGCACATCTTGGTACATTGTTACCTTCAATTAACACTTACTACCATAGATTTATAGAAGGGTAAAAAATAAAACATTCACTGGATTCAAGACATCCATTTATTATTTAATCTCTTTAACCTCCTAAAATAACGATGCCTTATATTTTCTTTATAAATTCCATTGTATGATTATGACAAGGCATAGGTGGTCTGCCTTCAGTTTAAACAGTCTCCCAAGCAATAGCAGTAGTAGTATTAGGGTAGAAGATTAACTTCTTCATAATGTTAGTAGAATTCCCCTCCTGATTCTTACCACCAAAGGAATAAATGATTTCAACTGGAATCAGATCAGTAGTGTTATCATTGAATTTCGAGGATTATGAAATGTTGATGATAGAATGACAACAAATTGGTGTTGACTTGACATCCCATTATTTCCATATCATTTTCTCTATATTATACAAAGCTGTATCATTAAGCACCTATTCACTACTGTTAACTCCTCCATAAACAAGCATCCACTTCCATCCATAAATACATGCTTTATGATGTCTCCTTGGTTCTATGTAATCTCCTTAAACGTTGATCTTCTCCCAAAATCTCGTACTTGCATTGTAATCAAACACAGTGTTAAAACATTCTCTTACTTTCAATTTTGTATTGAACTTGCAAGACCCCCCGAAATAAATGAAATGATTTCTCAAAGCCACTACTGTCAAAGCTGCTCGACCGTTTTTGGGCATTTCCCCTTAACCATTTATTACATGCCAATCCTGAAATCCTACTTAAATGATAGAGTTACTTAAATCGAATCTGAGCATTTAATCTCTAATGCCATCTCCTGCTATTCCACCGTATAAATATAGTGAATCTCCATACAAAGCCATTGATCCACTCTCAGTAAAAGATGGTCTGAAACTTCTTGCACTTCTAAAAAATTCTTAAGTTTCACCATAGAATGTCAACTGGGGAGGATGGTCAATTTCAGCTTCTACTGTTGGCAAAGCTAAATTAGGCATTTGGTACACTCCAATAATTAATATAAGTACCTCTGGCTCCTTCCTTTAGGTTTACTCTCTTTTTCGGAGAATGGTCTCTCCTTTTTAATTTTTATACAACTCTGATTTTTAATTTTTTTTGAGTTCCTTAATCTAATGCATCTGATATAACTTCTTGGTGTCTCTCAGTCATTTGCGAAATAATTTATTCACGTTAAACTTTGTTATGGGTTAATTACATCATCAGTCTGGCTCTTGGAGATGGTATTCGCAATATTGTTTTTGAGAATGCCTTACTAAATCTACTTTGTTATCGTACGCTTTCGGCATTTCAGTGAATGTCTTAAATAATGCACTCTGCGTCACTGGAGTATTTAGAAGGGTACGTTCAGATTACAGAATCTCTATTTACGGACTCACTCCTTAAGATGAAGTTCGCAAATGCATTATATTTTAATTAAATCAATTAAGTTACTTTATAGAGTTCATATTTTAAGGGCCATTCAAAATGTTTAAAGGCAAAAGAGACAAACCATACCATTACAATCTAATTTAAAAATAATTTATCTAGATCCATTTTGTATAAACCATTATATACAGTAAAATAATTATTGATCCAGCTACCGATATGCAATTTTAAAACCTATAAATTACCTTTATCAGAATTGGCTACTCTAGGAATTATTGTATCTCCATTCTTTGAATAAAGAGCATAAAAAAATATAGGATTTTTAATTCTTAGAAAAATAATAATTTATTCAAATACGTTATTGAATACTCATATCACTTATATATTTGTCTGGTTATAGATTATAAGACTTTATTATCTACTTAATTTATGTCCCTCTTTATCATATTATCATAAGAGTAAGAAGTAAAAGATATTGAGAATAAATTTATAAAAGTTTAATTTACCTAATGAAAAATAATACAATTATATTATTTACTAATCAAATACAAAGTAAATTTATCTTATTGCTAATGTAAAAAGAAAGGATATATTTTAACCAAAAAACTAGAGGTCACTTGATTTATTTTATTTTACATATTAAATTAGAATCAAATTCTATCTTCTTATTCACTGATTATTTACAACTTATAGTTTCTGGATAATTTATAGGTAACTATGCTTTATTTAATTCAATTCTTAATTTCAGGAAGTATCTATTTAATTACGATGAAATTAGATTATTAATTCAAAATTCAGTTATGTATTTTGATTTATCTTTTTATTACAATTATATGAACCACAGTTAATAAGAAATCTTACATAACATATTTTACTTTGATTATTATAGTTCCAAACTATTCACAATTTGTGAAGGGAAGGGAAGGTTTTCATATAATAAGAAGGAATTTAATTATTACATAAATTAATTTACCAATATTATACAACAACGTTAATATAAATATGAGTTCAATTTATTTAATATTGTTAACTACTATTTAATGTATCAATCATCTCCTGAGAAAAGAAAATAAATGCAGATGTATGGAAGATCAATGGATGACATGACTTGCATTATTGATTGCGGATATATTGGTTCCCTCTTTCTAGGAAACATAGAAAGTGCAAGTAAAATGACATAATATTCAAGCCGATCCTTCCCTTCTCAAGAAACATAGAATAACAGCAATTTTATCTATCTGTGTGTCCAAAATACCATTTACTGTTAGTTCATAAATGAAATAATATGAACATATCATCTTGGAAGATAGTGAGAATGAGAATATTTATCGATATTTTAATTCTTCTTTTGAATTTATTGATAAAGGAAGACAATCAGGTAATGTTTTAGTCCATTGTATGGCTGGTATTTCCAGGAGTGCTGCATTAGTTGCTGCTTACTTGATGAGGAAACATAATATGACTTCGAAAGAGGCCTTGTAATAATTGGAAAGGAAGAGATGGTAGGTTTATCCTAATGATGGCTTTATCAAGTAGTTACTTTTATACGAAAAAGAATTGAATCAATAGGAATAAGAAATACCATATGACTGGAATGGAAAAATAATATATAATTAATAAAATAACATTAAAAGTAAAACAAGTTCTACAGATAGGTTAATTACTAAAATGAATAAGTTTAATGATGAGGAATCCATTTCTAATGAATACTCTAAAATCAGAAAGAAGTACATTGATGAAGAGAAATCTCTAGATTTTATGCAGAAATCAAACTAATATTAATTATAATAATAAAGGAAAACTCAATTTGAAATATTGAATAATGGAATTAATATTCAGATTTAGAGACTACAATAGCAATCTGCTAGTAATAGAAATCTTAACGCATTTGAACCTAAATAAACTATTATTACCGATAACCAGCAGAAAAAAAGAGCATTAATGGATGCAAGTAATCAAATGAAATATTTATATAAGTAAACAATTTCAGCAAGAATCCAACAAATAACAAAGGAATATAGCTGGAGACAACATTATATGTTCCAAAAAAATAGGAATTTTCTAGCAAATACTTGCCAGCTACAACTAGAGAATATCCATAAAATTAAGGCTTTAAGACTGCTAATAATTACTAATAAAAACTAGATACTCTCCTTAATTAGTTTGGCAAGAAGTCTACATACTAATACAACTGAGTATATTAATATAGGAAAATACAATATATCAATCTTATTCATTAGCATTTCTAATTAGCATATCTGTAAATTCTTAAAAGTTTACAATTCCATCGCCATTAAGATCTAATTCATTAAAGACATTGTTCCATTCGCCTTCGCTTAACTAAGCTCCCCCCATTATTTCCTATAACTCTTACTTACTGATTTATCCATTTCCATCCTTATCGAAAAGTCTAAATGCTTTTTCTAATTTATTCTATGCCGTCAATTGTTCTTTTTTTGCAAAGGCAACAATGAATTCAGTGTAATCAATTTAATTGGATCCATTGACATCAGCTTATTAAAATAAATTTTCAACAATTTCCTGACATTTCATTTCATCATCATATAATTCTCTATAGCACTTAAAAAGTTCTTCTCGACTCAATGTACCGTCTTTATTAACATCTATTTTTTTAAATTAAGTTTAAATTTTCTTTTTTTCGTGATTAGACATAACTTAAGTTGAGATGAGTTACATTATTGCTGCTTTCAACTTACTTTAACTCTTATGATAAAAATAACATATACATGAAATTTAGAAAGTTTTTCCAAAGATTTCGAGTTAATTTTCTTACCTTTTTGATTAATGAGCATCCAATCATGACGTAATGCTTCAGATGCAGAAATTCTTTATTCAGGATCAATTACCAACATTTTCTTAATCAAGTTTTTAGCATCTTCAGAAATGTCTTCCCATTCAGGTTCTTTGAATTTTAATCATTAAATTACCATCAAATGAAAAAATGCCACTTTATATTTTTTAGTATAATTCTTACTAATTTTATCCATTAAAAGGAGGATAACCGCATAGCATAATGAATAGGATAACACCACAAGACCACACATCGCATTTTTAATCATATCGCTTATTAATTACTTCAGGAGCGATGTAATATGGCTTTATAAGATATTTAATTATATGTTTACAGTTCCTATTCTTTGGGATAATTTGTTTGAATCAGCAATTTACTTAGCTGTTCCAAAATCAATAATCTTTAAACTAGAATGAGCTTTCTTGGATTCAAATAAAATATTTTCAGGTTTTAGATCTCTAATCATTATAGGTGTTTAGATCAATACCTGTGGACAATATTACGAGTATGACAGTAGTTAACTGCTTCTAAAATTTTTCTTATGTATCCAGCTGCGATTGTTTCATTGAAATGATCAATCTGATTGATTTTCTCAAATAATTCACCTCCACTCAAATATCTTAAAATCTATTGAAATGATAAAGCATACTCTGTGATAATATAATAAAAAGTTTCATCTTCGTACAATTCGTATATATTAACAATATTTGGATGATCTAATTCCTTGAGTATAGACACTTCTTATATCATGCTATCCTTCTATTCAATTACTATTTTATCCTTCCGAATCTATTTCATCGCTCTCTAAAGTCCCGTTCCTTTCTAAGTTACTAGGCTCACTTTCCCATAAGTGCCTTTATAATCCATCACACAATGATACCTTCTCCTAATAGCTAATCTATTTTGTAAGAATTCAATAGATCTCCCTTCTTCAAGGTAACAAATATAGAGGGATCAACTTTGAAATCTGTTAATTGTTTAACGAACCTGGATTATTTTGAGGATCCTGGATTCTCATTATTCAAAGTGGTTCCTATTTAATCCTTTGTTTATTCAAGAGTTAGCTTCGAGAGTTTCTTTCTCCCTTATCCTCCACATATGCCCATTAAAATACTCTGTAAATTTAATTTATAAATATACAATTATTTTACCTAAGGATTATTAATGTATTTGTAATATTTATATTGAATAATTCTCATTAATTTGGTAAAGAATCAGTAATTACAATTAAACTTTCTTAATAATATAACTGTCTATTGTGCCGTTTCTATTAAAATATGAAGAAAATCTTAAAATTTAGAACTCTATTGGTGTTCCCAAGAAAACTCAATACAGAACCAACATACTTTTGCGGATCACATATAAAATTTAGAAAAAGTTTTTTTTAAATAATGTGTTAATTAGGAGATAATTTATTATTTAATTATTAATTAAGAGTATTATAAAAATAGGTTTAGAACTTAAATTGAAATTAATCCATCCATTATTTTGATATAATATTATATTTAATGTATCAAAGCTTATAACTTTGACATTTTATTGACTATCCACTTTAGTGTGTTTTCCAATTCATCGATCCTTTAATTGAAGTTTCCATACCTCTTTATTGATGGATAATAAAATGAATTCATTTATTTCTAACATTTTAGAGAACTAATTAATCAATTCAAATAATTTCCACACTTCAACTGATTTGAATTCAATATGTTATTCATCAAATAACTTTAAAATAATAATTACTAATAATTGAATTATTTTATAATTCAATTAATCTTAAGAGTATTTTATACATCAAGTCTGATAAATTACTATCTAAATATTTGAGAATTTTATAAAGAAAACCTACTTTTGCTTTGGCATATATTTATTCTTAGTTTTCTATCATTAATCATAGCATTACTTAAAAAGAAATTTGGAGAAGAATTATGTTAAAGTGACGATAAATTTAGAATTTAGAGTTCCTTTATTTATTAAGTATGCAATATCATCTTATTACCATGAATTTTTACAAAAGTATTTTTCATTATGATTTTCAATTAATTATTTAATTATAAATAAAATAGTTTCAATTATAAAATGAGGATTTCTTAACAGGTTACTTAGATGGCTAGCGATAGAATGATTGACTTCGAGGTTTGTCTAATAACTGAAGCACTTCTCTCATAAATATTTTATTTTATTAATTATATTCTTCTTAAGTTTATTCAATTTTTTTGAATAAATGAACCAGGGGTTTCTCTTTTTCAAGTTTATACTTAAAGTCCTTGAGCTCGTATTGCAATCTATCTGTTTTAACTTTTTCATCTTCAATTTCTGTTTTTAAATTTTTAATATTGACTTGGGTGTTTTATGAGAGCATTGAACGATATGAGGAAATTTCATTTTACTATTTCATAATCTAGATAATCATAAAATGTAAATATACAATTTATTATTTTTCTTAAAGCATGCTTTTCTAATATTCTAATGTTTTTTCCATAAATTCAATTGTTGACATCAACTTTGAATTTAGTTATTTTAAAGAATCAATTTTCGCTTAATACATTTTTTCAATATCTTGTATTTCCTTGATTATTGAACTATTCGAATAATGTAAAGGATCTTAATTCTCTTTGTAATTAGAAATAATCTCAGAGGATTTCATAAATGATGTCATCTTGGAAGGCCTATCAGTATGAAGTTCATATTAAGAGAAGGGTTTCTTATGAAATCGTTATTGTTTATTAAAACTCATTTTAATATTAATTGATTTATGTGAGTTAACATAACACAAATATTTATTACTAATAATTCTTTCAATGTATAGACCACTTAATTCAATGCAAGATTTGAATGCTTCATAAGATGTTAATAAAGCACAATTGATAAGATTTTAAAGAGTACAAGATTTCTAATATAAATTATGAATATTAAATTGATTAAACAGATTATAGAAAGAGAGGCTACATTAAAATTAAGATAAAAAATAAAGAATGTGGATTGAGAAACAAATAGTAAACTTAGAAAAGTTTAATTAATCAAATATTCTAGAAGTTTAGATATATAATTAAATATTTTCCATAATCAATTTATTGATGCTATGAAAATATTTATAATCCAACTAAATTATGAGTTTATTAAATTATCAGGATTCTAGGTTGTTAGAGTTTGAAGTAAAGTAAAAAGTAGAACAATATTTCTGAAGTGATATTAATAAATATATATCTATAAAAAGGAATAAAATATAAATAGCTAATAATTCGACACATATTAAAATTCAAAATGACAGAATCTCAATTAAAATAACAATGAGATTACCCAAAATGAGGAAAACTATTTTATGTTTAAGGCATTTATACTTTTCATCGATCTTGCAAACATCAGCCAATTGACTATGATTCCTTTCATGTGCTATGAACCTCCTTCGTGTGCTCTTGTATAATCGACTTTATCGAAACCATCTAAATGATAGCATATTTGGTACATTTCGACAAGACTCGCTTCTCGTTTAGAATGGCAAAGCCATTACTAATTAAGACAATAGCTTCCAGTAGTGTTATTAATATCATAAAAAAAATAATTAAAAAATGAAAGCAAAGAAACAATAGGATGATGCAGTTCTTGAGGAGGATCTTGTGAGAACGAAATCTTAACTAGTATAATGGAATGTAATAAATTAGGACTACTTTCCAAAATGGCAGGAATTGAAACCGCTTGGGAAGAACATCCATCGAAGATCTTATCACTCTTGTGTGACATGGGAGAATTAGTAATCATAGGATAATATCACTAAGTATCTATGTATATGGTGGATATGAAACTAATGAGGGAATATTGGATGATTTGATGAGGATTCCAATGCCCAGTTCAGACAAACCCTTGGAGTGGTAACAAGTGTACAGGAACCCTTAAAAAGAAGTGAAAGGACCAGGACCTTTGAGGAATCACACAGCAGTTGTATATGAAAATAAGATGTACATTTTTGGAGGAAAAGAGAATCTAATCTAGCCTTGTTGCAAATTGTGGATATTCGATTTTTAAACAGAGAAGTGGGATGAAGGGGAAGATTGCAAAATAAACAATCATGCAGTTTGTGTCGAAGGTCATAATAGTTGTGTATTTGTGCAAGAGGATGTAAATGCCCTATTAAATGATATTAGACAGCATCAATGATTGTATTTGGTGGATTTTACACCGACAAAGGCTATGTTTCTTAGATTCTCCAATACTCATTCAAGAAGGACAAGGATATGTGGTCACTTTATTAAGAGTAGCAGAAAACGAGTCCGTAAGGCAGAGCAGGAGCAGGAGCTGCAATATTGGGGAATGATCTATACGTTTTTGGAGGGTGCAATTACGAATAAAGGTTTTCAGACTTTTGGAAGTTCGATCTAATCAATAAGAAATGGGAACAAATTAAAACGGAAAAGTCTCCAGGAGTAAGATTAATGTATTACAATAGTCTCGATCCTCTTCAGTTATTGTAACACACAACTAAGGATTGTATTTATTTGGAGGAATCCATGATATTACTCATGAGAAGAATGACTTATGGATGTTTAAGAATAATGATTGGGTGTTGTTGGAAGAGGATAACAGTAGAAGATAAGTGAATGATGATTTGAATGATTCACTAGATAAAGCAAGTCAGAGCAAACCAAACAAACAAAAGGAAAAAGCTAAAATCTAAGATATTTAAAACAGGACTTTATTTTTATTGGGTGAGGACACTGAATTAAGGAGTCCATAGAGAAGAGGTTCATTAAAGAATATCAGTTTGCCTGCTGGGACACAGAAAATAAGTACAGAACAAAACAATGTGTCTTAAGCTACAAATAATATGGAGGAACTCAAGAAAAGAAGGTGGTAATAAAAGAAGATGTAGATGCTGTAAATATTCTCATAATTCATAGAGCTGAATTTGAATTGACAGAAGAAGAAAAGTAAAAATTCAGAAGCTCTTCTCCAACTACTGAATAGATTAAAAATTCCATTAATTTAATAACAAATCAAGATAAAGGTGGATAAAGAAAGATTTCTTCTCCCATGGGAAGGAAACAGTAATAAGCATAACTCATTGGCAAAAAACCATGTGCAAGAGATGGTCATTCGGTTGTTGTGGCTGGCGAATTTATGATAGTATTTGGAGGTGATCGCAATCTAATGTCATTTAACGACCTATACATGTATTCCTTCACCATGGCAACCAAACCAACAAAATGAAAATTCATTAATTATATAAATTTCTAATATTAGATTAATTATGTCTTTGTTCTTTGACAGAATTTCTCAGATCAACAATAATATCTTGTGTATAAAATTTAATAAAAGAAAATTATATCCATAAGAAATTTAAGTAATTTAAAAGAAAATGTATAACTAAACACCTTAATCATAGTTTAACTCTAAATAAAAAGTTGAAACCAAAACCAAAGATCAAGAATCATATGAGGATTTCCAAGAATAGTTGTATTTACATACATAATAATTAGGTTTTAATACAATGATTAATAAATGTCCTAGTCACTAAACGGAGGCATCAATAAAATCAAAATCGCTAAAGATACGAAGGCTAAGAAGAAGAATCTTTTAAAAAATGAACAAAGAGCTGAACTACAAGATTAAAGAAGGGCATAATTATAAAGTGCTAATTAATAAAAATAATAAATTCCCATAAAATAATAAGTGCCAGTTTAGCAATAACAACCAATTTTAAAACAGCAATAGTCACAAGTTTTATCTCAAAAGCCATAATAATTTGAGAAGAATATTATTAATAGACCTTAAACTTCAACTTAGGAAATATAGAAGTTAGCTATGTATGGAACAGGCAGAGGTTTTTATAGTGATGATGATGCTATTTTATATTAATATCACAAGTAAGTTGGACTGAATTTAAATCTCGAGGAGTTGATAGATTTTAGAGTTTAAGCATAATATGATTATTGTAAATTAAAAAAATCAGAAAGTTAAAGATTGCCAGCGATGGTGAGTATTATCACATAGGATATCTAATAGCATGCTAAAAATAACTCTTCAATTGAGGCTGGTATTGATTTAATGTGTGTTATTGATAAAAGTGGAAGTATGAACGGAGAAAAGATCGCCAGTGTTAAATAATCTCTTGTCTAATTATTAGATTTTCTAAGTGAAAAGGATAGATTATGTCTTGTAACCTTTGACGGAAGTGCTTAAAGACTTACTCCTTTAAAAACTTTAACATAAGAGAATAAAAATAATTTTAAAAAGGTTATATCTGCTATCAGAGTTGGTGGATCAACTAATATAGCAGCAGGAACTGAGATTGCTTTTAAGTAAATCGAATAAAGAAGAATGAAAAATTAAGTGACTTCCATATTTTTATTGTCAGATGGTTAGGCTTAAGGAGCCACTGAGCATATCTAAAGATAGAAGGATCAAATTGAAGATGTAGTTACCATTCATTCATTTGGATATGGAAGTGATCATGATCCTGTTTTGATGTCTAATATCTGCAAAGTAGGACAAGGAAGTTTTTATTATATTGAAAATGTGAAATTATTAGATGAATTCTTTGCAGATGCTTTGGGTCGATTATCTTCAGCTTTGGCAGAGAAGGTCTAAATTGATATTAAGTGTGCTCCATTCATTCCTTTTCAAGATATAAAAATCTAAAAAACCTATGGTGATATGTGGAAACCTCTAGAATAAGAAAGACTTTACTAAATCAAAATTCCTTAAATTGCATCAGATTCCAGGAAGGACTATGTCTTTGAATTAGCACTCCCCCCTTATAGTGAGTAAATCCTCGATGAATAGAGAGTCCCTCAAGTAGTTCAAGTATTTTTGTAATTCAGCAACACATTTTCAAAATAAGTTTACTAAAAGGTTTCATTCTTATAACTTAAATTGTATAACGAAGATGAATAAATTGGAGAGAATGATGCGAATGCAGATGTCACCAGAGAGTTCTTACGGGTTTAAGCCACTGAAGTCATTGATTTAGCAAGAATGAAATGTGAATAATCAAAGAATGAAGAAGCAGAAATGTTATTAGAATAAATGAAATAAAGAATTCTCATAGATTAGAAATATAAAAAAGTCTCTGCATAAGCCATTATTGATATTGATTAAGCTAAAAATGCCAGTAAAAGAAAGAATTATGCTAATTTTGGCATGAAATAAATGTGTTAGATGTCAGTGAATAATTACTAATAAGAAGGGTTGAATGCTCAATTTAATTTTCAAGGATAATAGATTCAATAAGTTAATCAAGGGATGTTTTAAAACAAGAAACAACTAAAGATGGTATAAGAAGTGTAGAAAAGAAAACCTTGATGTTTATATATTTATTATTATTATAAAATTAATAATATACCATCCTCATTAGGTTTGAACGATTTTTAGCTTGGTTAACAAAGCTGATAATTTTTTGTGCAAGTTTTACCAATCCTCTTTGGTTAATAATTTCTTGAAATTATCTCTAATATGTTATTATATTTAATTACAAAATGAAAATTCTTTATTAAGATTAATCGATTTAAGCTGAAACATTTTAAGATTGGATTGCATGAATAACCCAAATCTCTACTTCTTCTAATTTGATCTACAATATAACGAAATTCAATACATTTAAAGCCTCAGCTATTTCTTAATATGAATAACTTTATTTTTAGCCTGATAATTGAATAAATTTTGCTATTCTTGTCTAGGTCAAATATTAGTTAATGTTTAGATCTGATATGGTATATACATTCATACTTATTGATTTAAAATAATTTGCTTCCTTCTCTAGATATTTTTAGACTCCTGATAAGTCTCCAGACAACACCAATTTGATGAGTTAAGCAGCCTAGGTCTTTTCAATTACTTAATAATTTTGACACTAGGTGATTTCACACAATTTTAAGAAGGATTACTTAAGATATCAATTTTAATTGTACATTAATATTTTGAAAGTTTATAAAGGTCTTGATGTATTATTCTTGAGAAGTATTGACGTTTCTCAAAATGTATTCAGAAATTTGTATCACGTATTGTTAACTACAAGTAAGTATGATGTATTACTCTTGGGGATCGATCAAATCGGAAATAGCATTTAATATCTTCAAGACTTCAGCATCACTAAGAGTCCATAAATTCAAGAATTCCTTGATATTTTAAATTATGGGAGATATAATTAATTGCTGTGTATTCCATCGTTTCGCGCATTCAAGTAATTTCAAAAATAGGTTCTACGACAATGGAGCTGAACTCAATGTATTGAATAGCTGTGCCACACTTGTAAATAGGGATGCAGAAATACATTTTTGTTTTAAAAATGGCTTCTTCGTTTATCTACTCAATGTGCTTTAAAAAGAGATCAATAGTAACTTATTATTCCTTAGACTCTAGCTTAGTCATCCAATATTAAATGGCAGAATAGATTGGTTGTAATACTAAAATATGATCTGCTAATTACAAGTTTTATCTGGTGATAAATTGATAATCTCAAGGGTTGATACAATCAAATCTCTGTATTTTTGTTACTCCAATAATTCATCAAAAACTGCACCGAATTCAGCAATTTTATTATGATCACTTGAGTTAAATTTCACAATTTTACTTAGATGAACAATGCTTTTGTAATAATTCCATAGTTTTTTGGCTGCTCAATCCTTAGCCAAGGTATTAGAAATGTAAAGACATGCAAATAAACAATTAATAAATTAATTTTACCACACATAATTACGAAATTCAATTATTTAATTATACAATAATAAAAGTTATATCATCTCTTGCAGGACTGTTCTTCTTCCAAGAGTGAATGGCTTCCATCATTAATTTCTCTCCTGCCTAATCGAGTTCCCCCTTCTCGTAATAAGGAATTACGATATTCATGACCTACAACGATTACATATTACATTCTTACATCCTCATTTGATAGATATTCCCAAACTCCATCAGAAGCAATAACAAGGAACTTGTCATTTTGTTATAAAGTGAATTGAAATACTTCAGGAACACTGCTAACCCCAGCCTGTGCTCCTATTTTATCGCCCATACTCCGAGTCATGGCCAATCCTGGAGCATCTATATACGAAAGCCAAACTCTTTCTGGACCTACACTATTCCCAAAGAAATCTAGGATATTTCATGATTCTCACCTCTTTAGCTTTGGATTCTCCCACCAGCTTAAAGAATTCTTTACTTTTCAGCTTCATCAGATGGTTTATGATCTCTGGTTAATGGAATTGCCCTCCAGCCATTGGAATTTCTACACAAAATAGCTCTGGAATCACCAACATTGGCTGTCCATAACTGATTTTATTGGATCAGAGCTATGACTGTGGTTGATCCAGACAAGGCTGTGTCAAATTCGCTTTAAAGGATCTCTGAATTCGTTAATTCAAAAGCATTTCTAAAGCATTCCTCCATATCAGGGTTTTGAGATTATAATTAGAATTCCAAATAGACTAGGTTTAAATGTAAATCACTTACTTGGTAACCTTTATTTGATAAGATCTGAAACGAAATGTCCATTCACTCCATGTCCATCACAAATCCCAACTAATCCATAATTTTAACTTTCTAAATAATTGCTCATTTTTACCTCTCAATATTTGATGGAAATACAATGGCTGCATCTTGATTGGTCTTTGTCTGTTTATTAACCTAACAGCCAGCCTTGGTTTTATGGACAAATTTCAATCCTTGCCATTACTTTGCTCCTCCCTTCTTTTTACTATAAGAACTGTTCTTTTCAGGGCTTTCTGAAATTCTTTATTCAGGAGTAAACGAAGTTTTCTTCTACTTCTGTTTGGGCTTCTGGTCTTCGTCCCTTGGAGTTTGGTTGAATTGAATGTCATATTTGGATTTGGATATATCATTTTTACTTTCGAGTTTGGGTAAGCGATTGGGAATTCTTAACCCATTGCCTTGATTCAGAATGGATACAGGTTGTGCAACTAGATGAAATTGAGCAATTACTATTCTCTACTGGATTAAATTCTGTTTTTCGAAATTTAGTTAATGAGGGTAATGAGATCTTATGAATTCTCGAATCAGTCTCATCAGCTGTGACTTTATAGCGTTATTAGAGAAGAGGCTTCTAAGTTCTTTCCTATTTCAATTAATTTACCTATGCAATTCCATTTAATTTTCGCCTTAAGGATGTCTTGGTGGTCTTAACGAACTAAAATCTAATATAACAATAATCTATAATTGGGATCATTAATAGAGGAGTATAAATATATTGAGGGGTAGAGTGTTAGTACCTATTTGTGATGCCTGCCTGGTTTTAAAATCAAATTAATGTTATTAGTTTTAAGTTAACATAAATAATATAATAATTATAAAATGAGAGTTTCAGAGAGTGTAGGTCAAAAATTAAGGAGAGTAAACATTGATTATTCGTAATTCGAACTGCCAGAGAATTCTTTCGATTACTACTTGAAACCTGTGAAACCTAAGTTGAATTATAGCAAGCTCTTGCCTAAACAATAATCTCCGCACAGAGAAATCCCACATACCATCTCATGTAGAATCAGACCCCAAATCAGTAATCAAGCATACAATGACGTTATCAATTAAACGAGTTTAAAAACTCTTCCTATTCGACAACTGATTCCTCATAATAATAATAATCGTTCCTTTGTTTTAAAACATAAGAAGCCAAGCATCGAAGCACGTTATAAATAGATAATGGTACATTTCAAATCAAGCAATAGGAATATAATGTCGAAGAACAATTCGTGGAATTGAGAAGATTAATGACTCGATAGAAAAAATCATCTAGCCTTGGAAAAAGGGTTAAATTTTTATAATGATTCTTTTATTTATTTAATATTATTAATGTCTCTCATTGATCAATTATGTCAAAATATACTAGAATTCAGAGGCACAATGATTGAGGCTCAGGACTTGGTGAAAGCATTTTTGGCAGATATTATGATCAAAATATTTGGAGTAGAATAGAGACTACAACAGCAAGTCTTTAGAAATTGCAATAAGAGTTGGAAAGTCGTCGAATAAAACTTACTCAGCTATTTCTAAAGTAAATTGTCTTAGCTAATCTCAAGATTCTCCCATCCCAATTTAAACTCTTTTTAACGAAAACAAATATAAAAATGAAGGTTTCATAAGCAGTGACGACGAGGAAACCATTAAGCATAGCAAAAGAGTAGTTGTCAAGAGAACCAAATCAATAATAAGAGAAGCACAATAAAATGATAATTTCAAAGACGAGTAAATTCGAATAAGAGATTAGGTTATCCAAGATATAACTATCGGGTATTATAAAGATATTTAGCATCTTAAAGAAATGTTCCTAAGGAAGGAACGCCAATAAGATGATGATATTATAGATGCCACATACTATGACATTACTAAGTCATTTCCAGCCGAAGTACAAGTCTACTTGTAATCTAAATTGAAAGAAATGTCACAACAAGCAAGATCACAGCAAACTAAATTGCAAACCTAAATTAATTAACAACAGACTGAAATTGAGAAACTCAAAAAAACCATTTCTTAATTAGTTTCATAGGCTGACATTGTTTAACAAATTAAAGCTATTCTAATAATAGATAGAGATCTGAATCGGTTCTGGAGGGGAATATAAGATGTGATTGGTAATAAATAAATATTTGAAATTTTTGAAAAGAGGCAGGCTGGCTATGGAATCGATTACAAACAAATAGACGAATTAATAAACCAATCTTAAGCATCTTATCGAGTGTTTTCAGATTATAAAAATAAGATTGATGGTAACAAAGGTTATTATTTAAAATAGAATAATACCTGTTATTTACAGCTTAAGTAGATAAGGAATTGTAATTGCTACGAAGTCAAGTTAAAATATTAACTGATAAATAGAATGGATAAGAAGCAGAAAAACAAAAGGATTTTGTTTAAATTAGACAAACTCTGAAGTCTGGTATAGAATATATTTATGAAATGAAAGAAGAAGCTAGTATTTAACTTATTTAATATCCATAGTAAAAGCCAATTTTGTCTAAAAATTAGAGCAATATGCTGAATCCATTTTGCAAAAAGATACGCTATCCTAAGTTAAAAGATGCATTAAGGGTCACGCTCTTTATAAATGGATGTATTTAGCCAGATGTGAGAAAATGTAAAAACATAAAGTTCTCAGAAAATCTTAATCTGGATCTATTAATATTTTTGATGTTTCTTGTAATCCAAGAGGATTGCTAGATAAAAGAACTGATGATATCAAAAAGTAAATATAATTATTGGAGTGTAATCTCTCTGAGGAATAATTACAATCTCAACAATTGAATGTTGAATTAAATTAGATGAAGGCCAAACATTAATCTATCTTAATGAATTATGAGATGTAACTTCATAAGTATCTGTATCTGGAATAGCGCACACTTTATTTAGAAAATCAAAATAAATATTTTGAAAGAATATTCTCCCTTTTAATGAGAAGAATGGGATATCCTTAATTTGAAGTCAATGAAAGAAATATCCATATTATATTAGAAAAGGCTGATTCTCAAATAAAATAGTTTTAGAATAAAATTAATCAGATTCAAAACAAAGACATTGAGGATATCCATGAATTGACTTCCTAACTTATAAAAAAAACAATCATCAGAAATAAATTTAATTAATATAATAAATCTACATCATATTGTCAGACTGATATATTTGATGTTTCTATGAAAATTGAAGATTGTATAAAAATGATTGAATAAAATCAATTTAAATTACTCTAAATGCAAGAGTAATTAAGGTTATAGGCGGAATAAGAATACTAAAAAGAATAAGAATAGTTACAATAGAATAATGATGACATACCGAATATCCTATTATCCGATAATGAAGAAGAACCAAAAGAGCAGAAACTTGCGAACAAGATTAGTCAGGAAAGATCAACTGAAATGGATCCTAATTACATGAACTAATCTGATTTTGACACCAAAATGTTAAATCCTCCTAAAACTGCAGACAATAAATAAAGAGGTTAATAACAATTTACATTTATATCCAAAAAGAAAACCATTAGTCTATCAACGAAGAATAAAGAAATTTAAACAGAGATTTAAGTTGATTGCAGAGCCAATTTAGTTAATAAAATATTCATTAATGAGTAAATATATGCAATTTATCTTTAGTTTAGATGAATTTAAAAAGAATGTTAAAGAAAAGCCCATGTTTAAAGAAATGAAAAAGGCACCGTAATAATCAAGACCTGAGTTACAGAATACATTTGCAACTTTAATATCTTAACATAATGTCAATAAGAATAGAAAATAGAATAATATATTTTTAAACTCAATTAATCATAAACCAATACAAATAAATTGCTAACACAAATTAAAAACCGAACCATCAGGTCTTGAAATTGACTAGAATGTAACCTTTACTAATGATAGAATCAAAGTTGTTTATACACCCAGCAAAAAGAAAGTAAGAAGTGTTAGTAAAAATGTTTGATTAAATATTACTTTATTTAATGTATAGAATTATTTTAGCATTAAAGTGTTTACTCTGGTTTCTAGGAAAATGGGAAGTAGATTTGACTTGGCTGCCTTACTTCTCAAATCCATATACATAATATAATAACATTAGGGAAGCAAAATATCTTTTGGCGAATAACTACAATCCATATAATACAGATGGCATATTTTAGAAGCCCTTAGTTGTTTATGGATTAATTTTGATTGATAACGATCACATATTTCTGATAGTCGATATTTTGATAAGCTTTTTGATTGTGCAATTATTTGGGGCAAAGTAAGGATATAGGAAATCTATTTTGCTATTTTACCATTTGAATCCAATTACTGTAATAATAATTGATATTGTAGTTTGCAAACATTATATTAAAGAATACAAACGCATTCGATCACTTATTATTGTTGTCGACTATATATGCAGCACTAAAAATTAGATTTCTTTCCCCAATATTATTTGGATTTTTACTATATTTAAATCCATAATATTTTATTGTATTAGCAGCAATTTCTGTAATCTTCAGAAGAGAAACCTCTACCACCCTAAAATTTGCACTTAAATTGATAGCATTTCTATTAGTAAGTGTTGTGACTGTTGGTTGTTTATTATATGTTTCATACCGAATAACTGGAGATTGGTAATTTATTGAAAAAACCTATATTGATTATTACTTCCCTAAAGATCATAGACCAACAATAGGATTTTTGTGGGCATTATTTTCAGGGGTATATTTATTCTCATATTTTTTAGTTATTCTCAAAGTATAAGTCTTTATATCATGCATTTTTTATGTTGTTACCTTCGTGCTATATTCTACCTTTGTATAATTTATTTGTGAAATATGCTAAGAGAGAGAAAGAGTATCTTGGATTTATGATTGGAGTTTCTTTGTTTGTAATTATTGATATTAGCATTTTAGTGCAGTTTCTTGTACTTTCAGTATATTGCCATATCAGATTTGGTCATAATCTTTATACTTCTATTCTAAAGATATGATTGGCTATTCAATTCATTACCAACGATAGTTATTGTTCATGCAGGATGCTTAATATTATTCTTAGGAGGTGGCTTATAACTAACATGGACTCATTCCTTTACAGGAAATCCAAATTTCACATTCTTTTAAGTTTTTGTGTCATATGTTTTTTATGTAATCTTAGTTTCTGAAGGAGTGAGAGAAATGTTGAAGTTTAGAACAATATAAAAGAAAGAAGAGAGAGAGAAAGTTAAATAAAATGGAGAGCATTAACCTTCAAAGGAAGAGGATGATTAAATTGGTAAAAAAAAAGTGAAAGGAGATTGAACTAAAAGGCAAGGTTGATCATTATTGTTTTATTAATTTATAACATTCAAGACTGCAAGCTTTCTATTACATTTTTGGAATACGATATCTAGCTAGATTAGAGCAAATTGAGCAATATTTATCATCTTCAACTATCATTTTCGATGGATTCGATAAAGGTGAGTTCATATTTTTTGGCATTATTATAAATGTGCCTTCGCTATTTGATTTATATTTGATTATAATATCATCTGGAGGTAGAGATCTATATTTATGAGTATCCTCTGTTTTTTTGTCTTCTTATTATTGTCTTTGCTTTTGTTTTCTACCTATCTCATTCAAGATTTTATCAACAGTCATTTACTTTTGCTCTTCTTATTGCTTCTGTAATTTCTCTTTTCTTTGTAGTTCTTTCTGACTTTTGTAAATCATCTCTTCCTCTGTGAAAGCCAACTCTTTTTTTGATTTATTTTTCTTGGAAGGCAATTATAAGAACTCGCTTCCTTCCAAACTCGCCAAACTATACATATGCATTTGTCTTTTAGTAAATTTCTTGTCTTTTGAAGAGACAGACAAATTAACATCATTTTCAAGATCCATTTCTTCTTCAAACTCATCATCAGGTGCATCATCATCTCCATTAGAGATTTCATCTTCTATTGACTCCTCCATTACAGGCGACTTCTATTTAGGAGGTCTACCACGGCCTCTTTTTTCCATAACAAGAGATGCCTTCAACTTAATCTTGTTGCTTTCGAATAGATTATGATATCGATCTATCATCTCATCTGAAGGTCTTTCAGCTTCTAACTCATTTAAAATATCATTGTTAAAAACTATTTGCACCTTAAATTCTTTTGGCAGACAAATTTTCATTTTATAATATATTAAATTATTTTAGCAATCATGAGAGTAATTGTAATAAAATCTCTTGTTGCATATATTATTTGGTACTTTATAGAAAATAATTTCAGATTCAATTACAATAGATTTTGAAATTGCATAATTGAGTTGAAAAAGAATTCCTGTCATGCAAGATATATGACAATTGTTTTAGATCCAATATACTCAACAAAAAAAAGGTAGAATTATCTACCAATAATATATTTTATTTTACTAAGTAGAATTAGATATATTAACGTATTTTTGTTTATTATTCCATTTATTACTATGTAATTTATAATATTCTATTTATCAATTATAATACTTAAATGGATAATAATAATGAATTAAATTATTGAATATCTTAGCTTTGCAAAATTATGTAAAATAATATATCTAATTAATAATTCATATAGACATAGAATAATAAAAATATCATTAAAATGGTCCAATTCTTTATCCATATAATTACATTTAAGTGCATCTCACCATAAACACAACTTCTATTAGTGTTTGCTACAAATTTCCAGTCACTTGTTTTACCTAAGTCTATGTTAAAGTTCTTAACAAATAATGGATTAGGATTAGATATCACATCATCGTTACATGATAAGCCATCCAAGTATTATTTTAGTAAAGATTACAGATAATTGCTCTCATTTATAAGGCTTCTTTTTGTTTCTGAATTGCTCAGATATCCAACAAAACCTTAAATTGAATGCCATTTATATACCTTGTTGTATCTCTTATAGACATCATTTAAATAAGCAAATTCTTCATATTATTCTTTTCTATGACTTCAAAGTCATTCTTAATTTTTCTGGGATTTGATGCATATCTATTGTGTCCTCATAAAATGGCAATACTTTCTCACTTTAAGTTTCCAATCGACTATTATATACTAATTCTTTCAATAATCTTTGTTATTCTTCCCTAAATTTATTCATTTTCAATTGTAAATCTTAGTAATTTTTGGCTATATTTTCTTTTTCTTTTCTTCAACCCTAATTCCTTGCATTACATTCTTTAGTATGTTATAAGATTTTATATTTGTTAAATCGATCTTTGCATTTTTGCTGTCTATAGATCGAACCAATCTCTCTATCTTTTTTTTTTTTTGACATATCTTTATTGGCAACATAATAATTAGAGTTATCTTCAGTTTTCTTTGCAGTATCAGTTTGAAATTTTTAATGCATCTACTCTAAATCATAATAAAATTTAGTTTGTTTATCTTCTAATTATTATTATTTTATCAAACTCGTTTTTTCTACATCCTTATTTTTTGTCTCTTCTTATTAGTTTAATGTTAATTCTTAGCAACTCTGCCTTTCTCTTCTCCTCCACTTCAACTGTTTTAATCATTTGTTCCAACTCTTTAACTTGCTATTCATGAGTCTTAGTCATATCATCAAATTCAATTTAAAATTCTTCTTAAAGTATTTTGATGTCTCTTTCAAACTCGTCCAATAAAGCCCTATATCTACTCTCCTATAAGAAATGGAAGTTCTCCAAATCAATAAGATGGTTCCTTTATGCAATTTGATATTGATCTTCTGCTTCATCTAGATTCTTATCAAGCATTTGAATGAAGACTTCTTTTGAATCTAATTCTCTTTTATTGTTTTGCTAGTATAATTCAGTATCTTATTTCAATTGTTGTGTTTTGACAGCTCTCATAGTCCTTCTACAATAAGCCATTAGTTTCTTCTTATTGAAATTAACAATCTTTGCTACTCTCTAATTTTACTTCGTAGTTACTCTTTTTTAAACTATATAAATGTAAATAATATTACCTGGGCCTATTTTTGACTCTCTTCGAATTCCTGTAAGGGTATAGTTACCTGTCTTATTTTGATATTTTCCTTCTACTCAGTTCCTCCAGACTTGGTTGTTATTCCTTTTAATGTTTTACCCAATAATGCCATTTTATAAAAATAATAAGAAAAAAATAGTTTAACATAATAGCAATTCACCTTTTCGGAATAGGACTTCCCTTATAAAATGTTCTAAAGCAAGTTTAATCCTAATCCATAGACTTCTTCCTATCTTGATTTCTAGATTTCCTTTCAAATCTACTGTAATAGTCACCCATTATATAATTTCTACTAACAGGAGTCTTCAATTTCAAAATCTTAACATCATTAGATTATTATAATAAACTCGTTTCCAAAAGAGTAGTCTTCTAAAAATCCCTCATGTCCTTCCTCTTCACATCAACGGACTGATTCATAATGGTTGGAGACTACTATTATTAGATTGTGTTATGAGTATTGACTGAAATATTTAATCTAGGTTTTGTATCTACAGGAGAATCATCTCTTTATTGGGTGTGTCTTGCTATGATAATTACCAATGTATATAAGTACATTTTCGTTATATCAAGGGCAATGGATTGATTTAATTGATGTACTTTCTATCAGTATGTGTTGATTACCTAATCGATATTCTTTGAGGTTCAAATTATTCAGAGTTTATGTCTATAAGTTTGATACATAACACAATTACCTGCGATTGACTTATTGCCTGCTTATATATGTTTTTTCAATAACAGATAATATGTGGTTGTCACATGATTATGTCGATTTGTTTCAACACATTTTTCAGCATAATCATTTTAGATTCCATATTGAATCATTTATTTAACTATTTCAGGATCTATTGGAATTCGATGTTAAGCAACAATGAGGCCAGTTGGTATTTTTTAATTGTCTTAATTAAACTTTATAAGATTGAATTTATACAAAAACTAAACCAACAGTGTTTACGAATTTCTGCAATGGTATACCTTTTCTGGGGATCGACATTCAATATATTCTTGATTAGATCCTTAGCCTCTCCTGAAATGTACTTGGGAAACTTAAAATCTCCAGATATTATTTTCTTGTATAACTAAGATGTATTGGGATCTTCAAAAGGAAGATACCCAGCCAACATGGCAAATAGGATGACACCTGAACTCCAGATGTCGACTTATAGGCCACTGTACTTTTTGCCAGCAATCATTTCTGGAGCAGCATAACAAGGTGATCCACATGCTGTCTTTAATAATTCATCAGTTGAATAAAAATTGGATAAGCCGAAGTCGATGATTTTAATTTTGCCTCTCCCTTCTAGAATCAGATTCTCAGGCTTGAGATCTCTATGAACAATTTGGAGTTTGTGGAGATATTCGATGCCTGAAATTAATTAACTGTAAAATCTGATTGCTTCGACATCTTTAATGCGTTGGTTTTGGACGATATAGTCAAAGAGTTCTCCTCCGTTTACATATTCCATAACTAGAAACAACTATTTGGGCGTCTCTATTATCTGGTAAGAACTCAAAAATATTACCTCATACAATTAGACTAAGTTTGGATGGCGCACCTTCTTCAATATTTGTATCTCCTTCGTTACGCGTTCAATATCGGATTGATCGCAGATCTTCTACTTTTCTAGTATCTTAATTGCAACTTTCTCTCCGGTCAGAATGTGGGTTGCCAATTTCACTTTTCCAAAGGTTCCCTGTCCCAAAGTCTTGCCTTTGCATAATCAAATACGAGAAATACTAAAAATATATTGTCCGATTGACTAATTCTTCGGCAATTCATTTGACATTTTTTATAGGTTTAATATTATTGAGTTTCCCCCCCATAATATATATTTAAATTAAATGAATTTTCATTTCCCTGGCACCTACTCAGAATTGCGCGAACACCATTTCTCTGACAGGTACAGAGTAAGATCGAAAAATTAAGTGAGCCATATGGATGAAAGACTCATTTTGATGCGCATCAATTAATTCGAAGATGGCTTCAATCAACTCACAACATTGATCGAAGACCCTCAATATTTTGATTTCCTCTACTATTTGGTCGAGTAATCATATGAACTAACACTAGACATCTAGATGCACATCCAAATCAAAAAGTGTAATTACAATTGGTTGAGATCCTTTCGTTTCAAATTCAAAAGTTAAGTCCCAATCACCCATAGGCATTTAAAATGACTCTCTTCTTATTACTCAATTTATTGCAATAGAAGCAAATCCAAGGCCAATAGGTCAGAAGAGCATTGAAGACGATCTAATAATTGTTTAATGCGAATGCCTTCCAAGATCTCGGCAGAGAAGGCAGCAGATACATATTTGATTTAGTTAAGATGGCAATTGAAATCAAGGATGCATAGATACGAGAAGTTTGGATTGACATCTTGGTTCAAGCAATTGCAATGTGGCCATCCTACGATATGAACCTCAAAAACAGGATTGTTCATTTGATGTACGAATAGGAAAGTGTTGTGACCAACATCTCTAAATTTCTACTAGGATGCAGCAAGAATGATAGGTTGAAGCAGTACACTGTCGATCAAATTATTCTACTTGTCAATTACATTACTGAAAAGTCTACCAATCAAACCGAGAGTTTGGCTGTTAAAAATCTAAGAGAACTTCTATCTTAAACATCAAAGGAAATGCCCAAGGTGTATTATCAATAACTATCGGCTTTCATTGGCCTATATGACAATGAGAATTATCATATTAGGAATGGATTATCTGAATTGATAACAAATGTCATTGAGTATCTCATCAAGGAATCCAAAGAGCAAGATAGCGATGAATTGTAGTTATCAAATGCCAATAACCTAATTAAATAACTTGTAGACAGACACATGGATAAAACAGCTTTATGTAGATCAAATGTACTCTAATGTTTGTCCCAACTCCTGAATTCAAACTGTGTGCCAAAACAACATCTACAAACCATATTTGCAATCTCCTCCTCTAGATTACGAGATATCTCTGGCTATGTGAGAAAGTCCTCTTTGCAATTGCTCAAATCTATAGTGCGTTATTATAGGTTCTTGTATGTTCAGAGTCAGGGAAGATAAAATTTCTGGTCTTAAGTGGAAGTAGAAGAACAAATAAGTAGGAATAGAGAAGAGTTACAAAATATACATAAGGATTTCGAAGTAGTGGATAAATAGTTTTAAAATGGAGAAATCACATAAGAAGTTGTGAATGAGACAATAAAGTTTATTAAAAAGAAAGCTTAGGAGACTATTAAAATCTAAGAATATTTAGAAGAGTATTAAAAGTTTTTGGAAGGCATGAAAACAGTAATTACACAAGTATTATAACTATGCCAGAGTAAAAATTAAGCAGATGTCATTCATTCTATAAAACTCTTCTCCTATTTGTAAAAGTACAATTATGAGGCTGCTAATTAGGGATTGCGCAGAATGATCTTATTAGTGTGGTCATAAGATAAATCTATATCATAGGAAGTAATCAAAAAGTTTTGGAAATTATTTTTAAGAGATACCAAAAAGACTAGACAAATTGTTCTTTCATTAATTGATCTAATCAGTAAATCAAATTTGAAGGAATTGATTTCCTTGGAAAAGATTATACTGTCTTATGAAACTGAATAGGTGCCTAATTATAAATTTCCATCCAAAATTTTCCATGTTCTTTGGGAATACTTTGGCAGTCAAGAAGTTGATTAACGTTCTATGTTAATTTTTGTTAGGGTCCTATTAACTAGAAATTCTTCATATCTCAATCTAGAAAAGGTAGCCTAAATTTATAATCTATTGCAAAAGTACAACAAGAAAGATCCTGATTGGATCATTATTAAAGAACTTGCCACCATTTTATCTAAATTGGATAGAAGTCAAAATAAGAATCAAATAAACTTCAATAAGTCTATCGATTTATTGATAATTTTACTCATTAAATACTAGAATTCATAAGATATGAATTATTTTAGTGCTTGTGATTCGATTATACAATTGGTCCCAAATGCAGACAACCCTGAATTAATTTTTGAAACTCTCTTATAGGATTTAGGATTTAAATCAAATAAAATGGACTTGGAAGTGGAAGAACAAAAAAAAATGGAAGAATTACACCTAGCACATGCAATCCATATAGCAGGTTCAGTGTCATTACAATTACTCATTTTCATTGATGCAACACATAATTCATTAAAGAATTTGAAGAATGAGAGGGAGAAACAAATTGGAAAAGAATAAGAAATAGATAAAATTCAAGGAGGAATAGAAGGCGAATTTGAAAAATTGCATGGCATAGTTGATCAAATTCAAGATTTAAAACTAATCCAATAGAATTTACTCTCAGTTTTTTCTCCAATGGTCAAATAAATACTGGAGGAGTGTCTAAATTAAATGGAGACTGAAGAGACATCAACACGATAATAACCTCCAATAGTGCAAGTGAGTTTAATCACAATGTGTAAATTTATGTGTTTATCTGAAAACTACTGCAGAGAGAACATACAGATGTTGTTCAATATAATGAAGTAAAAATGTATTAGTATTTAGATCTCCTCTTATTGATCAGGTGATGAAGAACAATGTAATTATTAGTATTGGTGATTTATTACATAGATGGCCTAACACAATTCAAAAGTTCCACAAATAAATTTACTCTAATTTATCAGATACTAGTGCTGCAGTTCGACGAGTAACATTACTTGTTTTGACCCATTTGATATTAAACGATATGGTGAAGAGTAAAACATCCTTGTCTCATATTCCCATTTTATTGAATGATCCTCATCCTTAAATACCTGCTATGGCAAGATACTTTTTGAATGAATTATAAAAAAAGGAATAAAGAGCCATAACAAATGCCATTCCGGATATCATTTCAAATGTCCAAGATCAGAATGAGAATGTTCTATCACAAATCTCTTAATATATTGATAAATCATAAATTGAGTCTATTGTTGATAAATTAATCACTATCTTGGGAACTAGCACAAGTAATGAATGAATTCAATACATAATTAGATTAATACGAGATTAAGAATATATCGATACTGTTTAATCACATCAATTTAACTTAGAACTCTCTATAGAAACTTTTGGATGGTTGGGAAGAATACAGAGAAAGATTAAGAGATCAATTCGTGTTCAATTAATTTATCACTTTAATTAAGAAGGTAGTATTGTTATATCTATAATTTAGTTGAAAAGGACTTTGCCTCAAGATGCCAAGCCTTTGATTGAGGAGTATGAAATGAAGGTGGAGCATCATGACAAGGAAACATTTGAAAATAGGAGAAGAGAAAAAACAACCAAGAAAAAGAATGTTAAACAAACATAAAATGACAATAATAATGATAAGGAATAAAAAGAAAATAAAGGTGGAAATAAACTACAACTACAATAACAATAGTAATAGAAAAAGAAGCCGAAGAAGAAGAGAGAGGATGATTTCATGGAATTGGAATCAGATTCAGATGAGATGAGTTCTGAGTCATTGGTAATTAAGAAACAAACAAGTCAACGAAGAAAAAAAAATACAACAAAAAATGAAGATGAATGATTTTTTACACACATTTTATAATAGTTTATCAAACCCATTAATATTAATTAAAACAATGGAATAAGCTTCTAATTATTTTTTCAATTGCCCTTAAAAATAACATAAGGCCTTTTGGGATAGAAATTTTCATATATTGTTAAATCAGCATGAAAATTTCTAATTTTCAAATGATAACTGCACTACTTTCTATAAAAAGGGGAAGATATTTAAAAAATGGATACCAAGACTATATTCTGTGTAAGGAAATTATTTATTGTATGGAGACACTGTAAAAATATGATTTTATTCAGAAAATGAAAGGGTTCAGGAAATTAGATTGCGTATACTTGCATTACAGCTTACTAGACAACAACTATAGATATCAATTGCAACTGATATATTGCGGATTTATTCTAGACCTCTATACTGATCAAAAGAAAGATTACGACGATTTCAAAGAGATACTCTAACAGCATTGCATTTTAACAGATTTTCATACGTAATTTAGTTTAATGAAACAAATTGGATTTGGTTCGAGTGCCTAAGTAATTTAAAATAAGTCAATAGTCTTTAGGTTTACATAGCCAAAAGCAATTACAATAAGTAGTACTATGCTATCAAGAGAGTCTAGAAAAACTATTCAATTTAATAGAAGAAGTTGGAACAAGAGCAGTCTCTAAAGAATGAAATCCAGATAATGAAAGAACTTAATCATCCGAACATTATATCTTTTCATCAGGTGTTTGAGACTAATAGTAATTAATTAAATAATAAACAAATTAGAACATATCAATCTTGTTTTGGAATTAATTTAAGGAGGGGAATTACTCAAACAGGGATAATATAAAAGTATTCGAGATGCTAGGATGGTTGCCCGTTAATTGGCTTTATGTGTTGATTATATGCACTAAAAAGGGATTATGCATCGAGATTTGAAGCCTCAGAATATTTTATGTAAATCTAACACATCCGAAGTTTTGATAGCTGATTTTGGTTTGGCAACCTACATAAAGGACTAAAAATAATTATATTACAGATGTGGAACAACTGGATATGTTGCTCCTGAGATCTTGATGTATAAGGAGGGATCGAAGATGTACAATGAAAAATGTGATATCTTCAGTCTTGGTGTCATTTATTATTAACTGTATTAATTTTATCAACCTTAAATTTAAGAATTTATAATACTCATCCGTTTAAAGATACTTAGAAAGCAGGGATACTAAAGAAGAATATGGCAGTCGAATACAAGTTCGAAGATTCAATCAAAGTTCCTTAGAGTTGCAAGGATTTAATAGCTTAGATGTTAAGATTAAATCCAAAGCAAAGACCCACAGCATCTCAAATATTGAGACATGATTTCTTCAATGAATCTTTGAATGAACTTTCTTATCCGAGTCTAATCAGTTCAATTTAGGAGTATTTAATTATTGATAAATTGATCAGTTTAAGTGAACAAAAGAAATCTGGATAGTCTTTTAATTCATAGATCTGTGAATTGAAGTTATCAACATTTCAGAAAAATGGTCAAACTGTTTTTGAGAAAATCCCTTTATTGGGATACTATGAAATGTCCAACAATCACGAGTTAAAAGAGAGATCTCCAATTTGGAATAAGAGGATCGAATTATAGAGACCAGCCAGTTAGCCAAGATCTAAGGCCCAATCTCTTAACACGTAGAAGAATCCAGAGATCAGGGGCAACAAGGTCTCTATATTTCGACAACAATCTAAGAATTCAGAAAATGATCTAGATTAATCTCATCAATATCCATATACAAGCTTAATCAACAGATGTAAAATAAAGAATAAATGAATTTTAATACTATTTTAATAATATTATTCATGGCAAATCACATAATTCTTCTTGTTTGTAAAGATCCCAAAGCCTATTTTTGATCTTAGTGAAGTTATGGCAACATAATTGCAAAGTCGAATAAATGTCTTCATTATTTTAAAATATAATCTTATACAACGACTCTCGACTAAACATTTGAATAGTTACATACCTTCCAACAACCAGCATGCCTGTTCTAGCTGCAAATCTAACAGCAAATGGATGATGAGGAGCCAAAGCAATATTGTAGGCCTCAGCACAAATAGAACCCAAACTGTCATTAGGTTTGTTGAGGAGCTTTTCCAATAGAACTGCCACATAATCCAAAAACCACATCAATCTCAATACAGTTCGAGCAGTTGATTCATAGTCTGTATATGCATCCAATTCAGTGCCTTTAAGATGATCACAATTTTCTCCATTGTATTTAGCTACATCTAGAAATAGGTTGGTTGTTTAATACCCATATTCTTTTCCAGCAAGATATATTAAATGAGGGATACGTGCACATGTTTAAAGTTCCTCTCATTCCTTTCAATTATATTACATTTGGAAATGATGTCCTGAAATGCTGTTTTTAGTATTCCTCCCATTTGCATGAAAATCTGTATAATACATATATAATAACTTTTGTTGTTTCTCGACACAGCTCAAGAAAGTTGAAGTGATATTAAAAGTATTATAAATCATAGATTATGGCATCTTATAGCCATAGAAATTTTTACAGATTGAACTAATCTTCTAATTAATTCATATTATTTCGATTTCATCTTTTATTGTGACGATATCAAAAGAATTTTAAATTAATATATGAATCATTCAGATGGTGCTCAATCCCCTCCCTTATTTGGTATGTATCCGTTACCCTATTGGCCAACAAGTTCGCAATTATTATTGATGATGAACTTTCAAAATCCTTTGATGAGTCCCATTCACAATCTAGGTTCTCCAATTTTAACTTCCAACATTAATTTTCCTCAGCCAACTATCAACTTTGATATCAAATGCGATCAATGTAACAACTTTTCAAAATATCTCTATAGCATAAATTATAAAGGATGCATCCCAAGTTAAACAGCCCTAACAATACTTCAGTCAAATATAAACTATACAGTAATAAATTGAAGAAATGAATTATGATGATATCACCCTGGAAAATCTAGAGCAAATGATCCATTTACTATTTGCAGATTCTTCCAAAATAAAAAAGATCATGTAAAAACTGAAAGAAAAAAAATGTGCTAAGGTAATCAAGATCTTAGACACTTTGACCAAAAAAATCAGATCGCAACAAAAGAGTAGAGAAGAATTAATCAAATTTTGTTTGAGAAAAGCATTCAGAGAGATTTTCCATCAAATCCAAGAGAAAAATACAAAATCAAGTAATTAGATATCTTTAAATTTTAGAACTGAACCTCAAAGCTGCCTCTAAACTCTTCTAGCAATCTTTTCAAGCAGAAAAATCAAAATAGATATCCTTGCCCTTCAGAAAAAATAGCAAAATTAAGACCATGAACAATCAATTTTTGCATGAATTATTCCAATCCAAATAATTTATAGATTAGTACAAGACCTTTTTAGGTATTATTCTAATCTCTATTCTCAGATAATCTTGATGCCATCATAGAAAACGATAGAAATAAAAAAATTAAAGCCTTGGCAGAAAAATCATGGGAATTCATCTCATCCAACAAAAAAGTAAAGAGTTGCATTATAATAACTTATAGTCTTATACTGTCAAAAGGTTGCCATGGTCTCTTAAGAATATAGAAAAACTCAAGGAGACAGCCAATGAGTTGCTAAACTACTGCGATGAATAATAAAAATTGTGAATTTAATATTATTAAATCAAAATTTATAAATTAGGAATTTTTCAAGTCCCATTTAATTTTCACCAAATAAACCCTTTTTGCCTTGAAAATTGAGCTCCCACATCACTTCAACAATTCTCATGGTTTTCATACTGGTATTTTTTATTTGAGATTTATATTGATTTAAATAAGTCACTTTCAAGTTACTTAATAATAAAACAATAATATACAGATTTATATTATTTATATATATTAAATATTCATATAATTTAATTATATTACTGTTGCCCTTGACTGGATTTGTTGTAGCTTGATGTTTATTATTGTTCTCGTACAGACACTAATTTGTACCCCTTTCCACTTTTTATGGCCTCTATAATGGCTTGAGTCATTGCAATATCTTCTACATTGCTCTAATGTTTAAAATTTAAAGTGTTATATTTTTGTCTTAACTGCTATAGCTCTTATTCCTTAAATTTAGTGGCTTCGTCAGTAGGATCCTATCGATAGATCATAAGATTGAGCTTATTTCTTAAATCTATACTGGTCTTTTGTTTTACCTTGACTTGGCTTTCTAATTGCAAAATTTCTTATTTAGCTTATTCAACCTAGTTTAATTTTATAGGAGAGTACTTTGAATGAATCTTCAGTGCTTTTCTTGACTTGAGACCCGGTTCTTTGATGTTACAGACTACCTTACTTTTGAAGACTAATCTAATTCATCAATTCATAAACTCTCTCTTAAAGTTCATAAACCTTGTACCTCCAATACATTTCAATCTACTCTTAAGCTGTGTATTATTATTCTTAGATTGTAGTCTCTTTGATAATATTTTATGGTATGGTGACCTAATAATTTTACACTTATGGTATATATTAGACTTACGGTTATTATATCATTTAAGGAATGAGTTGAGATTGTTGAACGTTAAGTTGTATATTTTGGACTGGAGACTATTAAAATTATTGGGTTGTCGTAGAAATAATTTATTATTAGTTTTAGGGTACATTTAATTAGATATTCTGAATTGGAGATTGTTGAAGCTATTGAGATTAAATGAAATTATTTTTGGGAGGGGTATTAATGAGTTGTGAAAAGTTTTAAACAGTTGTGGTGTTTCTTGAAGTCAAGGGTTAACCAACAGTTTAAGAAACTATTACTTCAGGTGTTTAGTAAACAACTAATCAATTAAAAGCATACGATACCATTATTTTGTGTGGTAGTGGTGACTTCTTAACCATGCAAACCATGTTGACATAAATAACATTGTTCTTCATATTTTCCAGAATAAAAGGTTGAAATTTATTACGAGTTGTGAAGTTATGCTTTTTAAACAACTTACTATTCAATAGGTATTTAATAAGTTTATCTTGTCTCATATTCAATTGGTTTAGGTTGATTATGTTAAATTTCTTAAGATTATATGAGAGTTGGGCTATTTTTAATTTAATTTGTTTGTGATATATTTCTCTGTGGAGTAGTGACTTAGACATTTCTTTGATTGGTTTGAGAAATTCCTCTTTTTACAGGTATAGGTTAACCAACAGTTTGAGCAACCAATACTTCAGGCGTTGAATAAACAACTATTACAATAATTTATGATATAAGTACCGACAGGTTCACCTACAATGATTCCTGTTGAATGAGTCTGCTGTTCTACGCCATGTAAACCATGTTGACAAAGATAGCACTGTTATTCAAATTTGGGTGAATAGAATGTAGCTATTGCTTCCTAATTAGTTGACATATTAGACTTATGAAATAAAAAGAAATAAATTTTATCAAAATAATTAACTTAATTTTAAAGGAGGTTTTAAGGCAGAATGAAAGGTAAGCTATTAAAAACTAAAACTTATTGGCTTGAAATTTTGGTAAGAAAAGTATGTTAGTTTCTTTTTATTCATTTTTTAATTATTAAATATTAAGTTAAAATATTTGAAAATGAGAAACGTTACCTATAAATAGTGGGGTCATTGAGAATTTTAATGTTGAAATCTATAATTTTAGTATAAGAATGCAAAAACATGTTTTTGTTATGAATTAAAAAACAGAAAATGAATACATTTGAACAATATTAATTATATATTCGTTTTTAATGCCAAATATCTACTTCGCTTTAGGGTTGTTCCTAATTGTGTGCAATCTGGATCTTGGAGTAACTCAATGGTTACCTACATATGAGGCATTCAGAGATGAAAAAATTGATGATTTAAATGGTACAAATTTAAAGTGAGCAAATTTAGGATGGGTGATAGAAAATCAATATGAATCTACGTTTGATGTAGTAACCAAATGTGGACCAATATAAATTTTAGGAGGTTTAAAGTCATTCGGTTCCTAAACAACATTAACAAAGATGATTAAGATTCCTCCACACTATAGACTTAAATTTGTTATACAATTATGGAAGTACTACCCAACAGTTATGTAGAATAGGCGATTGGGAAAATGATAAAATTTAAGTCTTTGTCGATGGTGTGCCTTGGGAAATGAAATGGGGTTTTACAGAAGGAGCAAAATAATTATGTGGTGGTCCTAAAATCCCAAACAGTGATAAAGTTTATGATGTCGAATTTGAAGTAGCTCACAATTCTCCAACAGCTACTATCGTCATAGCTAGCACTTAAGTTTAGAAAGCAGATAAATAAGCTTGGGGCATGAGAAATATCAAAATCTCTTTTAAAGAATGTCCTTCTCAATGTGGCATATGTCATAATGACAAAGTTATCGAATGCAAATTTTGGAAGCAAGTGGATCTTAGTTGGTTTCGTACTGACACCTCATTAGAAGGATGGAACTTACTAGAAGGAAGACAAAAGTCCGTTCAATGCTCAGGAATTGTTATGTTTGGAGGGCCTGACAATATAGGTAGCAAAGCAGTTTTAATAAAATAAACAAAAAACTTGCCTCCTCATTCAAGAGTAATGATCAAATTCACTTTATGGAAAGTATGATAATATCATATAATTTATAGTTTGGACAATGGGATAACGATCAATTTTATGTGCACATTGACGATGATTAAGTCTATAAGTAAACATTCTAAATCTTGGATGGATTAAACATATGCGGAAAGTAAATCCTGTTAATTATGAATTTTAAGTTCTAAACCAGGGTATGGCTAGAAATTGGTGAACATAGAAATAATCTAGAAGCATAAGAAGAATGAAATGACCATAAAGTTCTCTTCTTCTTTAAAGTAAGGTACAAATATTTTAACAATATTTTAGATCCTGAGGATCAATCATGGGGAATTCGAGATTTTTTCGCTTTTGTAGCTGAATGTCCAAAATTCTGTAGAAGTTGCTTCGGATCAGGAGATTATGAATGTTTGAAATGTGAAGAAACCCATTAACTGATTGAAGGGAAGTGTGTCAATAAAGATGATTGGTTCATATTGGCCAAAGAGTTCAATGAACCATCCAGTTTTAAAAAGAGTAGAGAATGGTAGATAGATAATATCGATCCCATCTAAGCTGAAGTTGAAACCTCCCCTATTACACAGTGTGGCAAGGACGTCAACATTTTTGGAGGTTACAAAATATTGGCTAAGGTAAATAATTATTACTATATGTTTTCAGAAAGCTCAAGTTTCAAAAGTGTATACCAACATTCCTCCACATCATTTTTTGAGATTAAGAATCACCATGTACAAAATTGACAGATGGGATGGAGAAGAGTTGGTTATTCTAGGAGATGATAAATAAATTTGGAGTCAACTTTTAGGGTGGAATGACCCTGGATAATCCAACATTTGTGGTGACCCTAAAAGTCCATGGAAGGAAAGAATTATGTTTATCGATTAAGTGATTGAGCACAGTAGGGATGAGTTTAAATTATCCATTACATCAACCTTATAGGTAACTGCAGACATTGCTTCCTGGGGGTTTAGAGATGTAATGTTACTTTACTCCCCCATTAAGGAATGTATTACTGTCTTTAGTGAATGCAATTATTAAGGAGAACAAGGGTAGATTTGTGAGAATGTTGAGGAGTTAAACAAGGTACACATTCATTATTTTATGGATAGTTTGATTTCCATATAAAGTCTATGCAGATACCTGAAGGATTGAAATTTGTTGGCTTCAAGAATGCTCAATTCAAGGGAGACAGAGTTGAATACACAACCAATTAGAAATGTCTTGACGATATTCAATATTCATTCATCTAAAGATTATGAGCCACACAAAATACAATAACATTTAATATTGATAATTTTAACTAAAAATGTTCCAATACTTTTCCAATATTATTAAATGTTTTTCTTTAGTTCTATTATAAATACCCTTTAATCTTATTATAAGGATTTATAAATAAATATATATAAATAATATAATGAGTAACAATAATAATGGCTTGAATGATTTGGAGTTATTGAGACTAATTCAGTAAGAATTTCAACATGAAAAATCACCTGTGTACGATGAAATAAGTGAGTAATACTCTTCAGTTAGTGATGATGAAGAGATAATTATAAGAGATCCATCATCTTAAATAAGTAAATTCATATACAATTACTTTAGCTGATGAGTCCTCATTATCATAACAATAAGAAAAGAAAAAAGGTAGATGGAAATATGTAATATTTAATTAATTTTACTTAGTGTTGTTAATAATGTACTAAATCTGACAAAGGTTCTATTAAACCTAAAACTTGTGTTTGTATTGTGCCTGCTTCATAGAGAAGAATTTAAATTGGGGAATAGGGTTGTTTATCTTGCCATTGTACAGGATGTTCTATTGAGGATGAAAAGAAAAAATAAAAAAAAATCAAAAAGAAGAGAAAATCTTCTTCAGATTCAAGTTCAGATGAGTCTTCGGATTTTAAAACTGTGAATGGATGCTGTAAGAAATGTATGAAAGCATTCTCTAAAAAAGGAAAGGAAGCTAAAGTTTAGATACTATTAAATTATTATAGTCTTGTTTATGCCAGGTTCCAAGGGCTGTCAGAAAGAAACCTCTTCCTCCTCATGGTTGTCAGTATTGCGGATGTCATGGATGCAATCCAGAGGATAAGAAAAAAGACAAGCCTAAAAAAAATAGTCGATAATTATCTCCTGTGTCTAGCGATTTGAATGAACAGAATCTTAATAACTTTTAAAATGCTCGTAATATTGGGTTATGATGTTAGCTTTAATTTAATTGTTAAATTCTCAGAATATCAATCCAGGCATTTTAGGAATAGGTATACCATAAAGGACATACTCATATATTTATGGGAAGGAACAAGGTCGTTGAGAATAAAACTTATTAAATTATTTATAATCATAAACTCTTTTAATCAATTAATGAGCGTAGTAATTTTATTATTCAATAGCAAAGAATTAATAAAGCTAAGCTGAATCATACAGTGCAAAATGCATCAGATACTTGAATAAATCATATTGGATTCAAGGATTCAATATATAGTAACAATTAATATTTCAAAGCAATATAAAAAGACATTTCTACATTTAAATTCGCATCATTCTCATCTCATAGATTATCTATAAAATGTTGAAATAATAAAATTGAGAGTCCATAATTTAGAAATGAATACAAAAATTAATTATTTTTATAATTACCACTTTCATTCCATTAAATAATTATCAAACAATCTTAAAAGCCTATTCTAATGAAGTTTAAATGGAACTTTGTCTGGTTCATTGCTTTTATCTTTGGCAGAACTATTATTATACTTATGTTTTCATTTCCTAAATGTTTCCAAATGAGAATCTAATTAATGTTGTTTATATTTCATTATTTTGAGTGTCCTTACTAATTAAGCTAATAATCATCATCATTATGATATTCTCTGATTTTTATTTTATAAATTTGTTAAACACATGTTCATTTTTAAATCAAACCTTCATTATCTCATTCTTAAAATACTAAAAAAGTTACTTTTTTCATTATTTGAGAAATATTTGTTTTTAGGGAAATATCAACAATAATTTTATGAACACCTTTATTTTCTATATCACCTTACATCACATAGACTTTTCTTCATTTTTATAATTCTTATTATTCTTCATCTCTTCATAAATTATCACTGCATAATTCTTTTTGAGTATTTTCTATTGAGACTAAGATAAGCATTAATTTAATAGATGTTACTTAATAACTAATTAAGTAATTATTAAGTAAGAGTTTCAGATAATTAGGATTGTGAACTTAAATCATAAATTTATAGTTCATATTCTTATCTTATTCTTTTAGATAGAGTGAAATAATTGAAAATACATAATGTTTTGGTTTGTTTTTATTCTTGACTACTAAACGTATGCATATCTTATATTATCCTATTGTAAGAATTAGAAACAACATAAATTACTGTTGTCTATGTTTAATGAAATGAACTTTCAATTACAATCTTGCTATGAGAGATTGTTGTGAGACAGCACGTCCATACTTAAAATTTTCCCTTTATTAATATACATCCTTTGCAATCTACTTAAGTTGCGAATCAACTCAATTAAAATGGCTATTATTGTTGTCCCTTCTTTGGTATAAACATTTAATATTATATAATGGTAAACACTCAAATAATGTGTCATCTTTAGCCACTGCCCAAATATTGACTGAAATTAGTTAATGGAAACTGTTGCCCTTGTCTCTACTAACTCATTTATACTTATTGTATAAGCTAAATATTAAAAGGCATTTACATGTTGACTAACATTAGAGAAGTAACCATCTTGGCCTTATGGTTTTTTGATGGGAACTTGATTTGACTTAATTTCATCTTTAGGAATGATATCCATTAAAAAGTCAAAGATTTCTGTGTTGTAAATGCATGTTGCAATATCAGTCTTTTAGAGTGTTCTTCTTTTGCCATCTTCCGTGAATTGCCATGCTCTGTGTGTTAATTCAATAATGAAAATTTCGCAAGCTTTTGCAAATAGAACTGGTGTTTCTTAAGCAATCATCTAGCGATATACTAAACAATACTCTGACATCTTCATCTGATTTCATTATTTTCTTCACTCTTGCTAATGGTAGCTGATGATTTTTGAATAGCTCAGGATCTACTTCTTAAACAATTTAATACCTTTGGGCATTTACATAATTTCTTCCTTCAATTCAACTAATTTTTCTTTCAATTTTTTCATGTGTTCCTATTGATGGACATCCTATTAGTACATTTTTAGAAATCAAATACTACATAGTGATTTTGTATGTCAAATTATTCATTAGGTTATTACATTTTTAAAATAATTATATAAATATTTCATTCTTCTTAAATATTATTTGTAATATCATTTTCATGGATTCTAAGATCTGATAATTTTTGACTTCCCTAATATGCTAATCACCAAAAATAAATATTAATCTAAAAATTACATAATCTATATTAAGATGGAATATAATTGTTATGTTGTGAATAAACTCAAAGCAATTTAAATAGAATGAAAATAGCCTTAATATTCCTACATATGCAGAAGATACAAGCGCGAGGTTAGAACATTTTAATTTAAAACTGGCTAAGTCAAAATTTTTAAATACCTATGATGCTAGAATCTATTGCATTCTTGCATTGCAACCCATCAATGAATTTGCTATTAATATGATTTAAAAAGTTCTGATTATTACTTCATAAATTAAGTTCTCTTGTGAATAAAATGCATAGATTGTTTGAACTCTAATCTAATGGGATTTAAATAATTATTGTGCTCTTAATAATTTTGTGTTTTAATACATATATGAATGATTGCTAACTTATTTTAGCGAGGAGAATTGTGAATTTCTACTTTTATGAATTTTACCTTGATTTGGTAGAATTCTTATTGCTAAATAAATGCGAGATGTTTAAAGTATTAAATTAAATAACATGCAATTCGTTGTTTACTTGGGAAACAATGAAATTAAAGAAATAAATTTTCTACAGTATTTTTGATGGTTACTGATTAGGGATGAGAATAAAATTAATTAAAATCAGTTTATGAATTTAGTGTAACTTCCGTAAATCCTTTAATTAAATAATGTAAATAAATACGAAGTTCAGATTATTTGATATTGCTGTCAATCTTACAGATGACTAATTTTATGGAATGTATCATCGCTAGAAATGCCATAAGCCTGATTATAAGGATGTGTTGAAGAGAGCCTCTGATGTTGGTTGTGAGCATCTATTGATTTCAAGTGGATGCTTGAGTGAATTGAAAAAGACAAGAGAATTATGTTAATTGAGTCCAAATTATTATACCACTGCAGGTATTCATCCCTGCCGTGCTTCTGAACTTAATAAAAACTATTACGGGTACATGGGAGAATTGAGAGACCAACTGGAATTGGCACTCAAAGAAAAGAAGCTAGTAGCCATTGGTGAATGTGGATTAGACTATGATAGATTGGGAAGGTCTACGAAGTAAGAATAGATGATAGCTTTTGAACCTCATTTTGATTTAGCTGAAAAATATAAATTACCTATGTATCTCCATAATAGGAATACAAGAGATGATTTCTACGACATCATGTAGAAGAATAGACATCGAATCGTTGGAGGAGTTGTGCATTCATTCACTGGTCCTTTAGATGAGTTATAAAAGATCTTACATTTGGATCTTTATGTCGGTGTCAATGGTTGTTCTTTAAAAACTCAGGAAAATATTAATGTTGCAAAGCAAATCCCTTTGGATAAATTATTGTTAGAGACTGATGCACCATATTGTGAAATTAAAAGAAGCCATCCTTCTAGCAAATATGTTAAAACTTAATTCTAGGCTCAATTTAATGAAAAATGGAAAGAAGGACAACTAGTTAAGAGTAGAAATGAACCTTGTAAAATAATATAAGTACTTGAAGTGATGTCTGAATTATTGAATGTTGATTAGGAGAAATTGTCAGAAATCTGCTTTTAAAATACATTAAAGTGTTTTGGTTTAGCATGATATTAATATCTAAATATTAAATGTAATTTATATAAAAATAACATATTCCCAAAGCTCTCAGTTTTATTTAAGCTGTAGAATTCCTTGCTGAATACCTAGGTAAATCATCTGAAAGTATTAATTTATTTCTAATAAAGAGCGAATTTATCAGTATTTCTTGGCCTTGGAAACATTGAAATTGCTTGTAAAACTAAGAAAATGGGCATTGGTGGATAAGTGTGGGTTGATGATTTCAGAGAATAACAACTATTCTGAAACAGATTTTCAAGAAGATGAGGCTGCCATACAATTCCAGCAAAATTTGGGATCTCTGGAATATAATCCATCAGTTGTCAATGAAAAATCAATAAAAGATGAACTCAAGTCAATCAAAGATCCGATTCCAAAATTCAATCTAGGCTATTATGATGTGATTCAAGATAAACAAACTTCTCTATTAACAATGCTGCCAATTCCAAATAATGTGAAGTAGAAAGATTATTAATCCAAACTTAATTAACTTAGAGTATTATGTCATTTGCAATGATTAGATTTAAATCGGAGAAATCTTGCATCTCTTTCGTCCATTAATATATTGCGCATTGATTCTTAAATATGGTGGAGACAGCTACACACCATATTTTATCTCATTCATTATTGATTTATTAAGGTTACTTATAGAATTCAGAATTAAAATCTATAGAAAAAGTCAGAAAGAGGAACTTGCAATCAGAGCCAAAGAAGCTATAGTATTTATACATCTATATTATCAAGATCTGCTATATTTTAAGAAATCCATTCTACGGTTCAATTGTGAAGCAAATAATCTTAAGTAACACATTAGGGAAGGTGTTTAACCAATAAGGATGGACTTATAGACTAATATTAGCATTGATTGAGTTAAGATCATCAAAATGTCTTTTATTGTGATATTATAATTGTTTTATAATAAATATTTTATCGAAAATTCCTAAAATTCATAAAATTAAAAATAAATGGAACTCTAATCAATAATCTCTTTCGAATGTTGTTCCTATCCCAAATGAGGGATTATTATTGTAACGTTATGAAAAGTGTATTTATTCGATTTTTTTATGTTATAATATTAATGATTAGATCATTCTTTGAGCCATTTACCAATAAACTTTTCTAATAATTTAAAAGTAAGGAAGGAGGATTCCTTAAACTTTTCAAAGAAACCAATACATTCGTACCAATCATCTAATGTTGAGGTTTCAGCTCCACAAATGAAAAAGCTTTTAGTACTTTTTTTAAGGAATAAGTTTTTGAGGTCTCTAAGTTTTATTATGAAATATTTTACTTAAGGTGTTATTTATATAAAACTTCACTTCCTGTTGAATAGCTGTAGATATATTTCTTTAATAGTTCATCGTCATGTGCCAATCTATATGGGAGGGATGAAACATGATCCAATGAAGCACTTTCTAATCCATAGTATTCTAAGAAATGATATGCTATTTCCCAATTCAGGACTGCATTTTATCCATCCTTATTGGCTTTGGCTAGATCTAATCTGTATTAGACATAATCTTAAACTTGGTTATTTTTGCCATTAAATTAAAAGACTCTAAATGAGGGATTTTAATATGAAAATGTAGTTCCGGAAGGAGCAATAAACAAAGTCTTAACATATCTACCATCAATTTTAGATCTAATATGTTAAACATGATCTTAATGTGTATGTCCTTGATTTATAGTAAATAACAATACCATAAAAGATTCCAGTCACGACATGTTCGAATCTTTCAATGACAACACTAAATCTGTCAGCCCATTAAGAATTACAAAAAGTGTCTCCAGGTGGAATATGAGCAAAGATCACAGCAAATTAGTGTTTGGCTTCTGACTCTTTGAGTTCAGATATGAGCCATTTGAGCATTCCTCTTGGATCTGTGATTCCATCCATTAAGTGGAAGTTGAGTAAATCACAAGCTTGAGAATTCAAGGCGATGAACTTGAGATTTCTTGATTCCTCCACTTAAGAATAGTAACCATTTCTCCTTAATTGATAGTATGCTTCTTGTGTTAAGTATTGTTTCCACATGTCAGCCACTTCATCCCTTAACCATTATGTAGCCTCTCCTATCATATCATATTGATCAGCTGGGTAACCCTCATGATTTCCATAGATAGCATACAATTAAGAATTAGGTATTTGCTTCTTGATTTCTTCCGTAATCATTTTAGTAGGTAGTGTTTGATTCCACTATTATTAATGCCAGACATCATGCGATGTACTATCTCCAGTCCATATGATGAAATCTGGCTTGACTTTCTCTCCTGTGAATTTGATCAGATCTTATATTGTTCTAAATGGCAAATCACATTGTGCATAAGTTCCCCAATATTAAGCCCCTTCGCTTGGTTTTTTCGGTTTTCCATTCTCTTCTCTGCAACAGAAGGGAGCTCCACAAAAGGCATTAGCTCCAACTGAATATTCTACATCAATGTGTAAATCTGCAAATTAAGCAATTGTGTAATCTTCTTAATTTAAAACATTTTCTTCAGCCAACACTTGCCATTGTCTTTGTTCCTCTTTCGAGAGCTTGTCTGACATAACTTCGTTTATGTAATCCTTAATTGTTTATGGTTCATGTTCCAATTTACAAGCTCCTAAATTCTGACATGCATTTGAAGGTGCTAAGTAATTGCTATATATAGTTAACGGGTAAAATACTTGAGAAAATGTACAGAGAATTAATCGATGAATGTCTAATTGATTCCTTCACAAAAGGCTGGATCTTTGAATTTTGGACAAAGAAGTGTCCATTCTTTTCTAATTATCGATAAGAGAATGGTTGATGAAAACTTTTGAACCTATTTCATCATTAATTTGCATGGTAAACAAAGTAAGTGTAACCTAAAGTTGATAATATAAATTAGTACTCGTGAGGCATTTCTATACCAGCATAATCAACTATTTTGGTTAATATTTCCCTTTTCATCAGTTCTTCTCCAACGTCTATTGTATTGGCAACACAAAACAAAAGTGCTAAGATCACGAATACATTTCTCATATTTATAAATGATTTGAATAAATTACGTAATATATTTTTAAGAGAACAAATTTATTCATTGTTGATTTCAAACTTTTTTCTCAAATTGTGAGATGCATATTGCAAATCCTTGTAAAATAGATAAGGGATGAGAGACATCAGCTGAATAAGTCTTTTTTGCACATTTTCCAAATTGTAACACAAACTTACTTTTATCTGTGCAATTGATATCATGAATTATACAATTCTTTTCAGAGGGCATAGTCACTCTATCATTGAATTACAATTGATAAATCTTCTTTTCCTTATTGTAAATTGGAATCTTATTCATAAAATGCATAATTTGATCCTTATATTGTAATGAATGATAGGCTTTCAATAATCCATCTGTATCATTCAATGGCTTAAATTCACAAGGTTGTCCATCTTTAATCCTTGGTACAATCACACTTTATCTAATTTACCCAGTCTATTTGGAATTTTGGAAATTGATCAAGCATAATTCCTTCCTTACTTTGTCTAAGAACTTGGCGTCTTTTGGATTATCACCAGTGTCAAACAATCTAAATATACCACGAGTCCCTTTTATCTTTCCCAAACAAGACTTGTGTTTCCTATCAAATTTATCTGAGAGTGTGGATACAACATAATGAATTTGTTAACTGAAAGCCTATCGTTTTGCTGAACATAAAAATCTATTGGGTTAATCACTCAAATACAATAGGTATTTATGATGAAACTTATTAGTTCCACTTTTATCCTTGATGATTGTCAGTTAAATCAAATGCTCTAATAAATATTTCAAAATATCTTTTTACATTGATCGATCGGTTTTTACAAGAATTCTTGCATATCCACAATTAAATTAGGTCGATATACAATTTAAGCTTGTTATTCTTATCTTCCAGTCTTAGCATCGATCTATTAAGCCTATTCGTCTTAATTATTTTGTTTATTTTCATCCCTCCAACTCTAAAAGTCTTCCTCACAATGCATACTCCCAAATTTGGCTATGTTGTCATGCTCATCTTCTGGTTTAAATTAAAACATCTCTTCGATCACATTTTCTTTCTTTCCTTCTTACTTCAAGTCCTAATTTTATTCTTCAAACGGGTATTGTATTGATTATGACTTGTTATTCGAAGTATTGACTATTTCTTCTTCGTTATCTTCAAATTAATCGAAATTAATTATTTCGTCATTATTTTCAGACTAGATCTCATCATCATTTTATTCTTATTGATTTAACATTATTTAATTAATAATAGTTAAATTGATTTTGAATGATTAAATATTTTCACAAATTCATAATCCTGATTACCCCCTAAATTATTTCATTAGAATACGAATATTAGAAGTTTATTCAAAGATATTTAGAGCTCATTTTATAAATATAAATAATCTAAATTACAATTCTAATATCAATCAAATCCTAGGTATAATTGCTCTTCATAATTTTCTCCAAATGACCGAGCTTCTTAATCAAAACTAGCTGTAAAATACATATCATCTTCTTTATTATTGTAACCTATCTTAATTGTATCCTATTTTATAAGGTTTTAACCTATTTCAAAATCTTAAGTAAGTATTTAATCTAACTTCCCCTTTATATACTTTGCTTTCATTTCCTCTAGCTTAATTCTTTTTAATTATTTTTTTGTAGTAGATCTTTCGCATTCCTTCTCCTTGAGAGAATCTTGGAATTACTGATGTTTTAATACCTAACATTTAGAGAGTAACCCTTTTTCTAAGAGAATTTATTTTATTTTAAATTTAAGATTTTGTTCTTTAATAAATTTATCCATCCATGCCTTGGAGGCTTTAAATGATTCAATATTAAAAATTTTAATTGCTTATTCCTTAATTTGGTTTCGACTTAATTTCTTACCTAGTTTACGAGTTTCATCCAATATCCATTCCTCTAATCGGATTACACCTTATGGATTAATTTTTTTTCTTCCACAACCTCCTTTTCTCATATAACCTTAATTAAACCATCTTCTTAAATTGCGGGTTGTTGTGTCAAATTTTTTGCTAAGTAAAACGAAATTTTCTTGGCTCGGATCATTCAACAATTCCTCCAAAGCCTCCTTTTTTTGATTGGTACCCAGAACTTTATATGAATGAATCTTCCTTTCTTTTTTATTAATGTTTTGAGCAACCATACTTTAAAATTTAATTTTCAACTTTTAATTTATGAGATATTTTTGTAGTGTATTATTTATAATTAATAATTATTCTAAGGATAATTTAATAGTGTCAAATAATGTAATTAATATTTCATATGATATTTAAAATTAATAAATAGGATCAAACAATTTTAGTAATTATTAATTATCTAAAAATAAGTTTTAAGATTTTTACGATTGTAGAAACAGGAAGTTGATTAAAATAAAGATACTATTGTAATATTATCATTATGTAATTAAACTTTAGATTACTCTAAAGCATAGTCATACAAAAACTAAATACATATTTAGAATGAAAAATTAATTAAAAGCTTTAAATAATAACTTTGACTCAATTTGAATTAACAATAGTGGTCATAGTTCTTTTGATATTTTTGATTGGCATTCTAGGGGTTTCTTTCCTTGGTGATTATCTATTAGAACCTCTACTTGATTTTTATTATTAATCTTTTTCTTTATCTTTTTCTTTATCTTTATCCTTTTCCTACTAATTTGGTTAAATAAGTTCTTTCAAATTCAGTGAGTTTAGTAAATCGCTTAATCTTCTAGGTTTAGGTAAAAAAAGACTTTATTTTTAAGGTCTTAAACATATTTAATCTATTTTCTCTTTAATTTCAGTGAGATGATCTTTATGAATTTGTTTTTTGAATGTTACTTTTAATTGAGATTTTATTGGTTTTTCAACAACTACATCCTATTGCCCAAATTGTTAGGCTGATATAGGATCTAGTTCAATTACAAGCAGATCACTTTTCAGAAAGCCTGAATAATTACAACCTCCAAAAATGTATAACTTTGAATCTATACAAGCAGCACTATGTCCACATCTACCTGCAACTTAAAACCCTTTAATTTCTACACTAATCCAAGTCAATGATTTCATGTCAAGCAAATGAATATCATTTAAAAACCCATTTATATTAAGATCATCATTCTTGCCTCCATAAATAACTATGACCTGATATTGCTCTAGATAATTCATTGAATGTTAACAACGACCAACTACAAATATGATCAGATAATTTACTGGGTGAAAGTCCTTTAGTCTAAACTTGTTCAAAATTGATAGGCTTAGTAGTGATATCAATTTTAATAAGTTTGTCTAGGTAATGGCCATTCTTATCAAAGCCGCCGAAGATGAAAACTCCCTAATAATTAAACTTAACTTCAGGATCATTTTTATATAATTCTATTTAAGTGTTATGGAAGACTGCACAAGACTTGTGAAAAGCTACTCCATCGGGAAAGCAGACATGTTGTTCTGTTAAGACTTATGACCATCTTTGAGTTACTATATCATAGGCAATCACATCTCTTAAGTATTAACCCTTGAGATCAATCCCTCCTTGGACAATCATATTTCTTCCAATGACTTCTGCTATATGACATTTGCGAGGAGGTATGATTCCTGTTTACTTTAAAACTTTAAGTTCATTGGTAACTGATATTATTGAATTTTATTACTTAGATTTACTATTTTAATGTCACTGGTTATTTCACTGCTTATTCGTTTATCATTGATTACCTAGTGCACTTCACCACCAAAGATGATCATGAAATTCTTATAGATTGCTGCTGAATGATTTCCCCTATAACCATTAGATGATTTTTCGTCCAGTTTAATTTGATTCCATTTATATTTTTCTACAATTTTATTAATACCTTACATTTATCAATGTTAGNTTTAGAATGAAAAATTAATTAAAAGCTTTAAATAATAACTTTGACTCAATTTGAATTAACAATAGTGGTCATAGTTCTTTTGATATTTTTGATTGGCATTCTAGGGGTTTCTTTCCTTGGTGATTATCTATTAGAACCTCTACTTGATTTTTATTATTAATCTTTTTCTTTATCTTTTTCTTTATCTTTATCCTTTTCCTACTAATTTGGTTAAATAAGTTCTTTCAAATTCAGTGAGTTTAGTAAATCGCTTAATCTTCTAGGTTTAGGTAAAAAAAGACTTTATTTTTAAGGTCTTAAACATATTTAATCTATTTTCTCTTTAATTTCAGTGAGATGATCTTTATGAATTTGTTTTTTGAATGTTACTTTTAATTGAGATTTTATTGGTTTTTCAACAACTACATCCTATTGCCCAAATTGTTAGGCTGATATAGGATCTAGTTCAATTACAAGCAGATCACTTTTCAGAAAGCCTGAATAATTACAACCTCCAAAAATGTATAACTTTGAATCTATACAAGCAGCACTATGTCCACATCTACCTGCAACTTAAAACCCTTTAATTTCTACACTAATCCAAGTCAATGATTTCATGTCAAGCAAATGAATATCATTTAAAAACCCATTTATATTAAGATCATCATTCTTGCCTCCATAAATAACTATGACCTGATATTGCTCTAGATAATTCATTGAATGTTAACAACGACCAACTACAAATATGATCAGATAATTTACTGGGTGAAAGTCCTTTAGTCTAAACTTGTTCAAAATTGATAGGCTTAGTAGTGATATCAATTTTAATAAGTTTGTCTAGGTAATGGCCATTCTTATCAAAGCCGCCGAAGATGAAAACTCCCTAATAATTAAACTTAACTTCAGGATCATTTTTATATAATTCTATTTAAGTGTTATGGAAGACTGCACAAGACTTGTGAAAAGCTACTCCATCGGGAAAGCAGACATGTTGTTCTGTTAAGACTTATGACCATCTTTGAGTTACTATATCATAGGCAATCACATCTCTTAAGTATTAACCCTTGAGATCAATCCCTCCTTGGACAATCATATTTCTTCCAATGACTTCTGCTATATGACATTTGCGAGGAGGTATGATTCCTGTTTACTTTAAAACTTTAAGTTCATTGGTAACTGATATTATTGAATTTTATTACTTAGATTTACTATTTTAATGTCACTGGTTATTTCACTGCTTATTCGTTTATCATTGATTACCTAGTGCACTTCACCACCAAAGATGATCATGAAATTCTTATAGATTGCTGCTGAATGATTTCCCCTATAACCATTAGATGATTTTTCGTCCAGTTTAATTTGATTCCATTTATATTTTTCTACAATTTTATTAATACCTTACATTTATCAATGTTAGCATAACAAAAGTCCTCTGCTTGCTTAGATCCTGCTCCTCCGTATAAATATAATTTATGATCATATGCCAGCATAGTACTAGCATTCCTAGAGCATGGCTACCAATTTAAATTAGTATCTTTATATATGTACACACATTGTTTCTTTATTTTAATTTCGTTGATTAACGATTCATTTAATCTCCTTTATAATTGTTCAGCATCCTTACTTTTAGTTATTAATTCACTTTGATTGCCTTACCTTATCTATTTGCGTATTTATTCAATTCTCTGTAGGTCTTAATATTGCATAGAAGGATATGATTTGACTCCTGGACTTTTTGATTATATTTTTTGAAAGTATTTTCTGACTTCCTCAATCTAAGTTTCTTCTTGTTTCTTGTATTTTTCTTTGATTTGCCTAAAAGTGTCTCTGTTGTGTATTAATTGCATTTTTCTAGAAGTGTAATATTTTGGCTGATCCTACTACTATTCCTCAGTAAATAAGGACTGACTATAATTGTTCCACATCCTTTTAGATTGTAATAAAGAGCGTTTCAACTCGCTGACAGCCCCTTAATTGAGTTCTTTAAACCCTAAAAATTGGGTTAGATCATTGTCTGGCAATTGTTGCAAAAGATCAATTTTACTATCTAGAGCTACCTATTCAAATTATTCCAGAGGCAAAGGGCTCAATTTTGTGTTTGCTTATTTGTACTTTTTTAAGAGTTAACCAATATCGACCGATCCACTTGAATTTGTACTTAAGCGATGCTATTCACTCTACATTTATTTATAATTGCATTATAAAAACAACAATGACTTGGATTGTAAATTATTTATTATTCACTCCTATTATTTCTTAAAGAGCTTATTGATGGATATATATTACAAATATTTTAATAATAATCTATTCATTGATAAGTTCCATATTATAGAAGTACTTTATTCAAAAAAGATAGGTAAAACGTAATTTAATTTATACTAAACTGGCTTCTAAAAAAGATTTTGTTGTAAATGTGAAACAATATTGAACATACATTCTCAGTTTTCAAAATCTATTCTTAATCTAACATGTTTTTAATATTATTATTTTAAGAAAGAATTTTGAATTGCATTCATAGTTGAAGTGTAATAATAGAAAATGAAAGAATAATTTATTATGACGACCCTATTCTATTTTATATAAAATCTGTTTAAAACTATTATAGCTAATATTTATATTTATCCCATCATTTATTCATAGAATAATTTAAACAAAAGAAATACAATTCAGATAAACATTATAATAAAATGAATCAAAATAACAGAGTAGATTAATTGGATAGTCTTGAAACTGATGAAGAACTAGATTTTTAAGAATTTGAAATGCCGTAATTAGTTAGACGAAATGGAATGACTAATACTCAGTCAGAATTTACGGGTTATTTTATATTGGATAAACCAGTCGATAATATATTCGAAGAAGAATATTGCCCAATTTGTTTGGAGTCATCAGAACAGTTATATCCCTTAAAATGTGGGCATACTTACTGTTAAAATGATATAGAAAATATGATTGATATCTCTAAAAAGTCTAATGGCTTATTCTCATGCCCGATTTGCAGAGCGTATTAAAGTCTAGATTCATATGATGAAGTTTATCAATTGAAAAAGCAAAATCTTGTGAATTGCAACAATTTTCGCTATTGAAATTATAAATTTAAATGTTAACATCAATTAAAATATTATTCTTATCGAAAGTATCATGATAATTAAAATAAATATTTTTTTCTAAAATGTAATCTTTAAAAAAAAAGTTCTAATATTTTTAAGGTATTACTTAGAATTTTTGATAGAAATTTTAATTCAAAAATTGAATTTAATTATTACTCATGATTAGAATATGTTTCCAATATTTTATATATTGGAAAAATGAGGTTTTAGATTATTTTATAAGTATATTAATATATTTAATTATAAATTACATAATGCAATCCAACTTAGGAAGTACATTTCAATGCAATTTTTGTTTATCTTATGTACCAAACATGTGCAAAGAAGTACATAATGTAAAGTGTGGGATGAAAAATATTCAAGATAATTCTCAAAGAAATCAATTGAATGAAGAAGAATAGATTCCCTAACAATAAGATTTCCCATAATAAATTGTAACTTAATTAATATGATTCTTTTAGAATTTTAAAGAAAAAGTAAACTAGTTGTAGCAATTTTAGTAAGCAATGAATAACTCACAATAATTTAGAAATGACATAAAATCTTAATAGAATTAATAAAATATTTCGAATATAATTTCGTAAGGTGCCACCAACACAGTCATTAATATTACAAGATAAAATGTATAATTGAATGCTACTTAAGAATAATAACCAGCACAAACTCTATAATTTTAATAGAGTAGAATTTAATAGTAAGGAACTAGTAGTAGAAATTTTACAAATCAATAAATTTCAAGGTTTCTTGAAATTCAAAGGTCAATATAGCCATAAAACTAATAACTGACTAATTTATTTAGAACAAATTATGAGTAATAACAACAGCCTGTTTAGTAGCTGTAATTCCCTCGATAATAAGTTAGCTTTAGATAAACTCCTAATAGTATGTTTACACCAAATNACTATTATAGCTAATATTTATATTTATCCCATCATTTATTCATAGAATAATTTAAACAAAAGAAATACAATTCAGATAAACATTATAATAAAATGAATCAAAATAACAGAGTAGATTAATTGGATAGTCTTGAAACTGATGAAGAACTAGATTTTTAAGAATTTGAAATGCCGTAATTAGTTAGACGAAATGGAATGACTAATACTCAGTCAGAATTTACGGGTTATTTTATATTGGATAAACCAGTCGATAATATATTCGAAGAAGAATATTGCCCAATTTGTTTGGAGTCATCAGAACAGTTATATCCCTTAAAATGTGGGCATACTTACTGTTAAAATGATATAGAAAATATGATTGATATCTCTAAAAAGTCTAATGGCTTATTCTCATGCCCGATTTGCAGAGCGTATTAAAGTCTAGATTCATATGATGAAGTTTATCAATTGAAAAAGCAAAATCTTGTGAATTGCAACAATTTTCGCTATTGAAATTATAAATTTAAATGTTAACATCAATTAAAATATTATTCTTATCGAAAGTATCATGATAATTAAAATAAATATTTTTTTCTAAAATGTAATCTTTAAAAAAAAAGTTCTAATATTTTTAAGGTATTACTTAGAATTTTTGATAGAAATTTTAATTCAAAAATTGAATTTAATTATTACTCATGATTAGAATATGTTTCCAATATTTTATATATTGGAAAAATGAGGTTTTAGATTATTTTATAAGTATATTAATATATTTAATTATAAATTACATAATGCAATCCAACTTAGGAAGTACATTTCAATGCAATTTTTGTTTATCTTATGTACCAAACATGTGCAAAGAAGTACATAATGTAAAGTGTGGGATGAAAAATATTCAAGATAATTCTCAAAGAAATCAATTGAATGAAGAAGAATAGATTCCCTAACAATAAGATTTCCCATAATAAATTGTAACTTAATTAATATGATTCTTTTAGAATTTTAAAGAAAAAGTAAACTAGTTGTAGCAATTTTAGTAAGCAATGAATAACTCACAATAATTTAGAAATGACATAAAATCTTAATAGAATTAATAAAATATTTCGAATATAATTTCGTAAGGTGCCACCAACACAGTCATTAATATTACAAGATAAAATGTATAATTGAATGCTACTTAAGAATAATAACCAGCACAAACTCTATAATTTTAATAGAGTAGAATTTAATAGTAAGGAACTAGTAGTAGAAATTTTACAAATCAATAAATTTCAAGGTTTCTTGAAATTCAAAGGTCAATATAGCCATAAAACTAATAACTGACTAATTTATTTAGAACAAATTATGAGTAATAACAACAGCCTGTTTAGTAGCTGTAATTCCCTCGATAATAAGTTAGCTTTAGATAAACTCCTAATAGTATGTTTACACCAAATCCACTGCTCCAAAATATTTCTTAATTTTAATAGACCACTCCTTTAACACCCTTATAAAATGATTCTAACAATAATTCCATTTTCTAAACTAATAATCTTACTTAAAGAATATAAAACATGTTTCCATCATAGAGCGACGATTCCAGTAATGAAGAAGAAGAAGAAATAAGTGAAGAGGGTGGATTAAATAATTTTGACTTATTTAAAAATTATACAGATGAGGAAGTGAATTAAATGAATAAATAATAATTCTATCAATACTTTATACACAAACAAATCACAGAGAATCATTTGAATGAGCCTGATGTATAGATATAAAAGATGATGGAATAATAAAATGAAAAAGATAATTAATGTGTAATTTGTTAGGAAGCCATAATAATGGGTGAGGATGAAACGAAGGTTTTAATTTGCAAACATGAATTTCACTAAGACTGCATATCAAATTGGATTACTTTTAAATCAACTTGCCCTATATGTAAAACAAGCATTTGATGGAAATTATTTGATAAAAAATTCATTATTTATTGGCTTTTAGAAATACAATATAATAATTATTATTATTTGAATATATATACATGCAATAAGTGGCTCCAGAAGTGCAAACTATTTTTGATGAATTGCTCAAACCAGTATTGGAGAGGATTGAAGTTTTGAAAGAAAAAGATCAATCAAATGAGTTATAGATCAAAAATCTATTTGACCAAATGAGTGAATTGAAAACATTAATAGGAAATCTAAAACCAATAAAAGTGGAAGAAGAAAAGAGTAATATTAAATAGTATGTAATAGAAATTGTCAAATAAGAGCCAAAAATGGACAATCATTAAAATAATGGTATTTGAAATTAATATATTCCCACCACATAATTAGATGTTAAAAAGGTTGAACGTCCATCTACTGCTGCAATTTAAAAAAACCCAGCACCAGTAAAAGTAAAAGATCCCAAGCCTGTTAATGCCCCTAAACCTTTAAGTCAAAGTACGATTGTCGAAAAGACAACAACACCTGTTGATATCGAAAAAAGTATTTCAACTTAAATCATCATTTTTATAGACTAACCCAAATCACCGAAAGAAGGAAATCAAAATAAAACCAAATAGTAATAGTAACCATAACAACAACCACCATAACCTAAGCCAAAACCTGTGGTTTAACCATAATAAAAATAATAACAAATCAAAGAAACTAAAGAAACAAAGGAAACTAAAGAATAAGCAATCAAATAGCCAACATAATAGAAAGAGGAAAAAAAGGCTGAAAAATAACCAGTCAAACCAAAAACTGCTTAGCCAGCACAACCTGTTTAACCAGAAAAAAAAGAAGATAAAAAGGATACGAAGAAAACAGATAACAAGGCTGCTGCCCATAAATAGAATGTAAAACAACCTGAATAGAAAACAACAGATAAAAAGTCTGATGATAAGAAGATTGTGAAAAAAGGGAAGTAATCAGAGGATACTTAAAATAAAACTGAATAATAACAAACAGATGAATAATTTTAACAATAATAATAAAATCTAATTAAGACTTAGAATAATAGTGAATAGAAATAATAAGATGAATAACCATAGTAAGAATAAGTAGAAAAAAAGGAATTCATTGAAACATAAACAGAAGCTCCTGAACTTTAGAATATTGAACCCAAGGAGTCTTCAGAATAATTATAGCAAAATTAGGATTAATTTGTTGAGAACCAACAAGTCTAAGAAATTAATAACATTTTGCCAGAACAAATTGAAAATCAGTAATAGGAAGTAGTTTGATATTATATGAATATGCATAAAAATTTTAGCCATAGGTAAATATGCAAAATGACAATCATTTCTTCTTCTGTATTTATATGTATCACCATTTTCTAAATATTTTTTTTACAAAACTTAAACCCAATTTATTTAGAACCTTATCAACTTTCTAAGAATTACTTTAACGTTGAGGGGGTTGATTGACAAATTGTTAAATCTCGTTTAAATCATGCGGTATTTGTTAAGCATTAATGTCATTTTATTATTATGGTCTATTTCTGCACTCACAATCCCTTCCTCTTACCCATACAGCGCCACAAAGATAACAAAACTAAAACCCACATTTGCAAGTGATATGATTGCATCCAGCGGTCTTCTCGATCCACCTTTAACATTAAGAACATTATCTATATCTTGCTTCTTAAGCTGCATTGATAAAGCTCTATTCACCACATACTCCTTCATGATATAACCTCCTACATCTAGTACAAAATAAATTCTAGCATATCATGCACACTTGGATAGGTCCTTCGATTTCATAAATACCTTTACAGTTTTCAGTTGGACATTAAAAAACGTTTGGGTTTTGCAATAAGTATTAATTGAAAGCAATTTTTTCTATTCTGTCCATAACTTGATTTGAGACTATACTTTCTAAATCATCCCTCAATATTTCTTCCCTGCATTATAAGTTTGGGCATTTAAAAGGAAATTCATATGATGCCTCTATTAAATTAGCTAAACACTATTTATGATATATATGCTAACATGCTGTAAGAGCATACTTGTCTTATTAAACATTTTCTAAACAAATACTACATTAAGTGCTTTATTAGATTTAGCTTTGTTAATTTATTTATGAAAATATCTATGATTTCTAACTTTCTTTATCTCTATATTCTTGATATTACTATTTTTTTTTCAGTTTTGAATAATCAATTGCTAGATAATAAATTTCCTTTATTTAGGGTATCGAAACTTCAACTTTCTGATAATCATTCTAAATACTAGAATCAGTTGCTTCTTTATTCCCATTTTTTTCTAACATCTAGGCATTCGATTGTTAAATTTAATTTATAAATTTATCTGTGTTTTCATTCTGAGCTAAGTTCCCTTAAATATTCTATTTTGATGAAATATCTTATTTGAACTCTATTTTTGAGTTTTCGTTTGCTTTCATTTAATTTTGACTTTCTGGTTCTGATAAGACAGCCGATCTTTAGTTTTTATTTAAGAGACCTGATATGCTAGATAATTGAGAATTTGAGGAATTTTATAAGGCTGCATCAGGTACTTCATTATCAATCTTCAATTTTCCATTTATGTAATCATTATATATTATTTACAATTCTTATAGATTAATGTTTTAAAACTAGTATGCTGAATGAATTTAGTTAATAAGATAAAATGATTTTTTTAAGACTTTTGGATCGCTGCTAGAAGCTCCTGCCTAAAACGATAAAAAAGTTATATGGAGCATTTAGCTAGTATTCTAAGTATTTAATGGATCTTTACATCAACAAAAGGCAATTCTTGTACCTTTCGAATATAATCGCTAAAATCAAAATAATTTATCATTTATAATAATAAATAATTATAAATTACTCAACATGTAATATTGCTTGTTTACAATTTAAATAAAGAATTGCCAACTTATACTTCGAGGTCTTGATAAATTGGCATATCCTCTGTTATTTTGACTAAGGTGCCAAATTTAGAATTATTGTCAAACAAAAATAGAGAATCCTATTCCTGGATCTTCTCTATTTATAGAGTAGCATGAAATCTGCTAACACTAACTTCGCCTAACCTAACCCAATTTTCTCTGGCTCTCCCTAAACTCATCTTTTCTCCAAGACTTATTACCATCACTCCATCTGCTTTTTAAGTGAAGTGATCTCCTAAGTTAATTTGAACAACCTAGTTTTCCTTCTTTTTTGTATAGAACTCTAGCATCACATATGGATATCGAGGTTTTAAAAGGTCCAGCATATGATATGTTACTCCATCACTCTAAAATATCACCTTATATGGTTCTTAACAGATTTCACATTTTAATGAGTTCCATAGATATATTTCACTTTTCTCAGATTATTTTGATGCCTAAGTTTATTCTTTGAGCCTAAATCTTATTAATAAAATACCATCTTTTCATGCAATCTAAATGAATATATTTTATAAATCCACTGCATTTACAAGGATTCAATAAAGGATTGGAACTTTAGGTATTTCCTAGACATATTCTACATTAATCATTGGAATCTGCCTTGCTTTGGTTCAAAAGCTCAGATTCTGTATGAGAATTAAAACTAAGACTAGAAATTCTAAATGTCATTTTTCCAAGCCTAAAAATGTCATTTACATTTAATGGGTATTTGTTAACAGATCTTACTGTCAACCAACCATTTTTAAGTTTGAATGGAAATTTAGTATTTGTTAAGGCTGTTGAATTTCCTTGTTGTTACGATGTTCCAGCAACAATTGTGTTTTTAGCTGTTACAAACAGTAAAACCTCACTATGTATAATAAATCAATATTACCTATTCTCATTGGGTATTTCATTTATTAATTGAAGTGTCTCTTCATTTCTAATAATATATGAATCTTAATTTTAGACCGTAAATTATTATTTTTGATTGCCAATACTCTCATAATCAAAGCGATCTCCAAGGTTATTTGTTAGACAATATATTGAAACCCTGAAATTAAAGATATCAAGTGCAAATACCTTTCATTACGCATTTAACATTATCCCATTTCAATATATTATTATATTTTTATTATAAATCAAAAATCAGAATCAATGATCTCTCTTTTAATCTTTTCAACTACTTATTCAACTAATTTAACAAATAAATCTTCGTTTCTTTCTCTTTCATTTCTACTTCTTATACAAGCATCATAAGCACTTTAGTATATTATTTTTTGAGAATTCCTATTACTCTATTTAGTCCCTTTATTTTTATTACCATCGAATATTCTTATGAGTTCATCTAATTAGTCATAAAATTTATTATGCAATTTTTTCCTCAATTTCTTCCCTTATTCTAATTTCTTATTCTATATCTTAATAAAATAATGGAATTTATTCTTTGAATTAGTTATAAAAACATAACCGGTTTATATCTCTAATAATTGATTTTAGATGTCTGATTTTTATTAAAATTCTTTCAAACAGATAATTAATCAGCTTATTGAGATAGATTTTTAAACCCTCTGTTCTCTGTTTCCAATCTTTCTTTACTAAAACTACTCGAAAGGGCTTTGCAGTTCTTTTCCACCGTTAGAATTTCCTTTCTCATTTTTTCATCTACTAAATCCCGAGCTTCCTTTTCACTACCAAACCATTGATTTCAATCTCTATAACTAAACTTATTATAAAGTTATCTCTACTTTTTCTGCAATATTCGAAAACTTTTAATTCTTTTACTATTAAACGTCCTTTATAGCCAAATTCAACACTTTGCAGATAGCCAAAGATCAATTTGAACTTTTATTATTTCTCTCCTTCCAAATTATTTTATATCGACTGCAATTTTCCAAAATTCTTTACCCTCTCTCTTCCAATTAATTTAGTAGATGTCTAAAAGAATTTTACCAGCCATTTTTCAAATTTGAAATTTAATAATAAAAATAATAAAAAATATTCACACTTGTTATTCTAAAATAAAAATACTACATTCATTTATCCACTCATCGATAAATGCACATAAAGTTTGATTATTTCAATCTAATTCTAATACATGAAAAAAATAATTTCCGAAAAGATACAACTTACACATTTATATAGGTTTATTTTATTTTTAACTTGATATTATAATAAAATGATTTTATGATATATCGAATAGGATACATACACCTAATTATGAATAAACTTTATTCGTTTGATATAATGTATTAAAACACTAAAATTACAAATTATCGTTTTCACATTCTTCTTTCCAGTTAATTATTTTTTATCAATTAAAATCCACTAATTCTCATTTTCACTTTGGATATACCTTTGAAAAAATAAATTTATGGAAATGAAAATTTTAGAGAGTCCTCGCTTACACTTTTATAGAACAGAATACTGATCGTCCATAAAGAAGAGAAGAATGATCATCCAAGACTTTGGTTTGATGAGATAACTAAGCCACACATGGTTTGACATAATAATTTTATTAACTTATAAATGTTACCTAATGATGAGCAATAGAGAATATACTAAATGTTCTAATAAATGGCTGGACCTGATCCGTATGGTAGAATGCTTCAAGTGCCAAATTCTCCGTATTATTCTTGCTGGGGCCCTCCATTTCCTTAACCAATTATGGCACCACCACCCCAAAATCAAAAATTCTAATTCCCTGAACAGTTTACGCATGAATAAGCACTTTAGATGAACTAACTTCAACCCAATTAAAGTGGATTAAACCTAAATGGAATTAACTAAGGTTTATAAAACATGCCTCCGATGCCCATGGGTTTACCTCCTGGTTTTGGGATGCCCCCATTAGGTCCTGGTTAAATGCCATAAGGACCTTTGGGAGCTGGATCTATGGGACCATCTCCAATGGGTGGAATAAGTGGAATGGGTGGAATGGGTGGAATTAATGGGATGGCACCAGGTAGTATGCAATTACCTGGGATGGGTCCAATACCATAAGGACCCATAGGTTAAATACCTCCTTTTGATTTTTAATTCAAGCAATAACCACCAATGCAATCACCGATGAATCCAAATTAAGTTATGGCACCGTAATAGCAACCATTATAATAACAACATATACAGTAACAACCGCAGTTATAATAATAATAAGCTCCTTCTTCATAACCATAGTAACAATCTTCAGGATAAACAAATTAAACCAATAATAATGTACCTCAATAAAATTTGGAATAAGGTACTCATAAATCTTTATATAAATAGGATTCTCACAAGTGGTGAATGAGTTTTAACTTAAAATTTTAAACATGTTTGTTATGCAAAACCAAATGCTGTTGGATTTTAAGAATAAGAATGCGAATTTGGAAAATACCATTACTTCAATATTAGATGAAATAACAAATCTATAAAAAATTGTTGAGTCAAAATTTGATAATATACAAGCAGATGATTTCATGAGTAGATGTAAATCAAAAATATTTATCCTTAGTATCAATACCAAATTAAGAAATGACATAAAATAATATTTTATTGAAGTCATTATAATGTAACTAGAGTGATTTTCAATATTAATTAGTATTGACAAATGATTTGGAATAGCCATTATTTAAAGATAAAAACTTCAATTTAAATATTGCTCTTAAAGACATGAAAGGAATGAATATAAAAAACCATAATAAAATAGAATTGGAGGTTCAATTGTATTCTTCAGATGATAAGCCTGTGCTTTTGATATCAAATTCTTAAAACTAAGCCATTCTGAGGTAACCTGAAGATAATATATGGCTAGAAGAGGGAATATCAAATATCGAAAAATTACAAATAAATGAAGTTACTTCTCATTATTAGAATGGCTGGATATATTTTGTCGTTTATCCAATTAAAAACGATAACAAAATTGTTTAAAATGCAATTAGTCCTACGTAAATAAAACCGTTGATTTATAAAGTCAGTGTAAAATCAAAGAAAACTTAAAAAAAGTATTTACTAAAAATATTTAAGGTCATCCCGTTCAAGATCTAGATCCCATGAAAGATTACGTAGACTGGAAAAGTTGGATGATAGATCCAGTTCAGAATCTGAAAATCACATTTAATTAGAAATATAGAATCTTGATGCCAATGATGAGATTTAATAAGAAAAAGAGAATGATTAGAATGGAGAGTAGAATTAACAATCAGAATAATAGTAAAATAATGAATAAAGGAAAGATGAGGTGCATTAAAATAAAGAAATCTGATCTTTTGAGATTTGTAATGTATTTGCGATACTTATTTATAAATTAATCATTTCAGTCTCCAAGTTTCCTTGATTAATGCTATAAAATTATCGTCTTTTTCAATGTCAGCACTGACTGCAGCATAGTATTCCTTCCATTCCTAAACTTAAATTTTGTATTAATACATCTAAAGTGATATGGCCGGATTTATTTCCTTCCTTAAAATATTGTATCAACTCTATATAAGCTTAATCTTCAGTCAGTTCTCCCCTTGTAACTTTAGGATGATGCTTTGCATTGAAAATCCCTTTGAAATCATCAGCCACAATATAACCCAAATTATCCTTATCAAATTTTTTGAATGCTTAGACTATCACTTAAACTCGGTTCTCATTAGGAGATCCCTATTTATCAATTTATTTTTTACTCTGATTAAATAAAAGAATTCAGCAACATCTATTGATCCATCCCTGTTTCTATCGAGATAATTTAATAAAAACTATATGTAAAATATGGGATTACGTCAGTTTAGAATTTTGTTAACACAACTCCGTTTTACTTTAGACCAACGAGGAATTCATCCTTGTCCATTCTATTATTTTTATCAAATGATTCAAATCCCCTGAATGTCTTTCCTAGAGTTCTAATCGTGGTTTAGGATTTTCCTAATAATGATTTCGTGATCTTTTTAATAACTTATTATAGTAATCTTCTTACTTATATCAAGTTATTCTTGAGGAGTTATCATTTTTACAAGTTATTTTATTTATTTATAAATATTAATTATTTCATTCTTCTCCATTATCATTATAATTCAGATGTAAATTATTTTCAAAACTAAAAATGTTATCATTAGCATAAATTGATGATTTTTAGGTTTATTTACAAAGATCGAAAATGATAAATATTTGTTTAAGAAACTATCGATCTGGTAAAGTAGTATCAAAAGATTTTGATGACATAAATAATAAATATCAATAATTAAATTATGCTCCTTTAATTTGAATGCCTTAGAAAGCATTTGATTTTTGATAAAGCGTACATCCTTTAATGTTATGAAAGAGAAGTGTTCATTGGAGAAGTAATTCTAAAATTTTAGAATATATTAAGAATAGAGCAAAACCCAAATACTATTTTGAAGTGTCACTGAAGAATTTTATTGTATTCCATACTGAATAAGATTATTTTGGATTCTCCATTCCCTATAGAGGAAAGTTAAAGCTATTTCATGCAAATTCCAAAAAAGTCAGAGAACTTAAATTACTTTTATCTGGAAAGATTCTTTTTGGAGACTTGAATTAATTCTATCTGTAAAAGCATTAACTTGGACATGGATCATTTTCATACGTAACCCAAATACTAAATTTAAGGTTAATTTGTTGTAGAACCTGGAAACCAAAGAAATGGTGGCAGCAAAGTTTTTAAGTAAGCAATGGAAACATAAAACAAATACAGAGCGAATGAAGGCAATAATATTAAAATTATTTAAAGGAAATAATAAACGAAAATAATATAGTATAATCTTTGAATCATCCAAATATAACCAAAATAAAAGAGGTCTATGACAAAAATTCAGAGATAGTCATAATCTATGAATTTATCGATGGAGACACCCTTGAGAAATATTTACATGACCATTGTGGGTCTCTAAGTCATTTGGATGTTTAATCTATTATGCGAGTAAATCTAATTAATTTAAATTTCTTAGCAAATACTACTGACATTATTCTATGTTCATCAACAATAACTCATTCACAGAGATATAAAGCCTTCAAATATAATGATTCAATAAAATCATAACATCAAAATCATAGACTTTGGTTTGGCTACAAAAATTGGAACAACTAATAACGACATCTGTGGTACTGTAGGCTATATTGCCCCAGAAGTCTTATGCATTACTACTTAACAATCTGTTTACTCATTTAAGTGTGACATGTTCGCAGCAGGAGCAATATTTTATAAATTGTAATTGTGTGCATGATAATTAAGAATAACTTCCCATGACTTATTCAAAGAGGCTGAAGATTACGCAAATTTTTAATTAAAATTAGACCTTTTACGAAAACTCAACACTCCTGAATCTGGGATTGACTTATTGCAAAAGCTTTTGGATTTCAACTATAAAACTAGATTGAGTGCCAAAGAGGCTTTATCTCATCATTATTTCACTGAATCTCTAAGAGTGTCAGCCAAAAAGTCTTTACAAATGTCTCAATAGAATATTCTATTAGCCAATACTTCTCAAGTTTCTCTGATTGGTACTTCAGAAACTCCGATACAAAATGTTAATATTTTCACGTAAAATCTTAACAGGCGATTCAGGTTTTCAATATAATTAAATAATTGATTTGTACTATTGCATTTATTTTTATCTATTATAAAAATTATATAATATAGAGTTTAAATAGCATTTGAGAAATGAGAAAGAATAAAGAATGTAGATGAAAAATCAACATACAAAAATTATAAAATTATTTCAAATCAAAATTCAGTAGATTAAGTATATAACTAATCTAAGATATTAGTATATCCAATTGATCTTTGTGAATTTGTATGAGACCTAGTTGATTTTTATGATTTATTCTTGGATCCTAATACTCTACGTTTGGTCTCACCTCGATTAAGCAACTCCTCGAATTCCTATAATATTTATTTGTTTTCTTAATTTAACCCACATTTCATTAACTAATCATAAAATAAAAATATACTTTTTAGATTATAACTTAGAAATACTCTTTGATCTATGGATTTTCTAATCTTTCTTAATAATAGGGATAACATTCATAAAACTTTCTTGCTAAGGATTCCTTCATTTAGAGTTTGGACAAGGTGAAAACAATGTTTTAAACTTCAAAATCATTGATATTTTCCTTTAGTCTTCTCAACAATTTCTCAACCAATTATTCAGTCTATTTATCTAAGTATTTCAAAGTGTTCATGAGAAACGTTTTATATTTATCATGACTCTCTTCGTTTGACATAGTAAATATGATATCAGGTAAACTGTTGAGTATTCTTCTTGAATCCTTCTTCTATAATTGGAAGAAGAATCTTTTAGCTGATTATTAAATGTTTTCATCAGGGTCAGTCAATAACATGGCTATATCAGTGATTTCACGTTTGATTTTAATCATATCATTTAATATCAAATGGGATAGCATATTTAATGAAGTCTTTTTTACAATAAAATCCTAATTGCTTAATCCATCAAAAAGTTATCTACAATAAGATGTTACTGTATTTGGCCATCTGTGCAATAGATCACCAATAGCAACTATTAAATTGTTCTTAAATATTCCATCTGAGTTTGGATTTTAAATTAATCGAAACACTTTCTCTATATGGTCTTCGCAAAATTATTCAGATAAACACATAAATTTACACAAGCATAAACCTGCAGATTTATGCAATATTGTCAACTATACATTCTCTTCTTCGATTTCAGCTAATATCTCCAAGACTATTGGAGCATAATTTTAGTAGAATCCTCTTTAAATCACGCCTATTGATATTTTTAATAAACATACTTTATTTGCATAAAGTCTATAAATATACGCAATTATATTCGTATTCTTCTTCGCAACCCCCTTATATTTTGTCCAATTCATTTTCTTTGGCTTCCTCTACATTTCTTAAATGACTTAATTGATTCTCAATTTCATCAATATGAAGAATGATTGCCAGAGCTGACTAACCCACAATAAATAATAATTGGCTGAGTTGTATACATTAATTATTAAATACTAAAGTGGATTCCTCTTCGAGAAAATCTTGAGTGCTAAATAGATTAATAATCTAGATTTACCTTCTTTTAGGAGTCATTCCCATAGAAAAGACTTTGAAACTGAACTTTTTAATTATGTAATCATAAATACTCTCTGGAACAGGTAAAAATTAAATCAAATTTAGAATCTCTTAGCAAGCAACAAACCACAAATTGTTTGGTGTTCCAAAATAGAAATATAAAATTAAGGAAAATTATTAGAAATATTTCTTAACAAGTACTTTGTCTTCTAAATAATAAATTAATTTCGCCAGTTCTATAACAGTGATCCAATTAATTTCTTTTTTCTATCCATCAATGATTTTACTTATTTGATCTAATTTCATTCTGGTTAAAAGATTAGATTGCTACCCAAACATAACTCTTACAAGTTTAGAATACTAATTTAATTATTCGTGTTGATTAGTAGTATAGTTTCTCATAAAGTTAGTCCATACGATTTCAATCGTAGATTCTTGTATCATTTTCTATTTGATCATATATCGAATAAGTTCTTCAAGGTAAATTTGTTCTTTTGGCGATGAAATTTTTAATAAATGAATCAAATTATTAATTGGAACTTAATCATTATCATTTTCGATAAATAGCATATGGAACTTTTTAGCTAATTTATTGACTATTTAAGGGTTATTAGAGTGAATCAACATCTTCATGATGCCAACATCAGTATTTTCTATTTTCTATTTAAATAAAAAACTAATAAGAGAGATGGCTTTATAAATGTCAGTGATGCATTTGCTATTTAATAGTAATTCAATATTTGGCAATAACTTTTGTAAGAGTTCCATAAATTCTTGATATTGAATGAACACAGATTGCAATTTCTTCTTCTCTCTCAAATTAGAGACAACTAGATTTTCTTCATCTTCTAATTCCTTGAATTCTGCTTCGGTTTGCGCATTGCCTTTATCTTCTAATATCTAATCGATGGCTATTAAGGTCTTATGAATTTCAGTTCCTAAATATTCGTTTTACTCTTTGATGTCAGTAATCTTCATGAAATTTTACATCTATAACCCATCAACAAATAGGTTTTTCATAAATCTGATTGAATTCTATATATTTTGAAATTGTACTTTGTTATTTATTTAACAAATGCCAAGGCAGCCTTTCTCACCATCGAAGAGACATCCTACACTCTTGCGATTACCAATGGGAACATCATAAGTTATACGTTTGGAGGGATAAGATTCTATGAGCATACAACTCTTAACATCTTTAAAGTGTGAACTCTAGCATACGCATTTTTATCTATGATTCTTGAGGCCAATTTCTAAATAAGGAATAATCTTTGATTTAATTAGTTTTCTTTCATTTCTACATCCTACTCTACTTTAGACGGATTCAAATGTTCAGTTAGAATATTTGTGATTATTGTATTAATGGCATTTCTAAGACAGTAGCACTAATAATAATAGATATTAATAGTTTACTTCGCTATCGTAAAATTGCAAGAAAACAGGCAAATTTTAATTAAACAAATTTGGCAATTGAGCACTTACTCTTTCAAAAACTTTAGATACTTGTTTTAGAGAATTGCTTTCATTTTATAAAATTTCCAAACTGTGTTGGGCTAAAATGGTAATGAATTGGGTAACAAATGCAGTGTTTTCACAATATATTAGTAAATCTGAAATTTGTTGATCACAATCTTCTGAATTAAATACAATTTGAATCAACCTATTTTTAATGTAATTATGAAGATTTTCTTTTCTAATAATTTTCCTAGCTTAATTTTGTAAACATTGTTTAACATCGTTCTCCCTTATTTTTGTTTTATAAAATTATAATATTGTTTCTATGCCCATCTAACCATGTTTATCATATTGTCCAAATGATGTTAATGTTTCCTTCTATAATTAATACAAATTCTCCTTCCTGTTTTTATTTTAATCATCCAGAGTTGCCTATAAAAATTTCATCTGTAAAATCTCAAACTCCAAGGCATCCTGTCTCTTTAGAACTTCCTTCTCTAGAAACTCTAAGATATCGTCCTTTTGGATCTATCTCCTAGACTAAAAATATACCTATTGCACACCGTAATAAAGGATGGTGAAAGTTTCACTATCAAAATGCTTACTTTAATTAAATTCTTCAATAGCTGATCTCATTTATCTGAGTATCAGTCTGCTATCCTTAGTTTTGAGTGAATTGTAAAGACTATTATCAAACTATCATATAAGTTCATCATACTTAAATATTGGGATATTCACTTAGCTCGTTCATAAAACTTTTTAAATTCAAATAATTTATGCGGCAATTTATTATAAATATATATATAATATATCAACTTACATTACTATTTTCCCAATAATATCCTGAATTACTTTGCTCTTTTTTCTGTTGTTGGACCCAATAGAAATCAGCATTAGAATTTGGAAACTAGACCTCATCTGATTGTTACAAGAGGGGATCTTTCAAATCTATTTTTATGTCAAAATTTTCTTCATTTTCATCAGTAGGGTGTTGAATGGCCCAGATTTCAATGATGTTTATTTACAGTTTCTTCACATAAGGTAGAATGAGAGGTCCGTTTTCATATGAATCATCTGTTTGAGTGCAATAGGAATTCTATAAGTCTTTATCAATCCAGATTCTGTATCCCTCTCCATTCTTTCCCCCAAAACCAATTCCCTTATTGGAATCAAGAAAACAGTAGTTTTATTCTCCTCTTCTTTTGGATCTATAAATCTTAAAATAAGGATAGAGACTGAAAATGCAATCCTTCTTGGTTCCAAAGTACTATTTGGTGTCATACCACCTAAGATTTGTGAGAGCTCCAAATATCTATTATTTGGTCTTCTATTCATATTTTTCTTCATGTTGAAAAAACATAATAGTAGGTAATTTACAATCTAATTGTTTTGAGTATTCAAAATACCTTTGAGTGACTGAACCATTTGATTAAACCCACCTTGATGTGCAACACTTGAATACAACAAGGTCAACTAATTGCAATCAGTCAGCACAGATTAGGTACTCAACAATAATTGGAAGAACAATTCATCAGTTACAAAATATGATGGAGTATTGACAACTGGAATAGTATTCTGAAGGAGACTATAAATAATTTAATTACATTAAATTGTTTTCCCATAAATTTTGCCTAAAAATACTTTTTGATAAGATATTTAGTTCCTGGCATCTACTTTGAGATGAAGTCCATCAATTAAACCCAAGACAAGGAGCCAGATTCATTTTCTAGATTAGAATAATCAAAATACTATATAGTTAATCTACTAATGATTTAATATATTTCTCATTAGTTGGTGCATTCTTTTGAGTATGTTGAAACATTTTAATAATATCCTAAAAGGATGAGGTGGAATAGGAATACTTTGATGACACTGAGAGTATCAAGATAAGTTAATTGCAATTGGGCCAATTCTTCTTTGGATTTTACATATCTATAGTTCTGCAAAGTGATCAAGGACATCAATTCAAATCTTTCTAGGTTCTTGAAGGCTGGAACCGAAGTTTGAACATCCTTCACTAACAGCTCCACTATATATTGTAGGCAATATTAATATTACAGAATTCAAACAAGGGTTCTTTCCTCACAAAACCTTCACTTCCACTGTACAATTCAAGGAACTTAAATAACTTAATTCCGAAGGCAGGATTTTCTGAGAAGATGCCTTCAAAGGAGCGTTAATTGAGTTATTTAGTATCACGAGTTCTAATAATATTATTGTCGTTACTCACTACTTAATTCACAGTAATATTGGAATTGTTGATCCAATTGAGTATATTCAGCTTAATCAAATGCTAAGACTACTGTATTCTTTCTTGAATCGTAACAATTCCCCATGGATCGAATTAATAAATATAAATTATTAAAATAAAACGATAAATGTTTAATCTTTTGATCAATCAAGTAATCTGCTTTGAGTCACAATCATTCTTATCATCGTTGTATTCTCAACTAGATTCATGTGGGCAGTTCGACCAATGAAATTATCCCAATTCTTATCATTCTCTGTGTATATGAAATTCACTTCAATTCTTGTGCATTCTGGTAATTTAATGTTGTCAAGCATAGTTTAATAGATCTGTTGTTTATCTTGCGGAACTCTGGTGGATTTCTCGAGCCTGGCAATTTCAAAGGGGACAAAGTCATCCTGAGTCGAACTGACCAAGATCACTTTTTGGAACCACTCTAAACTTTGAACTGTTGATAGATAATAGAGATAAGAATTCTAAGGCATTGAGGCATCCTACAATTGTAATTCAGCCATACTTTAACTGGATGAGAAATTGGTCATGAACCACAATCCAGTTTTGACTAAACTATTTTATTTTACAAATAACCCTACATGAGGGGATCCAAGACTTACATAAAATTTCATCTTGTTTTAATGCATACTTAAATTACAAAGAGCTGATCTTGCTACTACTCCTCCTAAGGAATGGCATATGAATGATAGTTCATCGATCCCGTCCATCAATTAGATTTAGGCTTAGATTTCGATGCTTAATTTGTGACCCATCACTCTGATTGATTCTTCTCCCTCTCTTTGATTGCAACTAGACAATAATGTAAAGCATTTTGGATAATAGATTTTGATGATGTTCCTCCATCTCCTCATATCAAAAGGAGAACCCTTGTATCCATGGACAAACACAATCAAATGTTTGATTTCTGCCTTCTTTTAATTTAATTAATATTGCTTCATTTCATTTTGCGAGTATTTTAGTAGAATCGGCAGATTGTCCAATATTTCGGTAGATGTGATGGGTAGAATGGGTAAAATTCTTTGGTCTAGTTGTCTCAAGGAATTAATTAAGTTGCAGTTCTTCAAGGTTTTGTCGAATTAAGGGAAATTGTTAATTTTAATGACGAATTCTTCATAAAGATCTTGGAGTTCTGAAATATACTTAAATTTTAATTTCTTCATTAGTTTAGCATAAACCTTTGAAATAACGTCGATGTAGACATACCAAAGCATATACAATTATAGACTGATTGAGTTAATTTGACGCTCTAAGTCTTCACTGTTATATTCCACTTCTCCCAAACAGGCCAAATGGGACTAAATTTAATTATGTTTTAAAATACTAAATAATGTGCAAATTTTGTTGGCTCCGTTATAAATTCCGCAATGGTCTCTTTGTATTACTGAATAAATTGCTTGAATATCGATTCCAGGTAATCAAATGTTTTCTATTACAATAGTTCGTATTGGCCCTTTCTCTTGTATTTTTGAATGTAGTCAATCATTGTTAATCCATCCTTTCGCTATTAATACTTTAGGTCTATTAATCACTTAATCATACTCAAAGGCAACGAGAACACAAAGCAATTTATCACGCAAGCCGTGTTGGGATCGAAGGTGATAGGCAAATAATTGTGATTGATTTGTTTTAGAGAATGAATGACGTAGGTCTGGGAAGACAGTTTGTTTAAGGGCAATGCTTCCAGGCCTTAGAATGTTTCCGCAGATTTACTGTCCAGAAAAAATAAATCAACTTGCAATTCTACAGAGTTTTATTGCGCAAATGTATTTTGTTCTATTCTAAATATACATCCCTCGCATAAATTAATCTAAATTCTAAGCATTTATACCTCCTCATCCTCATATCTGATGGCGAAAGAACTTGATAGGTAATATTGATCGCGGATGTCCTATCCCACCAATCTTTAATCCCTTTGTTTCTTCAATTTGGTGATCCCCAATTAATCCAAAGTCAAATATGGCAAATGTTTTGGTATTGATATTTAGATCCTGTAGATTCCTTATTAAAATAGATCAACATTTCGAAAATTTCGAATAAACACTAACAATTCAATTTATGTTATGAAACTCATAAATTTAATATAATCTTTTTATCTACATTAACTTCTATTTTATAACCTAATTCATAAACTCAAGTTATGGATCATACCGCAATTACTAACATTCTCAACAGCTATGGGTACACTCATATATTTATAGTCAAGCTTCAAAGGTCCAGAACCACAATATAAAACCATCAATTATTCGATAGTCCCTAAAAATCTAAGTTTGGAAGATCACATAGAAAAACCGCAACTTGAAATCCTCCAACAATTGAACGAGGAAAAGAAATGCCGAGATCTTGTTGAAATCCATGGCATCACCTTAGAAAAAACTAAATAATTTTATGCTGATAAAATCAAAGAATACAACGATGTAATCGATTTAAAGCATATCAAAAATAAAAGAAATCAATCCCAATCAGTCGAAAAATAAAACAACCAAACATTTATTCGATTTGCAGGAGATGAAGGTAAAATCACTAATTTTCACATTTCCATCAATTCAAAGAATCTCATCCCCTTATTGAATGAAATCAACAAGAGGGCAAATAATGAATAGACTCTAGAAAACCCACTTAGTTGCAGAAGATCAAATAGAAATAATCAAAATAACACATTGAAAACCTCAAACAATTACACCAATATCAAGTATACTCTACAGACAATCAAACCTAAATAGCCTTAGAATATCACTCAAAGATTGGAATAAAAATTAAATAACTATGATCGCTTAAACTAAAGCTAGATTAGCCCAATGAATCAAGTGAACTTTAATGAAGATCTTTCCATTGATGTGATTAAGAAGAGAAAATCCTTTTCAATCGACCTTAAATTCAAAAGAAGGAACTCTGAAAAAAAGAAAACAAACACATACTCCAAATAGCAAAGATAGGACATCCCTAAAGTAGTTATATGATGATTTTAAGATAGATTTATCATAACTGATTTCCGATTCCTTTAGATAAAACTTATCAAGTTCTTGTTAATATGAAGATGATTTAGACTAAAATTCACAAAGAGACTCCCAATTAAATTGCAACAATTTAGAATTGACTCAGATCTAATATCCACCTCTGGAGACTAAAATTGAATAATCTAATTTGGGTTCAATTGATTAAACTGAAAAAGAGTAACTACCTGATATTTATAAAGACATAAGTAAATATTAATTGTTCATTAACATAGAAATTAATCAAAACATTGATTTTGAAGAGAGAAGAAAAGTGTTAAAAAGAAGGAAAGAAGTTGTACATGACATATTAAACAAACAGAAACCTAAATTTTTACATATTTGTGGATCCAAATTTCCAGTTATTAATAGTGAACAAAATTGGAACAACTATAACAACCTGAGAATTAGAATAACAGAAAGAGAACTCTAATAGAAAGTGAATTAATTGAGAAATACAAAAGAATAATATTAAGATTTTGAGAATCTGTCTATGTTGTCAGGACCACCTATTATTACCAGTTATATTACTAATAATCTAAAATCAGATTATTAGGATGTCAAAGTTACTAAGATTATGAAATAGCTGAATACTTTTAAATAGTGAATTTGATCCTTTGCTTTGAATGTGAAATATTTATTATAAAATATAAAGTTAATATCAATCTCAAATGTAAAATAAAAATAAGAGATCCATAACCTATGATTTAATCGAAAACAATAATTAAGATCATACCATGATTTATAAAGGAAGTCTTATGGGAAACAAAAAACCATACAAGTTAAGGCTTGAACTGAAACCACTCAAAGAGGAAATCTCCTCAACTTAATTCGGAGAGATAGTGGAAAATGAAGATTTCAAAAAATTAGATGAACTAGACAGAGATTCCAAAAAAAAATAATAAGCTAAAAATAAGACTTCATTAAAACTACCGATCATTTATAAAATTAGATCAAAATCCTCTCAAGTTTAAACCTATTTATAACCATGCTCAATTTCAGATGCTGAAATTATGGACAATAGTAAGTAAGAAAAACTATGTAATAAATTAATGTATACATTAGCCATGAGACCCATATTCAAATCTATCAATCAAATCTTAAGTAAACATCAATAAAAGGCCAATTATCCAAAAATTAATACTGAATTTGAAAACGATAAAATCTCAAATGATCAAAGCATCTTAAAGTAATTTTAATTTGTATTAAGACTCTCGCAGTTTCTAAGTCAAAATTAAAATAATAACATAAACATAGGAAAATACGTCCAAGAGAAAATAGAGTAAAAGAGAATTAATAATTTTCGATAATTATATAAAAATGCTGTTAAGTATTAAAGCGATGATGGTAAACCATATTTGTAAACTAACTAGAAGAAAATGGCTGCATTCTCTCCAACAAAGAGTTATAATAAGTTGAGCATATCAAAAACAGAAGAAAAGTCATTTTAAAAATGGCTCAAAGAAAATCTCCAAAGTTTCTCTACCCCTTAGGCCCCAAAATAAGGGTTCCTAATTTTTCTTTAGAAAACCAATATTTTTAGATTTAATAAAACTTAACTAGCAGAGCTTAAGGAGTCTAATTATCTCCCAAAAAGAGAAAAAACTACAATTTCGAGGATGACATTTCTATCCAGAAATTAGATAGTCCACCCAAAGATAAATGCTTTCCTACTTCCTCAATGTAAGAAGATTACCTAAATATTAAGATTTAATAAATTGTTAAGTCTTTACTATGATTTTAATATTATTTTAAGTAATTTAATCAATATTCTACCATGGAATGATGTTATCAAATGAAATTTTTAATCAGAACATTATTCAGTTCTAATGAAATTGATGGTTAGAATAGATTTAGTATTTTTAATATTTTTGAGTAAACAAAATAATGAGTAAGATTATTTCTTTTTACTATAACATAATTTTATCTATATAAATAACACATTAATAAATAAATAAAGATCAAATTTAGTCATTTTCCCATCTTCTAGCAAACATAATAGGATCATTATTCTATTTTTGATTTTCTAACAATATTTCTTAGATGATTTGGAAGTCTTTTTGTAATTTAACTAAGCTGATTTTTTATAAATAATGCAATAACAATTAAGAGAAACTAACTGTAAATTCAGATAAATCTTTATTGAAAAATTATTCAAACTATTTATCAGGAGTAATATAAAATACAGTTTCAACTTTTGAATAAAATGATAAAAAGTTATCGATCCAGCCTTAGATAATGCCTTGTTTATTTGATGGGCAATACTTTTAAACATAAGTTGCCTTGATTCCTAAAAGCTTTCTGATTAAAAAATAACATTTTTATTTATCTTCTGTATTAATACAATCAAACTATTTAAGGACATTATTTAAATACAACAAAAATTTGTAAGTAGGCCTTATTGCTGCAGAAAGAAATTCCTCCTTATCATCTTAAGAATTGGAATTAAAATCACTTGTGAATTTATCAGTGATAACATTTTATATAGATTTGGTTTAGGATGCAAATTGCCTAAATGAAGAGGATGTATTAGTTTAGAAATAACAATTTCGTTTATTTTCCTAAGAGTTCTTTTATAAGCTCAATCCAGATGATTTGAATGCTGGAGTCATGATATTTTATTGAGATTATACAACCCTAACAGGGGACTTCTTTTGTTAAATAGAATTGCTATTTTAAACTGAGTAGGATTACTTTTATAAACTTTATGAAATATCTATAATTTTTTGTTTTTCCTATAAAATCTAATGGCAGTTTGAAAATTAATGATTTTTTATAGTGTCATTTGTGCTATTCCTCTAACTATGTTAAATACAATCACTTTCTTCTCCAGAATACCCATAGATGTTGCTATTATTATCAAAATTTTATGTTGTTATAGGTATCTTAATGGCAGTTATTTTTTCTTACTCTTTTTATGAGGTTTATTTGAGTTATTATTATGGGATTACTTCTTGATTTTTGTTTTACATATCAATTAATTCAGTTGATTATTAGTTTTTAAGCCTAGATTCAAGAGTTAAAGTAGAGAATTTTATTGGTGATTATTGTAAAGGCTTAGGGATTGCTTCAATTTATTATGTGTAAGACTCTTTTATTGGTTATTCTATTAATAAATTTAAGTTAATTTAATTGATTTAAAGAGCTAATTCAAAAGGTTTCTCTTCTAAATCAGTATGGCTTTTTTTTGCATCTATAAGTTAGGCAACTTAATTTATTTTAATAACCTTTTTAGAATCTAAATTTTAGAATCCTATTATTTCTTGTGATTTAAAATTTAAATGTTGCTTGGGCTAATTTTCACTGATAACTCCTGCGTTGTTTGAGAGTGATTAATTATTTAGCAATTCATCTTCTAATTATTATCTAGATTATTATAGATCTTGAGAAATAGAACTGGTTTTAATAGATCTATATGGAATGCTTTGATGTGAAAGAGTTGATATTTTCTTAGGTTGTATCGAAAGGTTTGCTATGATTTCATTAATGGACATTCGCTTTTCTGGGTCTATATTCAACATATTTAGCATAAGTTCTTTAGTTTTAATAGTAGTTATTGTATCATTTTTTATTTTGTTGATCAGAAATGAGTGTTTCTTACTTAATTCGTTTTCCTGTTTAGAAAACGAAGGGAGTTCTCGATATATCATCTAAAATAACACAATTCCTAAAGCCCAAATGTCTGATTTTTCTGAGTATACATTATTTTGCACAGTTTCAGGAGCCATGTACATTGGGGTGCCCACATTAAACTTCTTTATGATGCTCTCGTATTGGTTCTCAATAACTGCAAAGCCAAAGTCAGCTAGTTTGTAAGATCCATTAGATTTTAATATATTGGCTGGTTTGATATCTCTATGTATTATTTCTATTAATTTACCATAAAGGTGTTACTTTTATCATGTAATGCTTTAATTCCCTAAGCAATTTATTAGAACACTTCTAAGGTTTATGTTTCTGTGAATTTTGTGGAGTCTAAAATTTCAGCCAAATCCCGTTCGTTACAATATTCGCAAATCAAATATCTATTATTTTTAGTTTCAAATGTATCATAAATTTTCATTAAATTCGGATGATCTATCAAACTCAATACTTGTATTTCATTTTTAAGCAAACTTTTGGAAATTTGAGTAATTAATTATTGAATACTTATTACCTTAATTGCTACTACTTAATTGGTTTTTGTATTAATTCCCTTATATACTTTTGATGAGTATCCGGAACCAATTAAATCATTATACTCATAAGTATAATTAGATATAGTTTTCCTAATATTTTAAGAATTATTATTCATTTATTTTAATATCAAATATTTTAGACTTTCAAATTCATTTCAAATCAAATTTAAGATTTCCACCTTTAAAGATTAATTCTCACTACTTTTCCAAACAATAATTTGAAATATATATAGAATTATAATATTATTTGAAATCTTTAAGTCAAGTCATTTTTATGTATCCAAAAACACATAATTCTGTATCACTTTGAAATCCTTTTCTAGTTAACCAATTCATTTTTCACATTGTTCTTATCTTTTTGGATAAGAATTTTTAGAATATTTTATCATCTAAATCACATTATTATCCATAAAGCGGATAATGAGTTAAAGATTAATATTCTTTGTAAAAGATTCCCTTAATTTTTAACTCTATTTTGATCATTCATCACCATCTTGACACATAATATATTATTTTGTTTTAATTTCATCCATCTCATAAAATTTGCATATTTCTAATTATTTCATATCCTCATATTTGTTAATTTTGTTAAATGATCTGAATTATTCCACTCTCAATATTTACATCTTTTAGTTTTATTCACTTTTTGATTTGTGCTGATAAATATTTTCAACCATAAATTGTTATTATTTAATTTTGTATGATTTTAAACTAATTATGAACTTTCATTTTTCTTATGTAAAGAAGGAGGGAATTGAAATTATTAAACTAAATATTCATAAATACTACCTAAAATTATTTAATCTAGATACCATAGATTTTCCATGTTTTGCTTTAAACATATTAGTGTCTGATACAACACAAAGGAATATCAAGACATTGTGAACTTTGATCTTCCTTATTAGTTTGATTATCCTATATGTGAATGAGGTTCTTTGTCTATGAACCTTGCCTAATAAAAAATCCTTAAATTTTGTCTACTTGTAGTATGTTAATAAATTGAGCTAGAAGAAGCATTGAGACTTGTTGTGTTTGCAGATCTATAAATTATTTCTTTTGGAGGAACAATATATTCTTAAGGAATTAAAATTGTATATATCTACTCCTGCTAAATAATAGTAATTATAAAAATAATATTAATTTACTTAGTTAAAAAAGTTGGGTATTTTTAAATTAAATTCTACCCAGCTAAATTCTGAATACAAATTAAATGAAGATTGATACTTATATCAATAATTTCATTTGAATTTACTCATTAATATAAATTAAATTTAAAATGGAATGGTTTTTGATAATTGTAACGATAGTGATGGCACTATTGTTATTATTTGTGAACTTCTACTTACTAGTTTTGTATTGTCATCGTATTTTAATGAAATCTATAAAATNTTTTGATGAGTATCCGGAACCAATTAAATCATTATACTCATAAGTATAATTAGATATAGTTTTCCTAATATTTTAAGAATTATTATTCATTTATTTTAATATCAAATATTTTAGACTTTCAAATTCATTTCAAATCAAATTTAAGATTTCCACCTTTAAAGATTAATTCTCACTACTTTTCCAAACAATAATTTGAAATATATATAGAATTATAATATTATTTGAAATCTTTAAGTCAAGTCATTTTTATGTATCCAAAAACACATAATTCTGTATCACTTTGAAATCCTTTTCTAGTTAACCAATTCATTTTTCACATTGTTCTTATCTTTTTGGATAAGAATTTTTAGAATATTTTATCATCTAAATCACATTATTATCCATAAAGCGGATAATGAGTTAAAGATTAATATTCTTTGTAAAAGATTCCCTTAATTTTTAACTCTATTTTGATCATTCATCACCATCTTGACACATAATATATTATTTTGTTTTAATTTCATCCATCTCATAAAATTTGCATATTTCTAATTATTTCATATCCTCATATTTGTTAATTTTGTTAAATGATCTGAATTATTCCACTCTCAATATTTACATCTTTTAGTTTTATTCACTTTTTGATTTGTGCTGATAAATATTTTCAACCATAAATTGTTATTATTTAATTTTGTATGATTTTAAACTAATTATGAACTTTCATTTTTCTTATGTAAAGAAGGAGGGAATTGAAATTATTAAACTAAATATTCATAAATACTACCTAAAATTATTTAATCTAGATACCATAGATTTTCCATGTTTTGCTTTAAACATATTAGTGTCTGATACAACACAAAGGAATATCAAGACATTGTGAACTTTGATCTTCCTTATTAGTTTGATTATCCTATATGTGAATGAGGTTCTTTGTCTATGAACCTTGCCTAATAAAAAATCCTTAAATTTTGTCTACTTGTAGTATGTTAATAAATTGAGCTAGAAGAAGCATTGAGACTTGTTGTGTTTGCAGATCTATAAATTATTTCTTTTGGAGGAACAATATATTCTTAAGGAATTAAAATTGTATATATCTACTCCTGCTAAATAATAGTAATTATAAAAATAATATTAATTTACTTAGTTAAAAAAGTTGGGTATTTTTAAATTAAATTCTACCCAGCTAAATTCTGAATACAAATTAAATGAAGATTGATACTTATATCAATAATTTCATTTGAATTTACTCATTAATATAAATTAAATTTAAAATGGAATGGTTTTTGATAATTGTAACGATAGTGATGGCACTATTGTTATTATTTGTGAACTTCTACTTACTAGTTTTGTATTGTCATCGTATTTTAATGAAATCTATAAAATATAGCTGATGATAGTGGTTGGGGTTCATCATTAGTATGCAAAGTATTTGTGATTATTGGAATGACATTGACTTGGGCTTAAGTGTTGATGTTGCCATTGGATGCAGCAAATTCAAGGTAAAGAAGTTAACAAATTGAATTAGAGGCCTTGGAGAAGGTTTGGATATGGATTTCTTTTGGAAGTTCATCTACATGTTGATTTTGATATTTGGAACCCTTTTTATCCCATTCGCTCAATACTATTACGAATCAGATGATGAGAAGTCTGTAGGCTAACGATGCTGTGCAGCTCTCTATTAACAATTATGTTTTGTAGTAATTGTAGCACTTTTGCTATTTATTTCCTATGCATTTTTACGATTTGCTGATATCCCAGTCTACATTTCAGTCAAATCCTGTGCATAGCCAACAATTTTCTTGGATTCTGAAACCCCATTTACAGGCGTAGCAAATTCTTTGCAGGAGGATTCGGCTGACACTCTGGAATATGAAGTTAGTTTCCCAGTTTATGTGATGGCATTTATGTCATTGTTTGGGTATTGCTTATTCGTGATTTTTGGGGGAGTTGGTTTAACAGCATTACCAGTTGATTTGATATAAGAATTTATACATAGACCTAAAAAATTGACAACTGCAGAGGGAACGTAGAAGAAAAGCAGTCTAAAAAGGAAAGCCTTTGAATTGATTGAGGAAGGCAACAAAATTAGAGATGAATAAAAAGAGGCGACTGCTATAAAGGGATGGTGGGCCAGCTATAGAGAGAAAAGAAGAGTGCGGACTCAATTTACAAGATATAAGAATGCAGTTCTATGTTTAGATAGAGATAACGAAATATTCAAAATGGAACTTAAATATTTTGATACCAATCCAGTTGTTTGGTATTTTAAATTGGTGGTTGGAGTGATATTCTGCGTTATTTCTTTCATATGGTGGTTGCACATGTATATAATTAATTGAAATGAATAGACTGCTGTTTATAGTAATAAGAGATTCAGATGGGATATCAGCAAGTCCATTTCTTAATAAAATTTTGATTGGCTTAGAAGATGGAAATGCAGGGTTTTTATGCGTTGGTATATTTGGATTCCTTTGCATATATTTATTGTGGTGCACTTAGAAGGGCAACATTAAATTTGGTCTCAGGATTCCTTTTCTATTCTCCTTGCATATAATGAAGTATGATGTTCTTGATTATCATAGAGTAAATGAGACTTGGATGAATACTTTTCTATTTAATGTCCAGCTGATGTTAATCTGTTCGGTGGCTGTTACTTAGTTTTGTACCAAGGCGTTTTCCCAGTACATTAGACTGAGCACTCTCAATAGTAAATCTTTGTTTTATAGTAGTGTTGTTTAGTACTCAAATTCAATACCTACGGTTCTTTACTTATTTATATTCTAACAATGTATTTGAAATTATCTTACTGGTCTGGTCAGTTTTAACAATGATATATTTGCTTATCAGAAGATCAGACAAACCTAAAATCCTTAAGGAAATCGAAGAAATGTAAAAACAAGAGTTCAAATGAATTTAATAATAATTATTAATGTTTTTACTTATATTAATTTCAAGAGTATTTGGAACATGCATTACGAGTATTGGAAATTTAATGGGAGACACATTGACAGATCCAAAACTTGAATTATTGAAATTGGCACCCTATATCTATTTCAGTGGCAAAGGGTATGCATTTTCATTTATTTTTAGGATCAACGATTTTGGATTCTATGAAGACTGTACAAATTAATACTAATATGCGGTCATACAATTTTTTGTTCCTACAACTCCAGCCTCTGTCAACATTGGGATTTGCTTTACTAAACAATGTTCCATCACAGACATCAATTCCTCAATTTAAACACTAAAAAAATGGATCTTGCCCATCGCCTAAGGTATATCATAGGTCTTGATTTGAAGTTATATTTCAGGTTGATCTCACTGAGTATGAACTCAAATTTCTGGATTCACAAGTCACTCCTTAGCCTTAATTTGCTACTTATATACTTATATCATGTTTGATAGCATTCCTTATATTATAAGTATACTTCACATATTTTCATAAAAAAGACATGAAGGTTCCTTAATAACAACTCTAAGAAGAAAATCAACAAAGAGATATCTAAGAAGTGAGTACTTATTTCGATGAAGAATAATAATTAATTAATCATGCTAATAAAACTAAATAAAATAGGAAAGGAATTAAATTAAACGAATTTTATGAACTTTATCTAAATTTTGACTTAAAAGTCAATTATGAAGAATGTTGTAAACCATAAGAGTCTAGATACTCATCATTAAATGGAATTCGTGTCTTGGGATTTTTTATGTGTGTTTTTGGAAACACAGGAATCTCAATGCTTTTGCAATGTGATTTTTATTAAGTTTAACATTACAGCAATCATTACATCCTGTTGGTAGTCTTTGGATGCCTCTATTCTGTGGAAATATTTTTGTGGCTTTCTGGATTTTTTGCTGTACTTTCACTCGTTAAATTGAATTGTCTCTATTCCTTAACCTTGAGAATATGCAAAATCTGGCCATTGATGGTCTTGATCATTCTAATCAATACACAAATAATACCATATTTGGGAGAAGGTCCAAGATGGTTTTATATAGAGAGATATACCAAATGTGGCAAATGGTGGTAGAACATCTTATTTATTAACAATTTTGATGATGAAAATTATTGTACACTTTGGTTATGGCAATTATCACTTGATGTTCAGTTGACAATTTTATGTGCCATAATCATAGTCTTGTATAAACGAAGCAAAATGGCAGCAATAATATTAACAAGCATTCTACTTTTAGCTTCACAATCATATGTCATATACACTTGTTTAGAAAAAGAGTATGGCATCCCCTACTTTGCTGCATTCACCACTGATATATACAAGGCATTTTACTATAGACCTTGGTTTAGAGCACCACCTTATTTTGTAGGCATGCTAACAGCCTTTTTTGTGATCAATTTCAAAAGAAAATTGAAGCTTTGGTTTTAAAATGCTCTCTAAATTCTTGGTTTTTTGATAATCCTCTATTTAACAGTTGGTTGGTATGATACTATGTAATTTGGTGAAGATTTCTATCCAAAATTGTATTCACAAATTTATGAAGGAGTAATGAGAACCATCTATGCTATAGGTATCACTCTATTTGTATTGCCAAATCTATTAGGAAATCATAATATCATCTATTAATTATTAAATTACACTCCAATCAAATATATTGTGAAATTTACTTTTGTTGGATATCTATTACATATGTTGGTAGTTGAAGTTGTTATAGCATCATTTTACCAAAGTTTGGACTTCAATGTCTAGAGTATTGGACAAGTCTATGTAGGGTGCATTGTAATTATTTCTGTTTTTAGTTTTATATTCAGATGGTTAATTGAATTACCAATTGAAATAAAACATTCAATTAAAGAGAAGTCTTAATCTAAATTATACCTATAGAAAAAGAATGTTGATTTGATTTGATCCAATATCATTGTTATATTATTTTGTATAGAATTTCCATTTAATAATTTTATATAGTATTTTCATTTACGAAATAGCTATCCCCCATTATATCACCATGTTCAAAGCAATTCTGAAGACTGTAAAACAAGAAAAGACTAAATCTTCATTGTCTGAATAGTAGGATATTGCCCAGATACCAAAAATTGAAGAGAAATAGTGTCAAATCAATTTCAATAGACAAATTTAAGAGTATTTACCCTATTAAGTCCCCAATTCAATCGAAGCAATATTCTATTTCAAAGAAATTCTCACTCAACAATAATAGGAATATTTGATGAATGAAATTTATAATCAACCTAAGAGATGGGTTGACTTACCTCATTCAAATAGAAGAGTTTAAAAATATGGCGGAGATGTGAAAGAAGAAGGTCTTATCAATGTAGAACCATTGCCAGACTTTTTATCTTAATTATCAGTATTGATTAACTTTAGATTATTAGAATTTATGCTTTTTAGATGATAATACTCTAAAAATTAATCATGCCCTTATTAACGAATACGCTCCAGGCATAGGTATCCATCCTCATTTCGATGGCCCTCTATACCACAACTTTGTTAATATCTTTAGTATCAATAGCACTTGCATTTTTAAATTTAAAAAGGAAGATCAATCATTGAAACTTTTTGTAGAACCAGGCAGTCTATTAATTTTCACTAAGCAAGCATACACAGAATGGCTTCACGGAATAAATTATCACCACGATGATACAATTTTATTGAATATCAAAGACAATTAGGTCTGTCATACAGATTTGATTAATTTCCCTTAAACCTTGCTTTGTCAAAACTTATTGAAAGTCGAAAATATTATTGAATATTTGAATAGTTAGCCTAATTACGAACTATGTCAAATTCAAAATGATAATTAATTCACTCATTCTTTGATTATCAGAAGATTGCTCAGAGTATCAATTACTTTAAGACATGTACCTTATAAAAGAATGTGAGTAAAATTAATGTGTGATATCATCTAAATATAAGATTAATGTTTGTCTATAAATAAATCCATAATAGTTTTATCATAATTCTGAATTTAATTCATTCTACTTTTTATAGAATTTAGATTTGATGTAATTGGTTTCGGAATTCTTATTTCAAATACTTGGTTTAAACCGAAAAGTTACCTAAGAGAATGAGCTATATTTCTAAAATTTTATAATAATCTTTGCAACTTTTCAATTAAAATTCAACATTATATTTTTCAAAAGTGTAAACTTTTATCCATTTTATAACAATAAACATAAAGCTACCAATTTAACTCATCCATCTAAGGGCTGTTTTCAATAAAATTAGTATAAAAAAAAGTAGATAATAAATTGCAATAATTTTTTATAAATCAACAAAATACACGACTCCAAACTGAAAATTATTAGTAAATAATATACCTTAGACTTCAGAAATTTATTTCTAGAATTTGAGTATGTTTCTAATATATGTATAGATATTATTATTAATTCTTTTATTTAGACATCTACCCAAGATAAGTCAAACGTAATTTATATTACAAAATCTGAATGTTTATTATTAATTCTTTACTAATTATAAGAATATTTCAGACAATAGGCTTTGCTATTTTTATTTAAAAAAATATAAAATAGATATTATTTAATTGGTATCTAAAATGGAGCATAATAGGTAAACTATTATGAATACTTAAGATAGCACAAATGAAGAGTCTAATTTAGATTAATACAAATTTCGAGAGATATTAATTTAATAATTAATTGTTATTTTTTGCTTCGTTACAAAACTTATATTTTATCAATAAAATTATTTAATCAGTAATACCATCCTCCTTATCTGTATTGAGATGGTCCTTATTGCATTTAAGAGTAAGGATATCTGGGATCCACTTAATAGTCATCAAATCTTTAATCATACAAAGGAGGTGGAAACTACCTAAGATTGTATAGAATTTATTTTACGTATTATATTAAGGCATAGTCTAAGCATTTGGTTATGGTTTGAATTATGCTGGTTGCTAGGTTTGGTTAAAGGAATAGATTAAGACATGCCAACCATTTGACTTATAATTTCAATAGTAATTACTTTGAATTCCAATACTTTGTCATCATTATTATAGTAACTGTATTGAGCATTCAGCCCATTCTTATGTTCCCACATAAATACAAACCAATAAGGTCCATACTTGCCATCTAATCTGTGCTTCACAAAATCTGCTGGATTCTTGTATTCTTGTTATGTTCTACAACTTTTATAAAATTCCAGAATGTCAATTTTCAAAGCCTCATGAATCCCATAACCTTGTTTGATAATCTAAGTTATTTCAGCTTGAGTACTTCTAAGTTATCATTATCATCTTCATCAAAGCTTTTAGCCTTTTTAATGCGAGGTTGCGGTTGTGCTTAATATTCTTATTGATAATATTGTGCTTGTTGATTCATTAATTAATGTAATAATAATAACAAAGAAATTCACTTGTTTAAGAACTGCTGAAATCTATCAACTAAGTATTGCAGTCTATATACTATTCAATAGTAAAATCAATCTCTCACAAATCAGAACAAGGTCTTACACGAATTCCAATGGTTTGAATTGGATAATTAAATAAGGATTCGAGTGCATGAATTAATGGAACCTCATCTTAAACTATTTCTTGATCAAAGATTCTAATATGATATGTAAAATTCTACCTATTAGCATATAAGTCTAGCTGTTAAATTAGAAAAATACATCCAAAATTACGAAGAATTTAAGTCTCTCTATTTTCAGAATGGAAAAAATTAATCAATTGTCCAACAACTTCAATAGCAGATGACAGAATTAGAATCTCGAATTGAATAATTGTAGTAGACAGACTAATTTACTATCAATGAGATCAATAAGAAAGTTGATTTATTATAAATTTCTAAAGACCAGCATCTTCAATAAATAACTCTTTTAGACAAAAATTAATGTCAATCTCTTTAATCGATGGAAAGCTTTAGACAGTAAAATCAACAATTTAAATAACTATTATTAGAAAACTTAGATTAAGTTAAATTATAAAATAATATAGCTGTTAATAATGTTTAAGATAAGTTATTAGAAGTAAATCTTAGAATAGATAATTAATACAGTTATTAAAAAGATTTAACATTAAAAAATGATAGAATTTTTGAAGAATTGAGTACTCTGAATAATAAAATGATTTAACAGATCTCTTGGGTATCTCAAGATTAAAAAAACATAGAATTGCTCTAATAAATAGTTCCAAAGTTTGATGAATTGTTAGCGTAAGATAGATACGTTACTAATGAATTGCAGTTCATGAAAAACAAATAATCTTATTTTGAAAATTACATTGAAAAATATTTTCCGTTATTTCTCTAAGGTAGTATCTCCCAAACTTTGCATAACTGCTTAGATGACAGTAATCTTTATAGACTAGCTAAATTTGAAGAAGAGAAATTCACCCTTCTGAATAACATCATTGTTGAAGATAAAGGCACTCCTGATCTAGACAAAAGAATTCATGAATATACTTCAGTTATTGAAGAATAACTCAAAAGAAACTTTTAAATACTTAAGAACAATGTAAATAAATAATCAATTAAAAAAAAAGAACAAAGTATGGAATCCTAAAGTGTTTATCCCTAATCAAAGAACAAATAAGATTTTTCAGACATATAAAATTTATTAGAGAAAAACGAAATAGAATATTTCATACAACAAAGGCTAGTTGAGTTTAAAAAACAAATTGATAAGAGTTTAAATCATCTATCAACAACAGTTGACACATTAGAACAGACGTATGATCTCTTGCATTAAAAGATGATATCTCAATTTGAGTAAATGAAGACTTAACATAATTAATAGATTCTTCAAATCGAATAGCAATTATAAGAATTAAATGAATCATTTAGTGCAGTTCCTTTATTTATTAATGAAATTAATGAAATATAATAATAGCAATAGCAGAATATCAAGAAATTAAATCAATTTTAGATTTTAAATAGTGAAAAAAATTAATCGGAAACTCAATTAAATGATCAAAGATATACATTAGAATAATGTTAAGATATTTTGAATGAATCGATATATTAATTAAAAAATGAAAATGATTCTATGTGTTAAGAATCTCCAATAAAAAAACTTTCATCATAACTAAATGTTGATGATAGGAAAAGTGTTCGCACAAAGACGGCATCACAAAGTGGAATGCGTAAAAGTATAAAGAGCATGCATAGTTCAAGTTAAACTAGATCTTCAAATGATAAAAGAAAGTTTTATTTATTAGGTTCTAAGCTATAACAGGAAGTTTGTTAAAGCATGAATCTTTCAATTCTACAACCAAGGAAAACAAATTCGAGAATCTTATTTTAAAGCAAAGCCTATGTAAAAGATTGATTATAAAATATATTAAGATGTATTGATACTTATGATAAATTAATGATAAATAAAATAATTTTTATTTCATCCACTAATCTTAATCTATTTATTGCTCAGAATCACAAACTTATTTTTAAAAAGTTTGTTGATTTAATTATCACTGAAATTTTCCTTAAATGGTATTTAATTGTAATTTTGACTCTTGAATTTTGTTGAGGTGAGACTCTCATAGTTTTTGCCATAAGTCTAGAATAAAAGTTAGTTGTTTATTTTTAATATTTAAAATGCCTTGTATTGTTCCATAAACAATTAGGAAATTTTAATGTCTTATAGTATGATTGAGATCTGGCATAGTATTAGCAAATTTTATTGTTTTCATAAAAATATCTATGTTCCCTTATTGATTATCAAAAATAGATGAAATATATTTTTCATTAATGATTGTAAATTTTTTGATTGAAAACTTAAGAGTTGAGTTAATTTAGAATGAAAAATTCAACTTTGATGATGCTCAAATATTGAAATTAGACTAATAGTTATGATATATTATTCTATTTCAATATTAATTTAAAATTCGGATAGAAATAAAGATAAGTTCCTCAATATTAAAATATTCTTAAGTAAATAATTAAGTAAAAAACCTGTTTACGTAACACAATTTTGAGTTCCAATATAATTATTAAATATATTAATATGATAACAGATGAACCAACTGTTGAAATAACAAAAGAAGTGTTGTAAGGATTGAAGATATAGAAAGTATACAAGGACTTTGTAATATTAATACCTATTTATTAGCTGAAAGAAATCAACTCAATAGATTTTTCATAGAATGGATAATATTTGGTTGCATGTGATGATCAAGTTGTAAATGTTTTTGACATCGCCAATATGAAGTATGTTATGTGAGGATGAAAATGTAGAAAGATCAGGACGATGTACAATAACACTTAGGAGATTGATATGGTGAAATTTACAAAGGATTAGAGTCATATAATTTGTGTGACAAAAAATGAACCATGTAAATGAAATATGCTATTTAAGATGAGATCTGGCATTGGGCGTTTGAGGAGAATCAAATATTGAAGAAGTTTTCTGGACACACTAAAATGTAATTGAAGTAAAATTATTAGTAAGAATTTATTAACTAGAAATTTATAATCAAATAATTCTAAGTTGCAGTTTTGATGACACCTTACGATTATGGGAGTTGAATCAACAGTAAGACTCCTGTTATGCAGTGTTAGACATGAGTTCTAAACCTGATAATAGGGTATTAGGGGCTTTTGATTGCAGTGGGAATTCTTTCGGTATGGCTTTTGTAGAGAAGGAGAATGGGCAATCTATTAATTGTGTCTAGCTATATTAAATTAGAAAGTTTGAATTAGGACCTTATCAAGTCAAGAAGGTGTCAGGAACAACCATAGTTCAATTAAAGTTTAGTAGTGACAATCAGTTTTTATTATGTGTTTGTTCGGATGGTCAAATATTAATTTTAGATAGTTATTTATTAAACACAGTAATTCGTTAGATTTATTGATAGTTATTTGATATTCCAGGAAATGCAGACAGAACGAATGTCAATGTTTGTTTCACTCCAGATTCCAAATTCTTGATTACTGGTAGCAATAGTGGATACCTATATATGATATCAATATAGAATGTGAACAAAACTCAAACGCAAAGTGGCTAATTGATTGCCAAAGTGGAAGGACATCAAAGGAAATGCAAACTAGTTTTATTCAATCCAAAATATTGTTGTTTGATTAGTACTTGTAGAAATCTTGTTGTTTGGACTCCAAATCAAATATTGTGATTTATATAAAAAAATTAGATAATTTTAATGTATTAGGATAATTCTGAGGTATATGATCAGAATCATGATAGCATTATGAGTTCATCAATAGTAACCTTGTGATTGAAGAGATCCCAGAGGAAATCGAAAATGACAAAGTTATAGTCCAAGAGGCAGCCGATGAAAATAAAATCAAGGTGATTCTTGTAATGTATGGTCACAACTACAAACTTAGGTAAACAATCAGAAACTCAAACAAGAGTTCTTAATTGCTGATAACTTCTCCACTTTTACACAAGTTCTCGTAATTTCCACCATCAATCATAATTGTTATTACGATGATCCCTTCTTTCATTACATCCTTATGATGACCAAGGTGATTCGCAAAGCACTCAGAAGAATGTTGGTGCCCACTTGCATTAAAACCAAGGAGGAGTTTATTGTATTGTTAATCTAATTTAGAGATCAAACAAAATAATTTATTTCAATGTTTCTACCAAGATATCAACATAGGATTCATAACATCCACCGGATAAATCAAATCTACAGCATTCATCTATGTCCATAAAACTATTCGAGATTTTGTAATCAAGAAAATTGTTATCGACCAAAAACAAGAGAGGGTTAGGCTGTTAATGCACTTTTTTAAAATTGAAAATATCATTAAGATACCGTATGTGCAGTAAGATTATAAAAACTAATTCTTGAAAACTAATAAATTTAAAAATGAATTCATAATTCTGAGTGAAGAGATTGAAACTCATCAATCCTTATTTCAAGTTTATAAGTTGGTGGATGATCAAATTTACTTTGTAAAAAGAGTAATCCAATCATAGCATATTAATAGATTCATTTAAGAGCTAATTTCAGTTCTTCCTTCATGAATGTGTTCAATACCAAAGATGTCTATATCAACATAGCTAAGATTTTGGCTTCACTTTCACATCCTAATGTTATTAGATTGTATGATTGGTGGATTGAAATATTGAATTTCTAACCTTATTTATTTATGCAGATTGAATATTGCATCTACCCTAGATATTAATGTTAGGCAAAAAATTTGTTAAGTTATTCCTATTTTTATATGAATCCTATGCCACATAAATAAAAATAGAAACACATTCAAGATATTATTTTATAAATAATTTAAGCTTTGGAATTTCTAAAATTAAGAAAGATTCATCTAATTGACTTAAAACCTGAAAATATCATGGTGACCATTACCGTCACTGGTGATCTATAAGTAATCATATCTATTCTACCTTAGGTTGTACTTGCAGACTTTAATCCTTAAATAACTAATCAAAAATAACAAAGCTATCTGGATTACACATTTCAAGCTATAGGCACCTTAATTTTGCATCTAATTTTAACATTCCCTGGAGACGCTACACTTAGAAACAATTATATAACCAAATTCTTGAATTCTAAATTTGAAGAATCATTTGCACTATTAGATTCCTTGGCATAAAAAGTCAAAAATAGAAATCGTGAATTTTCATTCCAACTCTATAAAAATTTGTTGTTATTGGTTAAATCCATCGTTACAGATTCCCATTTTCATGATTTCCATGAATTGAAAACGACTATTGAAAAAATCTATTGATTTATAATTAGTATGTTATTTTCTATAATTTAACAGATTTATTCTTATCAGTATTTTGGAGAATAATTTATAAATATTAGTTTCAATCCTCAATTCAATTAATTAAATTTATAAATAAGAATGTTCTAACCATTTAATACATACATTATTTGAAACGATGGACTTAACTTTTGATTATAAATTAGAGTCAATATTAAAGATATCCAAATTATTCACTTTTTCTTTAGAATAATTAATATTAATGCTTCTATTTTTGATTTGATTCTAAATGATTAATAACTCAAAAAATCGGATATATATATTGATTATTAAAAAGCTGAAATAATATAAAAAATAGAAGTTACCCTTTAATATCTTTTGTGATTCAATGTCTATGAAATTATAAGTTATGCAAAAAGGATCCATATCATTTATATTGAATTTTTTAATTATAAATATACAGAAGTAAAGAAAATATAGTACATATCTTTAAGTAAATAAATATCACATTTGCAAAAATGAAGGTAATTTATATCCTTGTAATTTGGCAAATTACCTAAAGCTAAGCAATTAACCATCATGTCCAATTTTATCTAAATCGCTCTTTTTGGCTTAGCGTATTTTATTAATATTGGGTCTTTCACTTATTTGACTTAATAAATTATTTGTTGAATGTATTAAATTATTAAATTTTTATTCACTTTCAGATTGTTTATTTAGTTTCATCTGTAGTAAAGAATTTATCACTTCATTATTGAACTATTTATTGATTTCAATTTTTTTTAGATGTAATCCTTATTTTGGAGGTTTTAATTCTGAGTTACTTGTAACATGGGTGATTTATTTAGTAATAGCTGTTTTCTTTGAATCGATTTAAGTAAGCATTGTTTCACTCTCTTTTTATCGTTATAATCGATTGGTTAATGATTGAGATCTTAATTTAGTATCCTATCTTTCAGTTTATGAATGCACATCATAGTTCAAACTAATTTAATTGAATGCATACTTCTTTGATGAAATTGTATGAATTTAATCGATATTATTGTTAATATTGCTATTTATCTCAACTTATTGACAATTTTATTTCACTTTATCAAAGATTTATTGTAGAGAAATGGCTCGAATTTGTTTTCTATTCTTAATGAAAGGAAGATCTGAATGCATTTATGAAACTTTATACTTCTGAATACTTCCAACTAAATTATTCATTATTATAAAAAATAATTTTAATTATAATAAATATGTATCTAATTCATGCACATCTTATCTAAGTGATCATACACATTATAGTCTAAAGCATATAGATATATAAGAAAAAGTATGCTTTCTTTTTTACCAATAAACTAGATTTTGTCTAACTATTTGAATACTATAGCACTAACATTATAATTATACACATATTTTGTTATATTCTAATGAATTTTTGATAGAATATTTAGAAGTATAAATGATATTTAATTTTTAAGATTTTCAAAAGACATTAAGTTTACAAATGTTATCATAGTTAGTTATGGATTATAATAAATTTCAAATTTTAAATTCTTAATGATAACTAAAATATAAAAAATATTTCTTTTTAGAATTTAATTATAATAATACTTGTTTTCAGGACAAATATAATATACTAATTGTAATAAATTAGATTTTCTTTAAACTTAGATTTATTTATTATATATGATATTTTAATAATGTTATTTGGATGAGTTATGAAAAGCAATAGTAATTTTTATTTGATATTTTTTAAACATGAAAATATAAAGCACTGAATATAGAGTTCCATATTATTAAGTTTACAAAGGGAATTCTAAGCATTGCTTATAGGGAAGAGTGGTGATGGGATATTCTAGGATTATGTTTTTGTTTACATTCATTTACCTAAACGTTATTTCCTTATTATAATTATGCAGAATTGGCCCTGAGAAAAGTGTATTTGATTTAGAATTGGCTTTGATACTTGTGACTGACACATTTATGATTTTAACTGTCTTCAGGGATCCAGGGAGAATACCTCGAATTAACTCCTAAGTATAAAAAGTAACTGATTAAAATGACTAAAGTATTCTGATTGTTACTTAATTCCACACAAGCAAAGATATGGTGGCGAGGTTTTGGTTGTTAATTAAAGTAAAGTGCAGGAATTAAAGTTCTGTGATCCCTGTTAGATCTACAAAACGAGATCAACAGCACATTGTCGAAGATGTGACAACTGTGTGGAGGGTTTTGATCACCATTGTTTATGGTTAGGATAATGCATCGGTTAAAGAAATTATTGTACGTTTTATTTGTTTATTACATTTTTAACAATCACATAAATATTATGTATTTGTGTACAAATAAAGCATATACTATCATTATCGGATGTGAGGAGAATAGAATTCATTATCTATTGTATATTGACTATTGGATTATTTGGATTTGCAACTTATTTATTTTTGATTCACACCTACTTTATTTTAATAAATAAGACCACTTATGACTATCTGACAACAAATAGTTTTGTAGTAAATCACCATATGCTTTATTTTTATCAAGGTGATGGAAGTTTATTCCGAAGAAAAGTAATTAGATTTACTCAAAGCATTTGGGAGAAATTATTAAAACCAAATAGAATATTATTTTAGTCCCTTGATAGTAAGGTAATCAGTTTCCAATAATGTAGGTATACTATGATGTACCATCCTATATTGAACAATAAAGAAGACAACAACAGTTATAATTTTAGATGAATGATACATTGATGAAAATAATTTTGGAAGATAAGACAAAGACTTATCAAAGTGAATTGTGCAGTGACAAGAAGATGGTTGTGAATTAAGAGTATTTGTTTAATGCGAAACTAGGTTTTTAAAGGGGGATTCTGAATAAAATAGTGAACATTTAAATTAATTATCTCAAGAATGCTCTTAAAGAGGTGAATAGAAGGACCTAAAAATGTATGAAGTGCCTAAGTCATCTCATGTGATATAGAGGGATCGGAGTGTGAAGTAGACACAATCTGGGAGAAGTAAACAGTATGACAAGTTGAATAAAGACGTTAATGAAATATAACTAATTGATAAACTTGACTGAGAGAATATTTTAAGATATCACTTCAATGGTTTTAATTTATTTGATTAATTCAATTTATTGCTTTTAGTGTATCTGGACATTTATCTCTTCTTTTCCCATTCGTAATTGCTGTGGAAAACAACCTTGAGGTGACTTTCGACATCCATATCAAACACGATGTCTTTATTTCCAAATGGTCTATTGTAGACTCCGGCAATAGTTTATGTAGATGAGAGATGATGTAGGTTCTTGGCAAGTGATTCAAATTCAGTTCTTGCCAATTGTTCTTGTCTCACTTTCAATTATTAGTTTTCATCAACTTCTACTTTCTTTAATTCTTCCAGGAAGTCTTGGTTTTTGGTTTTTAAGAATTCCAAATAGGCTTTTCTGGTAGACCAATTGATATAATATTTTCTATAATGATAACCTCTGAAGTGTCTTTGGATCTGAGTTGCATGATAACTGAAATATTTAATATTTCTTTCATTGTATCTAGAGTCGTTGTTTCGTTTCATTAGCATTCTAGCTATATATCCACGAGCAAACTTCTATATAATAACAGTTGACTATTTAATCAATTTAATACAAATCTGATTTTTATATAATGAACTCGTAATTTATGCATTTTATGCCAAGCTTAAATCCTGGTGGAAGCCTTGATCTCAGTAACTCTATTCTCGCCACTCAACTTGGCCTGATGGTAATATAATTCCACGATTGACTGGAAATTGTTTTGGATAAGCTATTGGAATTGCATTTTCAATTATTATAATATTAATAATAAATGTTTATGCCTCTTACATTAAGGACTTTACTTAAATTCAACTGAAAATCTAAGATACACAAATGTAAATTATTTTAAGGACTTTCATCTCTATAACTTAGAATTCAATTAAGACCCTTATTATTAATGTTTAATATCAAAAAGTCATCAAACTCAGAAGAAGAATACATTGCTAAGGTGTTGGCAGCCTTCCTCAAGATTCGACAATAAGAAGAGAAATCAGTTGCTCTACAAACAGGAGGAAGTCATCCATTTACAAAGTCTTAAATTGGAATAACAAAAAATGGAGAAGCAGATCAATAGCAATTAGAAAAAGGAACACTAACAGCTTAAGACTAATGAAAAAGTAGAAGAACCAAATAAGTCAGTCAAATCATCCACAACTGGCAAGATCAAAGGAGAAAAATATTCAGAATATGGAATCTTCGAGAACGGGGCTTTCACTTGTTTGAAGTGTTAAAGCAGAGTTAAAAGAACTTAAGATTTACTCAAACATTGGACTATGTAGCATGGGAGATAGGCGATACCTAGAAGAAAAAGAAACTACGTGAATGAGGATACTTAATGCATCAAAAAGATATCTTAGGAGACTCTCAAGTCAGAGGCTAAATCTGATTCATGAATTGTATATACATAATATAAAATATATCATAAATTTAAATAAATAACAGATGTCAGCAAACTAAACTCTTTATAACTAATAATGTACCAACTTGGAACATAAGGCATCAATTACTAACTATTGTGCTTGTATTGACTGTCTGAGACCACTGTGTCCTGAGTGCATCTAAGACCATTACTAATATCACATCTCAGCAAAGACACCAGCTGCAATCTAAAGCATTCTTAATACAAGAACCAATTGTGAAAGAAAGATTGCAAAAGCAATTGAATAATTGAGAAAAGTAATTTAATAAGATTTCATAAAAGGAATATGAATAATACGACATTCAATACATTTTTAACCCTGATGAAATACTTACTCAGGAAATCTCCAGGATGAATGAGGTCAAGTTGCAGATGTTTGAAATTATCAACATCTTTTTTAAATAATAAGAAAACCTTCTAGAAAACAAAGTGAAAGAAAATCAATTAAAAGTAAATTCATTAATGATCTTTCCAGGTTAGAAACATCGGAGGGATATTCTAAAAGATAGAATCAGTAATTCAACAACTGGAACTCTTAAGAAATAGTCTTCTGACTAGCTCAGATCCTTTTACCCACTTTCATAAGGCGTGCAGACTAGACGTTAAATCTTTGCTTGATCGATATAAATCTGATTTGAAGAAATCTATTAAATCCAAAGAATTAGGCAATTAAAATTATTTATTTCTTAGATCCCATCAACGTTCACATTGATGAACACAAACTATTCAATCTTAAAACGGAATTAAATAAAATTGTCATTATTCAAACTGTCGATCATGAAGATGCCAATGAAAATCTTTCTGTTCTATCCAAAAATAATAAGGATTAAAGTATCAATTACAGTGTACATGGCCTCTACGGATAGTAGGCTAACACTGTTTAGAATGAACCTATGCACTTTTAGTAAAAGCAAACCAATTAACAAATGTACAACCCAGGAGATCTTGATGATCCCTTATATGGCACCTTGGCAAATTATGACTTCTCTATTGTAAGACCTAACTATTTTGCTGGCCAATCCGCATTCCTACATTTCTTTATTAATAAAGCTAAAATTATGAAGATCTGCAATTTAGAAACCAAATAATGGCTGACTCGTTAAATTGACTATCAAGTTCCAGGGTTTCATAAATCTATCGTTGCTCCTAATGGTGATATCTATATTTCTGGAGGAGTGATCAATTCTAAAGACAATAGAAAAGATCCGATTGTTAGAAAATACACTTTAGATGGTAGGATTCAATAAATTGGACAATTGACTTTGCCAAGGTCATCTCATTCAATGGTTTATTGCAATTAAGCCATTTACATATTGTGTGGCTTTGATGAACATAGCAATATCACTTCAAGCATGGAAAAGTACAATATTAATACATAAAAAATGGAGCAATGCGCTCCTTGCAATAAACCAGCTAATCAACCAGCTTGTTGCACTTTTAATGACAGGTATATCTATAAGTTTGGGGGAAATGATGACAATGGATAGATACTATTAATTATAGAAAGGTATGATACTTTTACAAACAAATGGGAGTATATCAATCCTGAAATTGATCCTTTGGAATCTTCGAAATTTCAAACTACCTTTCAATCCGCTTCTTGTGTCCAAATCAATTAAAATAACATATTTGTATTTGGTGGCTACGACAATGAGGATAGGGGAGTCCATTTCTCATTCCTTTTGAATTTTGAATAAGATATACATAAAATTCGTTAAGTAGACACCAGACCCTTATTATATCCAGAAGGGTTTTGGAACAACTAAGTAAATCAATCCATTCTATAACTAAGGTGATCATCCATGACCACAAAATGTTTGTTTTATAGAACATAGAGATTGAAGCTAATCATATTGATGAGAATAATAGATGTTTATTATGTTTTGATGGATATAGATGGAGCGAACTATAATATTAAAATTCTATTTGAATTATTTACATTTTTCATAAATGCATATTATAATACACACATTATCTTCATATTTTTAAGGGTTTTGTAAATTTGGCCAATTACCTTAAAATTTGATGTAAATCATGTTGTCGAAATAAGTTACAAGATATATAAATACTCAAATAGAAATTCATAAAAAACGATTAAATGGATTTATAATTAAAATGATGATTATCATGGACTTTCCCATTGATGTGAACTTTTCGCTGATCCGCTTATAAATTTGGCCTCAAATTCTTTTGGTGGAAGACTCTATGCTAAATTGACTTTTTCTTTTGTTTAATTTTCTCTCTGCATCGTCTACTGCAAATAGGATAGTTCGAGCTATTCAATTTATTCTAATTCTCTTATTCTCCAATCATAATCAATTTTCTCCCTGATAACTTTATCCTTTTCCAGTTCTACATCAAATCTGATCTTATCTCGTCTATCCTTCAATTTATTTAATGTATTTTAGTTCGCTTGCTTCTCTTCCCATTTCCATTAAATAACTTTGTTCCTAAATGTCTCATGATCCATATTTCTCTATAATTTTGTTTCTTTGAGATCATGTTTGTGCCAATCTCTGAATTCTTTGACTTCAGTTTTTTTTCTAAATAGCATTTCTGACTTTATTTTTTTCAATGTCTCTCTTTAAGCTCTTGAGACACTCAATGAGAATGGTGGAGGAGCCTCTACTTTTTATCTTATTTTCTCCTCTTTCTAAAATATTGAAAAATCAAATTTAATACTTTTATCTGCAATTCTAATCTATGCCTGTAGATATGCTCTGCTTTTTAATCTTCTGATTATATTTTTTTAAGTATTTTCTCTCGTTCTTATCTGATTTGATCGATTCTATTTTTTATTTTCATAGCTTCTTCTTCTGCATTCTTTTTCTCAACATAAGTAGTAAACAAACTCTTATTACCAATTTTTGGTAACTCTCCTGACATTTAAATATTATTATTATTATTTCTATAAAATTTGGTTATGCAAGTGAGTTTTGCATTACAAATAAAACACACAAAATAAATATCACATGAGTCTTTATATTTATAGCGGTAATTCTAAAGAGGTTTCTAAACTGCATATTTCTGACTTTACTGAATGTTTACGAAAGTTTTTGTCATCAAATTACTTATCAAATGGGATATGTTGATAATTTTTTTAATGGGATAATTTTCTACTTTGGATCGTTGTCTAACTGTTTTAAGAGCTGTACTTCTTTCCTAGACTTAAGAACAAAGGACAATCAGATATAATTTTATCTTATGATCCCTTCAAAGACATCAACATTGACTTCAATTACTTATTCTTAGTTCCTTCTTAAGCTGTTTATAAGATATCTTTTCTTTCCTTTTGTCTTTGCAATTTTTTCAATTTTGATTCCCGATCAAATTCCAATTAATCTTAATCGAATTCCTTCATTAAGGTCTATTAAGTGTTTCTAATCATGCGAATCATTTGGGAGGCATACTTTTTATATTCTTTATTTTATTGATTAAGTTTCAAAACAATCTAAATATTGAGATTTCATTTACATTCAGTTTATTTGGAGACTAAGATTTTGATTATGCATTTTCTGAAATTTCTTTAAAATTAGTCTATAAAATTGGAGAGATAATTAATTAATCTTGGACTCTCAATGAATTCTTATGATCTCCTTCTTCTAGTTCTTGATCCAATTCAAGTATACAATTATTATGAGTCGAACCCTGAGATTAGTATTTCATATTAATGTCTGGTTACGTATGATTAATATCGAAAAGTTCTAAAAGTGATTATGGATTTTAATACTTTTTACGCTCAAAGTCTCTTCGATTTTGCTTAGTTGCCTCAAAGGGGATATAGAGTATTTAGTTTCCACGTTTGTATCTTTCTATTCAGTTATAGAAATATTCTGTGAAATTTTCGAATGGGACATATTTGAATCTCCCTGTGCAAAAGAATTAACTTGAAGGTACTTTCTGATTGAATATGCCTGTTCTAGCTATAATTCCTTGTTTCTTTTCACCTTTCTGTTATTGACTTTATTCTATAAGTGTTGTGAAAAGAGATAATTCGTATTTGTGATTGACACTTTTTAAGGGGATTCCGTGGTTTTTAGACAAATAGCTGGAAAATATTATTGCTGTTTTTTCTGGGGAGATAAAGATAATTGTGAATTTTAGGATTAACTCATTTTTAATTCTTAATTGAATTAAATTATAAATAATTACTGTGAGAATATAAAGATATCATTAACATTAATTCAAAGTCTTTTAATCTGATATTACAATTTCTAAAATTTAGTGTTATTTCAATAAATTATTTATAATTGAAATAATACCTTCTTATTATATATATAAAAACATATAATGTATTCTAAATTATTCTACTTTATTGTTAAAATCAAATTAGTATCGTTTTCAAAATTATCTTTGAGTCACTAAATTGATGTACTACATTGCATCATTAATCTTAACTATTTTTATTGCATCATCACTTCCTTTTTATCATTTAATAATATTCCAATTTATATTAATTAAACTAATTGGTTACTTCAAAATGAATGAACTTTTATAAAATTTTCTAATTTTCTTAATGATATCAACATTGAATCCATTTGATCTATTATCTATGTATATATCTGAATAGTTAATTGAATCAAAGTATTCTTAACTATATCTTTGTATTGTCTTTGATTTTATTATTTTATCCTAACATTATCCATATATTTCTGCTGATGTTTTAATTAATTTTCTATTATCGCCTTAGTAGTATCTAATTTTGGCCTTTATTCTGTAATTCATTCATATGAAATTATAATTAAGTCTAATTATAGTAGTAATTTTATCTAGAAATCATATTCTTTTTTTTAAATGAATAATTCATATTATCATAATATTCTTTCATTATTGGGCACTTTAATCCAGATTTTACTTATTGCATTCTATTTATATAGTCTATTCATAAGATTCTTAAATGTAATAGATTCAAATCATATATATTCTGGAAAATGTCTAATTTTCTAAAAAATAATAATTTTCAATTGAATGCTGAAGTACCTTATAAAATATGTACACCTTATAGTTTAACAATATTTCTTAAAATCTCACAGAAATGCGATTATTACTTATTTTAATTAAATGATAAATATAAATAAACAAATTGACAAAGAATATTTTACATACCTCAAGATTGTAAAGGAGACATTGACATTTATTCTTCCAAGTTCTGCATAATATGAGGAATACTTCCAATAGTCAAAGGTGATAATTGGAGATATACATATTGTGATTTTATAATTGACCAATTGGTTGATCTTCTATTACTCGGATGCAAAGGGAGAACCAAATTAATTTAGTTTAAATATTAGCAATACATTAAAACCTTAAATACAAAATTACTTCATTCGTAAGAGTAATTTGTAAGGGATGTAGATTTATTATAAGGAAAAGTAATTAAATAAACTAGAGAATTTAATCAGAAACAGGATATTTTAGCAGTAGAAAGGAAATGTTTTAATTAAATTAGTGGAGAATAGAGATGTTTCGATTTTGATATATAGTTATTTGAAACGAAGAGATATGATGAATTTGGAATTGAGTTGTTTCAATGTTAGAGAATTGTTTGTTGAGAATAGTTATTGGTATTAGTTGTATGAGTGGAAATATGGTTAAACTGGATTCAAATTGGATGCTTTTAGTTGGAAGAATAAATTTATTTTGCTAATGAAATGTTGATTTAAATATTAATATTATATTATTATAAATATATCTGAGAAGGGTTATTTTAATACTGATTAGATGGATTTATGATGTAGTGATAAATCAGACAAATTCGATGTTTATATTTATATATAATAATGAATAATTAGATCTTGTAATAAATATTTTAATGAATTGCTTAACACATAGTGGTGTTTTTAAATCATTATGGACTCGTCCATTGTATAGAGCAGGCAATTTGTATACTTGGGGTGTTCACAGTTTAGGATGTGGAATCAATCAAGATTCATAGAGTGATCAATTAAGACCAAGGAGAATTGATGCTTTCAATGGCAATGTTTAAAAAGTATATCCAAGTGAATACTTTACAGCTGTGATTACAGGTATTGATATTTAAATAAATGATAAGATAATGGTGATTTGTATACATTTGGTAACAACGATTATGGATAATTGGGATTGGGTAACACTGAATAACAATAAACACCATAACTTGTGAAATACTTTAGAGATAAGGGATTAAAGGTTGTAGATGTGGCATTGGGATCGAATCATGGAGTAGCCTTGGCTTGTAATAAATATAAATAATATGACAGCTGATGGGAATGTATATACTTGGGGAAGTGCAAATAATTCATTTTTAGATTAATTATTATGCAAACCTAGTGGATTAGGTGATAATTACACTAATAATCTCCTTCAACCATAAGCTGTATAGAAATTGGCTGGATCTCCTAAAGGCAAATTTGTGAGTGCTGGCATTAACTACTCAATTGTAGTAAATGAAAACAACCAAGTCTATGTATGGGGAGCTGGCAAAAGAGGAGAACTCGGTAATGGATGCAGTTTGAACTTCAAATATCCTGAATTGAATCCGATTTTTGAATAATTAGCTAAATCTGGTTACACAATCCAAAAGATTAAGTCATGCTTTGCTGGAACATTGGCATTATTAAGTAATTGCTTATTATTAAAAATCTATTTTCAGATGAAGGAATTGTAGTAGGATGGGGAAGAAGTTATTATGGGTCTTTGGGAGTCAGATAATAAGAATATGTTGTCACAGATCTAGTAATAATGAAATAATTAATCATTAGGAAAATCATTCACCAACACCAGTGAATTTTAAGTATTTCCAACCCAACGAAAAGGTTGTGGATTTCGATTTAGGATATAATCTTTCTCTCTTCTTAACTGATTAGAATAGAATCTATTTATCAGGCTATGATGAGACCTATGTACCAAGACCTATTGACCTTCCAAAGGATGAGAAGATTCTTAAATTTTCTGCTTCTAATAACAGCTTTGCCATTTTAACTGGTATATGAAGTGGTCTATTTATCTTAGATAAAAACTTCTATACTTCCAATGAGTACGTAATTCCTCAATAGAAAAGGAATTTGGGATTCTTGTTCAAAAGCCAACCCAGAGAACTGTTTGAGTCTACTAATATTGAACAATTTGGAGGAGGATATAGAGTCAGATATGCAGTCGTAAATAATTGATATAATGCCTACATCTAAAGCAATATAAAATAAAACATTATTCTTATTGTCATGGTATTATTACGAATAAATTTGAAAAAAAAATCAAATAAATTAAAAAGGATATAATTTAATGGGTAAATAATATGCAAGAGAGCCTGCTGTTCCAAAAAGCTCAGCCAAAGCCAAAGCAAGTGATTTGAGAACTCATTTCAAGAATACTTATGAAGTGGCTAGAGCAATCAAAGGATAAACACTTGCCTAGGCCCTTAAATACATGCAAGACGTTCTTTAACATAAGAGATGCGTTCCTTTCACCAGATTTAATGGTGGAGTCGGAAGAACAGGTTAAGCTAAAGAATTCGGCAGATCTCAAGGTATTCGGGTTGATTAATCGATTCTTAGGTAGATGGCCAGAAAAGAGTGTTAGAATTGTGTTGTCTCTTTTATAAAACTTGGCAGCCAATGCTCAAGTCAAAAATTTGAGCAATGAAAAATTGATCATCAATCATGTCTAAGTCAATAGAGCTTAAAAGGGAAGACGTAGAACCTACAGAGCTCATGGAAGAATCAATCGTAATTTAATTATAGTGATATTTTCTAGCTTTCCTATCATCAAATGCTCACATTGAAATTTGGGCTGCAGTAAGAGATGAAAATGTTAAAAAAGAAGCCAATAATAAGGTTGTCGCTCGTTAATCAAGAAAACAAGCTGCAAGATCTAAATTAGCTATTGGAGCATGAGCATATATTAGCATAAGTATATTAAAATAAACAAATTGAACAATTAATGAATCTCTTTATTTATTCATACTACTCAATTCTATAATGCACCCAAAGTTGGGAAATCATTTTAATCGATTGGGTCCTACTTAACTTATTACTTCGGTGTTTTGTGGACTATACTTTTCGGAACCAATTGATACTGCTATTGAGATTCCCCCTTTTGAAAGTATTGCTAACTTATGGAGCGAAATCATTACATTATTTTATCTATTCCCTTGTTTTCTATCAAATCTGCCCTTCCCTCTTGAATTTTTGTAGTCTTCGTTATCTTGCTAGTCTTGTTATCCATAATTCTATCTTCCTCTCCCTTTTGAATAACCAGAATTCTGATAACCTTTATTATCATGTCTCTCAATTTCCTCATCATAATCATCATGCTAATGTGGTTTCTTATTCTATATCATTGCACACTTCTTCAAATTGATTTGCTTATGGAATTCGTCCAAGTAATCAACACTTTGCATCATGACCGAGTCTATTTGCAACTTCGATTTGTTGGACATCAAATAAGTGAAAATCTCATCTGCACACTATTCACTCTGACAGGTCAATGTCAATTTAATTAGACTTTTATCAGCCTAATATATTTCTTCTTCAAACTATAATTATTCTCTATTCTATCCAGCACTTCTAAGCGATTCCTTTATACTACTAATATTGGATGCACTTGATTTTATTAGAATTCTCTTCCTTTCACTACGGAAATAGGGTCTAATAAGTAGAAGTCCGTGATCAAAGTTCCATAATTAGTTATTATACTTCTTCAGTATCTAAATTTATGGATTACATCATAATCATACAGCTGTCAAGATCAGATGATATTGTTTTCTATCATTCTATTCATTTTGCACATACTGATTCTTAATAGAATTTTCCCTTTACACCACCACATATTATAACAAATAATGATCTGGTTTTGCAATGTCTGTTTCGAACTTCCTTACCAAATATTCATTATTTAGCAAGTTCTCATATTTGAATAACTCGATCATCTATAAAATTTAGTATCAATCATTACAGCTTTTTCCAGTCTTGAGAATTGATCTTCGTACTAAAAATATTTACACTATCTTACCTTGTCAGATAAATTTTCAGGGGAAATCATCCTATGTTTGATAATAAATTTTAATTTATTTTTCTAAAATTATATTCAATTATGGATTATTTGAGACATCCCTTATTTTTCATAGGAATTAAAAGAGATCATAAAATAGAAATAAAAAAATAAACCAAAACATAAAGCTTTTTCATTTCTTCTTTTTTTTGGCTTTAAGTTTGGCAGCCTTAGCCTTAGCCACTTATAAGTCCTCATACTTTTTTTTAACATAATCCACATATTTACACATTCCACTGTCATCAGGATCCATCTCCTTTAAAATATCCTTAACATCTTAAGCAGTCATCTTTTCTCCCATTTCCATTAAAATGTATCTCATTTCAGCTGTTTGGATGGTTCCAGTATTATCCAAATCAAAAACACGAAATGACTAGGTTCATATATATATAAATTTATGTACAGCCATTAACTCATCAATTGTATCATCATCTTTGACTGCTTTAGTTAATATTTTCATCATTTTCATGAAATCGATAGTGCCTGTAGATTCAGGATCCAAATCTCTCATGTAATTGTCCAACTCCTCATCTGTAGGGTCTTGACCCAAATATTTCAAAATGTTAGCTAGAAAAGGTAACTTGTGATGCATGGTACCTAATTCCTTTGTTGATACAGTGCCCTTGTTATCGGTATCAAACTAATCGAATGCTTCTTTTATGTCTTTCATTCTCTTTTCAGCAGGATCCATCATAACGATGTAGGTTTAAAGAATAAATTAATAATAATTACAACCAAAATAATTAGAGAATTAGAAATATTTCATATAAAATAGTCTTCTGATTATAAATTCTAGAATATTTCGAACACATCACTAATATTAAAATTAAGATCTATATGAAAGGCATCTGCTGTTTACTTATTTTTGCTTTGGTAGCTACTTAATGCTTTGGGCTGTACGAAGCAGATTCAAAGGTCGTGAAATTGACAAAGGACAACTTCAGAACATTAGTACTTGAATCGAATGAACCATGGTTGGTTGAATTCTATGCCCCATGGTGTGGTCATTGCAAAGCCCTCGCTCCAGAGTATAATAAGGCAGCAAAGGCCTTGGATGGTATCGTACACATCGGAGCCTTGGATATGACTACAGACGGTGAAGCTGGGCAACCATATGGTGTTAATGGATATCCAACAATCAAATATTTCGGAGTAAACAAGGGTGACCCAATTGCCTACGAAGGCGAAAGAAAGAGGAATGCAATAGTTGATTACCTTTTGGATAAAGCAAGAGAATTTGCATTAAATAGATTGGGTGTGGAGATCAAGCCAGAACCTTCGAATGATGATTCAAAAGTGGTTGTTTTAACAGATGCCAACTTCAATGAGGAAGTACTCTCTAGTTAGGAAGCCTGGTTTGTTGAGTTTTATGCTCCTTGGTGTGGTCATTGTAAATAACTATAACCTGAATGGAATAAGTTATCTCATTAAGCAGATATCCCAATTGCTAAAGTGGATGCAACTGCCTAGACTGAATTGGCAAAGAGATTCAACATTGAATCATATCCAACCATTTATTTCTTCCCAGCTGGAAACAAACAAAACACTCATAAAAAGTATGAAGGAGAAAGAAATGCAGCTGCCCTTTTGAAATATATCAAAGAATAGAGACCAGTTGATGGACAATCTTAAAAGTCTGGTTCTGATGCTGTTAACATCAAATCAGATGAAAGTTTGAATGAAGTTTGCAAATGTATCAATATTCTCCATAATACAAGAACTCTGCGTTTTGGGATTTTTGCCAGCTGATAAAGTCGAATAAGAAGATGCTGTCTAAATCTTAAAGAAGGTATCATAATCCCTTTATCATGTTAGACTGCCTTGTCTCTCACAGGAAGAGCTAATGTCGGTTGGTTTGTCGGTGAACAATTCGATGATTTCGAAGCTGAACTCAATGTAATTGGTGAAGGGTAATATCCTCTATTAAATTTTTTAGATATCCTTAAGTCGTTGTCTTGGATTTGAGTGCTAAAAAGCATTATAGATTTAGAAGATAATTGACTGTCGAAAACTTGAATGAATTTGTTAAGGGAGTCATCAAGAAAACTGAAACTGGACAATCATTCTCTAATTTACCTAAATTGAATGCTCAAAAAACAGATCTGTGATGTATATTATTAAGTAAACATTATTTAGTCATTTCTTAAACTTATCATCAATTTTATATAATTTATTATGTTACTTATAATTTCTCTACTCCTGCTCCATCATCCTGTGTATTCAAATTTTGTTACTTGTCCACAACTTTATACTAGTCGACAAACATGCGAATCTCAGAAAGGGTGCATTTTCTATGATTGGAAACAATCGAGTATCAAATATCATATTAATTTCAGCATGTTATTATGATTGTCCATCCTATCCACAATAAGAATGCATTCTATTGTTTAATTGCAAGTGGGTGGATCAACAATGCCAATTCAAAGCTTGTTTGGATTATTCAGAATAGGGTATATCATTTGATTTTAATAATAGGACCTAAGACTTGCTCCAATACTCCGGGATGCAATTGGTACTGGAATAAATGTAGATAACAGGATTGTCAGAATATTGGGGCATCCACTTAAGCTGCTTGTTCCAAAACTTATTGTGTGTGGGATGAAATTGGAACTAAATGTATCAATAAAGCTTGCGCTGATTATTCAAAACCTATTTGCCAGTAATTAACTCAGTGCACTTGGAGTTCTGAAACTTGCACAGATGCCGTTTTCTCTAATTATGGCCAACTTTTAATGACTTTATCGATAATATTATTATCTTGAATTAAATATCACTCTTTACTCATCTGTTCCTATTTGCACAATCATTTTTCTTCAATTATTTGAAATGAAAAATAAAAATAATGCAAAATATTGATATTTTCAGCACTAGAAATAGAAAATCAGAAGTAAGCGATGTTAGTGCTCTACAGGCTTCAACTCACAAGACTACGTTGCTTGAATTGTCGTTACCAAAAATTAATATTATTGTTCATTCATTTGAACCTAAATTAAAGAATTTGATTAAAGCAGATGGAGATTAAACTGATATCAATCCTGAAACAGAGAGAATTTCTAAAAGATAGAATCAAAGATCAGACATGTTCAAAAATGAAATTATCAAAGGTTAGAAGACTCACAGGATTACATTTAGAGATCAAATTGATGGACAATCTCTTTATTAAATCAAGTACTTTCATAAAGAACCCTAAGAAGATCTTGATGAATGTTGTCCTTGTAATATTTTTTGATTAAAGACATTGTTCTTTTTTGTGTTTAAGTCTTAAATAATTAATTTTACTTTTATCGAATTTTTGATATTCTGAATTCAATATCTAATAAAGATGATATATATATATATATTCAAGATTATAAAAAATTGTTACATATCAATAATCCTAACAAATCCCCCTTCTCTTTCACAAAGTGCTTATTATTAGAATCATTGTAATAATCTCCAAAACTCCTCTTTCCTTCAATTGATTAAATTCCACTGATGAACAATAAAATCTACTGAGATGAGTATTCTGGATGAGATTACATTCCAAATATTCTCAAATCCTCAGAAATGAATATTTCATTTTCAGCTGTTTTAGATGATCCATAATTTATAAATCCCTCAGGCAATTTAGTCACTAAGTCACCATGAGCTTTATTAATTATTATGCTATCACTCTAAGTCAATTCCTTGAAACATCCAATCTTAAACAAATCGTTCTTAATCGTTATTTTCTCATTCCCATAATAGTAAAACCCCTTATGTTTGACTCTATTCTTGCATGGTGCCACAATTCCTCCAAATGCTTAAGCAAGTAACTGAAATCCAAAGCAAATCCCCATAAATTTTATTTGGTTGTAATTGTCATATACATTCAATATAAAATTTTGCAAACTGCGAATCCAAACCTTTTCATCATAAGCAGAACTTGTACTGCCCGGTATTATTATTACATTCGTTTACTTAAGAACATCCTCATCAGGATAACTTCCTTAAGTAACATTGTAACACAACCATCTTTCTTATCTCCTTCTATATATTCCATTAAATAACCCAATTGTATCAATGTACATTTTTGGAGCGTGATATCTACCTTAATCGAAGTCCTTCACGCATAAAAATACTATTGTTCGATTATATTTTAGGTGTTAACCCTCTAGTATAACTTGTTCGATTGCATGTTTTTTATTTAATTCTCTTCTGTTGCTGAAACTAAAGTACTTCAAATCCTAATCTATTAACTCAATTATGTAATATGTATGATCCTCGATCTCCCATATTGGTGCAGTAGTAAAGAAACGAGTCCAAAGGTAAAAATGGGGATTTCTATATATTTCTAATTCCTAAGATATTTAAGAAAGAATTATACTCGAATATAAATATAACTCTCCCTAGCCTAGTAATAAGCCTCCCAATTTATTATCTTCTCAAAGTTATGAGTATTTAAACTAGTTTTTGTTATATCTATCGACCCAAATTACTTTATTATTAACTTTGCAGCTGCTATTGCACAAGAATTTCCATCTGATTCCAATACTGCACAATTCGAATTTTATTGAGAGTTTATCAATAATTGCTGGCCTATATGGAAGATGAGACTGACTTTTGTTTACATTTTAAAGTATTATTAATGATTTTGGGTAAAGTCAAATGAGTTTAGAATTCAATATTTCATGCTAATTGCTTACGAAATTCATTTTGACAATTATCAAATGATTAAATATTATTTGCGTATTTCGTTACGAATTAAAATAACAATTATTTATATCATTCTTACAAATAATCAATTATATTATCAATATTATTTTCGAATACATCTAAAAGATAATATTCATTGAATCTATCATATGTGATATATTTAAAGATAATTCAGGATTCTGTCTTCAATCTCAAAGCAAGACCTCTTATAAGGGCAAGAACTATTTAATTAATTCAATATTAACTTTAGAAAGTGATTAAGAAATGAAATAGTTCATTTAAAAGGCAGTTAATTATAAAAATTGAAGCTTTATTTTTAATTAATGATCAAGAGGCATCTAAAATATTTTATGCAACCAAAAAAGTCAAAATATTACCTTAGAGATAGTATACATAATACAACATCTAATAATATTAGCTACTTTAGCAATAGTGGCTTAGTATTATTTGATCTATATACGGGAAGTTATAACTACTAACTTAACTTTCTATCTTAAAAATATGAGTAAGCATGTAAGTTCTTCGATAGAAATTAAACAAGGTAATTCTAAGAATAATTAATTGCAAAAGCTTTAAGCTTATGGAATAAAAAATAGATATGATATATTAAACATTAAGAATAGCTGTTTTTATTCAAAATATCATCATTTATTGGTCAATTTACAACTATTAGACAATAATTTCAATAAAATAAATAATATCAATCATGTTTTATAAATAAAGAGGAGAATGAAAATAATTATAATAATATTATTTTATAAAAGAGTAATTTTTTCTATAAAATTTGATAAAGTTTAAAAATATTCTATAACCTGTTAACTATAAATCATGGAAAACTGACAAAAAAAATAAGTTAATTAATTAAAAGTAATGAAACATAAGTTATTAGTTTTTATCTTAATAAGTTTGGATATGGCATAACAGTGGGAAACTATTTACGAAAGTTTTAAAGGAACAGATCCAAAGGATGCATTAGGTTCCTTTCATCTTCAAATAATTAGGGTGGACAGTATAAAATAATTATTCCGAAAATTTATTCACCAGTTGCAATGGTGTTAAATTGTTTGGAGGGTATGGTGCTTTTGCATTCAATACCACAGTATCTAAGTAGTTTTCCTTGCCTCCGCATTTTAAACTCAAAGTTGATGTTGATTTTTGGAAGTACTTCTTATTTAAAAAGTAGAATTGATAGTTGGGATAATGAGGTTAGTTATATATTTGTCGATGGTAATTTATGGGCAAAAGGTTATTCTTGGGGGCAAGGGAGTCAAATATGTGGAAGAGGATCTGGTTGGAATGAAGTAATTGAACCTATTTCAATTATTACAAATCATAATTCTGAATCTTTAGTGTTTATCATGACTACAAGTTTGGATTAATCCCCTTTTGATGTACAACTTTAATTAATATAAAAGGAAAGTTGGGGATTTAGAAATTTTGCTTTGTCAATAATTAGATGTCCTTAAGGTTGCTTATTTTGTTAAGATACTGATTATAATAATTGTGTTTATTGGATTAGTTTTGTATCATTGTGGCACAACTCAATAGAACTTGATGGATGGATGAAAAATAGTGATATCTAACCTGCAATAGGTTAATGTGGCAGTATTTTTGTTGTTGGAGGAGTTAATAACCTATTACCAAATGAGAAATTAGAAAAGATTTTCAAAAATTTACATCCTCATTATAAAACTTAAGTCCAATTATAACTTTGGAAATTTGATTCATGGGATAATGAAAACTTCATTTTAGAAGTAGATGATTAGATTTATAACTAAACTATTTTGAGAAGTTAAGGCAGTTATTAGATTTGTGGATCGGCTGGATATGATCAGATTATTAATATTGAAATTACTTTATCTCATCATTAATCAGAATGCAAAATCACTATGAGAACCAATCCTAATTCTATAACTAAAAATGCTTATTGGGGAATAAGAGCATTTAATATATACCTTGCAAAATGCATTACTGGTTGTGATCAATGTTTAGGTCCATTAATGACACAGTGTATTGCATGTTTAAAGGATTGGGTCATTTACAAGAATTTTTGCACTTATCGTATTCATTAATTCTAATAAAAGCCCCTCCTATGATATTAAAAGAAATTTCAATTACTCAAATAAAAGATTCATTGTCAAATGAGAGAATTCCTATATAGATCCATCTATCAGAAGTTGATTAAAACATAGTTTCATAAGGAAATTTTGAACTGTTATTTAAGAATACTTAATAAATTTTGACCATCCAGGTGGAAATAAAATGCATTCCAAAAAAAACAATTAAAAGTTTAATTTCTTCACTTTAAAATGTATAATAATAATACTAATTTCGAAAAATTTGTCAAGGAAATTTCAAAACAGCAATCTATAATGTTAAATACGATTTAAATATAATTGCTNCTAAGTAGTTTTCCTTGCCTCCGCATTTTAAACTCAAAGTTGATGTTGATTTTTGGAAGTACTTCTTATTTAAAAAGTAGAATTGATAGTTGGGATAATGAGGTTAGTTATATATTTGTCGATGGTAATTTATGGGCAAAAGGTTATTCTTGGGGGCAAGGGAGTCAAATATGTGGAAGAGGATCTGGTTGGAATGAAGTAATTGAACCTATTTCAATTATTACAAATCATAATTCTGAATCTTTAGTGTTTATCATGACTACAAGTTTGGATTAATCCCCTTTTGATGTACAACTTTAATTAATATAAAAGGAAAGTTGGGGATTTAGAAATTTTGCTTTGTCAATAATTAGATGTCCTTAAGGTTGCTTATTTTGTTAAGATACTGATTATAATAATTGTGTTTATTGGATTAGTTTTGTATCATTGTGGCACAACTCAATAGAACTTGATGGATGGATGAAAAATAGTGATATCTAACCTGCAATAGGTTAATGTGGCAGTATTTTTGTTGTTGGAGGAGTTAATAACCTATTACCAAATGAGAAATTAGAAAAGATTTTCAAAAATTTACATCCTCATTATAAAACTTAAGTCCAATTATAACTTTGGAAATTTGATTCATGGGATAATGAAAACTTCATTTTAGAAGTAGATGATTAGATTTATAACTAAACTATTTTGAGAAGTTAAGGCAGTTATTAGATTTGTGGATCGGCTGGATATGATCAGATTATTAATATTGAAATTACTTTATCTCATCATTAATCAGAATGCAAAATCACTATGAGAACCAATCCTAATTCTATAACTAAAAATGCTTATTGGGGAATAAGAGCATTTAATATATACCTTGCAAAATGCATTACTGGTTGTGATCAATGTTTAGGTCCATTAATGACACAGTGTATTGCATGTTTAAAGGATTGGGTCATTTACAAGAATTTTTGCACTTATCGTATTCATTAATTCTAATAAAAGCCCCTCCTATGATATTAAAAGAAATTTCAATTACTCAAATAAAAGATTCATTGTCAAATGAGAGAATTCCTATATAGATCCATCTATCAGAAGTTGATTAAAACATAGTTTCATAAGGAAATTTTGAACTGTTATTTAAGAATACTTAATAAATTTTGACCATCCAGGTGGAAATAAAATGCATTCCAAAAAAAACAATTAAAAGTTTAATTTCTTCACTTTAAAATGTATAATAATAATACTAATTTCGAAAAATTTGTCAAGGAAATTTCAAAACAGCAATCTATAATGTTAAATACGATTTAAATATAATTGCTGAATAAAACTTGATAATTCGTATATCTGACACCCAATGTTTAATCTATTAAGTAGTTAGAGTTGCTGATGAATTAGCTTATGTAAAAATTTTAGAAATCTTCTTGGAAGATTTTTGAATATCTAATTATTATTTATCAATATAATTAAAAATAGATTTTGTATTATTTAATAAAAGGTTACAGAAATATTTAACAATAACCTTTCTCTGAACATTCCTTAATTTTGTAAGAATAAACTTAAAGCCTTGCCTATTTCAGATAAGGAGTTAAGAGAAGTATTCTCTATAATATCATAAAAACTATAGAAGCTACTAAGACCAACTAATATTGAAATACAATAATTAATCAAAGTATGCTTTATATATTCTAGATCAATTTTAACCATAAATTTTCAATAAAACCACTTAATCATTCTATATTCTCTTTATATCATGATAATATAAATAAATTTATTTTATTTTTTTTTATTTATTTCAAAGTAAATTAAAAAATAAAAATTAAATTGAGAAACAGAAGAAAAAACAAAAGCAAAATTAAAATCTTTGTTTACAAACTTAATCCTATTAAGACTATTAATATTTACTTGAAAATGTTCTCACTTCTGTTTAACCAGTTATACTAAAATAATCTCAATTTCAAAGCTTATCAATCAATTATCCTATTAATTTTTAAGAAGTCTTGAAAAATTAACGAAATGGATACTATCCAAAATCAGTATTGTTTAAAAATAAATGAATGTGTCAAAAAATTAGAGTAATTAAAACAAAAGATATTGAAATTTATTTGATTTAATCTCAATTAGGATTTTATTATAATATTTCTCGATAAGATATAAGTTTCTTAAATTTTATATTTTCTAGTTGCCTTGTCATCATTGCCTTTATCTCACAATAACTAAAATTAGTAATTAAATACTTGTGTAAGAATTATAATTATGAATCATCAATTGTAATTTTTGATATACCGTCAATAGTTTAAAGATATTAACTTCCTTATATAGTCTTTAATTCTAAATTTTAGAAAAACACTATTTAATAAGGAGTGAATTTATGTTCTAAAAATGTATTCCATAATGTAATGGATGCTAAAAATCCATCTTAATCCATAGCCTCAACTTTAACAAAATCAAAATAGCGTCCACATTTTTAGCTCCAGATTTATTTTTTATCAAATTATTAAATAACAATTGCTAAAATATTAAAATATGTCTTTATTGTAGAGCTTTGTGAAGCGAATTCAATTTATTAAAATTGATTGACAATTGAAGAATTCTGAGTGGAAGAGTTGATATCTAGATTATTGCCTTGTTGTTCTTGTTCTATAGGTTTAATTTATTACACTTATTCATCTGGAGGGTATTAAGTGATTTTGCCTTTCTGTATCATAATCTAGAAATCCTTATTGTATTTTATAGATTCCTTAATTTGCACTCCAGAAAGATAGTAAACTTCATTATTTTAGAATTAAGGATATTCGACTTCATTTCCTATCATGCAAGTGCAGCACTACCCAAAAATATCTTTGAATTCTACTATTTTTTTATTTAATATAAAATCTTCCTTTATTATCTTCTTGAACTTTAAACCTATTTGATATAATTAATTTTATCGTTTAAGATCTATTAAGCTCTTTGCTTTTTCAATATTATTATTTGTGTTGATGTTATTTACTTATAGATTTCGATCTTGAGGATTTTTTTGCAAGAATTCTGAAATTCTATTATTTTTGTATTTGTAATTTTAAGAGTCATTTTTTGAGATTGTTGAGTGATATTAGAATTAAGCTAGCTCCTCATCTTGATCGAAGAAATTAGAATACCTTTTTTGTTTCATTTATTATCTAACAATTTATAAATTATTATCTTATTAATACCATAAACATTTCTATTTGAATTATAACTTATTCTATTATTTCTCAATCTAATTAAGTGAATGATAAGGATAAGGATAAATCTTGTTAAGATTGAAATAATAGTACAGAATAAAAAATGAGAAAAAAGATAATAGACAGTTAATATAAATAGAATCAAATTGTTAATAAAATAATATATATAAACCCAAATTAATCTAAATTCATTGTTTGTGTTTTTTTTTGTTCTTCTTCTTGTGAGGTTGATCTTTATTCTAATCGGATTATTATTATTGCTATTATTCATCTTGTTATTCTTATTTTTGTATTCTGTATTACTTTTGTTCTTGCTATAGGATATTTTATTCTACGGATTAAACGATAGGTTATGTAATAATGTGATTATATTACAATTATTATTCATATTTCTTTATTTTACTACCTTATTTGCCTGCAATTTTAAATCCAAATAATGTTGGTTAAAAATCAACTTAGATCTAAGTGTCAGGCAATAACTAAAATTTAGGATGAAGATCTGGATAGGTCTAGATCTAATATTTAAATTATTAACCATTAATAAGAATTGAGGAAATGATTTTCCAAAATACGCTCCATCTATATCAGCACATTTCTTCTTAGGCATGTAAACTTCTTCGCATCTTGGACAAAATACCTAATTACATAATGATGGTAAACTTTGATTCTGGCAGTTTTAAGGTCTTCACATAGTCCTATGGGGATCACATTTTGTTTTTCACAATATATACGAGGACAATGACCAAATTTTCCTTATAAAAATCGTTCGCGCATGATTGCAGAGCCTTTGGATGTAAATATGAATCGAGCATGAAGTAAACCATAAATGTCAGATGCCTCCTAATAAACTTCTAAAAATCTTTTGTGATGTAAAATAAGAAAACCTTTCATCTTCCAAGTCTTAATCTTCAGGAGAAGTAGGCTATAAAATCATACTGATGGCTTCACTAGAATTATTAGTTGCCATTCATACTTAAAGAAATTGAATTTTCCTTTAATTCCAACTTAATGAAAAGGATCACGAATAAATTCATCATCAACTTCACATAAAAATTGATGATCCTCATGTGCGCAAAACCATTCTATCCAACCTCCTGGATGTTCTGAATATTATGATTCCTCTTCCTATAAACTTTGATGATTTACCAGACATCTTCCAAATATTTAGTTAAAATAAAAGATTTTTATAAATGTTAATTTTTCAATAAAATAAACACTACTCTATCTGATAGGTAATGAAATGGCTTTAAAATTACAAATTATTAACATATAGATATATATAGAAATAAATTTCCCATCAGATATGTTTCATCTGTCTAAACTTCTCTGATAGTACTAAGGTCTTTTGATACTTTTTTCTATTCTAAAAATATTGGTTGGCCTCTAAATCGATTATACAAATTTATTACAATCTTCATAGTCCTCAGATTATGAGGATTCCAATAGTTTGTCTGCTAATTCGTCATATTATTCACAAATTTATTAGAATAAGAAATTCACCTTTGAGTTTTAGAATCTTTCACTCAATGCCCTGCTTCTATTAGATAATTATAGATAATTATTTTTCTCTTCTTCAAATTAATTATTTCTAGTAAGTAATCTTTCTACTCTGGATTTAATCTCTGAATCATTGGCTTCAATCAAACCTAAATTTTCATCGTTTTCTATTTATACCAGCAATAATCTCATTTTATTAAACATATTTTAACATTTTCTCCTTTAAATTCCTCAATTCTTGAATTTAAGGTAATAAGTTCATTAGAACTTATTGTTTTTCATCTGAATTCAACCAAACTTGGTATTCTTATTATGAAAGACCTGGTAACATTTAAGAAACTGGCATATTTTTAATTTTATTAACACAATCATCTACATGAAGAGAAGTAACAAAATCACAATACTCTTATACCACTGGACTGCACTGATATTGATAAATAGTACTTTGAGAGAAGTTTCGAATGCAGTTCGAATTGATCTTAAATAGCACGGACTAAAGTCAGATGATTTGAGCCATTATTCCACTAATAAAATTTTGTGTAGTCATATGGAGCATTGTTGAGTGAACAAGTTGGTGGTATACCAATATTATAATTCTGATCACTAGAATAGTGGATTAATATACATTCTAATCTAGCAATTCTTTAGTGTTACAATTGCAGATTATGTATAATCATTTGGTGCTTTGATTATTTAATACTGAAATTCTTTCTATAATGTTTAAAATAGATCCTTAAGTTATGGGTTCACCTGTTATTATCCATAAATATTTCCCTAATAAGGTGCTCCCATATAACCTTTTGGATTGCTCTAATTATTCATTTAATTATTTATATTCAAAATTTTAAAGAATTTAAGTTTTCTATAAATACTTTTAAATATTTTTATCTATTCTAAAGTAATATAAAATGCTATATTATAATTCAAATCCATAAAAAATTATTGAAGAACTTATATTATATTTTCAATGCTAGTTAAACTTTGTTAAATGAAAGATTTTATTTATAAAGAGTTTTCAAAAATAATTTATTCCATATATATGCGTTGATTAGTATCCGAGAATATAATGAGATTATATTGACTTATTTAATAGTGACATAGTAATCATAAAAAATTGGATATTGTTGATATGAAAAATAATGATATAAAAGGTATATTTTCCTTTACAAAATATTATTTTTCATTATTGAATTAATGTTGCACATTTATTTTCAATAAAAATATTTTTTTTACTATTTCATGACAATTGTAAAGATTTACCAGAACTATTAAAGTAAGCTATTAATAATTCAAAAGATTACTCGCTAAAAGTCTATTTTTAGATTCAACACTTTTATCCTTTCATTTATTTAAAACTAAAGTTAATAAATATATTACTTATAATATAGTAATTGAGATTTATTAACGCTCCATTTATGAAACAAAGAGGTTAAATTATAGTAGCCATCCTAATTTTGTTAGATTTGTCATTACTTACTCATTAATAATGCTTGAAAAGATAAGCAACAATGAGGTCAATCATAAGAGGGAAGTACAAGAACGCTCTACATATATCAAATGGGGCATTAATATCATCCAAAAATGAGGATGTATTTGTTTAAAGGAATTCTGGAAGTTGCTTAAGAGATACAATATATGAAGTAAATAGCTCGACTGGTTTCATGTATTGTATGTAGGGATTTTCAATTTCGTTGAAATTACGGTAGAAATGTGAACTAAACACTTTAAAATTATGGATTTGGGATAGAGATAATAGATTTCAAACATTTTAAGCATATGTGAAAGTTGGTAATATGGAAACTAAAATTTATGAAACCAATATCGCTTAAAGTGTAGTTACAATAATATTCCCAGACTAATTTGTTGAAGAATTTAGAATATATAACGTTGCTGGTAATACTTACAATCAAGGATTACATTTGATTAAAGTTGAAGCATACTACAAGTTATAAACTAATTTGTTATAATGATATATTACTTGTTCATATTGTAATTTATTAATAGTTAATTGCTTTATTAAGGTAATGTTTGGCATTCCTTAGCTCTTAGAGATCAAATATTAGATGAAATTAAAATAAAATTCCATTCTATATTATACTTAATTTGATAAATTTTTTCAGCTTGTTAAATTTATTATATTAATATAAATGCTTATTTTAGTTATAACTCAAGGGTGTAAGTAATTCACTGAAATTTGCTAGAGTAAAGTTAATTAGAGTAGTATAAAAATATGGAAAGAAATAAAGTTTCTCAAGTTGCATTATAAATAAAATAAATATTTATGTTTAAGAAAATTATTTAAGGCTTTTCAAAATACTCCCATAGGTCAACAATTCCCAGTCTTCTTAAGGATCCTAAATATACAAGACGTGGGGTAGTGAAACCAAAAGGGGAAACTAGAATGCTAAGAAAACCTTCAATACCAGAGGATATTCCTAATGCTCATCTTTATTATGATCATTCAAAGTTTATTGAAATTCAAAAAAATAATCCTCCTCATAAATTAGTACTTATTGAAATAATAATAAGAAATATGAATCAACAGATTTAGATTTCATTTTGAGTGTACTTAATAATGATACCTTTATTCACACTTAAGATTTCAAGCTTTGGAAAGCCATTAAATAATTAAACATTCATCATCCAAATGAAGTTAAGAAGAATTGGGAGGTTTTTGATAGAGCATATAGAGTAATATTAGAAAATGCGAGATATTTGGATATTTACAATTTCAGATCATTTACTCAAGTTTCGTAACAATATTATTCAGATGATGAAAACGTTTGGAAAGTGTTATACAGAATTTCAATTCAATTTTTTGTTGGTTGGGAACATCAACAAACTCCCCTATTAAGCAAAATAATTGAAAAGTAAAATATTCATATAATTAATTTAGGACATATTAGCAATCATTTTTATTCTGCTTTCATATTATAATGCAACAGGTTAGAAGATTCAATATTGATGTATCTAATATTATAATTCATTTGGATTATTTGATGAGAAACCATTTAAGATTTTACAAAATTGTATTAATCAATATTTCTATTATAGCATAGTGAAGAAACATACAATAAAGTAGAGAATGTGGAGGACAAGAATCAACTAGGAAATTTCATAGCTCATTTTGCATTTTGTATTTAACAGAGAAAAGACATTTTTAATGATGTGGACAAAGAGGTTAAGGAGAAATAAGTGGAAGAATTTTTACATAAAGGACAAAAGTTTTGTTTAGAATCATTTGATAAACTCACTATAGGAACCAAGAAAAATCTATAAAATTCAATAACTTATAGCAGGTATTAGTATAAGCCATTATTTGACAAATTTAAATGAGAATATCTATAAATATAATTTTATAATTGCATAGTTGTCTGATAGTAATATAAGATTTATTAATAATAAAATTGCTTAGTTCATAAAAAAATTTGATAAATAAGAGTTATTAAAAACAACAAGTCTTATTATTGAGTAATTTATAAATAATCATTGTTAGTAATTAAAAAATTATTTTTCAATCATTTAAATAAATGGTTTCAACATGTCATCAATTTATAAAGTAGTTAGAATTTTCATTTTTATTAAATCTAGCTCCTTCAAATACTTTTATACATATGGACCATCTGCTGATGCATAACTAAAATGTTTTAGGTTTACATTTAATATCCCTGATTATAAAGTTCTTAAAAATAGTTCAAGAAATATCAAAGTGACAGAATTAATTAATTCATTATCTGCATCTATTTTTAATTAACCAAATAATTCCTTGGCTTTAAAAAATAATCCATAGAAGATAATATTTTTAATAAGAACCAATTCAGTAAAGACAATCTTTTTACATTCTCTCAATAAATATGAAAAGTATTTTGATATTTAAAACCTTGCTTTTATAATGTCACTATGATAATTTTATAGCGGATAAAACCCTTCTTCTGAAATAGAATTTAAGAAAATATAAAATTAATTTGAAAACTTCTGATTTGACAATTTCTACAGAATTTCTCTGACAATTTCCTCTGCAATCAATGGGATCATTATTTTGTGTTATTTTTTTTCAGCTTTTTAAAGTTATTACAATCTACTAAATTTGAACAATATCTATTTAGCAATGACATTGTTAACAAAAAATATCACTTCTTAATTAACTTTTTAATAATTGTTTTAATGATAAGAATAACTAATTAATTGATATCTCTATTGAGATATTCTAGTTTACTTAATTAAGCAAAAGCAAAAAAATACAGCAGCAAATCCATACTTTATGTTCTTAATTCTCTTATTTGTTGAGGATACTTTTGATCCATAATTAATATTCATTTAGATGTGAGGTTATTTATATAAATATTTTTCATACTAAGCTAATCTAAATTATTTTAATGCTTCTTTATGAGGCTGTAATTTATCATTCTTTATAACAAATTGATCTAATTAACTTATTATTTATTCCAAAGTTGGCAATTATTTTTATTTCATTTTTGTTACTCTTGTTCTAGGTCGTAAATCTTAATCTTCATCACTTTCCAACAAATCAATCAAATTTGAATCATTTGTATTATTTAACATTTTAACATCTGAATGAAATGCCTTAGGTTAAGTGTACATTGGACTTTCCTAATTTAATATTCTAGGGAGCTTCGAAGGAGTAGGAATCTTTTTCTCAATTGTTACTAATTCACTCAATAACACAGATTAATTAGTAACTATTTTTTTTGAAGTATAAGTATCTGATTGATTCTCTAAGAAGAAGAGTTCTTTTTTAATTTGTTTAATTTATACAGAGAGTTTAGATTTTTATTCTTCCCAAATGTGAATCTATTATTCAATTTAAAAAAAATGTTATTCAAAACTTGTTTTTGGATTTTTTATTTATGTCCTGAAAGATTAATGTTTATTCAATTCAACATTTATTTTATCATATTCTTACCTTAAATAAGCCAACTTCTTAGCCAGATTATTAATTTGTATTTGTTTAGGAATTGGTTTCTCTGGAATAGATTGTGCTCTAATTCTTTATTTCAATTAAGGTATTAATTCTTCAATAACTTTTCTTTCTTTTTCTTCGAATCCAAGGGATTTCTTTATTTTTTGTATATGATCTGGTAGTTTATGAAGACCTTCGCTTTTTCCAACAAATTAATATGCTAAATATTTATTCATTTTATTATATTTTAAAAATATAAAAAAAAATACTTGATTTAAACTTAGATCTCATATCTTAGTATTTGTAACTTTGTGTTTTAAGGACTAAACAATTAACGGTTGGTGTGTGTGACAAGAATCAGAGAGAAATACAATTAGAGATTGAAATAAGGGTGAAACAAAATAATTTCATATTAATTTATTTTATATATAGAATATTATAAAATTTAACTGTTAATGCAACTTCGTTAAAGCAAGAGTAGGAAAAGCATAGACGATTAAGATATAGGATAAAAGAAGCAACAAAGTACTCGAAAATCTGTTGGACAAACCAAGCAGAAACGAAGTGTTTCCAAGGATAAAGAAAACAACAAAAAATCGACTTAATTGAATAACAAAGTGAAAAATATAAGTGAAACATTCAAATTAAAGGACATATTGAAACTTAAGGAATTTTATAAAGGCAATGAGGAATATGAAGAAAATACTGCTACTCGATCAACTCCTTAAAAAACAGAGTGTTAAACAAGCAATTCTCGATTTAGTAATTGCAATTGCAAATAAGAAATAATCGAAGACAATTAAAAGTAAATTATTTAGAAACTAATTCAGCTTAAAATAAGAAATATTGGAGCATCTTGAGAAAATATAATTTATAGTTCAAAAAAACGAGAGATTTATGACTCATAGATCATAATAAGAAATAAAGGCTGAAAGTTTTTTAAGTTAGGATAAATCCTCAAGGAAATGCATTAATAAGGTTCAAGAGTAAGAGTAATCAGAAGATGTTTTAAACAATAGCAACATTTATAATTTAAATTATATCATACAACAACAACAACTTTAAATATCGAATTTAAAAACTAAATTATTTTGTTAGGAACAGAAATTCTTAGAAAAACAGTCATAGTATGAGCAAGAAGTGTTATAATTAAAAAGTCAAATACTATAATTAACAAGTGGGATGGAAATGCTGAAAGAACAAATTCATTAACAGCAATTCCAAAGGCAAGTAAATGTTCAAACCAAAAAGTGAATTTTAGTTATATATAAGACATTATCATTATATCATAGAAACAATCATGTCTAAATTTTGATTTCAACCAGAATTTATACGAGTATTTGTTATCATCTATTCTTAATAATTATAAAATAATATTCTTTAATTTTTAAAGCGCAATGGAATAGTCTAATGTCAACACGGGAGATCGAATTAATGATAATTCATCTTCAGAAGAAATTGATCTAGAATTATAAGATGATGAAGTAAAATAAATGGTAATAAAGTTTAGACATAGGTCAATTAGGAATGCCCTCAGGAACAGTAAGTCTTGAGTCACTTATTGGAAATAGGAGAATTCATCGATTATTAAGATTCAAATACAAATAAATGGATAACTATGAAGATTGTGGATATTTAAAACTCAAATATAAGGCTATAATCTCCTTACTCCTCAAATACTTTCTGGATACAATTTTCATATGAAATTATTCGTAAGTAGTGGATTCCCGGAGTCCCTCTATAAAATACAAGAGTCGAAGTCTATAATTCCAACAAGGGATGGTTGATTGGTATAGTCGTACAGGTAGAAAAGGACTCAGTACTAATCCATCATTAGGGCTATAAGAGAATATACGATCAGAATTATCCACTCAAGGACATTCATCCTCTCGGCTAGAACTCTAATGAGCCTGGAATAGGAAAATTATTAAAATAACAGCCTTAATCAATTCTAAGATTGTAGCATCGATTTAACCTTTATCTACAATTATAAAATCTATTATCCATGCGTAAAAAATATAAGGAAATGGAAACATCCTTACAATCTATTTTGAGTGAGTAGGGAATGCTTATAAGAGAAGTATCAGGTGATGGTAATTGTATGTTTAGAGCCATAAGCGATCAATTATATGGCAATGAAATTTATCATAAGGAATTGCGTAAATTTGCTATGCAATACATTCTATAAGAGAAGGACTATTTCTAAGATTATATAATAAATGGGAATGTTGAAGAATATGTCGAATACAAATCAAAGGATGGTGTCTGGGGAGACAATATAGAACTACAAGCCTTTCGAGAGCTCTATGATATTCCTATTGAAATTTATGTTTGCAGCAAGGAACCATTAAAAACTGGATTAGAAGCTAATCCTTTTAATAAAGAGTAATAATTTATTAGTATTTCTTAGGCCAATTAGATTATCATATCATGGGAGATCTCATTACAACTCAATAAAATTAAAGGACAAGCAACATTCAGCCTTATTAGGAAGTCTAGAAATTAGTTAATATGAAAAACAAATGTTCGAGAAATTGCAAGAATAGAAAAACAAGCAAAATGCAAATAATAATAATAATAGATATGGATAATAATTGTCAAGAGCTTAATTTGAGAACTGTATTAGCAACGAATTGGATATAATTTTTAATGAATCTAAAAGATTATTCTAGGATCAATAATTAAAAAAGTAAATTTACTAACATTTATATAGTGAGTAAACTGCCATTAAGGAATCTTTGTAATAGCTCGAATATGAAGAAGAAGAGGAATAACTCATGGATATGGTAATTAAGGAGAGTGTTCAAGAAGCTTAATTTAACTAATAATATCCTGATTAATAGTAAGAAAAATAAACTTAAAAATTATAATAATATTAATAGCAATAATAATAACAACAGCAATAGTAATAGTAATAATAATAGTAATAATAATAACAATAATAATAATAATAGTAACCTAATTTAGAAAGTGAAATATTAAGGAAGATTATGGAATAAAGCAAATAAGAGTAGGAATAATAATTTATATAATAATTTGAAGATACACAATTTTAAAATGCTTTGAAGGAAAGTGAAAAAACAATTTATGAAGACCCCATGAATAATCCAGTTATTGCGTAAGTTATGGCAATGGGGTTCTTTACACTGGAACAAGTGATCGAAGGTTATGCAATTCATAGGGATGACCCAGATATGATCATTAATTATCTTTATGAAAATTTCTAATGATATTATAAATATTTTATTTTGAATATAAATGGATGATTAAGATAAAATTCAAGAAGATGAATGTATGAATTAATATTGTACAATTGAATCATAAAATGTTTATCCTGCTAAATTTAGTGATTAAATTCTATTTTTTTGTAAAGAATGTCTTGAATTATACACTGAGAAAAAGTGCTGTTATTTCTGTGCTTAAGTATTTATGCTTATATTCTAGGTTTACAGTGATCAAAATGAAAATTTTTTGGATGGTCAAAAATGGATTGCTTGCGATTAGGAAAAGTGTGACAAATGGGTATTAAAATTATAATAAATTTATTTAAGACACATTTATTATGCGAAGCTAAAAATGGAATTCAGGGGATTGAGTGTTTAGTAGAAGATATGAAATTTAAATACACTTGTCCATGGTGTAGGATAGAGGATCAAAAACAAAGAAATTTGAAACCTCTACCAAGATCCATCAACAGAAAAGGATTTAAATTTTTGGAGAAAATTCATAAAAGGAAGGGTAGTACCTATGAACCTCCTGCAAATAATAATAATAATGGTACCTCATATTTTAGTTCTTCACATTCAAGTAAATCAAGTTATTTAGATGAACTCTTAAAAAAGAATGGAGGGTTTAGTTAGTAAATAACTTAAGAAGAGATGCGAATAGATTTATAGAAAATGATTTCATTAGTTAAATAATGATACTACAATCTAAAAATAAATTATAGATATCTTTGATTTTCATAAATGACATCAATATCATTTAGCGTCAAAGTGTTTTACTAAAGCTATAATTAATTATATTTAAAGTATATTATAAGTAATTTGTATTATGAAAAGACATGATTTTATCTGCCGATTTATTGAAGAGAAATGAAATGATTAAGATCAGCTAACTTAACGAAGGAAAATTTATTTGAAATCTAATGGTAATAAGAATTGAAATCATATATAAATTATAAAATATAATTTATTTATTATAAGAATGAAATCATCTTATGCTTCTCTTAAAGATTTACTACCCTTGATGCAAAATAAACAGGCAAAAATAAAAATAAAACTTTAAGCTAGTCAAAATTATGAAGAATCTTGTACATGTAATTAAATGAGTTGTGTAATATGTTCTCGAAAAAGATCATCATCTATGATTTCTTTAAAACCATTAAAACACTCAATAATAATAGATTAAGGAAAAATAGAAAAATAAGGCATAGGATAACTTTAAGGTCTGATATCCAGAAAATTATCAAAATAATCATCAAATTAATTGTTGTAACAAACCTATTATGGTGGGAAGTTGAATTACGATTAAAAAGATTCGTCTACTAACTCTTCGACATGGTTATTGTCAAAATCTCATTCAAGAAAAATATCCTTAGACAATTATTCCTAAAAAGAAACTATTTAACTTAAAACGTCATAATAATAAATTACTACGATAAGTAGATTAACATTTCGATTTATTTATGTGATCGGTAAGGGAGGCTTCGGGAAAGTGTGGAGAGTCGAAATGAAATAAACAAAAAAAGAGTTTGCATTGAAAGAAATGATCAAGGCAAAGTATATTTACTTATATCTTAGAATTATTTCTAAAAGATCAGTCAATTCAGTGATGAATGAAAAGTTTTTATTGGAACATCTTCGTCATCCATTTATTGTTAATATGCATTTTGCATTTTAAGATAAAGAAAATCTTTATCTCGTGTTGGACTTATTAAGAGGTGGAGATTTAAGATTCCATATTTGTAAACTGAAAAGATTTACTGAGGATCAAGCAAGTACGAAATTAATATAATGAGAATTTTTCGCTTGTTGTATGCTACTTGCATTGCAGTATTTGCATTCGAACGGTATCATTCATCGAGATCTCAAACCAGAAAATTTGGTATTCGACAAAGATGGTTTTTTGCATTTAACCGATTTGGGAGTTGCTAGATTAAATAAGGATAGCATTGCAAATGATACTTCTGGAACACCAGGTTATATGGCACCAGAAGTTATGTGTAGAATGGAGCATTCCTATCCTGTTGATTATTATGCACTAGGAGTTATTCTATATGAAATTTTAATTGGTAAAAGGCCTTATAATGGAAAAAATAGATAAGAAATTAGAGAACAAATATTAGCCAAGTAGGCATCAATAAAAGAAGGCACTCCTAATATTAGTAGCAAAGCTATCGATTTTATTAATAGGGTATATAATCATTTAAATTAGTTACTCATTCGTAAACCATAATAAAGATTAGGCTTCAGCGGAATTGAAGAAATAATTCATCATTCTTGGTTGAAAGGAGTCTAATGGGCTAAATTGCTAAATAAAGAAATGAAGTCTTTATACATACCAGGAGTAACTTATATTTCTTAATAAAAAGTGTATTGATGGTAATAGTGATTTTTAAAATCAGATATCAGCAGATAGTGAAATAGAAGAAGACTGTCAGAGTTTATTAAGAAGAAAAAGTGTGTAAAGTTTATTCGATGGGTATAAGTTTTAATGATATGTTAATGTTGATTAATTATTATTTAAATATTCACAAATATCAATTCAATATTAGTTTTAGGGTAATTTTACATTCAATTTCTCAGATTCAACATTCACTGACAGACATATTATGTGTTTGAAGTGTTTTTGTGAATTATTTACAAAAAAGTATTTATTATTATTAATTACCTTAAATTTTCAATCAAAATGAGTAGAAAACCCATTTTTCTATAAGACAAGTAAACATCATAAGGCTATATTTATAACTAACCTACTCAAATATAAACTGGTAGATAGGCCGATACAAGAATTGCTAATATGAAAAGCACTGAACACCTTCTAATGGGTATTTTATATATATTATTCAGCTCCTTAACATAATTCTCCATTTTCTGCTTTGAGCACTGCAATGTAATCATAAGATGCTTCCTTCTTGAGTAACAGGGTAGATGAGAATAATGTTGGATTTTAACAAATTGTGAAACATGTCAACCAAATGATAATGGAGAAATCGCAAGCACAAGAACTAAAGATTAAAGAATTATAAAATCAAATAGATTCAAACAGAACTATTATTTTTGATATTAGAGGACAAAATCCAATAAATGCTGAATAGTTAAGCATAAAATTTAAATAGTTTGAAGAATCTGTAATTTTTATTTTTCAATTTTTCTAGATCAAAACATAAATAAAAAAGGCTTAAGAGGAATTAATGAGTTAATAGGTTAATTTTTAAAACGATTATTAAAATAAGTTCAAAGAATTACAAGACTAGACTGATAATAAATTAAAATTGATATAAAAAGAAAACTAGTAAAATTTAGTTAAATTAAAAGAAGACTCTCAATTGAGAATTGCTCCTTAAAATAATCTAAGTGAAGATAAAACAATTAAGGATATTCAATAAAAAATTAAAGATCTTCAATTATTATTTGATTCTTAACATAATGAATTCGCTATATATGATTAAAAGACTAAGTACAAATTCCATTTTATTTCAATTAGATAACAATTAGCAAAATTAGAAAAGAATTTGAGTGAACAATCTTAAAAAATTAGTGTTTAAGAGGAATATACTATTTCTTAATTTAGGACATTTTAAAATGATTAATAAAACAATATTGCTTAAGCAAGTAAAAAACTGTCAGATGATATCGAAATCAAATTATAATAGGTTTAGAATATAATCCAGTAAAAAAAATTTTCTTAATCTGATAAGTAATGGATAACATATAAATTAGATTGACAGAATTAACACTTCAATAGGCAGATTTAAATAAAATCACTCAAGGAGTGTTTGATCTACAGAATTCATAAAAGTTACTTTCTTAGCAATACTAAGAATTAACTCTCAGGATTGATTAACATCTTTCATAAAATTCTAAGCAAGAACTATATCTCAAGCAATTAGAATAGAAGGTTGATTAGGTACATATATGCAATTAATAAGTTTTAGAATAAAGATGAAAGTGATAATGGAATTACATAATTAAAATTAGAACTTTCTAGTTTAACCAAATAATTTGAAAGAATTAAATAAGAATATAAAAATTAATTTGAATATCTCTAAGATTTATAAAATAAATCAAATGAAGAGATCAGAAAGTCGCATTAAGAATTACTGTTTTCATTTAAGCAGACAGAGTAGACCAATTGGATAGATGAATATAATAAGAAAAAGCCTGAAATACAATTAGCACAGGTCTAAGTTTTTAATTATGAGGAAGACTCTGAGAGTAAAAGTGATTAGCAATTAAATGAATTATCAGAATAAAACAACATTGTATTAGATTAGTCTCTATTTTTAGGAATAAATAGAACATGAGTTTGAGAAGGAAGCGTTTATGGATAAATTGAAGGCATTGAGTCCTTCTAAGAATAGTTAATTTTAGGAGGAGAAGATAGTCGAAGTGAAAGAGGAGGATTAACATTAGAAAAACGATTAAAAAGGAGATGACGAAGATGATGATGAAGAAAATGAAGCAACATATTAACTGGACGAAAATGGTTTCTTATTAGATGACGAAGGCAATTATTTATTAGATGAAAATGGTTAGATGATTCAATTAAATGAAACCTAAATAGAGTATTTAAGAAAGTAAGACATGGTTTAAGAGGAAGATATTTGATAATCATAATGACTTTATCATTTAAATTAAATGAAAAAGAATATATATATAGATAAGTTTATAAAATGCTTGAAAATCTCAATACTTGAACTTGACTTTCAAAGGGTGTTAATATATTTAAATTAACTTGGTTTATGATAAAACATTGAGAATGACATGATAAGATTAGTTGAAATAAGCTCTGTTAATTTTAATAAAATGTAATAGAAAAAAGAAGCTTGTAAATTTTTTACTTGGCTATAAATTTTGTTGAGCAAAATTAAAATAAAACTGAGAATATAACTTCAATTCAATACAATTTTTTTTCATTAATTAAAGCGTTTAACATTTGTTCCAATTCAAGGTTCTTTTATGAAATAGAAATCATTTCTAATTTAGCTTTATTTTAAGATTCTGTTAAAATAGATTAGCTTTATTAATACTTAAATAATTTAATGAAATACAGAAGAGGCGAAAAAATTAAATTAGTCTAATTCTTTTGAAAACGAGTTTAATTCTGATTTTAATGCTAAGAATTGTGATATTATTTTTATTTTTTCTTGTTTCTTTTTGATGACTAAGTGAATTAAATTTCTAAGCGCGATATTAATAAAAGGAATACTTATTATTTTTCTAGAAGTATGGATTTTTAAATTCATACTTCCCCTAATGATTCTTCACACGTTTAAAACCATAGTTATTCATTTGGCGAGTAAATGAGTCAATATGATTATGCTTAAAATAGTTTAAGAGTATCTAATTTTCAAATAGTTCTTATTCATGGATTATAATACCATCACCTTTTTAATCAAAACTAATAATTTCTTAATAAGATTAATTCTATATAATATAATTTAATTGGATTACATCTAATATTTCAATCAATTTGGTCACAAATTTTGGGATTCTCTAATTTTTAGTATTCATTAATTTTTATATCGAATTTTCTGTAAAAATTCTCAATAATAAGTAGGTACCTCTATGAAATATAAAAAGTTAACGGTTCCATTGATTGATTAGGATGTATTTACTTATGAATAAATCAAAATCATAACTTAATGGATAATTATCAAGTTTTTAAATTGTATATTAAATATCCTTAGTTAATATAATATTTCCAAAAATTTCATAATAATTAAAGTTTATGAAAATCTGCAACTTAGAAGAATGATAGGTGAGATTAAAAGTGGAAGTGATGATAGTAAATGAGCTTGATGAATTATTCGAGTTTATAGTTTGAAAACCAATCAAATTTAAGTTTTGAGATTCTTAAACTAGATATAAAAAATAATTTTCTCGTATATTAAAATAACAAATATATGGTAATATATTTATTTTATTCTTTAGTCAGGAATTGCCAAGAGTGCAAAGGGTGGAAAAGGTGGAAAAGGAGGAAAAGGAGGAAAGTTTGGATCTGGTAAAAATAAGAAGACTCCTCAATCTAGGTCTTTGAAGGCTGGGCTCTAAGTATGTATTTTGGTAATTTTTAGTTCCCTGTCGGTCGTATTCATCGATATCTTAAGCAAAGAGTATCTGCTAAAAACAGAGTAGGAACTACATCAGCAGTTTACGCATCAGCAATTTTGGAATATCTAACAGCAGAGGTGCTTGAGTTAGCAGGGAATGCCTCTAAAGACTTTAAAGGTAAGAAAAATCAATATAATTTTTTAGTCAGAAGAATAACTCCAAGACATTTACAATTAGCTATTAGAGGAGATGAAGAGCTTGATATCCTCATCAGAGCTACAATAGCTGGTGGTGGTGTCATTCCCCATATTCACAAAGCTTTATTAGGAAAATAAACACCTGAAGGTGGTTAACCAAAGGAATGAAATATATATATAATAATATTAATTCATTTTGCAATTTAATTATGATACAATGTATTATTGGATATGGAAAATAAATCAAATTTTATAAAATGATTTAGATGCGTCTTGTTGAAATAAAATTCAATCATATTATTTATCGTTAAAAAAACAATTAATTTAATAATATAAATAGATTTTGAAGTATGCGAATTTGAAATCCAAAGAAAGATTATAAATAATATTAAACAATCAGAAAGTAAATGGTTACGTAGCACAGGTTGTTTTAAGAATGAGTTCTATAATTAAATTAATGTATCACATCTAAAATCAATTCTTTTTTAATTTTAATTCTCCTTTTGTTATGATTTGATAGAAAATTAGGATGATTATTTTTCAATTATCTATCCCTACACATATTATTATTCTCAAATTTTTAACTCTAATTATCTCTACTCCTTACATCCATTCAAAGATCTCCAGCATAATAGAATAATATATCTATAAATTGGATCTAAATTTTCTGTTTTTGTCAATTAAATACACAACTTTAAAAATTTTCGTAATCAATTGTTATTATAGAATTTGACTTAGAATATTTATTTCCCAAACCAATAAGCCTTAATTTGTAAATTTTAGAGTTAAATTCATTCTTAGGAGATATATTGGATTACAAATGAAGTATCTCGCTGAATCATCCTTCTAATTGAGTTAATATTGGTATCAAAAGTGATAGCCTTTGATCAAGGAATCTCAATTTAATTATTAGCCTTTTTATCTGAATAAGGCAGTATTTAATGAGACAACTAAAATAATTATTGAATTCAATTTGATTTCTTTTATTATAATTATATAATGATATTAATCACATCTTTAATAACATTAATATATGCAGCCTATGATGGAACAGATTACTTGGAAGGTGAAGGGAATTTTGGTGTTGAATAAAATTGGATTATGAATTAGACAGAGGAATATATGGAAACAGAATTTGTTACTGAGGGGGATGAAAAAGTATGTTAAATTATGAATTACTGAAAGTTCTTGAAATTAAAGAAAAAGGCAGAATCGGAACTAAGTTTCAAGGATGGATTCTATCATTTGTTTGAGGTATCACAACCTTAGCATATTCGATTTTTGTTTGCGTCTGGAAATAAGGAGATTGAGGACACCAACTTAAGATTGAAGGATACTGCCACTGATAAGACTGCCATTTCATTTAGATGTGGATATGCGGGGTTCGTCAGAGTGAATGACAATTAGATGATCACATTTTATAATAGTTCAGTTTCAAGTGATGCTAAAATCATTTGGACATAAGCGGACATCTTATTGAATTGGGATACACAAGAAGTGTTGGTGTTTATGAATGAATCATATATGGGATCTACCACTTTCTACCACTCAGAAGTATGTTGAACATATTTAGATAGGTGACCAAAGTGAATGAAGTGATGCTCTATAATTTAAAGCCAAACACTACAAGTTGGTGGAAGAATATTAAAATATGCAAAGAGAGATGTGATAATTTCGAATTTACTCAAATAGTTGTGATTTGCTTTGTATTATTCATATTATTATTGTGAATAACTGATGATACTTTGTTAATTTTAATAATCAGCATTTGCAATCGTCTTCTTATTTTTTTGTATTTTATTATTTATAGTAATTACCTAATTTGATGCCACTATCCTATTAATGTTCACAATGTAATTTATACTTCTGAAGCAAATTCAATTTGTTTCTTTTCGATTTTATCAACAATTTCCATGGCTGTATTCTCAAACAATTAGTCAATGTTATAATTGGTTTTAGCTGAAGTTTCAATGTATTGCATTTTGTGTTGATCAGCAAATGCCTTCGCTTGAATGGTCGATATTTTACGACTTTGATAAATAATATGTAATATATACTGGGATTCCAAATCAACTTTATTGCCTACCAAGACAATTTAGCAATTTTAGGCAGCTTAATCATTGACTTCATTATACCACTTTAATACATTGTGGAATGATTCCTCATTTGTGATATCGAAAACAAGTAAAACTCCAATGGATCTAAACTTTCATTCTCAATTAGATACCCTTTATAATAAGATCTTGTTATTGACTTGAAGGAATCCTATCCTGCAGTATCCCAAATTTATATTTTTATTGTCTTCTCATTCTTTACAAAAATTTAAGATCCAAATTCAACTCCGATTGTAGTGTCATGTTCATCTCGAAATTATTTCTCAGTGTATCTCAACAAAATGCAAGACTTCCCCACACTTCCATCTCCAACTATGATAAATTTGAATAAATAATGGTATTATGACATCTAAATATTTATTATTTATTTTAAGCATTCCCAAATTATCACATTTCTATATTAAATATATCTGTAAAATTATGGACAATCCAGAACCTCTCAAAATCCTCAAGGAAACAATTGACAAATTAAAGATTACGAAAGAGAACCTAAGAGAGATCAGGAAAACCAATTAAACCTTCCCTCGTCAAACTAATACCAGAATCTTAGATGCGTTTTAATCGTTTGCTTAATTTGATCGTGCTCCAATCTGGATGATGAGGTATCGAATCCTTTGAACTCAGATAAGCAGGGAGATACCTTCCTGAATTCAAGGAAATCATGAAAAACAGAGATTTCTTTGATGCATGTTAAGATCCCTTTATTGCAGCCGAAATCACCCTACAACCATTGAAACAATTTGAAATCGATGCTGCTATCATATTCTCAGATATTCTAACACTTCCAAAAGCAATGGGAATGGAAGTATTTAAATATCAATAACATCATTAGATTGTCATGGATAAAGAAAAAGGACCCATAATCAAAAACAAATTAGAAACTGTTGAAGATATCAATAGAATCAAGTCTCCAGATCCAGAGAGTCTAGAACATGTTTATGATGCATTATATCTAACAAGATAAGCCTTATAAGGAAAGTAGACTCTCATTGGTTTCTGTGGAGCTCCATTCACAGTTTTTTCTTATATGGTTGAAGGTGAGACATCCAAAATGTTTCTAAAAACTAAGAAATGGGTATATCAATACACTCAGGAAACCAGAAAAGTCTTAGATTTAATTGCTAGGGAGAGTGCTCAATATTTAATTAATTAAGTCAAAGAAGGAGGAGCTCAAGTAGTTTAGATCTTCGATTCCTTCGCAGGGTATTACTCAAACATAAACTTTTAGATAAATTCCCCCTATTGATTATATTGAATTTGTGCTTCCATCATTACGAATCTTATTAGAAGGATTTAAATAAGAGTGTCCAAACACTCCCTTAATAATGTTTGCTAAGGATCAAAATGGAGTTGAAGTTATCTTGGCTTTTCTCAAAATGTGCTTGGGTGAAACTCCTTTGATTGATGGGTTCTAGCTGGATTCAAATGTTAGTGATGAAGTTCTAATCAAAATTATTGAAAGCGATAGAACTATATAAGGAAATCTTGAACCTGGAGTATTTAAATCATATTTTCTAGGTTTTATATGGTACTTAACAAATCATAAAAAAGAGAGTATCTTAAATGATTGAAAAATTATAAACAACCAGACGATATATTATGAATTTATCGCATGGATTGACTCCTGATCATGAAGTTGAAAAAGTCAGGTAATTTATTTAGGAGTCTATACGATAATCAAAGTTATATAAAGTTAGAGAGATATTAGAATGACGTATAATATCAATATTAAAAATAATATAATACTATATATACTGAAAATTGCTTAAAAACCCCCTTCAAATGCGATTCAAAACATGCAACAATTCACAAATTAAAAATAACTTGAAAAACAAATTTGCACATAAGTGTTTTCCCTTAAAAGCAAAGAACTTCGAACAGCTGAAATGAAATACAAAAGTGGTTTAAGAATCAAGAAAAAAATAAAAAAAATTATTCACATCATCATAGTGGAAGAACATTAACTCAGTTCTCCTCATAACACTAACTAGTATCTGCTTACTAAACACGAATATTAGAAGATAAACTAGGATAAGGAATGCCCACCTCCAGGAAGTATGTTACAATTCCTTTTGAAATCAGACAAGATCATATAGTCATAATCCGATACTAACATTTATGAATAGATCAAAAAAATACTGCAAACAAATTGATATCCAGACAAACATTTTTACAGTAACAAAATAACTATTTAAATTTATATATATATATGTTAATGATATATTATAAAATCTTCATTGAATATTGAATGAATAAAAATTATAATAGAAAAATAAATTAATTTAAATAAGTACAACTTCGAAACCCCAGAAAGTTGAAGGACATAATGAATTGATTTGATACATATTATATTTGTGTTAATTATCATTAAGCTCAGAGGAAGTGCAGATTCTCTTAAAAAAACAAATTTTCTTAATTTGATATTTTCGTTTATTTGTGATTAATATATTATTACACAACATGTTTCATAATAAATAGAATTTGTTTGCTTAGAATATTTGGTTATTTTAATGTATTTCTTTTGGTTTTATAACTCAATGACAGAATTTTGAGCTTCGGAACGTGAATCATAATTGCAAATCTTACAACAAGAAGTCATTATTTTATTTATCGTTTTTGAAATTATGAATACCGACGAATTGGAAAATCTCGCGCAAATCATGAACATAGAAAACGACAGGTTTGCTGTATTTATCATACTTTTAGACTGTAAAAGTAATAGAACGCTTCGGTATGGACTTAATAGGTTTGCACCATTATTTTCTAATCAGTGTATGGATTGTTGTTTTATCTATTTTCTACCACTCCTGGATATTATGGTAAAATTTTATTAGAATTTTTAGGTGATGAGAGCAGCTGCATTTAGTTGAAAAAATTTTCTTATATTTTAGGTGCCGCTACTTTAATACTTGTTGTAATTCATACGTAAATAAATATATATTATATAGTCTTTTGTTAATTTATTCTTGCAGCTCAAAAAGCATTAGTTTCCTTTTGTCAGCAGAGGGAGTGATGAACACAGTATATGGAATCTTTTCATTAGTAATTTGGATAATGTTGTGGGTAAAGGATTTATAATACAAAAGATTGCCTTGGCTTAAAAAGAGGAATGTGGAAGTTTGACAACGTTAGTTTGGGTTTTCACAATTTTAATTATTCTTGGAGTTTTCTTGAGTTGTTGTTTAGTATGCCTTGCAGCAGTAGCTACATCCCAAAAATGATTAAAAAACATTTATACAATCAATAAAATAACAAGATTTTGGTTTGGTCTCTTCTTGTTAGAAGAACTTTATATACAATATATCTTGCTTATCGTTTTTTAATTAATTATTATTTAAAATGGATTCTAAAACTAGATAATAAGCTGCCTGGTTAACATTAATAACATCTGCTATTGTTGGAGGATCTTTTTATTATTTTTCATCACATGAAGAATTATATGGTAAAACAGTGTTATGAAAATATTAAATAGAGAGCGAAGACTGCTTTAAATTGAGAAATTACACTCATAACTATTCCATTTTTTGCATAACTTTTGCTATATTTATAATGTTATTTTTCAAATGAAACCTATTTAGTTTAATATGGATGGTATCAAGGTTGATAAAAGATGAAGGATGTAATTCAGGCATCGATTGTATTTAGCTGCTCTCTGGAATTGTAGGAGTCATTTTCATAATATTGTTTGCCGTAAGTATTCTATTATTTAGAAATAAAGTATGCACTCTACTTAAAAGAACCTTGTGGAGACCTAAGAACATTCACAGTAATATATCTAATAATAATATCAATTTTATTTTGTTGTGGGTGTTGCGGAATGTGTTGTGCTTTGAGTACATTGAAATAATGAAAATCATTATATAATTATTAAATTATATTAATATTAATCCTCCAAATAAATGAGTTTTAAAAGAGGAGATGTACGCCATGACTTCGAAGCCTAGTGTCCATATAATAAGAAACATTAAATGCCCTTCAGTAAATTGTGGTTCCACATTACCAAAGGATGCAAAGACAAGAGAGAAAAGGGTATTCTTTACAATCTATTTAGGTCATAAATATGACACTTGCCCATATAATTGTTTACATATCATTATTAAATCTGGAATGGAGAGACATATTGCTCAATGTAGATATAACTAATTGGATACAAAAAAGGCAGAGGAAGCTGATTTATTCAAAGAAATGCAACTTGTTGCTGCTCAATAATTCAGCAACAATCCTCCCGAAAAGAGTGTCCCTTAAATTTAATAATAATAATAATAATAATAGAGTAAGCATTATAATAAACCTCAAAATGAAATCCCAGATTGGAGAAGGGCTTTTGAGGGAGACAGCGATCTTGAAGACGACATTAAAGAAATCAATGAAATCAGCTATCAAAATTACGATGACGAATTAGATGATTCTTTTAAAATTAATAAATCCTCATCAGTCTTCTCCAGAAGTTTCTAGTCATCTGCTGCAAAGGAGAAGCAATAAAATGATGACAATGATAGTTATTATTATTGAAACCCTTAGAATTATCATATAAATATATAGATAAATATATCAAATCAAAAATCATCTTGTATTTAGTTTACTATATTGTTAAAGTTGACTTCTGCTTTGCTTGCTATTTCCTTATAAGATTGATAACGAAACAATTAGATTAAATTTGTATTTTAGGGGTTTTTCATAATCCCTAATTGTTTAGATACCTTCACAGCACCATCACTTTAAGTTATTCTTTCCAATAAATAGATAATCTATTAATCAGATCATTGTTACTTTCTATTCATTATCATTCACATTATTGTAGATTAAAATAGCAATTACACTTATGGCTTCAACAAACTAGTGTTTATCAATCGTATCAGTGTTATTTAGAGATGCAATTGCTTTGAAAACATGCATAAGCTATCCTTTCGATACCATTGAATTTGCCAATTCAAAATCTTAACAAAATTTCATAAAGCCTGATAAAGTCATTAAATCTTTTGTATAATGATTATAGTATGGATCAAAATGCTCTTGCATGATTTCATACAATTTAATCTAAAAATGAATTAATTATTACTATCTTTGGATCATCTAAAATTAACATCAAAATCTGCAAAATATGCTCTTGCTTTTCTATTCTTAACTAATTTTCATGGGGTATCAAATATTACTCAATTAACCCTGTAATATCATTACCATTGAACTTTTCTGCTATCAACTGCAAAGAGTTAAAGAAGTTTATAAAATCCATTTTACCATTTTAATTATCATTGTCATATAATTTATTAACTTTAAATTTTGGAGTTTTGGTTGAATCCAATCTCTTTTTAGGTGTTGATTAAATATAAAACATATCTGCATCCACTTAAGTGATCAAAGTACCAATTAGGCCACAATTTTATAGTAACTTTTTATATTTTATACTTTTTAAATTTACCAGATTTAAAGGTTCTCCTATTTATGAATAATATTCGAATACATTTCTTAACTCTTTTTCATAAGGTATTTATGAACCATATTATATTTATTTACTTTCCTCAACTATTTGTTGGGATTATTTTAGATTTGAATTTGATTATTATTACTAACTTTAATAAACTGTAGAAACCCTACTCTGCTTTGCAGAATTGACTCTACTCAATGCCATTACTAATTGAGTTTATTCATTCTTTGTTTAATTATTCTATTTTGAAAAATTTTGAAATCCTGAAGAATTCTCTAATTTTTCAAGTAACTAATAAAACAAATCCAATCCATTTTAATTGTCTTCTTAAATTTAATGAAAAGAGATGATGAGTAAGCTTTCTACAAATTTAGAAAAATTAAATAAAAATTTTCCATCATTCTTTAAATTCAATATTGAATCCCGATGAAACAAATCAAAAAATATCATTTAACCCTTAGTCTGTGTAATAATTAAAGGGATTATGTCAAATTATTATAAAAAATGCATGTATTAACTCTAAATTTAAGAAATCTTTTAACTTTAATCTTAAAATATGAACCCATGTATTTTACTCAATAATCCTTATACTTGAGAAATGATATCCAAAAATGATTCATCTATTAAACTCCTACATGCTTCAATTCTCTTTAAATCTTAACCAAAGTCTGTTTGATCATTTATTTTTTCATATAACTTTGATAAATGATTTTTATAAAGTAAAACAAACGATTTTGATTGTTCAGGAATCCTGTATAATTTAGTTGCTATTTTTAAAAGTAAATCTTTGAATTGGTCTAATGTTAGAGTTTCTGTATTTTTTGTTGTTTAGAAATACAAAATATCAAGATCTTTACTAGTTAATTCTAATTTAAATTATGTATAGATACCCTGTGTGATTATTTCAGCATCTGCCATTGCTTTTATAAACTTACTTGATTTTAAATATTAAATGTTTGTTTTATTGCCAAATTACACATAAAACATAAAAATGATTCGAATATGCTAAACAATCACTGATTCTTGCTGCCCTTTTTATTTTTGAACTTAGGATTAACTTAACTTTTTATCCTGATACTAAAAATAAGGTTTGTCTTATATTTATTAAGAATTGGAATGTGCAATTGAAGGACCTATTCTGATGTCTTCGTATTTGGGAATTGGATTATAGCCTTTTTGATTGCTAGCAGCTAAAGGCGCAGATTATTTTAGAGGATTGGACATTGTTCTTAACTGCAATAAAAATAATATTTAAATATTTATATAAATAAAATTTTTGCTATTTTCAAAGTATCTTAAAGGAAACTAGATTAATCTGAAACCTATGCCAATTAATAGTTTTTTCTCTAAGTGATCGGTTATTTTAGACTACTTTTAATTGAAATAATAAAAGTTAATGGTAATATAAATGAAAATCATTCTTTCTTGCTTTTGTTTTTATTCTCAAAAAGTGCATTTTTCAACAAATTACTATTTCAAATTAATCATTATTGCATATCTATTAATGTAAATGATATTTATTCCTTGATAGAATCCTAGTTTATTGTTACTTTTAAAAATATTTCTATATTATTGAATTAAAAAGCAAAATTATAGAATATTAAATATATTATTATTTTTATAAAGTAGATGTTGTTTGAACTAAACCAAAATGAATTGCGTTCTTATTAAGAAAAGTATGATAAAGTGGTAAAGGCCAAAGTGAATTTAGATTTTAAAAAAACTAAAAAAATAATAATAGGTTAGTTTTCGATTACAGAAACTTAGGCTGATTTAATTTTAAAAAAGGTATTCTCTCGTTAAAACTCTGATGAGTTGGATAGGGAAGGATTCTTTACAACACTCAGGTATATATAATGTTTGCAAAATAAAGTGGACATTGAAACTTGTAATATAAACACAATTAAATTGCAATTCCCACTTCGAGTCAATAGCAAATAGAACTTGAAAAAGTCATTTTAACCTCCAAACCCAGAAGATCTTTTGGATAAGTCGATGATTGCTCTCAAGAATTTATAAAATTTAGTAAAAGAGCCACCAGCTTTAGAAACATAGAAGAGCTCTGCTTCATCAGAAGTAAAGAATAATCCAAACTAATAAATTTAAAAAGAAATAGAAGAGATACCTGAAAACAAGGAGAAAGTATAATAAGAAGTAGTAAATGAAATTGAATAATGTAATGAGCAAATAAATTAAACCTAAGCAAAAAATGATACAAATGAGTTATCTGAAGATGATTAATAAATAATTTAAAATAACTAGGAAGATTTAAGCTAATTCAAAGAACAAAATAAATAATATGTAATAACTGAGTTTGGTCGCATAGATGTAAATCAAAGTAAAGAAATATAATAAAATGACATTAATTTTACATTTGGGGAATCTAAACCTATTATTTAGACATCATCAAATAATGAATAACTCTACATAACTGAATCTTATGAAGTACCTCCAAAGACAGAGGAAATCAAACCTGATTTTATCGAAATAAGTGAAGATGAAGAAGACCTTCCTAAGAAGGATGAATCAAAAGATATTTACGTTTGGATTTCAGGTTATTAATCATTTAAAGATGGGCCATTTTCTTAAACTTATTACACTTACACTGTTTGTTCAGAAATTCGTACTGACCCACTTTAAGGAACATATACTAAATATTAGGTTAACAGAAGATATACGGACTTTTAGATGCTTCAATAATATTTTACAAAGTCCAAATTGGGGGATATAATACCTAGTTTACCAGAGAAGGAGGGTGTTATTGCTAGCATAAAGAGTATGGTGGTGGAAAATGCTGAGTTCATATCATAAAGGTAAGAATAATTATAGTTGTTTTTGTAATATTTAACCAAGTATAAGGAGGATTAGATATTGTTGTCTTTTTTAAGTAATGATAAGAAATTTGACTTCATTTTAAAAGAACTGAGATATTGCAAGGGAGATAATTAAGACGAGGATACCTTTTTACCTGATCCTGATGAATTTACTAGAAAATAGAAATTAAAGGAGATGATTGCGGGAAAATCTATAATGGATATTGTTGACTATTTTAAAGGGGAAAAAGAAATAGAAGCCAAGTTTCAGGAAGAATACCGATAGGTTTAATAGCATTATAAGAACCTTGAGAATAAGAAGCTCGAGTTAAGCAAATTCAAATAGTGTTTAAACTAATTTTACGAACCAATCGAGAAATTCAGCTCTGGTACTTAATTATAGGTATCATCAATCATTACTGAAGAGAATATTAAGTGTGCTTAAGAAACTTAAAAATTATTTTAATCAAATTGTAAATATTAAAATATATCTATTAGATTCTAAACATTAGAATTCAATAATGAATTAAGTAATGCAAATTGAGTTTTAATTAAATAGTTTGACTTATAGTTTCGAATAGATATAGAAGTAAATCTACAAATGGTTTGCTGAAAAGAAAAGATTGAGGGAGGAGAAGAGTTCTAATAAGTAATAGAGTTAATTCTATGTTGATTAGGGTCGAAATTCAAAAGAATGATTCTGAAGAAGGAAGATTGTAATTTGTTATCTCCAAAACTAATGAAACTTTGATTAAGCTAGTTAGTTAAATTACTGAGGATTTGAAGGGTTTATTAAAGGACTTTGTAGAAGAATTAACTTAGAATTGAAATTAAACATTTTAATTTGGTTTTATTATCCAACTATAAAATATCAAAATTACATAAATAAGAATTTCTTATTATATTTTAATAATAATAAAGGACATTAAACAATACTATCAAAAAAATACAAACATACTATTCATAAATTACCACAAAATGAGAATGTAGAATAATCTGGAGATAGACCAATTGAATAATAATTATTCTATTTTCGTATTTTTGACCTAATCAATATTCATGAGAATAATAAAAATCTAAGAATAGGGGATTCTAATAATGAGCAAAAATATTTTGAAATATTAATGGCCGATTGTTTATATTATGATTTTTAACATTTACAGGTATTAAACCAAAACTGAATAAAAAACAATTAAATTTTAAAATAATATTAATGTTACTTCTTCTTACTATTACCCTAATATAGCTTGTGCCAACTGCGAGAAACCAGATAATCTCGTAAAATATAACTAATATTCTTAGATAGTAAATAGAGATGGGATGTAAAACATCTCGAAATGGAGTCTGTCAGGAATTATGTTCATTGGGATAATTTAATTGTGAAAACTAATAGATTTAATGTGAGTATGGATATTTCCTCTACTTAGGAAATGCTTGTGTGCAATGGTAAGAAAAGTTAGTTATGTAGTCCTTATTAATAGGTCATAGATAGCTTCACCTTATATTGTATGGATTGTGTGGAGCATCCTTATACCTGGTCGAGCAATAGAACTTGTTCATATGAATACACAATTGAAAGCGGAGATTTTATGAAGGGAACATATGTACGTAAATCAAAGCAGTATACTGAATTATATTATATTGGTCCTTCAACTTCAAGTGGGGTTAATTTGGATTCAATAACAAGAGATGTAAATGCATACTGTAATGTATATAGGTTCAATACTAATATGAAACTTATATTTGTTCAGGTTGTAAGAGATTTTGTATTCCAGGAGTAAGTGAAAATTGTAATAGTATTACTTCCCCTTATGCTGAGGATGGTGGGATAATGGGTATAGAATGTCTATTAACCTATGAATTTAAAAATCAGTTGTGTATTAGTTGTCCACCAGATTGCTTGAAATGTTCAAATGGGTAATGCACCTAGTGTAATGATGGGTACATGATATAGAATGGTTAATGTTAGAAATGCGGTAATGGCTGTTTAAATTGCTTCAATGTACAATTACAGACAGTCTGCACAAAATGTAAAGAAGGTAAGGTTGCTGCTTTGGATTAAAGAAATTGCGAAGAGTGTGGCAATGAATGTTAAAGATGTGAATATGTAACCTATGCTTCAAATGCCCAGTATCGTTATCCAACAAGAACTATGATAAGGATTTAGGATAGAATGAAATAAAATGAATACATTAAAAGATGTAGACAATGTTCAACGAAGAGTTTTGTAAGTCATAATGGAATAGATTGTGTCACATGTCAAATACCAAAATGTGATTTGTGTTATTACAACATAAGAGGAGGTGTAACAACTATGGATTATGATTTTGAACCTAGTAAAGGTAATGATCTGGTATCAAATTTATTGTGTTTCAAATGCATTAGTGGCTACACTGTTAGTGCTGATAAATAAAGTTGTGTAGTTTCAGTGTTAGCTCCAGACTAATGTGATAGGAAATATGCAGATACGACTTTAAAATGTAGATAGTGTGTGAATAATGTAATTTTGAATTAATAAAGTAATACTTGTTCTAGTTCGTGCACTTCCTATATAAGTCAATGTTCTAGTTGTTTTTCTTATAAGAGTTTGGATTAAACCTAATACACGGATGGTACAGGTTAGATATTTATAAGAACTGCCCAAACTCTCTATTAATGTATTTAATGCAGCAATGGGTATTACCCAAACATCTTTACTGGCTTTTGCGATCTATGTCCAAATAATTGTTAAAAATGTTGGCAATACTCTTAGACCTATAATTTTACAGATTACCTATATAAAATGTAACCAATTAGTAATTCACTAAAGGAGACTTTCCTAAATGATATTCCTATCAAAGTTTAATGTACATCCTGTAATTTTGGTTATTAATTATATGGGAACGAATGCTTAGGTTGTAGTAGCAATTGCTAAGTAGAGAATCAGATTGTGAGTGATGACTCAATTAATAGTTGTATTTTCAAATCAACTTATGCCTTTTGTGGTGAATGTTATGATACCTTCAATGATAGATCTTTAGTCTCAGATAAATCTGAATGCATCGAGTGCCCTTTGAATTGTTTGGCATGTAGAGAAAGAGAGACATATGAAATAACAAACCTTTATTTTAATCCAGACAATTCCAACTTAATCCAATATGGGAGATTATGTTACAAAGCTCAGACTATGACGATGTCTAACCTTTAAAGTGTTTCATATAATTCTTATTTGAGTTTACCTATTTTGTGTATCTATTAACAAGCAGATTCAACAAACACCAAAAGATGTCGTCATACTGCTCAAATTACTGTCCATGTGTATTGTAATGAGGATGAATATAATTCTATTTATGATACCCTGACCTCTACTTAAAAATAATATCACTATAACCTAAATGATTATTATTCATTAGATTTTGAGGATATTGCCTCCATAGAGTTTTAATATTTAGAGACTTTTCAATCATACTAAAGCATGAATTAAGCAACATTAGAAGAATTGACTCTAGACATATTATTTACTAATTCTATTGATTATAAATGCACATTTCAAAAGTCAACATAGCTTATAACAGAGTTCCATAAAAATGTTTATGCATTGAGTAAATTCTAAGTTAATATTCAAAGTGCTCACAATGAACCAATTACATTTTACATCACAGACAATTTCTACTTATAAGATTTCCCTTTTGTGATGATCAAGAACATTAATGTCTATTCTAATTTATAGAATGACTTTGGATTAATTATAACCAACAATATCTCATCAACATACTTGTAAATATAATATTGTAAATTGGGATATGAGTAAAATAAATATAAGGATTCGTAAATATTTACATTGAAACTAGAGAACCTTAAATAATTAGAATTAAAGGATGTCTACTTTTAAAATTTGTAACGTTCGGATCAAATTAATTTTAATCAACTAAAAATCAATAACTACGTATTCGAATTCACTAATGTGTATTTAAAAAGTAATTAATTTATGAATAATGCAATCTTTCCATTAACACCTTATAGCATTGTAAACATTAACAATTTAGTAATTCAAGATTGTATATTCACTAATTCATCGTTGTTTAATAACCAGCAAGAGTATTAGTTATTTGTTTCTAAGTTTTCAATCAACCGATTGATTATCAAATAGACACAATTTTATTAATCATCAAGCATTATAAAATCTAGTTACATTTCCACATTGTCAATAAATTAGTTAGATATAATTGGAAATAGATTTAATGATACAGAATTATTTAAATGTAACACTTATTAAATTTAGAATGTTTACATCTATATGAATGTTTTTACTAACTATTCACTAATATTTACAACTGCAGATTAAGTTCCGGATACCTAATCTTTTTATAACCAAATCAAAAATTAGGGATTTTAAATATCGAATCTTAAATTTGTTGAAAATACTTGTTACAACATCAATTGTCTTATGCTCTTATAAACACCATACAACTCAGAGGAAATAAATTCAGATTTAGCAATGTAGAATTTTTATATATTTAACAACTACATTGAATTATCATTAATACAAAGACAATCGGTTTCCTCTGCCATCATCAGAGTTACTGAAATTAAGCAAGTCAAACTAACTAATATTGTCATTGATACTCAATTATCCATAACTGTGATTTCACTCTAAGATATAGCTTCTTTGGAAGTATCCAAATTCTTATGTGATTTCTCAAACAACATTATTGGCAAGAAAGACACAAGTCCCCGTACTAAGATTGAGAACAGCACAATCATCTAATATCCTTTTAATAACAAATTACCTGGCAATACTACTTGTTCCTATTAGAAATAATCATTCGGTAGTTATAGCTCATATTGTTTGGATGTCGAGGATTTCATATATGGAGTGAAAATATCTGATGCTTCTCTGAAGGGTCTTCTAGGAATTGACAATGGATTTATTTACATTCAATCATATGAGTCATTGATGAAACAAACTAGTAATTTCATTAGTTAAAGTGGCACTAAAAATATATTGGATTTTTATTATGGTTACACCAATGAAGTCATAATCCTAGAAAACATCAATATTTTTAATACATCTATTGCAATTTCAAATCCAGTCACTAATATTGGAAGTATCATTATTGAGTCTGATTAAATTTAAACCATCTTAATAGATAATGTCCAATTGATTGGCAATCACCTACATTAATTAGTTGAGTCTATCACTTTGAAAATATCAACTTGCTTTACAATCTTGAGTCCAAATAGCATGATAAGCATCAAACAGTTAGTTGCTTAGAATAATAGAGCTACTTAATCGCAATATGGCATAAATATCATAAAGAGCCAGTCATTAAGAATATTTTCGTCTTTGTTTAACCATACAAATATAATGGAATCAAATTGGCTTGATAGATTCGATGAATATTAAGTCAACAATTATTCTTAGTTCCTTGGCTAATTCAACATAGAGTCTGAGGGTTCAAATATATATATCTAATGTAAGAACTTAGAGCTAGACCAAACTTAATTCATGAATGGCAAATCTCTTATGGGAACTGCCTTTTATTTTCTAGGTCAGGACATAGTATCTATTGACATTAACAATACAGAGTTTACAAACCTATCGACATCACTAGAATATGTTGATTAGGCTTATGGAGGATCTTTATACTTAAACTTATAGAAATCTAGTTATGAGATTAAATTAAACAAGGTCACCATGAATCATAGTGTATCACGAATAGCAGGTGGATGCATTTATGTGTAAACATCCATATATGAATAAATTATCTCCATTTAAAATAGTCAATTTATCGAATGTTAATCCCTATAAAGTTCTTTAATAGATATATAGTTTTCTGTGTCTTCATTAATATTGCCAGCCTTAAGTATTAGGAATACAAATATAATGAATAACAATTTTGAAGGATTTCTAAGATAATTAAGTGATATCAGTGTAGAAGAAGAGCAATAAATAATATCTGGGATAAGTTTGATAAAATAGAATTATGGCATATTGGAAATCCAATAAAGTTAATTTATTGAAATACAAATCCAAGGATTAATGGAACTTAAAAATATGTTTATGGTAATCCTTCAAGATTTAGTGGTTAAAGATATCACTGTATTTAGTAAATCTTTAATAGAAATTACCCACTACACAAAGTAATCGACAGTAGAACTTTAGAATGTTGTTATTGATAATATTACAGAATAAAAAGTGTTGACAGAAGAATAGTTTATTTATAAATTCAGTAGTAGATGCCAATCAATTTCTTCAATGTTTGAACTAGCAAATACTTAAACCTGTGCAGAATAGGAGGATTTAAGATAGTTCTATAAGGATATCTATGATTATAGACAAATATCACAAACTAAGTTAGATAATAGTACTTTGTACAATTATTACGACTCCTTATCATACTCAGACAAATATGTTCTTAATGAAATTAAATTAGATACTTTTAGAGAAATTAAATCGTTTTATTCATCTAATAATGTATACATTAAAGACACTGTGATAACACAATAGGATTTTAGTTTGTGTTATTTTACAAATCTATAATTCGCCTATGAAATCGAAAGCATTCCTCATTATATTAAATTAAGCCATATTAAATCAACTAACACAATTATGATGAATTCAGTTACAATCAAAAATTCTTTCTGTGATAGATGCAAAGAAGGGCTAATTCTAATTAATAATTATGATTAATCTGCTCACACTACTACTAGTATCTTTGAATTGACTTGTTAAAATAACATAATTGGATACTTTGGCTGTTTGGTCATAACAACTCAAACTATCCCTTAATTAAATATTACTTACAGTAATAGAATCCTGTAGAGTGCAATTCCAACCTAAAAATATCACATATATCTATAATAAAGTCTATTTTAAAGTAATTCTGCTTAAATAGGGGCTGGTGTTTCAATAATTGGAGTGAGTGTAAAGATAACAGATAGCCAATTTATGGATAACAAAGCAACTTTGATTGGAGGAGGAATGACCTTCGTTTATGATTCCGAAAGTAAAAATATCTTAGATCAATTTAACAACAATTACATCAATAATGATGCCCAATTAGGCAGTGCTATTTACATGATGAATAATAATCTTAACAATCTTGAAAATTCGCAGATCTTCATTCATCATAACAGCAATACCTAGATTGAGCAAATGCCAGAAAGGTTGGGATTGATGATGTTAGAAGGTTAAATGATGGACATCTCCACATTTCAAGAGAATGATGGAGACTTGAATGATGATAATATCATCGATAACTCAAATCTTTAAATAATTGATATTGTAAGTGTTCAGTCTAGCAGCATACCTAACTTTAAGAGCAACTACTTATTGCTTCCTTCCGGGTAATAGATATCGTAATACAAATACTATTATGAGGTTACTTAAGAATAAATACCATACAATTGGGTATTTAGAATTTACAATTTGGATAAGAATAAAAATATCATAAAATCAGTTTCATCCACTGAAACTTGTACTGTTTCAGGTCGTCTGATGGATGAATTAAATCTGGATTTCACTAAATAATTTCTGCTTAATTTCACCTCCTATTCGGCTACATTTTTTGATGAATCCAACAACTCCTTTAATTTTGACAACTTATAAATATACTTCGACCCATTCTTATAAGATAACTTATTCCTATAACTCAAATGTAATCCCTTTATAATATACATTAGTCTAATGCTCCTCCATCAAGATCCCAATATATAATCAGCAGCCTCCTTATAATGTGCTCTCTTATAATAAAAACTACGCTCTGTATCTGAATCTGAAGACCATTCCGTGCCAAATTGGGGAAGCCTACCTAGAATAAAAGTGTACCGCATGTAGCTCAGCAAATACTTATTCTGTTCAAGAGAATAGTGTTCAATGTAAAGGCATCAATTCAATTTAAATGGACATGGTTACTCCTGTTAGAATTAAATTGAAAGAATAATATTGGAGGCCTTTTCCAAAAAATGATAATATTGAAGAATGCTATAACTTGAAATCCAATTGTCTGGGAGGTTGGGTTCCAGGTGATACCTCCTGTTATGATGGCCATATTGGTGCTTTATGTGAATAATGTGACATCTATGGAATCAGAGGACCCCAATATTCAGTTAGTAAGAAATATACTTGCGGAGCTTGTTAAGATACCATTCAGTCCAACATTCTCATCATAATTGCCATTTCGATCTTCACTCTAGTCACAATGATTATGTCAGTTAAAGGGAACTATGAATTTATTGAGAACTTAATACACCAGTAAGTTTTGTAATCCATTGGAGCCAGAATTAATATATAACAAAGTATATCAGTATTTATCAATTAGATAATGCATCCATCATTATGAAGTAATTAACCAATTATTTATAAATCATTGCATCTTTAACTACATTTAGAATTTCCATACCTGCTGCTTTTGTTTCGTCAATGGAGGTATTGGGAAATCCAACTCAATCAATGGCCTACTCTCTTGATTGCTTTTTAGTGACGTTTGCAACTATGGATTTATTGTACTTCAGAATGGCTTGGGCATTATTAATGCCACTATTCTATATGATTGTATTCTTTTTTGGCTATTTTTCTGTTGTATTAATGAGAATTGCTCCATTTAAAATTGGAATCATTTACACTACATTTATTTACATGTTCATCTATTTGTAGCCTACTTTAGTTGGAGGGTTCATCTCATTATTGAGTTCGAGAACTGTCAGTGGAATAGAATGGGTCTAGAGCAATGTCAGCTATTAATATTATACTGAGATGCATCAATATTACATTTATATCTTTATTGGTCCCAATTTGTTGGTCTGGAGTCTTCTATTACCATTTATATTTATGCATTTTATCAGAAGAAATAAGCACTAATTGGAGAATATGGAAGTACGAAAGAGATGGGGTTTCTTCTATCACGAATATACAAATTAAGCATATTTATGGGAATTTGTAAAAATCTTTGAGAAGGAACTTGTGATAATTTCTTTGACGTTCTATGAAAACAAAATTGTTATTAAGGGATTGATGATATTTCTAATAGTATTTTTATATGGGGCATTTTCATTCACTTTTATACCTTACAAATAAAAGAAGTTGAATTTTATAGATTAGATGTCGACAGCTGCTTGTTCTTGTTCTCTTTGTTTAGGTGTTCTCATCTATGCCAGCATGAATGAAAATTTAGATTATTTATAATACATTATGTTCTTAATCATAATTATTATCAATGCTTGTTTGATCGCTTTGATTCTCTTTCATTTACTTGAAGGCTACATTAATAAATTTGATGATAAACTAGACATTGTAAGGAACAAAATTAAATTGAAATTTCCAAATATTGATTTCTAATACCCTTGTCTAAAAAAACTATTAATAAATAAGAAGGATATGAAAGAGAAAGTGATTAATTATTGGGCAATCCTGAGGTATGAGACTAGAGAAGGTATAAAAAGAAGAAGAAATGATAAAAATGCACTTCTAATAATCTAAAGAACAAAGAAATCTGGCTAGCTATCATAAGATTTATCTGAAAAGGATATAGATATTAAACAAGGAAATTCATTAGATCAACAAGTAGAATTGAAGAGCCCAGACATAGATAATAACGAAGACATTAAGTTACTCAAAAGACCAAGTTCGAATTATTAAGGATTAATGATTTAACAATAACACTCTTTGGATTCATCTCAAGTTCATTTAGGGAAAATATTTCCAGAAACTTATTCTGATATCCCCACTACTCGAAAACTAGAAAATAGATAAGAGAAAATATTATTGAAGAAGCCAATATGAATATTTAAAAAAATTTAAATAATTGTTTTTCCTTATGTTTCCCCAAAGGGTTATTTAATATCAATTAATCTATTATTATGTTTAATTACAGTCTTTAATTTTCTTATTTGGTTTCCTCATTTTTTACTAGAATAAAAATAGACTGATAAATTACTGGTTCATAATTATTATAACTTAATTTGTTAAATTTTAAACAAGTATAAGTATCTATTGCTTTTCCAATATATTTAGAAAATTAGTTTACTTTTCATTCTTTCTCTATGATTAATAATATCTTGTCTTGTTATACTATTTAATAACCATTTTAAATCATTCATAATATAAATAAAATAAAAAAAATGGGTTGTTCAAATTAAAAGTCAAGCACGAGAAAACAAAGCAAAGTTTAAGAAGAAAATCAAATAAAACATCAATCTAATTAGTTTTTAGAAAACTATGATTAAGATAAACAATTCGTAATATCTTCCATCAATCAAAGAAGAAGATTATGGCTTCATTCTATCCCTAAACTCAACCTATCTTCAAATGATCTATACAAGAGAAGAAAATTCAGGTAACAGATCCCAAGCTTATGATTGTTCTTAATGTATATTTTATTATAATACTTATGAACATTTATCATTCTTTCAAGCCAAAGCTAAAAGAAATATATTTCCTTGGAATGCACATCTATCAAGAATATCTATATATCTGGAACCTGGATCAAGTTATCCTAAAGTTAGCATGCCTTATTGTATTGATTTTTTGTCTAACTGGTTTAAATTTATATTAATGACAATAAGAATAAATTCATACTCTCCTCCTAATTGGATTTTATGTGGTTTTAAAAATAAGCAAAATAGTAATTATACTATGAATTAAAATTATAGACTTTTTGCGTTGTTTATATATTAAAAATTATTTAATTACTAATTTTTATAATCATATAATAATTAAATTACTTATGATGAATTTTTACATTTAATAAAATTTAACACAGGCTAGTTTGTACATGATATATAGAAAATATCTTATGATTATAATATATTATATTAAACAGTTTTATTAAATGGGGGTTCAATTACAAATATTCTCTAAATATCTCTTGTCTTTTGCAAGAGGTGAGATCATATAAAATTTGCTTCTATTTATTTGTAAAATAAAGCAAAATAATTTTAGATCAGTAACTAACTTCTTCTTTGGTTGTATATTAATATTAATTATTTGCAGATTTAATTTATTTTATCTAATTAGTGAGAATACAAGGGTGATGCATATAATTTTTGTTTAAATTAGTAATTATGTTAAAGGAATAAAAGTATTCAAATCTATTATTATTATTAAAATTATTATGAAATCACTTAATCTATAATTTGGAGATAATCGATAGAATCAAAGAGAAGACATGTTTCTTGCTAACATAGTTGAAAAAGTATAATAAGGAAAAATTGGGTTGATATCTTTTGTTGATCAAGCCTAATTCATTGATTTGATGACATAGAAGCACAAAAAGAAAGCAAAAGTATAGCCTGTGTTTAATAAAATATTTGCAGCAATTTAAATAAACTTGGCAAAGCATTAACAATCATAATAAAAGATTTAAGAAGTAAGTTATGAGATAAAAACAATATCATCAACTCGACAATTAGGCTATAGAGGATCCTTTAACATTTCCAATAAAAGTGGTGCTCTGCTTTTACACAAGGATAGCAATCTAAAGGAACATCAAACAAATGAATTTAGTGATAAGGAGATTTTGGATTAGTAAATATTAGATGAAGCAACTAAAACAGAAAGAAGCAAACGGAATTTAAGATTGTCTTAAATAACTTCAGATAAAAATGAAATTAAGGGGGTTAGAACCATTCAAACTAGTCGTGATAATACTCAGGATTAGTTTTTGAAGTAAGATAATTTGTCAACAGCAAGGAATGAAAAATTAAATTACAATTTGTTAACTCAAGAATAATCTGACCAATCTTAATCTTAAATTAAAATGGAATCATAACAATCCTGCTTGATTCCAACTGAAAAATTGAGGTATGGTTTAAATACAAACTTCACTTCTGAAATATCAAATGGATAAGTATAAAATTAATCTGCAAAATTTAATAATTAATAAGAATCTAATTAACAATAGCCTTTAACTTCTAGAAAACAGTCTGACGTCATATTAAAGTCAATTAAAGGCAGTTATCCTTAATAGGCATATTTAATAAGCTAATAAGAAAGCAATTCAAGGAAAACCTTGACACCAATCCAACAAACAAAATTACCTCCTGTACTCGATACAAATTAAAGACATGGTGAGAAAAATTAATAAACAAAATCTGTCAACAAGGCTGAAAAATAGTAAAATGTGATAAAAAATTAAAAAGTCACTCATAGGCAACAATAATCTCAACAAGAATTTAAATCATAGAAAAGAATATAACATAAGCCTTAACAATCTTTAGCTGAAAAATAAAAGCCAATAATAGAGCAAGGAAAATAATAGTAATAATAATATTAGCTACTAACATAAGAAACTAGTTTTTGTGGTAATATTAACAATTCTTAAAGACCAACAAGGAGGGATCTAGATGAAAGACAATAAGAAAGCCCCTAATTTTTAAAGACAGATCTCATTGAAGATGTGGTTATAACAAATTCTCCTTAATAATCACAACCTAAGGACACTCGATAAACAACTCATTTTAAACAAGATACAAATGGATTAAATATAAGTGAACATTCATTTCAGTCTAAGAGACACACGATTGACTAATATGATATTAATTCTTTAATGCCTCCATAATCTTCAAGGACTTTGACTTCTGCTTAGAAGGATAAGACTGATTAAAGAAATCACGATAGCAATAATTCAGAGACTGACCAAAAACAACACAAGAATTAGTTGACAGTTACCTTCAAGAGAGGATCAAAGCGAATGAAATCTCACAATGTTTAAGGGAATGAAAATGAATATGATTAATAGGAAGAGGAAAAAAAAAGAAGGTATTCACAAGAAAGATTATTCAAAAGTGACAATAGATTTGAAAAGCTTGAAGAAGATAGATATTAATACACAATAAATAATTTAGAATAAAGTGGTAGTTCTTCTGACTTAAATAATTACGAAAATGAAAATAATAATAATTAAATAAATATTTAAGTAAGTAGATGTGATAATCGTGAAAAAATAATAGAGGAAGAATCCTTAGATGGCTCTATGAGATAGCATCAAGCAATACTATTTTCAACTTAGGATAGAATGCATTTAAAGATTGGGGACAATTCATATCATCCTCAGTCTTCTTCAAGAAGCGTAGCCAAATCTATTACACCAAATACTCCAGTGGGTTCGGTTTATACTGCTTAACATAGTACTAATGGCACTGTTCAAAATACCTAGGTTTAAAGGAAGAGGAAGTAGACTAATTAGCATAAACGACCTCAGCTTTCAAATGAGTATTCTCAAACCAAGATTTCTATACAGAAATAAAAGTCGGAAGATAGCTATTACGAAAAGGAATACACGAATGAATCTTCCCAAGAGCCAGAACGATCCAGCAGATTGAAACCTAAGAAACTATAATAGAAATTGTAACCACCTTCGACTCAAATTTAATAATAAAGAAGAAAATCATCTGCTCAAGTTTCTCCAATGGATGTAATTCATATTATATGATTTTATCTTTAGCCCAGAAAAGTAGAATAAATGGAGAGGGAGAAATAAAAGTAGTTGGAGTACTAGAGATAAATTGAAAGGATGAAATTAGAAAGGGAATTAATGGAATAGTATAAGATTCCTGAAGATATGCCTCTCCCTTAGAAGAAACAAATTATCGAATCCCTCATTGGCGAATTGAGTCATCAACATGACCAAGAAATTCATTATTAAGTCTCTCTATGTAAAATTTATGATATACTTTAGATAATGAAAGATAAGATTAAATTTAAAACATCTAAAGAAATTATGAAGAAAAGATAGATTTCAGATATAATATTGTGAATAGTTGTTATTATGAGATGGATTATTTGTGCGACCACAAGTTAAAATTAAAATAAAAAGATTAGGAAGCTCAAAAAATTATACACTTGAAATTTCAAGATCAAAATTATAACAATCAACCTAAATTAAATTAAAATGGAGATAAAGAAGAAGAAGAGGAAGGCTCTCCTTTTAAAAAATAAAGTAAGTTGGTATGCAATTTTGATCCAGTGGAAATAGAAAATCAATTGAAACGAAGAGGTGAATTTATGAATGAAACTGAACTTCTCAAATTTCTTAAATAATTTTAATCTGAATTCGAAAAAAAGGTTTATTAATGCAATCTCGATCATCCTATATAAGATAATAGATAAGATGATAAACAATTCACTAGAGGGCTAATAGCTCGCAATTTTAGAAGAAAACAAACCAAAAATATCACATCCAAAATCGAATTTAACAATTATTAAATGGATATGAATAAAATTTAATATGTTAAGGAAAAAGCTACTAAAATATAAAAACTAGGGTTATATCTTTTAATGAACTCTTGATATAATAAAAATATTGGCAATTATTTTTATTAAATAAATTATAAATACAATTATCTTAGAAAATCATTCTAAGCATAGTCAAATATATTAATTAGAAAGGTGGGTATTATTCTTGTCATTTTTCTTAAGAAATAATCAATTTGATTCTTAAAAATTAATATTTTTTTCAGTCCATTTATATAAAATCTAATCTTAATTATTAATATAATATTAATGACCAATAGAGTTTATTAAAATTATTCATAGCAGATAGAAGATGATTGTTTATTTGTTTCACAGTAAAATTTATTTCCATTAAAGAATTCATGATGAATCTTAAGCCTAAAAGACACTTAGTTATCAAATGCCCAATGTAAAATAGTACAAATCAGATACTCAAATATCTAATATGAGCACTTTTACCATTCTATGTAAGATAAGCCCCATTAATCCTCCTGATACTCCAAAGGAAATTAAAACTTTTAAATTATATAAGGATCAATAAAACCAAAAATAAGTAAAATAAAGCTCAAAGCTATCTCTCAAACAGGATGACTCCTTCATGAAATAGAATGAAAATCAATATTCCGAGAAATATAAAAGAAGAAGACCTATTTTAGTTGTCAGGCATTCAAAAAGTTTGTCATGTATCAAAAAAGAAAAATCAGTCCGTTTTCATCTGGAAAAAGATGAAAGTAGCTTTTAATTTTACATTTTCTAAAATTGGATTCAAAAAGTAAAAAAAACTAACGAATAGATCTGTTCGTTAAAGGAATTCGATGAAGATGCATCATTAAATAGTAATGGAGCTAAGAAAATATTTGAAAAAATTCATAAAAAATATGAATCTAAAGTACATTTCTAATTTCCTTTTTGAATTTACTTGTTTTTTTTATGTTTGGATATTTATTATTATTTATATATTCCCAATGTTATACTGATATATTTATCATTTTATTGAACTATTTTGAACATTAATAAATAATTAATATAAAAGAAATTAATGATATTATTCAATCATTTAATTAACATTATTTGATCAGAATAATTAACTTTTTCAAATAAATTGTGAATTATAATTTTTAGTTGAGCCTTATCAAGAATAAAGAATGAGTAAAAGATTGAAAATTTGGGTTTTTCTATTATCCACTAACAAGAAAATACTAATTAGATTCATTTTCTAATAATTGCCATATCATCTCTTCATTATTAAAAGATTTTTATTTAAGTTTAATACACAAATATATATTTATTTTAAATTAAGGTGAATAAATACAATTATTTTTATAATGATGAAAATTCATTTTTCAAGAGAAAGTAAACAGAATAATTTTGTTTTTATATTATAGTATTCTTCCTTTATATATAAATTGAAAAATTTTTGCTTTAAGCATCCTTAAATTAAATCTTTTTTATAAAACTCTTTGATTATATGCAGTGAAGGTATTTATAATTTTTTCAAATTTATAAAATAGTAATTAATAGTAAGAGAACAAACTAAATTAATAAATCATGAGATTTATGAAATAAAATAATGATTTTTTAATTATAGGATAGCATAATAAACTTAGATTTAGGAGCCCATATCAGGCTAATAATAATTACGATATCGTCTATTTTCTGCTTTAAAGTAAAATATAAATGTGTTGAATCAAAAATTTTGACATAAATTATAAAAATTTTCTAAACATAATACAAATATAATCTATATCTTGGAACAAAATATAAGTTTGATTTTAATTAAACCAGCATAAGATTTATAGTAAAAATTTATATTGATTTGCACTAAGAAATTTTGTAATTTACAAAATAATAACTTTAATTCCATACGGCATGGCAGACACTGAAAATTAAATGTAACACTTAATACGCAAGTAATATTTCTATCTTATTGAAATTGAGTTTGAGAGATTTAATAATTACTTTTTGGCATTTTTAATCTTTATTCTATTTTTTGAATTGCTAAAATGATAATAACTAAATTTATAATATTTAAGATTATTAATAAATAGGCAACATATTTTGAAAGATTATAATTTATAAAATGTTAATATTATAAAAGTCTATGGTAATTCAATTTAGGAATGAATTTGCATTTTAAAGAAATTAGGTTATTAATTTCATTCAAAAATGACTGTTTTAAATGCTCTATAGTAGAATTATTCCATTACATTACAGAAGCAATGAGAATGAGAATGTTTAATTAGTGGAAAATTTATATTAAATAATTAAAAGATTTATTTAGTATTTTGAAATGGGAAAATTGTAAGTATTAGACATATTTTAAGCTTAAAACCAGGACGTTTAGTAGTAATGTTGGCAGGCAGATAAGCAGGAAAGAAAGCCATTTTGATAAAGGCAAATGAAGAGACAACAAAAGTATATAATAGAAAAATTAATTAGGATTGCAAATTCCCAAATGGTTTGGTTGTTGGTATTTAAAGATACCCTAGAAAGGTTACAAAGAGAATGGGCTAAAAATAGATTAGAAAGCGAACAACTTTAAAGGTTTTCATTAAGCAATTAAATCTGAATCACATTATGCCAACAAGGTTAGGAATGGTTATATAATTATTATAGATATAGATTAGAAGAATCAACTTTGAAAGAAGTGAGAGATAGAATCGAAAGAGTGAAAGAGTCAGAATTGAAGAACGTTGAAAAGAGAAAAGACTTGAGAAAGAATTTGAGAAAATACTTGGCTGAGAAATACAGAACATTACCAGCCGGAAGTTTGGCTGATAAGAAGGCATAATCAAGATTCCTATTTTCAAAATTGAGGTTCTGATTTATTACATAAGTATAATTGCATTAAGAAATGTATTTAGTATAAAATTGTCTTGTTTATAATGTTCTTAAATGAGGGTAATTATACATCATTATTGTTACTATTGCTTTAATTTTCTTTGGGTTCTAGTGAAATAGAACTTGGCCTTCTCTTCTTGAGTTTAGAAACGTCCTAATAAAATAGAATTGAGATCTTACCATGTCCAATTTTGGATGATGTATCAACAAATTTGAGAGTGATTTCTTCCAAAGCCTTTCTGCTAGTTTATGGAACAAGAGACTTTCTCAACAAGACGATTCTCTTCTTTGGTCCAACAATACCTCCCTTGAGCATGAGGAAATCGTTTCTAATTTCACCATAGTGTGGGAAACCACCCAATGGAGTGATGGCCTTTGAAGTCAAATCAGCTTCGGTAGATGCAGTGTTTTTGTCTCCAGCAGCACCAATTCTGTAGATCTTTTTGTTCATTTCAGTTCTGTGATGGTAACCCAATTGACCAGTTCTGGCAACACTGTATCTGACATTGGCTGGATGCCATCCTCCGATACAACCAACTCTTCTCCAACCTCTATGGGTTTTCTTTTGTAAATGCTTAACACCAAATCTCTTGATGACACCAGCAACTCCCTTACCCTTGGTGACACCGAGAACGTCAATTTATTCGTTTTATTTGAAGACTTAATCTACTTTGACTTCCTTTTCTAATAATCCCTTGGCATAGTTAACTTTTTATTCTGTTGTGCCTCCATTGACTTGAACTTCAAAGACGTGATTCTTCTTTTATCTCAAGTTCAATTTGCTCATTTGAGTGTGAACAATGACTCTGACAACTTAGCAATATCTAAATAGTTTAATTAATATTTTTACTTAACGATTCTCTTTAATTGAGTTTCCAAATTCTTTGGCTCAGCATTAGCCTTGTTGTAGTTGGTGAAAGCCTTCTTCTTTGAGTTGATCCAATTCTTATAGAATCTTCTCAATGTGTCCTTGGCAATCTTAGTACTCCAAACAGTGGTCAAAGCTCTTAATCCTCTTGGTGTTTCGATATATCCGACAATACCGACGACAGCCAAAGGTGGGGTTTCAACGATGGTGACAGCTTCAACGACTTCCTTACCATTCAATTTTGATCCTGGTCTTTCAACAGTTCTCAAGATGTGAGTCATACCAGCCTTGAATCCTGCAAAGGCTGTCAAATGAACTGGGGA